GAAAGAGTTCTTTTACAGAATTATGTTGGAGAAATTCTTATAGATCTCTGATGATATTTTCTGAACATTTAAGTTTCAGAGTACCTCTGTAGTAACTAAAGCACACATCTTAGCAAATAAGATAATTGAAAATTAAAAAAATTTTTTTTTGATAAGTAAAAATATATTTATATAAGCAAAAACAATGAATTTAATTTATGTAAATTCTAAAATATACATTTTATTGGAAAATTTCTATCTTATTTTGATTTTAGTTGATAAAAAGACTACATAATCAATAACTTTTTACTCTTCAAAGCTATTTACACTACTAAATAAAAATAATACATATTAAAGTATTTTGCAAGATTTTATCTGACTCTGAATGAGTAAATTCAGCATAGGCAGGTTGGATGAATACGTGAGCAGTAAATGATGATCAATCGAATCCATTAACGTAATTAACGACTACAATCAATATGATCAAGTAAATAGCGAATTCTCAGTCTCGTATTCAATCCCATAATTAAGCCCTATCAGGACTAGACTATTCTCATCAAGTTTGAATATTGAAATATCATTAGATTCATTGATATCTTAACGAAAACTTGACTTGAACTTAACAAGATTATGATTGCACATTGTGTGATACGCAAGTTTCAAGGTTAAATAAGTGATGCTTTCAATGGAATTTATATCTTTTAGCTACTTGTACTACTACATTACTTTCGATGAACATGTTAGTGGAACTGCTGCACGCAAACACTTGAAGAAAAATTCACTTTTTAGTGCTTCTTTCTTGAAATTCTTAGAAACTTGTTTGCACTATTCACTATATTTTTTAAAAGCGGGATACAAATACTAATCATCTAATAAGTTGAATGTCAGCACGTAAGTAAGTTAAGTCAGTTAAAAAAAAAATTGTTATAAATTATAATTTAATGCAAATGAAAGTCTCTGTTTTATTTCATCTTTGAGAAAAATTTCTTTTTTTTTAACCTTTTAAAAAAAGTAAATTATTTAAAAGTAATTACAATATTCTTGATGTTGATAAAAAGAATATTTTTAGAGTAATTTACTTTTAGATAAATGCTTTTAAAACTTAAACTATCTAGATTGATACTTGAAAATCTTAAATGCTTTTTTGATGTGTGCTTTTTTTATAGAATAATTGACAGTTCCTTAAAATTCAAAGAACCATCAGTTTATTCATGTCATTAGACATTCTTCAAACATTGTCTTCAATTATAACTTCAATGAAGATGCTATGTAATCGTTCAAAGTGACTTTGAAGCATCTTTCGTCGATTCAGTCTTAAAGTTGGAGCTTCAGGACCCATCACATCATCGAAGTGTTATTAAAGTATCTTTCATGAAGTTAAGATAGGCAAATGCTTCATGTTGCTTGATGAATGTTCTAGGCAGCCTTATCAGTGCTGAAGCTGTATCAGATGTTTGCTAAAATATGAAAATTAGATTTAAAACATTTTTAATTCCGAACTTTCCATAAAAGATTGACCTAAATTATTTTATCATATAAAGTACTTTTATTTACTAACCAGTTATTTTCTCTGAATTTCATTTTACGTTTCTTTTTTTACAGTTTGTGGCCTTTTAACTGTAACAAGCCATAGACTGCAATAACATCACATATACATACTCTCACTGGGACGTATGTCCTTTTCTATAAACTGGACCAGAGCCAAGTTGGCTGATTGGAGAACTATCTCCGTGTGCTGCACATTCCGCGCGTCCGACAGATCTTGGACACTCAACCATCGGTTTTTCTCACTCTTCGTAAAAGCTGATGTCAGCACGATAATCATCATCGTTCGGCACGTAGTTAGCGATTTCGAGCCAACCATTCGACGAGTGAATCCTGTGTAATTTCCGCTGTTTTATTACCTATATGTATCATCTGTAGAATAAAGTATTATAAAAAACCTTGCTTTGTTGAACAGTTTATGACTAATTGTATTTATGTCATCTTGATTTCATCATTGAAAGTTTTTTATCTGTAATGTAGTTTATAAATCAATAAGAAGTAATCTAAAGCCATGGAATGAATTTAAATTGTTTTTTTAACATTTTTTTTCTTTTGTTATAAAAAATTTATTTTATTTTTTGTATCGATATATCGCATTGTGGTTTTATTGAAAACTCATGTAATAATGTTAAATTCTATTTTTTTATTTTGATAACAATTTAAATTGATTTTCCTTTTTTTTTAAATAAAAATATAAAAAAATCGAATCTTACCTCACAAAAGTTTTATTAGAATTTTATATAACAGCATTGAATGTCATAATTTCAAGGTAGTCAGCTAAGAATCCACATAATTCAAATGGTCAACTCCTGAAAATATTTGATGAAAATAGGATTAATTTATATGATTTTTAAAGATGATTAATTTTTTTAATAAATTTTTTTGGTAAACATAAAAATTATCGTGAGCTATTATTGATAGAAATATTTATCAGATGTGTTAGAAAATTTCTACCCCTGATCATAATAAATAATCATTAAACTGCACCGTAAATTCATTGATATGAATTGAAATATGAGAAAGCAATCTAGGAGAAAAATAAACGATAATTACATTTTTTTTTTCCTTAATAGTACAGCAAATATGAAAATATTTTATTGCTTTCATGGATTATTTTCAGTTGTATTTATTCCATCTATTTAAATTATTTTCTCTATTAAAAAGATCGTTATATAAAGCCAAGCACGCAGCATCATTGGTTCTGAAAGTTCCATAGTCGAATTAACTTTGCAAGACCCGCGGGTCATAATAGAAATGCCTCGCCCGAATGTCTTTTGTGTTAAGCCGACGCCCATTGCCAGACCAAAATGCTCCAGTTTGAATATAAACGCCAATTATGTTAACACTCGTATGCAGTCAACAATGGGTCCTCGAATAGTGGGGAAAGTTATCCACAAATACGAGTACTCAAAGCCTACTTAGTATTGTTTAAAATATGGTAATTCCAATAAATAAGTATTATGAAGAGTGAACTCTTCTAAATAAACTACTTCGAACATTAATAGTTCATTCAATCAAAATTTAATTTAATTCATGTGTTACTTTTATTGTCTGCATTAGTAATAGCAATTAAAACACTAATTTAGGTTAAATCAACTGTATCGTAATAAGAATAAAAATTTTATGGTAAAGGTCACGTTACGGTAGTGGCGCAGCGATCGATAGTGTGGATTCGCAAATTATGAGAATACTCGACGAATAAAATACCCATCAGAACAATATAAGCTCGCAAGAGTGCGGACGACCAAGTTGAGTCTGGCTACGTGAGGTGAATAAAAAAGTGCGTTGGGTGGAAAACGAGTTGAACGTGATTTTGATTATTTATCTTATGATGTCTTCGTAAAAAGATAGAAAATAAGAGATATAGATTGCAGCAATACTAGCACCAAGTTTTTATTATTTTATGGATGAAAAACTTTATGTATGTACTTGTTCAGTACAACAAGGACTGTTTTAATAACCAATAATAACAGGAAATAAAAAATTACCACTTGATAATATAAAAAAAATAATCATACAGGCTGTTGAATATCTCTTGAGGGAAATTTAATCATAACTTTTGGCACAGACATTAATATAATTTACTCCATATTTTTTTTGAAACTCAATAATATTCTTTTATTGCATATAATTGTTTTTGAATATTGTACAGAATATGCAGTTGATGTATTAAAATGAAGAATTTCTCGTTTTCTATTGTGTTGACAATTAAATGCTCTGCTCAAGTACATTGTGACATGAAAAATCAACAATTGGGGTCAAAAATATTTTTTTTTCTCAGTGATGAATATGCGATAGAGTGAAATAAATATAATGTCATACATCGCGATAGAAAAGAGTATTTTTACTGTCATTCTATTTAAAATGTTAGATATATCACGAATCTACTTGTTGCTCAGTAATTGCAAGAAAAAATATTCCCATATCATATCAAAGATAAATAATAAAATTCAAGTATATTTTAATTCTCTCAATATTAGTTATTATCTTTTTTACTGTATCCCGAGTTCACACGATACTTGAAACTGTATCTTAAAGCTTAGCACTCAATATTATTATTAAATTCAACACTCAGATAATTAATTTATATAATTTAAAGTATTGGGAAATTCATGGAAAATGGCAGATATAGTAGGATTGTTCAACAAAATATAAATGTGATAGGAAATTCAACGATGATAAAACTTTTCTATTAAGTTTGAGTTTCACTCCTGATTTAATTTCGTGACTTTGATTAAAACGCTACATCTTGATATCATAAAAAGTATTTGCTTTATGAAATGCATTCAGAACATCTATGAAGTACTTTTTGTAAAGTTAAATTAATTTTTCGCTCCAATTTTAGATATAACTTTTTTCTCTAATTTAACAATCATGTAACTAAAAAAGTTTACGAAATATGCTGCGCTAAATAATTCAAAATCTTTGAAAATCACATTTTCAACATTCAACATGCAGAGGAGTAGCTAATCAAATAAGGGAAAACTTCTGGAACTTGGCGGCATATGTTCCTTAAACGCAGCTTCGTGCCATCTGGCTTCTATAAGAGAAATCTCTCAGGCATCAAAGATCTATAGATAAATCGATATAATACATAGATCAATTTTAACATAACTTTTAAAATGAAAAATAAAATTAATGTGAAAGGTTACTTGATAAAGATAGATAGATTGTTACTGTAAATATTAAAATATATTTAATACATGTATGATCATTCATAATATTATTTAGCATAATTGCTATATTACACATTATGAATTGAGATTAATTTATCATCAGTTGCCGTATGTGTTTATAATATCTTGTAAATAATAATTTATTTATCTAACGTTATAGAGTCAGATAAACATTTGACACTTTTGAATATTTATAATATTCATAATGATCAACTCAATATTAAATTAAATTCTTTGGAAAAATATTTCAACATGAACGTATAAAATCACTAACAACGTGACGTATAATATTTCCCTAATAATTTAACAAAAAAATTGTAAAATGCTTTAATTCCTAACAATTATACTAAACTTTATGAAATTAATAGTACTCCAATACTTTTAATAAATTGTTGATCACATTTTTGATCAATATTTAGATAAGTTAACAATAATTAATGAATGATTAAAGATAATTAAATTGCTGCATTTACGAAATATAAAAATAATTTACATACTGGCAGTAATTTGTCCTAAATAACAATGTTTTACAAAAATACGAATTTCTTATAACGGCAACAACATTTGGAAGATCCATAAAATCGATGACATATTGATTTTAATAGTCATAAGAAAATACCAATATATTTATATAAAATAATTAGTATTTTCGATCTCTGCTTGGGGATATGTGACGATTTGATGAATACGGATTTTGTAGTAGTCGAGGTGATGTTTCAATCACACGTAGTAAAAGAGAATCGATATAATCTTCAAGATCAATAAGCCTTCTCTTTTTGTCATTAACTTCTCTTTGTAATTGTAAAGCTAATTCAATGAGATCCTAAAAATAAATAAAACATAAAATTTCAATTAAATACAGCAGCAAAACGTAGAAAGAAAACTTGTTTATATGGAAATACCTCTCTCGTTTTTCCGTCGAACTGAGCGAGGACTTCATGAGGAAGTCGACTTTTAGATTTTATTGTACTCTTACTGCCATCTTCTCCTCCAATGATAATTCTCTCTGAAGACGATTGAACATCGTCCCCAATATCCTTGCTCTTCAGTTCTTTGTCTTTCTTCTTATCACTCTTCAACGATTTTTTCTCTTCTTTCGGACTTTTACTTCCGACTTTATCATCTTTAATGTTAGAATTACGATCTCCAATCAACTGTTTTTCTTCTTTTGAATTACGATCTTTCGTCGTAGCTTTATCATCTTTATTACGTTTCGAATGAATAATTTCACGAGGTGCTGGACTTGGTGGCTCGGGAGTTTCTTTCAACCTCGAGTTCAAAGTTGGTGATGTATTTAACGGAGACAAGTCACGCTTTCCGTTTGACGGCTCTATTACAATTTTGGGATTTAATTTATTATCCCATTTTTTACCGACATTATTTGACGATTGTATCCCGTAAAGCTTTCTACCCCATTCGTCTTGCTCTTGATTATTCACATTTACTGGCGACGAGTTTAAAATAGAACTAGTAAAACGGGGAGGTTTATTTGGCGCAGGATTTGTGGGTGCGGATGTTGGTGAATTTAATTCTGTTGTAATACGCGAACTCTGTGTCGTTGTGGAGTTACTGGAATATCCGGAAGTAATGCCACTAGATACAGGTGCATTCAAGGATGACGCTGAACTCTTGTGAGATAAATCATCAAACTATGAACATACAAAAACATTTATGAAGCTGTTGATCTCATTTATTTTATTACTAAACTTTGTCATTTAATCATCAAAATTACTTACCGTAAATTCATCATCATCTTCACTAATAACTCCAGGATCCGCTTCACCAGGTTCTTGTCTTGAAGGCCTTATTTGATGCTCTTCGACTTCATCAAATTCATCTCTATCTAATTTATTTTTGCTCTTTCCTTTCACTCTATTACCAATTGATTTAGCCAGCTTTTTCAAACCTTTACGCTTTTCTAAGCTGCCAATACTTAATAAACTGCCACCAATCGATTGTGCAGCCGTTGATAATTGGCCTAGAGAGCTTTTATGCCTTTCTTTCCTTGTTAGATCCGTTAAACTGCCAGCTTTTACTATAAAACCTATTTTCACCTCAAGTTCACCTCTTTCTTTCGTATTTTCTTTTCCAGGCTTGCTCTCAAGAGTGTACCTGTTGATATTAAAAAGTACATAGATTGAAAGACTATTAGATATATTATTTATTTAAGAATAATTCCAATCACGAGTTTCAATCTGACATAGAGCTGCCAATATGTCGATCAGATAATGCTTTTTCTTACCATCTATTTCTCGGTCGTTCGTACACGTCGAAACTTGAGAGAGGTATGCACACCATTCCTAGAAACTCGTCGACGCCCAGGAAGTTACGATGAAGAGCGGTCAAGACGATTTCCGCCGTGTTTCCTTGTGATGGTATTTGTAGCTCGCACTCTTCATGCCATTCCACATTCTCCGACGCCTTCTCTTTAACCGATGTTTGATACTTTTCCTTGCCAAGTGCGATCGTCACGAAGCAATCATTTGTCTCTGGTAACAGAAGTAAAGTAGGCGGAAAAGGTTAAATGATCATTTACGTCTTTCCAACCTCGCTTTAACAGGTCAATTATAAGCCTGATAGTAATAATATTATAATTTTAAAGAGCAATTGAATTATTTAGCTCTTGGGAGCTCTTTAGAAAAGTAATAAGTACTACTCTACTTGTCAATAAGACTTTATACTGATTCTTTTAAATTGAATTTAAACGATTTATGTTTTTTAATTACTGTGATTAAATTAATTAATATTAAATGAATATTTCTGATTTTCTATCCAGACAATGTTTATTACAGTAGATTAATTAAATTTTTTATTATAAATTATAAAAATAATAATATATGTGTGATGATACTTTTATTTTATTGTCATGGAATAATCACATTTTAAAAAAAAAGTGGAAGAAAGTGTTTCAGTTCTCTGAAAAAATTTCTACAGCATAATTTATGTAATAAAAAATGAAAAGGTACCTTTGAGATACTTTCTTTGCTTACTGACTTATTTTTTAAAAACTTCCATGACAATGACTCAGTATTTTAAATAATTGAATTTCGAAATTTAGATGAATAATGAAGTACCAATTGAATCATTTTTTTTTTCATGTTAAAAATTAAATTTTGGAGTAAATTTTTCTAAAAAGAATAAACACTGAGTCTTTAGACTAGAAATTCATCCCATCATGATCAGACAAAAAACTTTGACACAAAAACTCCCATTTTCTACCATAATCTCTCCACACATGATCCCATCAAACACCTGCATCTACCGATTACCGTTGCTCGTGGCCATTCCAGCATTCTTTACACAAATTACTCTGTCTTCAACGGTTCTATAATATTTAAAAATTATGAAAAAATCTTTACTCACTGTGTTTGCCTTTGGTTAATAACCCTTTAGCTCTTTGAACTGTAACACACAATAAAAAGCATTTTCATTACTTATAACAATTCATAGAATAGATACTGAGTATTCATTTCATGGATGAATGTATAGAATAGATAATTAAATAATAGTTCTACGTCATTATTTTTAAACATATCGTTATTTCATCTAATTATACTAAAAGGCTGATGTGCGTGCACTTAAATACGCCATTCTATCCTGCCCCTGATCTATGTTGCTTGGAGTCATTGTACGCTTTCAATCCCATCAGGTATAAAACGATATGTTGTCGTACAGAACAAGTTAGCATATTTCAAAAATTCCTACACTAAAGAAACCTTTGCATTAAATTATTGAATTAATTTAAATCTTCATTTAAATACAAAAGAACTCAATATTCACCCATAATTGTGTAATATTAAAAACTATTTATTCATCGTTCAGGAATTTATTTCACAGCTAGAACAGTGGAGAAAAAAAGGTGAATTCTCAATCTATAGAAGGAAGATTCTTACTACGTGACTGAGATGATGAATACAAAATATTATTCGCTATATTGTTTCCCATTCAACTTTCTTATTCACCTCTTTTTGTCTATTAATGTAAACATTTCTCGATAATCTTTATTGTTTTTCAACGTCTTCCTCCTCGCTATTATTCTCCATACTATAATTTACAATTTTTACAGTAAATTATACAAAAATATGTAGATCTCTAATGAGAGAAATTTGATTTTAATACAATCAGTCATTTATTCTTTCTAAAATATTTGTTCAATTTTCATCTCTTGTTTTTCGGTTTCAATAAAAAGACTGATGCTTTTTCTTATTATATAAAATCTTCTTGATCCTCTTTATCAGTCTTCTGTTTCTCGTCTATTCCTTTAGAAGCTGATTGAATTTTTTTTTGTGATATTGCATTCGAACACGGGGAAATCACGATCCAATTTCTCAAAGTTGGAGTGTATTATCTTCACATGTTTTCACCGCAATTTCATACGATTATAATAACTTTCATATAATTTATACAAATAAATAAATAAAAATGTTAACATAGCGTGAAATAAACAGATTAATTTTTTTTATTATAAATCTTAAAGAATTAATTAATTTTCAAAATATTTTTAACAACTTTCATCATTGTTTTTATCAGAATAAATTCAATTCTAATGAATTTATCATTTCTATCTTTATCGTGAATGATTTCTAAAAATATTCCATTCTTGGAAAGAGTATCAAAAAAAAGAAAAGTCAATAGTGATGATGATTACAACGATGTTTTTAACGTGTCACATGTAACGGTAAGTTAAGCCAAGACATATGAAACAAAATACCCAAGAAAGTGGACTTGGCATTTAGCTTGATGTTAAATACGTAGATAATAAACACTGAAATGGTTTCTTTCTGTACATCATATGTACACATACTATTTTCGAAGTATCCAAAATGGTTTATACAAGATTATTAGTAATATGTAAGCATGTAAATCATATTATATTACGTATATAATACAGTAAGGTCAAAATACTGCCCCGTAACTTACGGTACATTGATTCATTTGACCTACCTACCCACTTAGCAGCCTTCAATCGCCCTCTGTCCCATCCTACCCACCTATCATATGTTTCTCACACCCTGTTCATAATAATCTCATTATCATTTACAATAAAGAACATAAACAAATTTTTAACTGCTATGATTATTTTAAGATACAAACCTGTCACTTGAACGTGTGTTGGACTCCACATGTTGCACTACCACAACATCAAACCTTGCATTGAATATAAATTGGCTTGTTTTCTTCTAAACTGTTGATGACGACAATCACACCTGGATGTGTACAGATTTACGTCGATCCATTGTTTTTTACTGATTTATTGTACACTCTTTAATGTCCTAAAAATCACTAATATTTAGCATGTGATCTTGCAATCATTTCATTACTTATTCAATAACAACACTGTTTATATGATAAAACTTTACAAAAACTCCGTAATGTTCGGTAGATCGCGGACAACTATCTGATGGGAACATTGTCTCTTGTTCCCTCTTTTACTTACCTTGCGCAGTGCATGACACCGTGTGGTACCACTGCGCATTAGACGAGCGCAACCATTTCCAAGCGAAAAGCAGGGACGAGGTTAGTTGAAAGTGAACCCCAGCTCTTTATTTTGTCTCCATTTGTGTCATTTCATGGATGTTATTGTATTAAAATTCCTTAGATGTTGCGAATTTCAATTTAATTGTACTCCATGAGCCATTATTCTAACCTAAAAAAAGAAAACGCTGTCATTAGGTATTTTGTTAATTTACTTTATAGATAAAGACATGTATGAATAATTGTTTATACTAAAAGAAATTTTATGTTTATTTTTAATGCAGAATAGCCAGAAGGTACTAATAAACACGTGGATCTCATAGTTTTATTTTAATGAGTAAATAATTGAAATAAAGAGATATTCTTAAATAAGACTAAACTATTTTTTATTTTGAAGCAAAGTACTTTTATTTGTTGCATGTAATGAAATGTTAACAGTTATAAAGGATGTTTATTTCAAGTTTTTATCCATCTTTTTATGTAACTTTGATTTCCTACTTACATTCTAATGTAAATTTAAAATTGTGTATAATATAAGTAGAGATTGTAAAGTTTATTTGTAGAGAAATAGTTGATTTTTACAACAGAATATTCTTTTAAAAAATAATTTATTTATAATATTACTTAATTCATTTAAAAAAAATTTAATTATCAAGAGTTTATTTTTTACCATATCTTCCATTAAAAAATAATAAAAAATTTCAATTTTGCAAAAAGCTTTTAATTATTTGATGTGTTGTATGAATGTAGACTGGCTGTGTTTGCTCTAAAGTACAATTCGTTTACATTGTATCTTTAGCTTGTTTGAACAGGGCAAGTCTTATTATACTTGGAGCTCTATTTGCTCTCAGTACTTGGTGCTCAAATAAAACCTACGTAGAGGTTTACTTTTAAAATGATAACATTTCGTATTTCCTGCAAATTTAACAGCACCAATGAATTATGACTCATAGTTATGCAATTACTGAATTATCAAAAAATTTGCTGATTAGAAAATTACAATAAATAATAACAGACCTGCATATTTTTATTAATTCAATCAAGTTTTGCTTTAATATACAATAGGTGAGAATATAATGCTGAGTAATAAATATGAAATATGAATATTAATAAATTGCCGTATCAACTAATGAAAAATGTTGTTAATCCAGTTTGTTTAAAAATTTATACTACTCTGCGAAGATGTTATCACAATGCTCATTTATTACGAATACGATATGATATAGATGGTTTTTAGAAAATTCACTAACGAACAATCCTGGTGATAAGAGAAATGATACATAACTGGTTTAGCTATTACGACTGATAAGAATGTGACTCAGGCAACTAAAAACAGAGAAACTTTTGTTAATTAAATGTATATTGTTAAAACATGTTTAATGTTTGATTGTCATCACGATAAAAAAACCTTGGACAAATTTTTTTAGAGTTTGTGAATCATTGATTTTTTATTCATTTGTGGACTTTAAACAGTTGCTAAAAATAGCTATTTTCTAGCTATTTTTTATTGAGTTTAAAATACAATCAATCCTCCTATAATAACAATCGAAAAAATGATTGAAAAAATACATATAAAAAGTTAAAGATTTTCTTTCATGTATATTTCATTTTAAAAATTTTTTCTTATAAAATATTCAAAAAATATATCTACATATCATAAAAAAAACATGCATTTCTTCTTGGTAATCAATTTTCTTTACAATAAAAAAATTAAGAATGAATTGTCATGAATATCCTTGCCTACATCATGTAATATAATATTTATACCTGTAATTAGTACGAAAATGTCTTCATTTAATCATAAAAAGACATGAATAATTTTATTCTTAAATAAATACAGATATTACCAGCTAGTTATCTATACATCTATACAATATGATTAAGATTCATCATGGATACTGAATACTTGATGACTCAGACAAAAACATCAAGTATATCTACACATAGAGCTGATCAGGTAACAATTTGAATTGATTATACATCAACTAATACTCATATATAAAATACAATTTTAATTTCTGTATAGAAAAGAATAGACTGATTCCTTCTTTTGTTGTCTTAACATCCTACATTAAATTGGGAACACTCTTCATATCAATTTTCAGTTGAAGTCTGCAATAAGTGACGAAGCATAAATTAAAACTCATAAAGCACAATGATTCATAATATTTGTTTTGCTGTGGTATATTATTTGCACCTGACATCACATCTGAATTGTATAGTAGATGAGGATATCTATATTCTAGCCTTGTAAAGGAAAGACACGAAAAAAATGATATTTTTTCTAGTATGGTAGTGTCGTTCTACATTTTATACCACAGACAAAATAAAAGAAACATTTTTAGAGAATAAAAATTTCGAATTTTTTTAGTAAATGATAAATTTCAATTAATTAAATGGAATTTGGTTAATAATTTTTAATGAGTTGGAATGAATAAATGAAAAATAAAGAAACTACTTTAGTCAAAATAGTTGTAATTAATTTATATAGTCTATTTTAATTTTTACCTTTAAAATTAAAAAAAATTCGTTGGTTGAATTTATTATAATTTAATTTTTTAAAATTAACATAGTTTTGAAATAATTATTTTGACAGATATAATTTCTGGTTACTTTTTAAAATGAAAACCAACAACCAAAATTTTTAGTATTAATGTCCTTTATTGTAATCAACTGCAAGATAAAGACTAATGAATGATTGTATGGATAACTCGTGAGCATTATTTTCTCATCATTTCGTAACCACACAAGGCTATTTTGCGACTAGTACGAGAATCTACAGGATGTAATACTTCCTCGAAAAAAAAAAATTTCAATAACATAAATTTTACAAAATTTTCAATTACTTTTACATCAATCAAACAGCTTAACTTACATTCCCTAACAGCACTATAAAGCACCAACAACAAAATTAAACAATAGCTAATTATAATCAATTTATCATGGTAGTTGGTCTAATTTATCTTTCTTCTTTTATCACAAGTGTGTACCTCTTTACCTCTGCTCTCATTGTTATGCCAACAGGATTGCATCACACTACCGGCATTATTAACAAGATATGTATACATGCATAGAGACATGTATCTTGCTAAGTTACGACACACAGATGTATCTGTTTATTTGGCACAATTATTTTAGTGCACACTATCACACTCGATTATTCATTCTAACTAACACTTTAAATGATTCATTCTGTTGTCTAGAATATTTTACAGTCAAGAAAATGTCCTCGACTCTTATAAATGCATTAAGTTTTATCTTACAGGCTTAACAACAGATGAGAGAATGAGATATCTGTTATTATACATTATCATTATGTGTAATTATGACTATCAGCAAACTAACCTATCATATCTGTATACAAACCGAAGGCATTGATCAATCGATAAATCGCGCGCATTCAATTTTAAATTGTTATCGAGTTTATGATTCCTGCCGTGCAATGTCGCCACAGTCATTGTAACGCAATGGGTTCCCCTACCCCTGGAATTTGTATACTTTTCATGAAACACGTTCACCTTTTCCTCTCCTTGTCGCAAGTCACAAGTGGTCACGAGACAGTAACCGTACCTTGCATCGATTATTTGTCATATTATTAGTGAATGCAGGTGAATGTCCACTTCTATTGGGTAGACTTTACATTTAATAAAGACACTTTTCGGTTACTTCAGGTATTGCCGACCTTGTCTTGCATTCACCAACTACAGATAAAATACATGACTTGAAAACGTCCTTGAAGTTTGAAGAAGATTCAACTGGAGAAGAAGGAAGAGAATTCTGACAGGTAGATCGAGAAAGTGAGGAAGAAAAAAAAGAGAAAGAATATTAGAAGAGTCTGGAGAGACTTTAAGAGAAGGGGAACGACGAATAAAGACGAGAAGTAGAATCTATAGTAGAGGGAGACATACAGCTAGTGATCGGTAAACTCAAGAACGACCGTGTAGAGTCCTGTGAAATCGTCGATGTGATCGTGTGAATCCACGACGTCGCGTCTTGTTGATAATCAATTATTTTTGTATATTCAAAGAGACTTTAAGTGAATTTAGTGTGTTATAAAAAATGTCGATGCGAAGCGATAATGTGCCTTGTGCTCGACTATGCCATATTGTCAAGTGGGATGATTTCGATGGTTATGGATTTAATCTTCACGCTGAGCGTGGTAAAAATGGTCAGTTTATCGGGAAAGTGGACGATGGTTCACCAAGTCAAGCAGCTGGATTACGTCAAGGAGATCGTATTATTGAAGTTAATGAAATAAATATTGCAAATGAAACACATAAGCAAGTGGTTGATCGAATTAAAGCTTTTCCTAATGAAACCAAACTCCTTGTGGTGGACCAAGAAGCAGACGAATATTACAAGGCCAACAACATCGTCATTAGGGGCACGATGACGGGCATCAAGGTGATCAAGACGCCAGAGAGGAATCCTGCGACCGTTGAGAATGAAACAAGATCGGATGGAAGTATCAGCTCTGTAGACGATGTAAGTTCTCATTTTCGCTCATCAACTTCTTGTTCTTGATATCTTTTAGTTAGTTTGTAGACATGCGAGCATGACTCTTTAGCTAAGTAATTTATTTAAGAATCTTCCAGATAAGCTTTTCATCGTTCAATTGCGATTAAAAATTTATTTAATTATTTCACCTGGACATGAAACTTGAATCAATTGTATTTATATCTTCTGTGTATGGATACTAAAGTTTCACATCATCTTGCTTCACGAAATCCAAACATTTCCGGGAATTCGAGACTCGTTTCAACGTTTATTTAAATTTGTAACTTTGGCAATTACATTAATTCCATCGCAATTAAATGTTGCAAAAGTAATGCAAGGTATTATTGCTTTAAGTATATTCATCGAAAACTTTGGAAGGTATTATCATCTTTGCGAAATCATTCAAAGTATTTCTAGATTTTTATTAATTTTTTGTTTTCTGTCAATATCTAATGACTGATGATGATACTCTGATGACTTATTGAAGAATTTATTTGAAAACTCATTTTTTACGTTAATATTAATTTTATTTTTAAAGCTTTATTAATGTTCATTCATTAATGAATCAGAGTTAGATTTTTTAAGTATTTAAAAATTGAAAGATTTTATCAAAATAAATGATTTTGTATGTACTATGTAGTTTCAAATAATCATGACATATTTTCCAGGTTTCAATCTTTCAATAAATCCAGCTTGCAGTTAATTTTCTACTGATAATTACATCGATATTACGTACTATGATAAATTACCAATGTTTTTACGACTTTCTAATACAAGAAAATCATCTTAACAAATAATTTCAATCATGTACTAACAAATCTTAGTGCAATATGAACAAATTTTTTTATTTTTATTTTATAAAAAAAAACAATCTTACGTAAACATTTCGTTTTCAAAGCCCAATCCTTTTGGAGAATACAATAGTTTTATGTTTATGTTTTTTACTTATCTATTGAGTCATTCAGTAATAAAATAATTTCAAGGACACGGATTTTTATAGATATACTTTTTTTATAACACGCAACAATTCAAAATGAACTGCAGCTAATTTATTACGAGTAATGTTGATGGCTGTAAAAAATCACCTGCTATTTAATAATGAATTTATAAGTCATCATGTCGGTTATTGAAAAACGTATTTAATTATTTTTAAGAACATGATTAATATTTTTTTCTTTTATTTAAGCCATTTTTAAAATTATTTTATTAATTTTTGTCGATTAATCTTACTCTGTTTCTGTTAATAACATCTGTGTTTGTTTCATAAATCAAATAATATTCGATTACAAGTCTTCTTTAAGGCTTAAATACTCTCAACAAATGTTCAGTCGCGGAAAAATATTGTACTAGTGATCTATAAAAAGAGTTAAAATTCTATGTAATTAAAGTTGATAAGTGATAAACATTTTATCACTTAGTATGTATAAATGAACCATACCATAATAATTTCTTCTATACATGTTATTGCAAAAAAACTGTATACAATTAATTGTGTTTTTATATCTTATCTTTAATTTAAATTGTTACAACAGTCTTAGAATTACTTTTATTTATTATCTGTTTTGTATCAATACAATAAATACCATGTTATCGATACAAAGATAATTTCCAAATTTAATCTGATTATTGAAAATTATTGTTTTTTACAATTAATTTTATTTCGGATAAATTATTGTATTTAAATTGATTTTCAAAAAAGAGTACTGTAAAATTCATATTATTTTACTTAATACATTATGCCAAAAAAAATGATTTAAATAATTAATGCATATAAAAAAGTTCGCAAGATGAATATGAAGTAATGGATGTTTTTTAAATAATGTCATTAAATACAATGCAAACATTTTTATTTTCTTTATATTATGTTAAATTCTAGGTCAAATTTCGATCTGATGTAATTCAACATAATTTAATAGAACATCGAATAACATTGATATATTGAATCACGAATTTTTTTTAGGAGATAAATTTTATTTTATGAGCTACATGCAATTTTTTAATTCATTCATTTATGCTACATAAGTATTCGTTGCTTTTTTATACATAATTCAATCACTACCATTCCTAACAGTTGTCATTATAGTCTCTTTAAAGTTGCTTTCAATTCTATTTTTTTTTAACACGCATCTCCAGTGTAATTAACATCTCTTGTAACTTTGTTTAACTCTCTACCACTATCTGAATATTATCTGTATATTTTAGACCTCCAACTTTGATCCTACTTATAACTGAATCTTTCTTTTATATTTTTTATTTATTGTCTAGATTATTAATAAAAATGTCAGAATGTTTAAAAAAAAGAATAATCAAGATTAATAATCACTTTTTATTCTTCTTACTAGTATAGTCATATTTACTTCACTCGGTCCAGTTAGAAAATTAATTGAGGCAATGAAAAAATAAATTAATCAAAGAAAAAGCATGGAAAATGTAATGATAGTATTTATAATTTGTTTTTTGATTAAAATGATTTATGTTTCAAAACATCTTGTTTACTATTAATAATTTTATTTAATGTAAGAAAAGAACATTTACATCCTGTTGTAAATAAATTTTTAATAGCTTATCCCTGATCATTAACTAATCATGTAAATTACTTTATCACATTTTTATACTAAAGCTCATTAATAATATTTTAAGATAAAACAAACATCTGAATTTAAAAGAAGGAAAGCGTATTTTTTTTATTATATTAAAATAGTACTTTTTCTAAAACACACTAGAGTTTTACAATGCCACTATCTTGTCTATATTTGATCTAATTTATTCATGTTTATTCGTCTTCTACCTTGCCAACGTTGTCCTCGTAACATTTATTTCCCCCAACAATCACTCATACTCCACATAATTGTTCCGATACAAGTCTACGCTGAGCTAATTTTTTATATCTCTTTAGAGCAATAAATAAAAAAACCTCATTCGTTTTAATTAATATTTATTAACAATAAACTAATAATTATTATTATTATCAAAAAAAATTTGTTAACAATGCAAATTTTTTTCCAATGTAAAATCAAACAAAAAGAATAAAATAAATCAAGTTGTACTGCAAAGACAAACGGAAGTCATGGCGGAAGTAATTTATCTGTAAATTGATATTTATTTACAGAAATAGTTTAATCGAATTTGATTCATTGTTTGCTTATATAATTTAAAGTATTCTCACGATAGTTAAGATTAGGACCATTGATAAATATTTAACATATAATTTATATAATTCTTAAGAATCACTATCTCATTTAATTAGTCGCACAACACGTATAACATGTACACTTATTTTATGTATTACACTCATAAATCTTAACTTTATAGATATACTTATTGCTACCTGATGTTTGAAATGTGCAGAAAATTCACACCTTTTTGTCATTAACATGATTATCTGCAGAAAATATCACATACAAGAAACACTTTTCCCATCCCATATGTTGACTAAGACCACCTTGAAAGTATATTGTGCAATACTTGGTCAACATTCGTTGAATAACGCGAATCGTTCTAGCGTCTCAATGATTAATAATAATCTTTTAAGGTATTTACTACACTCACAAACTTATAACTCTACAAACTAAGAGCTAAAGTAGTTTCCTGTTATAATCATAGAAACCAACGACAAATTTTCTAGACAGTTCATACTGATTCACGTGATGATTGTACTTAGCTTGTTACGACTTCATACTATTAAATTTTCCAGGATTGTTATTTAACATCCTTTTTAAGAGTATTCTTCGTCGATTGTTTAGACAAAATCACGGGAAGAAATATTTTTTTGTAAAAACATTGTGCAATTTTTTTTTTTCACAACGTTTTTTTGTAATTAAAAAAAAAGTTTAATGAATATTTATCATTATTATTTGTGAATAAAATAAAAAATGATTAATATCAGAAAATATTGGAAAAGTTAAAGAAAAATAATTGGAGTTACTTTTCCTATTCAAGGATTATCTGTATTTTTAAATACTTTTAAATATGAATTGGTAATATAATAAAAAACTCTATAAATTATATAATAGCTTCGTTATCACTAAAAATAGTTATAAAGGTTGAAATAAAACTTAAAGATAAAGACATCAGCTTGTAAAACATCATCCAAATAAATCGATAAAAGAAAGTCAATAAAATATCACGAAGGTCGAACACATTATTTTCAAATCTTTTATCTACAATACTACTTCATTCGTTTCTTTTTTTTTTTTTTTTTAATTTTATGAACAGGAAGTTTAACTAACCACTAAATATAACTGATAGTAAATGAATTTATATTCATTATAAACCTTTTCCTTAATTAATGCACGTATTCGAAGCTTTCATTTCTCAATGAATCACTTGATCCATTCTACGTAGTATTCTGTCGAATATTCAAAAATAATTCAAAAACTATTTCTTTCGAGAAATGAAATAAAGTAGCTATGAATGAATGGAAAGATAAATTTGATGTAAATATTTCACGAGAAAGTTATATAGCAAATATATTTTTACTTTCAATTAATCTGAGAAATATTTATTATCAAATAGACATAGCTGTTAAATTCAACTACTGATTTTCCATTTAGATAACATGCATGCAATATATATTGAAGTACATGCATACAGAATAGAACCACGTGTTCACTATTAAACTCTTAACCAGTTAAGTTTTGTACATCAAGAACCGGTTTCACGTGGCGATCCTGTCACTATTTCACTACATTGAGCTTGTGGTATTTGGATTTCTCAACTCTGAGTGTGCATGAATTTACTACATTTATTCATATCGGCAATGACACCAAGCCCACTATCAGTTTGCACTTGAATTCATTCATATTTCTGTAACAATCGCTACCAAGTAGCCTAGTCATTCTGTTGGTTCACTACTTCAATGATTTTTCATTTAGTTATTGTCAGGATCAACAGGTGATTGGGAAATTTATTGTTCAGATACTTGAATAAATTTCATAAATGATGTCATCAGTATAAATAATGATTTTCTGAACACGTAATTAAAAAATTTTATTTCTATTCTTTAATCATTTGTTACCTTGATATTTGTTAACACTAGAATTGTAGTTGATTGTAATGAATATTTTTGAATGTCTTAAGCATTGATCAAACTGATAATGTATAGATAATTTATTTTGATACAGAGAAAATGGGTATTTTGATGAGATTCAAATGCCTTGAGGAAGAATGAGGAAATTGTTTAAATGATTGAGGAAATTATTTGAAGATAATTTTTTTTTTAATTTACTATCACGAAACAATTCATTTTAAAATGTGTTTTTCTTTTTTTAGAAAGTTTTTTTTTATCAATTTCTATAACTTCATTCAGAAAATTTATCACTGTTTTCTTTGAAGTTGGGATAGAAAATTTATGCATTTAATTTAAAAACCGTTTTATTTAAATGATTTCTAATTTATTTGACTAATGCTATAGATACCAAGCTAAATATACTAAATTTTTCTACGTCTAGAATTTTTCAATTTAAAACTAGAAATTAATTATGTGTTTAAAAATAAAAAAGGAAAAAGTGATTATTTATTATCCTTTTTATTTTAATTCTGAAACTATGGTTATTTTTTAGCTATTCTACAGGTCAACATTATGATATAACAAGTCTCATAACAACCAGCATGAATTCCTTAAAATTTGATTGATTTCATCACCCAATTCTTAAGTGTCTGATTCATCTCTGATCTAATTGATTTAGTCAATGGTTCCAACTTGTGAAGATTAACTTGACACGACAGAAAAACTTACGTTATAAATTCACATTCACATACAGATATAACAATTGGACCATTGGAATTACAACCTCAATTTTCAGGGTATCATAAAAAAACATTTCATGACAGTGCGAGAAATTTATTACATGAAATATTACATGCTTTGATATGGTACTCCTGTGCAGAACTTCCAATGAATCAAACAAATATCATTTCTAATTGTTCAGACACACAAGAGTTGGTTGTAGAAAAAAATGGGTCGAATAGGCTAAAAGAATGTTGCATTGATAAAATGGTGGTTTAGTAAAAAGTAGCTCACTTACAAAGCACGATCGACCTTCGTACGCGCTATGCATCTTAGTCCCTCATCTTTAGTGATGTGGGTTAAGCGAACGCAAGACATTCGACAAACTTTCTTTGAAATCATTCCTTATTTATAATTGAAAAAAATTATTCATCTTGTATAAGCATAATTTTAAAGATGCATTAATTAAAGACTTTATATAAAGTCTCTTCAAATGTTCAGAAACCTTCTTCGTTTAAAACTCAATTATTTTATTATTTTAATTTAACTTTTATTTAAATTTGTTTGAATTGCTTTTTTAAAGTTGACTAGATATTCACGTATTTACAAACATTTGGAATATTCCAAGTATTGACTTTGCTGTGACTGTTATGACTTTTCTTATTTCCTTTCATACTTTTTATTTTTTACAAATAATGTTATCATAAAAATTACTATGCTTTATGTAGGATAAAATATCCTTGAATCATGAATGTAAAGGAAATTTCATTTTCCAAGGATTCAGAATTGTGTAAAAAATTTAAATGTCTTTGAGAATTAACAGTCAATAAAGACAACTAGACTTGATCAATAATGAACACAATATTTTCCTTGTATATTTTAATAACATAATTAATTATATTTATCGTCATTAATTGTAATGTAAATAATCTATTTCTGTTTTAGAATATACCTAAATCAATAGGATCAAACGATACATCTTCAAATAGTGGAAGTACAACAGCAGCGATGACAATGAATGAAGAAAAAGTGAAAGAAAATGAGACTCAAGAAAATGGTCGTAATAATAGTAATAACAGTGAAAGTAATGTAAATGCAACAAAGGAGCGATTGAACGAGCACTTAGGTACTGAAAATGGAAATGTATCGACTGGTAAGGAGACTAGTCTCAATCTTAAAATGAGCGCCAAGGAATTACGTGCCCAATTAGCAGCCCGTAAAAAGTATGATCCGAAGAAAGAATCAATTGGTTTTAAAGATAAATTTGATATTGTACAAAAATTGTAATCCAATATACAACGTGAATATTTACTGCACAAACTCATTGTTTTCGTTATCACTAACATGTACCTATAATGAACAAGAGATAATCGAAATTTTTTATCATTTATAGTATCATTAGGTTCATTAGAATATCATTAAGCTCAATTCATTCTTATATTTGTTATAAAAATTCCATTGTAAAATTGTTAAATTTATTTTGAGTATTGAAAATGTTAGAATTTGTTGATATAAGTGAAAAAACTTAATATTTTCATGTAATATACTCTAATGAATTTTTTATCGTCATACAAGTACGATAAAAGTATGTATGTGATTAAATTAAAGTTATTTTTCCAATAATTTAATCTCAGTCTATTTTTTTATTGATCAACCTGCCAGTTTTTATTGTTCATTTTCAGAAATAAATCAAATTTTTTTTATAGCCAAGCTATAAAATTAAATTGATGCCTTTAGGAGCTAAATTCTTATCACACTCTTCTTGTGATAGTGAGTTGGAACTTGGATACTTTGCTTGAACATGCTGATGCATTATTTTGTTATATATTCTGCAGAAAAGATATCCCACTTCAGATAATTTAACAAAATGATACCAACATTATGATTCAAATTATTTATCATAATTAGCTACAGTAAAATTATGCTAATAAAAAATGAGAGCGGAAATTATTAATGATAAAAGTTTTTGTTCCAATATGAAATTTAAATTCATCATCTTGGGCATTTTATGAATGCGAAAGTTGAGAAGTGATTCATAATCAAATGATCGTATACTACCAATGTCATCACGCAGTACTTGTATGTATTTTAATGATCACAATCTAGTTATGTGCATACATTTCATGCTTTAGTTGGAATGCATCAATTTATAGAACGTTGCTAGTAATAATCAAAAACATTGATAATTAATTATATAATAAATCATTAAACATAGAATATATATTTTTAAAGAAATAACTTGGAATTAATTTTATCACATGGTGAAATGATAGTATTATCATTGTCTCTGTTTTTATGATTTACTGAACTCAAGAAAATAATAAAGAGCAGTTTATAATTTAAAAGGTACCATAGTTAGCCAAAGATGTTGGAAACACAAATAATAATAACTTTACATGTCTGCGCTTGAGTAATTTATGATTTGCTGCTTTTAATAAGATAATTCCAGGAAAAGATTTGAATAATAGATATGTTATCCACTGAATTTCAATTAGGTTTGCAATTAATTTCATCAAATATTATCTTTTGATGCTTATAATCTTTCAAAATGTTCAATGATTATCAAATTCAATAGTTAAAGTCTTTGTTTGTAACAAATTGAATTTAATAATAATAATTTATCAGTTCATAAATACTAAATAAATATTGTCAAATCTTTTTACAATTTCAAAATAATCTATAAACTATAAAACTCAATTTATCACTGTTATTTTCATCTCATGAGAACTGCATAACAGTTATAAGGTTAACTTGAAGATGATATTATTATTAATTCTCATTAATCTAGCATTAAAAAAGTATACATTTTTATGTCTAGTTAACTAACAGTGTTCACAACGATTGTGAATCGTTATTACCCAGAGTAGCATCAGGTGATGGTGATGAGAGTACTGTGGTAACTGGAGTCGTAACCAATGTTCCAGGAGACCCAGTAGGACTCGGTGAAGGAACATGAGTTGAAGTTGAACAGCGTCTAGAATATAAATAGTCGTGTTGACGAGAATATTGCTGGGTTAAGTACTCATTGTTTGGTCTGGGGATTTTTCCGATGTCTGCTTCAAAAATGATGTCATTTATAGCTTTCTTAACATATGACAATGTCTGAGTATTATATTTTCTTAATTCATTAGCAACATGTTTGCCAAAAGTATCATATGAATCATCAGCATTCCTTAGTAGCTTCAATGCTTTTTGAAAAGTTTTATTAATTTTTATCCCGTCATCAGATTTTCTTTTAGAGCATGATTTAGATATTTGTTCATGCGAATCTGAATCTTTTGGATCAACATCTCGTCCATTAGTTAATTTTGATCTTTGGGGATTTGGAATATTGAATAAGTTGGTTTCTTGGTCTGATGCATTAGGTGTTTGAATATCGTCTGAATGGTCAAATGGATCTGATGCTGTATTTGATGTTTGCTTTTTCTGAAAATACTTTGTATTTATAAATAATCATTATTTCAAAAATGTGTTAATAAATTATGTATTTACCGTTAGTTTATCTTCACTATTTTGAGAGACGTTTTTGGTTGATAAAAATTTTAAACTGTCATATGCAAACCATTTTGATCTATATCCACTATTACCTAGAAGAAACAAGAATTCATCACATTCAAACCAATCACTTGATCAGTCAACAATAAATAATTAACACATGGCAATAAATTTGTTATTTTTAGTAAAAAATATTTATAGCTTTATATATAATATCTTTAATAACTGAACCAATAAATTGAGTTTTATGAAAGATTTTTTTTAATCAATTAAATTAAAAAAAGATTTAATTTATTTTGACAATAAATTTATAAGAATAAAATTTTGTTGACTTTATACCTGTTCTATAGTATTTTTTCTGTCTTGATTTTTCCCTCCTAAATGATCCCATAAGAGCAGACATCTTCTTCTTAACTTCTTCAACAGGAATCTTCATTTCCGAACTAATACTCTTCCAGGCATCTTCTTTAAGCGATTTATTAAAATGACTTTTATCAGCATGATTCCATAAGACTCGATGATTTTCGTACAACTTAATCAAATACAAACTCTTTTCATTATCCCAAGCCATTTTATAAAGTGAAAATTGAATTGAGGCAATTTGAGGCTCAGAACTGGTTCATTCTACACTTGACTAAAACTTTTTATTAGTACCACTAAAAATCTGCCACAAGTGGCGATAAATGGATCGCCATATGGCAGTCTTGACTTGAGGCAATATCTACACTTGAGCAAATTTAACTAGTTGCGACGATAGAGGCAATAATTGTTCTGACAAGACTGCCTCGAGTAAATATGCGACTTTCACGAAGATTGGGTTGTTAAAATTTCATCATCTATGTTAAAAATAATTTTTGTTTTCCGATAATTGCAATAAATATTTATTTTTAATAATAGAAAATTAATTTGATAAAAGTTAAGTTTCATTATTATTAGTTAATTTTAAACTAGTTTGATAAACAATAACTGCTGTCTATGCAGTAAATTATTTCCAAAACTTAAGAATGTTCTTCAATCAGTGATTAATGTTAACCTTCATAGAAACTATTATCTGTAATATTCACCAATGACGTCGTCGATCGCAAACACTAAACGTCACTGATAGCTGAGAATATAATAAATAATCAACATTTTGAAAAAATATATTCATCAAAAAATTAATCAGATAATTGCTCCGATAAAGTGACACAATTATTAACATCGTTGAGGATGATCAAATACCTTGATTAAATATTCCATATCATGACAATGTTGATTTTATAAAATCGTCAGAACGTGAATGTTTTCATGACACCACGCTAACCGATTTTTTAATGCTCATGAAATTTTTATGACTGGAATTACTAACTGTGTGCCATTTAAAAATATTTTAGTACATTGACCTTCAAATTTTTTTTCATCGTCACATTCATCAACGAGAACATTTCTATTAAAGAGGTTTCAATAGTTTCAACATTACCGACATCGCGAATAGCTAATATTCAAACATTTACCTTCATGTAAGAGTTATTTAAATGATTAAATGGCATTCACACTCCATTCCAGTTAAGGAGAATAATTATCGTGCATTTTGCAATAATGCCGTTAAATGAAAAAAAAGTTGTTCATAAATGTCATTACATGTTGGTTAATGATATCGTCAGCTTTTATTTGGTCATTTTGGAAAAAAAATTGGTTTCATTTCTTGCAATTCTTCTCTTCATATAATTGTTGTTAAAATTACTTATAATTGAACAAAAACAATTCTATGAAGCATCTAATAGTAATAACAACTGTTATTATGCGAAATAAAAAATTATGATTCATTGTTGTTTTTTTATAGATTCTAGAAAAAAATTTATTCAAGTAATAATTTATTTTTATGTTGTAATTAACTTGGAATTGTTAAACAAATCTTACAAAAATATTATTTCTCTCAAAATGGTCAATTAATTTTTGCAAAAAATTTTTTAGAAACCTCTGTAATGACTTGATTTATTATAAAACAGTTTATAATAGCAGTCTAAATGTCTGAACTAAAATTACGTGAAAAAGTTGAGTAGAAAAGAAGATATAGCTTTTGTTTAGCAGTTTTAAATATACACATTCATTAGCAAGCTATTAAAGAGTTGGCATTGGTAAGATGTTTTTCTAATGAAAATACAAATTTTCCACAAATGAGTCATATTTTGAAAAAGAGTCTCAAGTCACGAGAGGTGGTGTGACTACCAACAGTTGTTAAGTCATTATCGACAGTAATTATTATAAATTCAAGAGTTTACTCATTAGGTAGTAGTAGTGTCAAGTTCTTTATTTATTTTGAAAATATCTCTTTAGGACCAATTTAACTTAACACCTGTTTGTGTAATTATATTAATTCGTTAAGTATTGCCATTGCTTTTCGGCAAATACTTCGTTTACTATAAATAATACGAGAATCAAGAGCTTAAACTAATGAAAGTCAAATAGTAAGAGAATCAAAAAGAAACTTATTAATCTTCTATGAATAAGAGAACACGAATAATTATGTAATCATGCTAATAAGTAGCTTATAAAAGCTTTGATGTACCTTATATGCACCATTCATTCCATAATCTGGTAAAGATTAAAGAAGATTATTTTTAGATGGCATTTTATGAAAAAATATTCTTTCATCAAGATATTTGTATGATAAAAATGACGAAAAATTTCAAGGCAAATTTAAATGTATAATATTCCTCCATTTAATTTAATGAAAAATTATGACAATTCAAATATCATAATAATTCAACTCTTTGTTCTAAAAAAAGCTCAATAATATATTTCTATACAAATAATGTAATATCTGTGAATTATGTTGATCTGTATAGTTGAAAATAAACCGTTTCATGTTAAACCAATCGTCAGTATGTCACATTAAGTGACAATGTGTTAACATTTTATTTGTTTAAAATGACACTGAGTATAGTTTTGGATACCGTGCACAATGGGGCTTTTTTACTTTTAAAAATGACATAACTTAATGTACGCAACGAAAATTGGCGTCAGTTACATGAATATGTCAGTTACAAATAGTTGGTCAACCATTGGTAAACAATATTTTTTTAAAAACAAACAATATTAAACTTAAAATTACAAGAAGTTTATGATTTAAATGCTTCTGGTGATTAAAAATATATGCTAAACAATTGTGTTGGCTACTGTTGACTTATTAAAAAATAGAGGTTTTAATGAATGAAATAATATTCAAATGAATTTGCAATGTAATTTTGGCGGATTGAATTAATGAATATGGTAATGATGGTGATTGAAAATAATTATAAAGCACTTTTTGTATAGGATTCGACATTTTACCATAGTTTATTATAGATTATATTGTATTGAAATCATCTAATTGACTTTATTTTATCTCTAATTAAACATGCATTCGGTGACTCTTTTAAATAAGTTTATCTACAATTTTATATAATTGTAATTGGCCATAATTAAAGCATTTAATTGCTAATTTTAATGAACTTCAGAATATTCAACCAACAATTTACTAATTGGTGGTCATTTTTATTTTAAACACTGCAATTTTTTGAAATATTTTTAATAAATTAAAAAATAAATTTAGAAACAATTTAAATCTGTATGATGAAAAAATGGTGCTTGGAACAGAAAGGTATTCTCTGGTAGCAATTAGACAATGTCCAACACCTGCAATATTCTTAAACTTGTCTATTGTTGTGTTTAAACTTGTTTGGAAGTTTAATAAAATTTATCATGTTAAAAAACGTGTATCTGAGTGAAGTTCATCTCGATGAAATTAGAAAATTTCTTAGCTTTGGCATGTATATTTTCAACTTTTCTACTTTCATTAAAAAATTTAATTTTAAATTTGAATTACAATTAAAACTTTCTTTGAATTAAAATTTTTACTTAGAGTTTAATTATAAAATGGATTGTAAAGGTAACATTTTTTATAATAAAATAAAAAAAGATTTTGCTCGACACATTGATATTTTTATGATGAAAAATAAATTAAATATTCAATTAATAATGTCATCAATGATTATTAACATATTCTTTATACCATCAATAATTACTAATCAATTGGATATCTACAATAATAAATCAAAAGTTTAAGATTACTGAATCAAAGTGTACAGATTCTTTTGTTGATAAATGCTTTTTAGAAATATTTATCGATAAGAAGAATTTTGATTAAAGTTTCGAAAGTCAACATATTGCAAAAAAGTTTAGAAGACAATATTCTCACGTCATTCGTATTATTTAAGAATGATAGCATTAAGAGTGAAAATAACAGTAAAATTTAATCTAACAAATATATTCGGTAAGTATTATCATTTGCAATAAAACAATTTGTAACGATGAAGGAGATAAGAAAAGAGAGTCAGAGTGAGTGGAACCGAGAAAGAGCGAGTGAGGCGGACATATATGGTCGGGGGTTCAGTAAGCTCAAGTTACGCGAGCGGCGCTAACCATTTGTATGATGATGCCGACTCTCTCACTCAGAAACTCGTTTCTCTCTTCAGCTCGATGCTCTTTCCGCTCTTCACCTCGTCGTCATCCACCGTCAATCTATTGCCCGACGACGTCTTTCATTCCCTTCTCTACGTTCCTCTACGGATGAACCGTCTCTCGCCACTGTCGCCGCCGAAAATATCAAACGTCTTGTGGATAATGCTTCCCAACAGTGAAGTACAAGAAGCCTTCTTGTTATTTTCAGATTATTGGATATTGCTTGCTACTGCTTTTTAGAATTATGTCAGCAACTTTTTCAATTTCTTTTTTTCAATCATTCTTATCAATTGACAGTGAATTAATTTTAAAAATAAATTTACAGTTGAAATAATTTTGTCAACAATATTGTTATACAGTGAAGATGTTCCATTTTTAACTGATCAAACGTTTCTACTGTAAAAAAAATTTATTTAAGATTTTAAAAATGAATTTAGATTATTTTTTATTCCTTATTTATCGTCAATATGATAATAAAATATTTGTTTTCCGATTAGAGATTTGTTTCTTTGACTTGTTGCATAAGAATAATTACGAATAATTTCATTATTACTTGAATATTAATATAACGAATTTATTATAATTTTATAAAAGCAGCTGAATTCAGAAGATATTAAATTTTCGTTATTGAATGGAGCAATTGGTTGTAATTATTTAAATAAATTTACTTTAATCAAGACAAATAAATTAGAGTGTGACATTTTTTTTTGTTCTCAAAGTAGTAATTACTATTCCTCAAAAACACTTTTTTACTCCTACATAGTACTAACAATATGCAGGACAATATAATAGTCCAATATCTCGTCTTGTCCTCGCACTTATAATATCTATTTCCAGAACGGACTGGGATTTAATTTTAGAAGCATCGTTCCATATACTTGCGCGTGCTCTTCTCGTCGCCCACTCGATAGTGACGGTATAACAGTTCAAGCAAATCCCAATGAATTTTTTTTTTTTTTCGAAAAGTCAGTTTTCTTGAACAAAAAAAACACAGATGTAGAAATTGATCTATGCTTTTTTTAAATTATAATTTATGAACTAAATCTATTTTCATTTACATTATGCAATAGTATTGAATTATTAACTACATCTAATCAATTTGAAAAATTCATTCAAGTCGTTATTATAATCAATCAATCGATTATTTTATGTAATTATTATAAATTATGTAAATCGAAAAGCTAAGAGAGTAGATATTAATCAGAAGAAATTGCAAGTGTGCAAATCCACCCACTTGACCCACAAAATCACTTGAGATTAGTGGATCACACGTCTCGTGCAAACAATAAATTGCGGTCAGTCAACCACTCATACGACGCCTTTTGTAGAGCGTGTTACAAATGCAAGTTATTTGTCTTAGGGATCATATCCCCTTAGCATCAAAGTGTTGTTGATTTAGTCCCTTATAATCTCTCATAAAATATAAACTTATTTTCCTAAGATGTATTTTTAAATATATTCAACAAAAATAACATTTTAAAAATAATCTATAAATATTTGTTTTTTATTAAAAAATTTTATTAAAGTGTACCTGAATATAAAAATTATGATTTTCATCATAAACTACACTTTTTGTCGTTCTTTCAAGAAAAACTGACTAAAAATGAAACAGACTAAAAATATTCCAAGTGGACTGAGTGTTCTGTCTTTCAACACTTTGGAATTCTTTGATATTCGCAAAGTTTCATAAAAAAAAAAACTATTTATTTATTAATAAAATAAAAGATGTTATTTTAAAATTACATTTTCCAGAAAGATCAATTTCCAAGATCAAACGTTTGGGATTTCATAGTAAACAAAACAAGTAAACAATATTTCTATTATTATGCATAAATTATTCATTTTGATAATTAATTAAAATTTCACTCGATACAGATTAAATGATAATTCTTAAATAATATAAGTACTGATTTCTTTTAAATAAAGGTATAAAAAGATTTCTGTCTGAAAAATGATCTAACAGTAACTGTAAAAGTGATCGATCGATTAAGCCAGTCATGATCAAACTTTCGTACATTGACCTACAATCTGTTGTAAATTTTTTCAGTAGCTGTTGATATTATTAGCATAGATGATTTTCTAAGTAGTTTATATATCAACTCAAAGTTAATAAATCACTCATAGAAAATTCGTGACCTACTCAATGAAGATTAACAATGTAAGAATAGATAAAACATAGCTCAAACATTATACCACTAAATTTTACAGTTGTAAAATAACAAGTTAAACATTATAAACATGTAATTTATTTTGTTTATTAATAAAAAAAATTTGTTTTCATGTTTTTTAATTTATTCTTTTGGAGCTTATTAATGATTATTAATTTATTTTTGAGTAATACTTCTTACTTATGTAAGTAGTGGAAAGTCTGAATTATAATTTAAATTTGAAACTTGCCCTTCATTTCCGCATAGAATATTGACCGACAATTCCGAGTATTACTCAAGGATTCTATTTATATTATTTAAAAATTATTTTTCTATTATTTCTTTTTTTTCTAATTTATTTAATTATTCACTTAATATTAATTTCATTTTATCAATAAACAATAAAAATAATGAAATCCTATACATTATCGAACAAGTATTTAATATTAAAAAGCAGAAAAATTTAACTGAATATTTAAAATAAATTCCAATAATTAACAATAACATTTAATTCTCATAAATATTTCTCAAAGAGTCGGAATAAATCAGTTTAAAAAAAATCTATTTAAATTTAAAGAAGAACCCCGCAATGATGATTCAAAAAATAAAATTCTTTTATAAATTCAAAGTTGTTGAAAAAACTTGTTATTTATTAAAAGAAAATTTAAATTCTTATTTTAAAGTATAAATTTTTCTTTAGAACTATTATTATTAAAAATTTATTATAACCATGTGAATGAAAACTAATTTCAACAGATCAATTTTTAAAAATGATTTGCAGCCGATAATAACCAAAACAAGAAATGTAAATGAAGTAGTAGCAATAAAACAACTTAAATGGATATTGTTGAGTGTAATAACCTAAATCGTTGTCATTAAAGTGAGTATAAGAAATGGAGTTACGAGGCGAATAACTGCGACTCCATCTAGCAGACGAACGACAGCTGCAAGGTGTACAGCAGGCCTTCATGTCCCTATACATTCTGATACATAAAGATAGATTGAGCGGTGAGGGGTGATAATGTATATTTAGAAGAGTGCTTCGCTTGCCAGATCCAAGACTAACCAACAGACTCTTACACGCAAGTCAGCAAGTGCGATTTTCTCTCTCTTTCTTAATTTTCGTAACTAATCTCCCTCTCTCCCTTACTATTTTCAAGCTTGCAAAACAATTTCACCAGTTGAGTTATACTACTTGCCTGGGGGCCAAGAAGAAATTTCATCATTTATAAATTCTCTGCTCTGGAGATCATCGCGGTTGCCCTTGACTCGTTTTCTCTACCAACCGCGATTTTACGCCCAACACGTTGATACTTACTGAGTACAGCGGACCTTGGCAGGTTGATACACAGTCACACGACACGATGACCCATTTGGAAACGGGGGAGGACCGTTGAAATACAGAATACTTGTTAAATCATTTTGTCTTTTAATATTGTATATGTCACTGTTACACAGTATTATATTTTTAATTGAACAACCAACATGTCTTTTATTTCTTTCTTGATATTCAACAACAGTCGGTTGTAACAATTGTGCTTTGAAAAATATCCACTTTCCTTGATTCAAAAATATACATTCTCATGATTAATGGGAAATCTTTTTTAATGTTTTTCATAATGACAAATTATTGTTATTTGTTATTATTTATCATCGAAAAGATTTATTGAATTGCAAATAATCAATGTTTTCTAAAAAATTTAAAAGGATAGAGTTATTTATTGGTATAAAACAAGGATATCTACAAGATTTAGTATTTTAATTTTTTTTAAATAATATCTAGGATGATACTTTTATATGGAAGAAACATAAATTTAATTTAATAATTAATTAAAATATCTAAACAGTTGAGTTAATTTCATTATCCTCAAATAAACTTCATTATTCTTAATAATCCGAAGAAAGTTTAATTTAAACTCCTAATAAACCAGTCATGACTTCCATAAAAAAAAGGAACATAAATGTTTTATAATAATAGATTATTTAATAAAGGTCAGTATAAATAGATAATTAGTAACAGGAAGGCATTAATGCCTAAAACGAAAAATAAAGTAATAAATGGCTCTTATTACTCAAAGTTATATTTTAGTATCTCTTTAAGGCACGTGCTGACGAATAAAGCAAATGATCACCGTCATCGAGGGATGACGATGACCCGTGATCATCACAGACTTCCCAGAACAACATTTAGATGACTTTCGCCCAAAAATAGAGTACACGTAACGTGATAAACAATCGTCAATCCCAACCACCCTCAAGTACAGTCATCGGCTCATATTCTCTCACTCTTATTCCCACTAATACTACCGTTTTGTCATTATCTTCCTTCAACATATTACAAAAAATAAACTCACCGTACATACCCGTGGAATTTTGTATTTTCATTTATAGATTCAAGATGCTTCGAGTGCAGGTATAATTTGCTCAGTTGTCGCGTGGGCGTTTACGTTCGTTCTAATTGCACACCCTCTTGGAACGCAAACTCTTCGACATTGTCAGAGATATTCAATAAGTCGTCCAAGACACCCATTCATCTTTCTTTTTATAAAATCGCAACACTATACTTTCCCGTTTATTTATTACTTTTCTATAATTACCAACTAATATATTTCAAGACTATTATTTGTTTAACAAATAAAACTGTGTAGGTTCATGCATTCTTTTCAGTAGTAATAAAGTCATTAATTAATACTTCAGATTCATACTATTTTTTTTCTAAGAAACATTCTCAAGGATTCATTAAGAAAAATCTGATGAATAAAATACGAAAATTTGAGGAAAGGAATTATTTTGTTTATTTAAGAAAAAAAATATAATGCAATAAAAATACTTCTTTTCTTATTCAACCTTTCTCTCAGCTTCAAGGTTAAAAATTTCTCACCCCCAAGGGTTATTAGGCTAATTCTAAATAAATCTCACTTGTCCTAAATAAATTTAATCATCATACCAACTGTTACCGAATAAATTAAAGCATCCATTTCATTTGCCGATTTATATCTATCGGTAATAAGCAAAAGTAATAGTGAAGAAAATAATTAGGCGGTAGCATAGTAGTACAAGAAGTGAGAGTGGGAGGCAGAATCGGCGGCGAATCGGTGCGACAGAGGGACGAATGACTGAAGAAGTGGATTAAGTTTTAGTTCGGTTAGTTCGCGTGCTGGGCCACGGCGATTGGGACGGCGGACGGAGCGACGACAAATATACATGAGATAGCGGAGATAAAAAAAATAGTAAAAGAAGAGAAAGAGAGAAAGAAAAGAGAGAAGAAAGAGGGGCGAAGGGGATTTATTTTTCTTAACGGCTGGGAGAGGGAATACTGTGGTAGTCTGACGAGTGGTGAGAATAAATAGTGACGAATATAATTATTGTTTGACGAATCAACGAAACATCGAACAACAAGAGACTCGACTGCGATTATACGATTTATTTTATTCGGTTTTGCCGGTTAATAGTAACCGAATTTTTCCCTAATTATATATATTTTTTTTTTACAAAGAAGCTGTTACGTGGGTGGAAGAGATTGGGAGAGACTCTTCTCATCAACGTGCTTCTTAAGGGAAAGTGAATTTTCGGTTACGTCGGTGGTTTATCTCGCAACATAACTATCATCAAGTAAGTTTCAACACACGCCGAATAGAAAAAAAAAGTAATAAGGAAATTGAGGGTAAATGAATTGCGTAAGTGTCTGTAAAGAGGGTGATGATAAGTTTGTGAAATGTATTAAATATAGTTATCTCCAATCAATAATCCAGTGAATAATCAGTGCATCACTGCTAAGAGGATAAAATAAATCTTTCGGGAATATACGTGCGTGAGTGAACACAAAAATTATTGCATAATCTTTGAGTGTCAATTTTTTTGAGGGAAACTATTTTTTTTCAATCAGGTCTGATGTTGCAATGGTTTAGAAAGTGTCAGTTATATGACGGTCTATTTTAATCTAAACAATGTCAAGGATACCTATCATTGTTTCAGGTTTTTTTAAAGTTTATTTATTTTTCGGAAATGAAATATTTTTAAAAATTTTTAAATTCATTAATTATTAATTTTTTTTTTATTGAAATAACTTTCACAAAATTGATTGTTTTTTTCAAAAGTTTAATAGAAGATGAATCAGAATAATAATAATAAGCAAAAAACTTAAATTCATTGAGCATAACCGTATGAATTTAATTGAACAATCAGACCATTCTTGTTGAGTCTTCCACTTCATACTAGCATTACAAGACTAGCGTACGCTATTCGTAGCTGACGATCTAGGTATCTAGGCTCGATGTCCATATATTTTTAGAGAATGTAACGTGAGGAGGAGAAGAAGAAACGAGCAGTTCGTTGTTCTGCTTGTCCTTCCAACCCGTCACGTATTCCATCATATGTGTTTTATCATTCTGTTTTCATGTACTCAAACTAACTTCTTTCGTAATATTTCTAATACATTTATTTCCTCTGTCTGCAAATTTTGTTTAAAAAATGGCGGGTGGTCTTCAACGATTCACTCTCTGTTTATTCACTTTTCTATATTTCCATTCGTTCTTGCTGTTTGCCGGACGTGATTTAAAAATATCCGCATACCAGACGTTCCAACTGGGTAACAGACTTTTTCGAGAATCTTGAAAAAATACACTTAATTTTTTTTTACTATAAATATTATTCAAATATTTTTTCTAATACGCGCCTGACTATTTCACTTTTATCTACTTGCAAATGATATACTAGGGATTATTATTAGCAATAGTCAGACGATGTATGTATATCAATAAATTGTCTATAAATCGGGCAGTGAAAGTTTTCTATTTTTAATTGTTGATACATTTTTTCTTGGAAATAAATTTTTTTAAATAACAATTCTTTTAAACGTTCTGAAAATTATAAGAATAAATTTAATTATTTATTGTTTAGACGTTTGTTTATTAAATTTACGTTTACTTAGACATCAATATCATTCATTGAAGAATTCAGTAATAAACAAAAATTACTAAAAAATTGAAAAATACTTTCTATTATTATTTTCATTTTTATTTATCATTTGTTTAATTGGATAAAAATTGCAACAAATATCTGTAACTGATCTTGCGATATTTAGACGATGATTCATCCATTAAAATTGCTTAACAGCGATTAACCAATATATTAAAATAATTATCTGAGTCACTCTAGTAATGTAACTAATGAGATTAAAATCACAATTTTCTATAAATATTCTTAAAATAAAAAAATATGTAAATTGCACGAATGAAAACGTAACTGGCATATGTACATTCAATATTCTTCATTGAAGAGAAAAAACGATTTTCAAAGTCAGATAACCGTGATTTATTATTAAAGTAAAAATAAGTTGGAATATGAATAATTGTGCGTGTCGAAGATCTAGTTTATCATCTTGAATATTTTTATGACCTTATTCTACATATAAACATATTCGTTGAGAATAATTTATAAGTAACAATGTTAAGAATAGATTGACAGAATAAGAATGTATGCGAAAATTTTCGAGGGGCAGCGATCTCGAGTATTCCCGCGGCTTATTGCCAACTCTTACAGTACAAGTTGTATCACTGACTCGTACTTCATCGTTTCACAAACTCCAAGGCTAGGCTTTGATTTAAAAAGACATTTATTTTATTTCAACAGTATAGTTGACAGTAATAATGAAGATTATTCTGAATTAATAGTTGCATTTATATACTAACGAATTTATTAATCAAAAAACTGACAGAGTTGAGATTGGAAAAATGAAATACATAAGATTCTGAATATTATACATTGGAATGTCTCGTCATAACAGACATAATAACTATTTACCAAGATAACTGAGCATCTATTTCGAGCTAAGATGTAGATTAAAAATAACTACTTTGCGTCATCAGAGAGCATTTAATATGATTAATAACTCGATTACTCATTTGAGTGGTGGAAAAATTAAGTTATCTTTTTTGTTGGTTGTTGGTAATGAAAAATAACCATAATGTTCCTAGATGGTAAACTCTAACTCATTTGATTGAAGAAGAATAGTCATTCAACAATTTAACTAAATTCAAAAATTCTTTATAAAAATTTCTGATCATTTTTTTCTTTTTGATTAAAAATATAATTCTTGGTTTCTCGGTATAAATTCTTGGTATATATTGCAAAATATTTATTATTTTGCTTGATTTAATGATATTGAATAACGTAATTGCTAGTCTTTGTATTAAAAAAAAAAATGTCTTTGCTGCGAAATTTTATTACTCTTGGAAAAAAACTAGACCTTGGTATTTTGGAAATCGTTAAGTAGCTAAAAATAAAGTCCTTTCAACATTTTCATAAAACTTATTTCCACAAAATTCTTATTTAAAAATTACGTCAGACTTTGAAGAAATGGCAAGCTCGGATAAATAGAGATGTTATTTTTCTCTAAAAAAAAAAGCGATGTTGAACTGCAGGCTACTCGGAACGATCTCCAATATTGAATATCAAACAGCAAAGTTAAATTTAATAGAAGTGAAGCAAATAGTGCTTTTTGATGTTCAAACAACATTCAAAGATTAGTGGAAGATTGAGGAAAAAGTTGGTTACCAAATAAAGAATTTCTTTATTTGCAGAAAAAAACAAATAATTAAAAGGAATCCAGTAACCTGGTGAGGATCATTGGAGCGCAAAAGCGCTCTTCTATTTGAATGTTGCCACGGGACTACCGGTGTTAAGCAGCAACAGCTGGAAAATTTCGGTGACACCCCGTAAACATGGGTGTCGCCGATGATTTTGCGCCGAGCTTTACGCAAAAGCCCCAACTTCGTCAGGAAGATGAGGGCAATCGTCTTATCTTTGAGTGCCAACTAGTCAGCTCACCAAAACCAGAAATATCATGGTTTCGCGGTGATGAACAACTAAAAGCAGATTCAAGAACAAATTTTAAGATCCAAGGTATTGGGGCCAACAAGTTTCTCGTTGTTCTTGAAATTGATGATGTTATCGAGACCGATGCTGGGCTTTACAAAGTCAAGGCCATGAATAAGATGGGCGAGGTCGCGGCGTCAATTAACTTGAACTTCAGCCGTAAGTTTTTGAAAATTTTTATTATCTTGTATTCTCGGAATCTAGTCTATCTTAATTTCGGTCTGAAAAAAGTCAACTACTTTCACTGCAATAGCATAATTAATTTTTCCTTAAATTCAAATATTTATAAAAAAAAAATTTATTTACTATAAAACCTAATTTTCAATTTGATCATAATTGTTTCAATTTAGCACTATGAGCTAATCAAATAAGTCAATATCTAATTCATTTATAAATGCAAATAAAGAATATTATTACAAAACTTAAATTATATTTTACAGCGATGGATGAACAAAGAGAAAAGTGAGTTTGATACTCAAGTATCAGAAATATGGTTTACGAATGAAACTTAAAAATTGATGTGGCTTATTGATTTTAATTAAATTATTATCTACTATAGCATTTTTATTGATTTAAATTTTTACGCTTATTACTTTCGCTTTAATTCGCTTATTCATATATTTAATAACAACTATCAAATAAATATCTATCTTGCGCTTAATTTTTCTATAATAATTCGATTGGTTTTTATTTGAATTCTAGCTGCTTTACGGAGTAGTCGGTGAGTGTTCATACTGACAGCTTTTATAGCCCAAGCTTTTTTTAATTATACGAAATATCACGTAACATTATTAACTGCAAAAACCACACATGACAATTTTTTTTGTAATTGAATTTTTAAGATTAACATTTGCTGTGCTGATTTGAAAAAAAAATGTATTACGAAACTTTCATTCAAGTCGTAATACAATGAATAATTTTTTCCAAGTAAATAACGATCTATCTGGTGTTCATTATGCTCCTCTTGAAATTTAATATTAAATATTTCATTGAATAAATTGTGTTTTATTGTTTGAAAATTACTAGCAAAATATTAATTAGCACTGTTTAAATCAATCATGACAAATTGTAGACAAATTGATGGTATCGCCCCGACATTCGCTAAAAAACCTGCTATAAGACAAGAAGATGATGGAAAACGATTACTCTTTGAGTGTCGCATCACCGCTGATCCCACTCCCAAAGTTTCATGGTTTCACGATGGGAACTTAGTCAAGGATTCACCAAGACATAAGGTTTTTATTTATAATTAATTATATTTCAACTACCACAGCTTTCTGTAGAAAGTTATACATACACATAATTACACTCTTCAACAATAGCATGAATCAATTGATGACATGTCTGACTAAAACCAGACACTTCTCCTTTCGTTCTTAAAGACTTTTGATTTAATGTTGAATAGAAATTAATTACAAATTTATTTGTTTTTATTCCCAGCTATCTATTGACAAAGATGGACATTCGTACTTTGCAACCCTTGAAATAAAAAATGTGACTGTTGAGGATGCTGGAAAATACAAAGTCACAGCAAAGAACGAACTTGGTGAATCCAATGCTACGATATCCCTCAATTTCGACAGTAAGTATCAATACTCATCATTGAAACTCATATTATATTGCTTTCATAACTCGGGGAGTATATCGATCTATTTATGTTTTTTTATATTTTCTTATCTTTCATCCTATTATTATTCTTCTTCTTATTACTATCAGTATTATAATTTTTTTTTTATTATAATTTAATATTTCTATTCCTTTTAAATATCTATTTTCCTGTCATTTAAATTTTTATTTATTTATTATTATTTATCCAACTGTTCATTTCTTTTTTATTTAATGTTTTGATGAAACTTAGACTTATCGATCGATAAAGTTTGTATATAAATAATATTTTTGTTGTATTTTTTATATTGTTGGATATTTTTTGTCTGATAGTCATTGAAGGTGTGCTCTGAGCATAGAGTACATGTCAGTTTCCTACCGGAGGTGGAAAATAAATGAAAAAAAAATGCAAGAGAAAAAAAATCAGAAGAAAAAAAAACGTTCTATTGTTAAAAAAATTTTTTGATATAAATAAGTATCACGATATACAACCCAGCTTGATTTATACGTTTTTATTGTATTTCACACTTTGACAATACATTTAAAAACTGCAGAACACAAAAGTAGAACGCGATAATTTTTTTGACAATTTCATTATAAATAATACCGTCATACATCCACAATGCTGCTTCATAATTATAATTAATTACGAGGGCTTCCATTTGGTCTGATGCTGATGCTTAACTAGTTTGCTTAGAATTTCATCATCTTTGTATTCATATATTCATTTATCATCTTTGTCGTGTATCATATTTAACACGATATTTTCTAGTCAGTTTTATAACTGATCATCAACATAAATGTTTGGATAAATCTCAACTCATAAAAGTAATGAAATGATATGATTTATGATCAATTATAAATATGGGCCATTTGAAAAGGTCTAAACATTTCGGCAATGTTTATTGTGTTAAATATTTAAATTATCAGAAGGAAATATAGTTGAACAATTCTTAGAGAAATTTTAAAATAAATTTATAGTGAATATAAAAATATCAATTATGAATATTTTCAACATACACATGAAAAATCCACTTTTCCAATGAAATCTAGAATGAGGGAATTCTACTTATCTTACAATACCCACTGTCCACTGAATATTTCCAACATGTTTTGACGCTGATCACTGAATCCTATCAATACAAAATTAGTCATAAATGGAAAATACAAATTTTGGGAAGTGTACATATTTGATTTATCGATCGATACGTCGCGTACAAACGACTGAAGAGATGTAGAGGGGAGGTATAAAATTGATAAATGAAATATTTAAAAAAAAAAATAGGCGATGAAGCACCAGTGCCTGATGATGGAATCAAACCGACATTCACCGAACGACCTGTGATCAGACAATCTGATGACGGCAACACTATAACCTTCGAGTGTCGATTAGTTGGAGATCCAAAACCGAGTGTTAAGTGGTAAGAAATACGGACAATCATCAATGAAAACTTCATTATATTTGATAAATCATCAATTTATTATATCGCATTATTATCAATTGTTATTAAATATTACCATTTTTTTCATTTTATTTAATTCGCACGTCAAAATTTTGTATTTAAATAAATAAACAAATACGATAATCAGGTATCATGGGACCAACGAAATTAGAGAAAGTGGAAGATACAAGATATCTTTGGAAGCTGATCAGAAATTATACTACTTAGCAAGGCTACAAATAAGTAACGTACAGAAAAATGATAGTGGAGAGTATAAAGCTATGGCTAAAAACAAACATGGTCAAGGCACAGCAACAATTAATCTCAACTTTGAAGGCGGTGATAAACCTAAGTACGCTCAAGAAATAGTACTAATTTTGATGAAGCTTCTATTTAAAATTCAATTTTTTTTCTTTTATTTTTCTATTTATATTTTTGTATTATCTAAAATAAAATTTAACAGAGGTACTGAAAAAAAAAATTCAACAATTGAAAAAAAAATCGAAGCTTTGTCACAATAGAAAATATGACATCTTATCTGGGTGATATAACCCAATTTGAACATGACATAAAATATCATACCACCTATACAGAATTCCCGATGGCAAACCTCCTCGTTTTCCGAAGAAACCAACGATTCGACAGGAAGGCGATATTTTAATAATGGAGTGCATCCTTGAAGCTCATCCCGTACCCGATATAACGTGGTACCAGGGACAGAAAGCAATTAATGGAAGTTCACGTATCAAAATGTCAAAAAAGTCAACTGGAAAGGATACTTATCTACTCACACTTGAAATTTTAAATCCAACAAAGGCCGACGGAGGACACTATCGCTGTAATGCATTTAATAATTACGGCGAGAGTAATGCCAACATCTCCTTAAATTTCCAAGGCAAGTCGTGTTTGATCATGCACACAAGAAAAGAAAGCAGTACGGATATGATCTGCACGAATTTTAGCACGTTCCCTATTATCTATTTCCATTGTTATGATTGTGAATCACAGATTAATATTTTCGAATATGCTGCACGCGTGAGAGTATTACCACTGTAACTACTTTTGTTATTATAATTATCATCATTATTCCTCCTGTTACGAATATTATTATTATTGTTATTATAATTATTATTTGGTATGATGAATGGTTTAGGAAGAGAATGTGTCGCTTGGGTAAGTCTGTCATGCATGCGTAACATGTCATTTGTGTCTCGTCCGTAAAAGCTTTTCATGTAACTTTAGTATGCTAATAATAAATGCAATGGATGTGATAAACTTATGCTCTATTAATACTCACGTGCCTTGATAAATGACAATTGCCTAATTGTGGATTGTTCCAAGATACAGAGGATGCTGGTGGCTTTGCACCTTCTTTCATCGAGAAACCACGAATAATTCCTAATGAGAATGGCACCCTTATCACTATGAAGTGTAAATGTAAAGCCAAACCCAAGCCAGAAGTAACGTGGTTTCGGGGAACAAATGTCGTCAAACAATCTTCGAAGATAACGATCAAATCTAAAGATATTGAAGAAGACATATATGAATTAACAATGGAAATTAAGGTAAGCTTTAATGTAGATTCATATTTTTATATATTAATTTGATAACTCTTTATTTTGGAGTATTTATATTTTTCTTTCAACATTTACGATTATCGAGATATTGTTTTAAATTATTGCAATTAAACTCATGGTTCCAAAAATATTTATCTTTTTCATAAGACTGGACTTACATTGAAATAAATCCTTACCAATTAAATAAATGTTTATAAAAATGTCCTTGCAAATTCACCTTATGATTAATTACACGAATGAAATCACTCTGAATACTTTTGTTTTCGGAGAAATTTCATCGACGCGAAATACCAACTTCACACTATTGTTTATTAAATTATCGATATATCTCGATTAACTCCACAAGAAAAATGATTTAATTGATTTCTATAGGTTAGATTAATTTAGATTTTAATAAATGTAATTATTTTATATAAATAAATACTAATTTTATTCTTTTCGTGAATAAACTGACGCTAAGAGGGCTTTCCATGTCATCAACCGTGTCTGTTAAACTAAACTGAAGTATGTAAACAAACCGAGCACACTAGTTGCGTCACCTAGCGTTCACTAACGGTTGGCGGTTATTCTCTCTGCTTGTGTATGTTCACAAGTCTATTCATTCGATTCTACTTCATTGTTTGGTGATGCGCTGTTTCTGTTATTTTCAAAGAAAAAGTATCATTTTCAAATATTTAACTATAATTAGTAAATTATTTTATTGTTATTATAACATTTATCGAGGCTTTATAAACAATAATTGATTAAAAAGAAAAACCAATCATAAAAATGGAAACGTTAAATTAGTAATCGTCAAGTTTCTAGGTTTACCTTACATTGCATATCTGATTTATTTTAATCGAATATATTTTATTTAATTAATTATTGTTGATAAATGTAAATAATTGATCTAACTTGTAAATATTTCATAGGATCCTACCGGACCAGATGGTGGTACTTATCGGTGCCATGTTCAGAACGAATTTGGAGAAAGCAACGCGAATCTTAACTTGAACATCGAAGCTGAACCAGAACCGGAAGGCGATGGACCGACTTTCGTAGAGAAGCCCAGGATTCAATCGCAAGATGGTGGTAAAATTGTTATTATGGATTGTAAAGTCAGGGCTAAACCTAAGCCAGAAATTGTCTGGACTCATGCTGGAAAAGTAGTCAATGAGTCATCTAAAATAAAACTTAGTGTTGTAAAAGAAAAGGAAGATATTTATTATATCAAACTCGTCCTTAACGATCCTGGTGCTGATGATTCTGGATTGTATAAATGTAATATCAAGAATACTCTTGGGGAACTTAATGCAAATCTCACTTTGAACGTCGAAAGTAAGTAATTTTATTGATAAAAATGAGTTGAAAAAATAATATTTTACTTGATATTTATAAATTGAATATTTTATTTTAGTTATTCCGGTGATAAAAGAAAAACCCAAAGTGATTAAGATTGTCAAAAAGAAGACAGTTATAGTTGAATGCACAGTTCTGTCCAAGTTTGCACCAGACTGTACGTGGTTTAAAGAAACTCAGGCAGTAAAGGAAGACTCAAGACACAAACTCCATGTAGAAAAAGTTAAAGAAGGAGAATTTGCTGTCAAACTAGAAATTGAACAAATTTCTACTGCTGACAAAGGAAGATATAAACTCGTAGCAAGGAATGAGAAGGGTGAAGCTACTTCACAAGTTGTTGACATTGCTGAACTTCCAGAAGAAGTGGAAAAGCCCAAGATTGGCTCTGGATTAAAATCAGTGGTAAGTAACTTATTTAATTTCTTTTTGATCCCTATAATTTTTTTCACTTTTATCCAAAATAATATTCACATCTTATTATAATTTCTAGACTGTCGAGCATGGCGAAAATTTCGAATTATCTGCATCACTTACACGTCAAGATAAAAAAGTCACTATTGAGTGGTACAGGTTAGTGTAATTAATTTAATTGATTATCACTATTAATTTAGAAATATTATTATTAATTTAATTATATTTTTATCTCTACACAGAGACACAACTATAATAAAGAGCTCCAAAAATATCCAAATTTCATTTAATGGAATTGAGATGAAACTAGTTATAACCTCAGCCACAGAGGAATTTAGCGGTACCTACAAAGTCGTTGTGAGCAACGAAGCCGGAAAAGATGAATCGAGCACAACTGTTACAGTCAAGGCAAGCTTTATTCTCATATTTCAAATATTTTCATCAAACTACTTAATTATTTTTAGCATAGCTATTTATTTTTTTACTTATTTATCTTGTCATAAAATACTAGCTTTATTTGATCAACTTGAAAGACCATCAGTTCTTGAGCAACGGTTATTGAGGTTTTAGCAACATATTTTTATTAAGTTTCTTTTTCTTGTAACTTACCTCAGTTTGGTTGATTACTTATTTGTCTTAATTTCACTTTGCACTATCATTAGAAACTATTTCCTCATTTTTTGCTATTTATGTTCGTTTGCTTAAAATTATTACGTCGTATGCGTCATCTAAAAAAATTTACAGAAACGTACAGAAAAGAAAAAAGAAGAAGAAGAAGAAATAAAGAAAAAGAAAAAAGTAGAGAAAAAGAAAGAAGAAGAGAAAATCGAGGAAGTTAAGAAGTTAGAAGAGAAAAAAGTTGAAGAGAAAAAGAAGATTGAAGAGTTCAAGAAGGAGGAGGAAGAAAAGAAGGTATTCGAGAAATTTATCAACAAGTTAAGCTTCAATAAACTGACCCAACTAACAATTTTAGTCCGTAGAAAATGCTTCAAAATGCACTGACTATTTTAACTCAAGGATCGACAGCTTCTATATGCAACATTTCATCAGAAAGTTCTTCACATTCGTAAATGTGAATACGCGTTTTTTTTTATATACATCCGATAAAAATTTTCTCGTTTTCGAACGTTATTACGTTCATAGGAATATTCAATAACTGAATCCATTGATGAGGACGATAATGCTAGTGAAATAACAGAGGAAGACGAAGACTTGGTGAGTGTCATCGAGTCCAGTATCGCCGAGTCAATATTTGATGAACCAAAGTCCACCATTTCTGACATAATTACACTTGTTCAGGTACACATAAATACACTACACAAACACATATTGAATCAGTAAATAAGTTGCGGTTTTAACTTTGGTATTTTTTTCACTACAAGTATTTATAAAAATGTACTTTTAAACACATAAATCTTAAAAGAGTACACTTATTTACTTGTCCACTATATATACTCTACAATTATCTACACTTTATATTCTTATACTTTCATACTGCACAACACTGTCGTAGACTCTAGTGTTTCTAAATTTTTTCAAATTTTCTACAGAAGTATTTCTCTGTTATTTTCATCTTCGAATTTCATTTCTATTTTTTTCACATTTTCCTATTGCTTTGAATCTGTCATTTTGTTATCTTGAACATAGTGATCAACCTTTTTTTTATTAATTTTTTTTAAGGATAAACAAGAGAAGAAACAAAATGGTCTTCCCAAACCAGACAAGGTAACATACTTACATATCATTATCATTTTTATCAAGGATCTTTGATAAAACAGACACTTTAAATACCTCCTTCATATTAATAATTAGAAAATGAATTTTGAGCAAAAGCAAACTTTGAGCAATTTATAAATCTATTTAATCTAAATTGATATACTTTCAAGTTGAACAAATATTAATTTTTATAATTTTTTCCAGGAAACTGAAATTTCGGTGAGTGTGAAGGCAGTAAAATTGATAAAGCATATGATCAATATTTTTTTTAGATATTATACTTTAAAAAATAGTAGAATGAAACTATAAAATTTGCTTCAATTAATAACTGATCATGCGCTTTAATTTGTAGTAGTACTGCTTATTGATAATATTAAATTAGCAATGTCTATTTTTATATTTATTTATTATATGATGCTTTACTAAATACTTTTTTATTTCTTAGTGAGCCAGTTTATGAGTCTTCTATAAAGCTTCTTTGCTGAATCGAGAGACCTAAGACAATATAAAAATTTCTCGTTAAATAATTATTTAGGCAAAGTAATTTTTGGGCTTCATTTTTTTTTCTATTCGTTTGTTTAATTACTATTACACAAGAAAAACATTGCATGCAAAAAATTATGTGATTTCCCTTTAAAAGGTTTTAAATCAAGCATGAAAATAATATCCTAAGTTTTGAATGTTGAGAGTGTTTTGTAATCACTTATTTACATAAGATTGTGAAAAAGTATACATTTATTGAACAGAAGAAAAAGGAAGAGACTTTCAACAATGTTGAACAAGTGGAAGAAAGGAAGTCCTTGAAGGTATTTATTCTATTACTGCTTGATCTTTTTTATTTATCAATTGTTATTGAAATATATTTTCTTGTGAAATTCACAGAAAAAGTCTGAACCAAAACCAGAAGACAAAAAAGAACCCGAGAAGGTACGATAAGTCTGATAAAGTTTAATCAAAAAAGTTTTTGTCTATTGGTAGTAAATAAATATTTTTTTTCTCAGAGGAAATCGATTAAGAAGAAGGAAGTTGAAGTGACTGATAAGTCACGTGAAACTACTCCGAAACCGGAAAAAATATCTTCTCGCAAGTCTTCTATAAGTAGAGTATGTACAGTTTAAATCATAGATGAATTATTTTTTTTAAAAAAAAACGGATTAAAAACATACGAATTAACATATTACGGAAATGAAAAAATTTATAAAATTTTAGGTAGAAGAGTTGAAAACTGAAAGCCGACGAAGCTCTCTCGTCTCCACTACTGAGGAAACAGTGAGTTCATTAATGTCATTCTTTAATTAGCCGCTTACTATATTTCCATCATTATTTTTTTATAATTTTTTTTTCCCACTCCTTGTAGATTACAGAAAATGGTAGTCCATTTTCCAGTAGACGGTCTTCATTGCAACAGGTACACAAAAATAAAAAAAAATATATTTCAAAATTAACAATAACAATAAATTGGAAATGATTGGTACCTTTGAGCCATAAAATAGTGTACGAGCAATAAAGATAACAAATAGTATCCTCAATAAACTTTTTACAGAAGTTAACAAAAAATTCATAAACTAATTATTAATTCTGTTAGGTTGAAGAAGAGAAGTCTTCTAGTCGTCGATCTTCAATTATGGAGAAGAAAAAAGTTACAGAAAAGGTAAGACATTCAATCGATACAAATAATAAATATTTATTTTTAGAATTTCTTCACACATTTCTGAAACATATATTTATTACATGAACATTTTCATCATAAAATTTAGAAAACAAAACCAACGGAAAAAACAAAGCCAGCTGAGAAAATTGAAGACGTGAAGGTACACTTAAAAACATTGTTATTAACACAAATAATTGTATTTATTTCGAAATTACTTTTCATAAACAAATACACTACTTATGCCATTGAATTTCAATACTTTTAGGATAAACCCGAATCGAAATCAAAATTATCTGTGGATGAACCTTCACCACTGAAGGTAAGGGTTCAACGGAGAAAAATTGGAATAAAATCAGGAATCACTTTAAAATCAATTATTACAGTTGCTGAGGACTATTTTGATACAATATTTTTAACTTTATTAAAAAAAAAATAATACTTTTAATTCTAATTTAATACTTTTGAATATTAATTCAACGAAAAAACTTTCTAATACAAATCATTTATTTTTTCTAAAGTATCAAAACTATCCACAGTAATTGTGTATTGATATTAATTAAAATTATTATTCCGATCATTCAAACACTATACAATAACTTTCAGAAACGATTATCAGTTTCAAAGGACACTCCTGCTAAAAAAGAAGAGGTATATATTCGTTATATTGTCTAAATTATAAAAATCAAAAATTATTTGACCAATCTTATTTATTTATTCCAACAATTCTCTAGGAAAAACCAGTAGTAGATTTGAAACCCGTAGACAAAAAAATAGCTGAATTAAAGGTACATTAAAATTTTTTACAAAATTAGAACGATATTTCGAAAAATGAAAAAAAAATTTTCAAATTAGAAAACATATAATTCTTTTATTCGTTTTATCTAAATTTCTGATCTCGAACAAATTTATTTTATAGAAGGATGGACCTACACTAAAACCTAAAAGTAAACTTTTAGACAAGCCAGAACTTCAGGTACACCAATACTCAACAAAATTTATAATTAATACACAAGAATCATTCATCACAATTACTCAAAAAAAATCACCAATACTAAATATCATGAATATCATACCGAATAATTAATTTACTAATTATTACAGCATCACTTTTGCTACGTAACATTGGAGAGCTGCTATATCAATTACTGTGAACTTTAAAGTCATTACTATGCTCTATTATTACAATCTTTATTTCTTTGTTACAGAAGGAAGAAGTAGTTCTCAGAAAGAGCAGCTTAAAACCTGTTCAAAAGGTAAATTACTTTTGAATTCATGTATTTATGCTACAGTCAGAAAAATGATTTATCCAATCTATCTTTAATTAAAAGTAATTAAAATAAAGTTTATCAAATTCTTGAATATTTCAAATCTTATTTTTCAATTGATATTGATATAATTTAATATAATTAGGAAACAGATTTTCCACATAATTCGAGAAGAAAATTTGTAATTCAGCTTTAATTAACAAGTTTATGTTCAAAAAAAATATTATAGTGATAACCTAAATTTAAATTTCAATCTACAAGTTTGAGTTGAAAAGTTTCAATTGATATTCTGCTTTTCATCATCTTATAAAGTCATTCCTTCTCACTTCCGTGAACAAAATTAAACTTGTAAGCTCGTGTTATTCTTATGAAATAATTTTGTTTATTTTTTTTGCAGGTGGAAGAGAAAGAAAAAATAGAACTCAAGGTAAGAATCTTTATAATTAAAAATAAAATAACATCATGTAAATATTCATAAATAATGAATCAAATCGTACATATAATAATATCATATGTACATATTCATTTGTGATATGCTTGTTATAAGAAGTAGTAGTTGGAAAAACACTTTTGTGTTAAGTATAATAATAATCTACAGTAGAATATAACTTGTGACTAATTAGCATTTATTAAACTAATCTATAAAAATGTAGTCGACCAATGGCGAATCCAATGATGCAGAGCAAAATGACAAAGAGTATCGTAAGCTGCCAAAGGTGGCAGCAAAATTCGAGAACTTCCTCAGTGTACAACTAAAACCCGTAGTTAAAGAACCTAAACAGCCTCAAAAGGCAGAAAATGGCATAAGTTATGAATTGAAGGTATCCCTCGAAAGAACAAGGCTTCAAAATTTCTTCATTCTTCTTGATTTATTTATTCTATAGGCCCACTATTGATTATCTATCTTCCAAATTCTACCAAATCACAACTATCACTCGTTTCCGCTATTTTTTGCAGCTACTGGAAATATTTACTCTTAATCATATTAAGCACAACCTTTAATGACAAATTATTATGAGATTAAGTTGACTCGTAAATCCACAATTTATCATAAATTTTTGGCACTCGCACTTTACACTTAAATCACTTGCTTGAAAATTACTTTAAGCTACGATCGCACTTGAAATTGCACCGCAAATACACATATCAGCACTGAAATTCTACAAAAAAAATTGGATGTTGTAATCACGAATCTGTTATTAAAATTATTAATATCCAATTCACTGTCAATAACAAGATCTCAATACAATAAGTAATTCATTTTAAAACTATGCATATTATTTTTTTAATCAAATTTATTTCATTCCCTTACTTAGAAAACCGAGAAGGCAGAGAAGAAAGATGTAAAGAAAACAAAAGTCTCGAAAGCTGATAAAGAAAAGAGCTATGAACTTCCAGAGATTCCAGACTATGAAAGACCGGTGTTAGAGAAACCTCAAGAATTTGAATTTTCAGAATATGGAGGTCGTGAGAAAACAAAACTTGATCGACCAGCAACACAGGTTTGTACATTTTTCAATATTATCGTGACTCAAAAATCAATATTTCAATTAATAATAAACGAATCTAACATTGTTTATTTATTTTTTTTACAGAAATTCGACTCAAAAGTGAGTATATAAAGCAAAACATTGCACTATTTAATCAACATCAATTCAACTAACGTCAATACGATATCATGGTGTCGTTAAAATGTGAAATAATTTTCATAAAAGTTATGTCAATTTGACCGTGAGTGCATGCTAATTGCAGTTACATATTCTTGTCGTTTATTATTAATCATCAAGTTCTGAAGCTTAATCTTCTCGATCTTGGCACGAAATTTATATCACCACGTACACACGACTATTTTTGAGTAAAAATTTCGCGACTGTTCATGTGGAATTGTCCCTTCTACCTATTTTACGATGAGCCTCGACATCTAGACTTGGATATAACGTCCCTATCATCCCGCCGTTTGAAAAGCTCTTTGGTTTAGTTGAAACTACCGTGAGGACCATTTTCTATTTTCGGTTTGTGTGTCCACTAATTTACCTTATGTAAATCGTTCTCTCGAGTGGTCAGTCATGGACTCACGAAGCCAGTTGAAAGCTCGGAAGGTTTCCATACACTAAATTCGGATTTCATCAAACGAAACAAAAGCGTATCAATCAAAATAGTGATAAAGCCGTTCAATAGACAGACAAATTAAAAATAAAATCTCGGGAAAAGTGAAATTAATTATAAAATAATAAAATAATTAGAAATTAAATAATAAAAACTGATTAATTGTGTAGCCAAAACCACCGGAAATTAAAACACCTCAAGAGACGCCAAAGATCGAAGTTATCAAAGAAACAACTCCAGTTGGAAGCAGAAGACCATCTCTTGTGCCTGGAAGTGGTGCAAGTAGTCGTCGTGGGTCTCTTATTCCTCCTGAGGAATTGGGACGCAGACCTAGTCTTATCATCAGCGACGAGGTAAGTTTTGCTAAGTTATTAGATTGGAGATATCTAAATTCGTTGATTTTTGGATTAATTGAATGTATTCATGATTATGTCATGGAAAAGGAACAAAATTTTCAATGAAATATCCAAACATCAACAAATTTGTACAAATAAATTTTATTTCTCGTTTTTTGTCGCTCATATTGAAAGAACACCCATGTAGATATTCGTATATGTCTTGGTCCTAGCACTTTGTAAAGTATATTTATATGTTCTCCTTTGATTATATTTATTTAGTTTATTGATTGATTGATTTATTTTTTTTTTGTATTTGTCATACTTAGTCTTATTGAATTGCCATCGAATGTCAAAGTTGATTTTTTAATGTATGACTGTTGACTGTAGATTTTGAACATTCTTGTCTCCTTTGAAAATAAGTTGTGCTAGCACATTGAGTAAATTGAAATTATTGCTTGTATTGTTCAATATCAAAGCAATGATTGCTTGGTTGATATCCGGTTATTTCCAACCATTTATCCTTTATAAAAGACACCTTGATTTTTATGAAGAGAAGTTTTGGCGTTCGGGTTAGTGTTTTCAATTTCAGGACAATTCATCCAACAGAATCATGGAAGCAAGGATATCTATCTATTATATTATAAATTGGTATCTTTAAACTTATGGAATATAAGATATGAAGCTTCGATCTATACACGTTCACTTACACACTATACACACAACTTGTATATAAAAATTTCATCCATAGGAGAATAGGAAGCTGCGTCCTGGCGAAGTGATTGAAGAGAAGAAGGTGAGAATGTTCATGTCACCAATAAAAATAAAATAATCCAACTTTTATACAATATAATATTCAATCAGTGCAATATTTTTCATTTAATTTTAATGAATTTAATTGAGATGTTTTATTCAACATTTATGCACTTTTTCGCTATACTGCAAAAAAATCTTATCAGATTCTTTTACAGTTTTTTTTTCACTTACACAAGCACACTTACGCACGCACAATTTTTACTTATAATGAAGAAGATTAAATTTATTCTTTTAATTAGAATTTAAAATTAATCCGTTTCATTAATTTCATTCTTCTATTCTTATTTAATTAATACATCAAAAACTAAAACTCGTTAAATTTAATTTTTTGTTTTGAGTGAATTAAAATAGTTTTTAAAATAACTTTGATGAGAATATAAAATGAATAGAAGAATATTGAAATCCTGAAAAATAAAAGTTGCATTTCTTAATGAATCTTTAATAAATTAAATTTGAAAAAGAAAAATCAATATAAAATGCAGCTTTTTTGATTCAGTAAAGCATTAAAAATATAACGAATGAACTATTGAATGATAGATAAGTATTAAAACATCACACGTACAAACAAAAAAAAAATGCATTTGCATCTGGCACAGTCACAGAAGATAAAGCGAAAGGCGCATGATGCACCGAACTCGTCTTAATGCACTCTCTTTCTACTGCAACCGATAGAATGATGGTGGAGATAATAATAATTATAATCTATATGCACAATAAGAAATAATATAACTATTAATATTAATAAATATTAATAAAAAAATAAAATATAATATAAAATAACGTAATAGTAATATGAAGGAAGGTAAACCTCGAAATATCTGTCATAAGTAGGTAATACCTGGATTCTTGCATATTCTTATCTTAAAGTGCGAAATTAACCCGTGAATTCAGCCTCGTGGCTCGTTTTTGCACACGTTTGTCGGCGGGGTAGCAATTAAATTCTTAAAATATAATTTCTGAAAATAGTTAAAGACACGGGATTGTTGCTGAGTGGATCCCGGTACCATTTGCCAGGTCGATAGTTTGGTCCATTTGATAATCATCCGTGAATCATTTCACACTGTCTTCTTCTTTACCGCCGTCATCGCGTCCTAGAAGAACGCTAATGGCTCGTGAAAAGTTGCACGCGTGTACGAAAGATAAAATATCTATCCACTTTACTTGTCTACCATTTATCATCCATTCTAATTGCTATTTGAACCGAGGGTGGATTCAACACTCACATTGCAAACACATAACTCGATTCTTCCTGCCAAATGGGTTTTATATTTGATTTTCAGTAGAATTAAATTTAGATCTGTGTTAGAATTAAAACAATTTTTTGAAATATTTTATTTGAAAATTCTTATGTATCATTAGATGATTTATTTAACTATAAATGATTACGCTCATTAAAATGACAGTTTGGCAGACTTTTGAATTAATATCCTGGCTTGCTCTAGTCCATATTATTGTCAGAGGGAACCCACCTCAACAATTAAGCTTGACGAATTGCTCAACAGTATTGTTACATCATGTTAACAGGTTTAACTTAGTTGTTTAAATTAGACTTCTTGTCATCATGACACGTGTTTTACAATAATTCTACTTCTTACCGTAACTGTCAACGACTTTTTAAGAATGTCACCAAATTTTTCCTTTAATGTTCTATTGCCAAATATTTCGAGGTTACTTACTTTCTTATCAGCATTGATCGTACATTCGTTTGCTTCAACTCTCATTTATTATCAAAAGTCTATTTGATTTGAAGCAAATGAGTGTGCAAGAAAAAGAATTTATCTGTAAAATCCTGGATGGCATATTGGAAAATATATCAATGTTGAAATAAATAACAGGATAGCACATAAATTCTTTTCTGAATCAATCGAAATTTTATGAAATGACTATTTACTCTCTTTCTAGCATTTAATCATCAGCTTTCTCTGTCATTGCGATTCTAGTATTTAAGAATTATTCTTTCACTTTAATCTTCCAAGCCATCGTGGTCAATCATCATCAACCATCATCTCATCATTTCTCTTTTATTAAATCCTGATATTGATTCTCAATTGGGGAAAAAATGTTGAAATGTTTATTGATAGATTATGTTGATACATCAGTTGATATTGAAATCATTTTGTGCAGGCTGGAAAGTTACGCCCCGGCGAGGTGTTAGACGCCAAGGTGAGATTTGTGTTCGCTATAACACAAAGCTTACCTTTCGAGTCCATTGATCTCATTTTTATTAATTTTTTTAAAAGTTTTTGTATTCTCATAAATTTCCTATTTAGCTCATCAATCCCGCAGTAAGATTCATTTTTTGATACTTGATGAATCATCATATTTTTTTTTTCAATTTTTCATTTCCCTCTAAGTTTTAGATGTCAATAATATTGAGATAATGAGATATTTTTTAATTAATTAATGATTTACGTCATTGACAAAATAATGCACTTAATTATCATTGATAAAATTTTATCTAATTAATGCTGATTTTATATGGAATATTTATCCCGCTAATCACGATAATCATTCACTCAATATACAGCCATTATCATCACGATCATCATCAACATTATTCACCAAAAGGACCGTAATCAAAATCATCGTCACTTACGTATTTACATGATTATTTCCTTCTCACCGGTAATATTCACTTTCATCAATTCAAGCATTTTCATTATAAAAAATTCATTGAGGAGATTTTTATATTAAAGTTCATCCAAAACATGAAATTCAAGTTTTTTGATAGAAAATTTTAAATAAAATTAAATTTATAACATATAATAATTGATTAATAAATAAATTAAATCGAGAAAAAAATCTCCTCAAATAAATTAAAACACCTAATGAAAGCACCACAGTGGTTAACTGACTTTTAATAAGAATACTTAATAATTAATAAGTACAATTTTTTTAGCTAATCTGGACCTGTTGCTGCCGCTGCAATGCTGGCCTCCAATACTTACACAACGCTAATCAAATAATTTATTCTGATAATAATAATTCTACTGAAGTATTTAATTTCAATAATATAAAAAAATAATGACTTATTTATAATAGACAACAATGTAAAACCTTCAGTTAGATACTCGTCCAGATAATCACTTTTAATCTCTTCTATCCTGTTAATACACTCACTTCTGCTACGTATCATCATCTTTAGTTAGCGAATTATTCTTCAACACCTGTTATATTTCACAAACTCTTTATTCACTATATTTTTTTTGACAAGCAGATTAAACACGGGCGCCCCGGTGAGGTGCAAGATAAACAGGTTAGATATTTTCAACGTGAAAACATTCAAATGTTTATTTTTACTCACTGGACATTTGTAAATATAATTCAAATTCATATATTCATGTATGTAGTTAGTTAAACTCAAACTGCCGTATTTATATATATATATATATTCAACTTCATCTAAAATTTGAATTGTACATTAGATTATTTAACTATTTAGTACATCTCTTAATATTTTCTGCTTTCAAAAGTAATGTTTAAATATCATTCTTTTTGTTTCATTTTGTTGTACATATATCTTCAAATGAATATAATGTCATGTAGATTTTCATTTTGTAAATACACTCAACAATTACATTGTGTAATTTCATAGTTCGAAGGATTAAAATAAATGATTTGAACTCAGTTTTTAATCCTGACAACTGTTAATTTGAAATCAAAAAAATACTTCTTAGTCTTGCATCATCACTATTTAGTCTCATTATATTTAATAAATAATCACTCATCATTATTATGTTGTAGATATTTTTTTATTCATCTTTAGATATATTTTCATTCTCAGAGGATGTCTCATAAATTTTTAAACAGTGCTTGATGTTGATACTCGTTGAATTAAATGAGACCATTGATGGGTTGATGATTTAGCACTTGAGACTCCTCAAACAAAGAAAATTACTACAAGATAAGATATTCAATGAAACAAAAATTCAAATTTTAAATTTAGATCATACTTGTCTGGATTGAATCATTCCATTGATTCTCAATTAACATACGAGGTTGACTAGTATAAAATAATTGAAATGCCTTGAGATCAAGCCAGATTATGAGACCAACGAGTTGATTTACAATTCACTTAATTAGATTTCTCAACAAATTTTACGTTTACTTTGACTTTGTAAAATAATAAATCACTCAGTGTAGCTAATTTTCCATCTTCTTATTTTGTAGCAATTTTCAATAAATTAACATTCTTCATTTTAGTCTTCTAATCATCGTCACAAAAATCATCGGTAGAACTCATAGTAGTTTACTCCATTACATCTATTATATTTCATACAAATATGTACTTACTGTAACTATTAAACATAACTCAATCCACTTATATTATTATAAGTAATATTAATAATAATAGCCGTTGAATTATAATAAACAATAAAATCTATTTTCTACTACAAAACCATTACAGGTTTACACTGCTGAAGTCCTCTGAATGAGCCCTATGATCAACTCCTTTACGTATTAATATATTTAAGAACGATATACTCTGTGTTTTTAACTTGCTTTCAACTATTTGAAACTTTATTCGTAATAACTGCTTTCTGTGTTTGAATGTATAATTTTTTATACTTGCTGCATTATGATTTTAACATAACTTATGAATTAGTTAATTATTTACGCTGTATTATATATTTATTGCTTTTTTTATTTTTTCATTTGTATTTGCTTAGTGAAAGCAATCTATATACCGATGATATTTATTGATAGTGATAGAAGATAATAATTTTATTAATTATGATATTAAATAATATTTTAAATACAGGTAAGATTTTTTACATAATCCTTCAGATGTCAACTCATACATTCTATTTTTTTATATCTACTGCTATGTTCAATAATGATTTTAGAAATATTTTTAAAGGATTAAAAATCATAATATCATCGGTATCTATTTGAATATTGAATATCTATTGAATTTATCAAATAGATGAATTTAAACAATATATATAAATAATTTTTAGAAGATTGTAAAACTAATAAAGTTCTATTGTAACAGCGACGTCGTCCGAGTACGGACCTCAGAAGACCAAGCGTGGCGGACCTTGAGAATAAGATCAACCAACCTAGTACACCCCTTCGAGATGTGGGACCCGCTGGACCACCACAAATCGTCGACGTGCAGGAGTCATACTCTGCAGTCGAGGACTCGACGGCCTATCTCACCGTTCAGGTGGAAGGAAATCCTGCGCCAACATTTAAATTCTACAAGGGAATGACAGAAATTATCGAAGGTGGTCGATTCAAATTCTTAACAGACACAGAAACAAATACCATCACACTATGTATGAGAAAAACCAAGCCTAATGATGAGGGAACATATAAAATTGTTATCAGTAATATCCATGGCGAGGATTCAGCTGAAATGCAGCTTTATGTATCCGGTAAGTTAATTTAATTTTATCTCAAAAGTTATTTTAATTTAATGTATAAATAGCGAAGCTATTATTGAATATAAGCTATAATTAGTTTCACTAATGAATAAAATACCTTATTTGAAATATTTTTATTTCTACGCTTTCAAGAAAAACGTGTATATTGACGTTGTTTGTAAATCAATCAATTCTGAGAAATTCTATAAAACTGGGTTCAGAATTAATTAAAAACTTTTTATTTATTAGCTTTTACATTCCATTATTGCTTGTAATTTAATTCCACTTGGAACTTTTTCTACTGATAATAATTTATGTTGATAGATGCCAGTGGAATGGATTTCCGAGCTATGCTCAAAAAAAGGAAATACCAAAAATGGGGAAGAGAAGACCCAGATCCAGAAAAAGTCGATCTCAAAGAAGTGGAAAAACCTATGCCAGCCTTAAAGAAGGTTGAAAAGGTACATTGTCCTTTTAATATTTTTCAATATCATCTTTTTATATTATTTATCTTCAGCAGCTATAATCGACTTGGTTTTATTTAAATAATTTATTCAACATACTTACAAGTAAGTCAACAAGTGGGTAAATTTCGTTCGATAGATGATGAATGTCCCTCTCAAGTCCGGTCGTTTATTCCTTATTTTAGACGTAATTAACATGTGTGAAAAGCAATGGTAACTAATTTATGATATGATGAAAAAAATTAAATAGAAAATGCAAGATGTAGTTTAACTCCTTGTCATGATTGAAATTTTTGCTATGATAAAACTTCAATACGTAATGAATAAATTGTAAAAAATTTATAACGTATTCATAGCCACTACCAGGTGGAAGAAGTTGGTATCAAGATGGCAACGAAATAGTGATCTTAGTGGAACGTGATGAAGAACTTCGAATACCTCTAGACAAGAAAGGCGAAACTAACTGGAGCTGGTTAAAGGTTTTACATTCCCCAAAACAAATTGAACCTATTATAAAATTTAATCAAAATTTTTATGAAGAGACGTATATCTCAAATATTTGAATTTATTCTTTATTTTTTAAATATTTATCGAGAAATTATTTATGATCTATGTTCTTGGGCACTCTCGCAGCAAAAACATGTCTATAATCTAATTTATTTTTCTATTTTTTACTTTCATATAGGATCATAAGGCTAAAGAATATTTATTTATTCATTTTATATTTTAAATATAAAACTTTCGTCTCTTGATCATTGGCTATCTAGTGAATTTGCGTGACTTCAAAAATGGTACATCAATTCCATCAATCAGTGTTTTAATTAATAGAAATTTAAATTAAAAATTCAATCAATTAAGTAGAAATAATTTATTTTCATTATCGAAATGAAATAAGTGGAAAAATGCTTGTCATAATTACTAAAATAAAACACTGATTATTGGTACTTCGAGGATCACAAACTAATAGGAAATTATTTCTTACCATCCGCGTTCGCGCTGATGTCCACAACTGATGATGGTTTAGGATGTCTTCGATATTCAACGTAGACCAAGCCTGCAAGAATTAATCGTCGACTGGCCAAAACTCGTCGTTCGTGTGAAGAAAAAGGTTCGATCGTTTCTCACATATTTCTCCCTTGAAGAAAATTTTTGCTCCAAAACATTTTGCATATCTCCAACGACATTAGAAATACAACCCTTTTGTTTTCTGAACACTTTAGTGGCTATAACGACCTGGAGCGGTTTATAAAGCCCGAGACTATACAAGCTTGTTGTTCGAGTCTCTCTTTTGGTCGCTTTTATTTGTACCCTTGCAAAATGAAAAAAAAGTCTAACTCGATAAAATGGTCGATCCTCGAAGTGCCACTTGAAACTAGACTGAAACAAGTCGACCCAACTATATATGAATTCGCTTATTTTTAATTAATTTCTTCCTTTTAGAACTGAGACTAAATCACTGATGTAAAAGACAGTTGTAGTTCTTTTATAAGCTCAACTATTTCCCTATTTAATCAGAAACATATCCACTGAGAAAAAATTCTAGTGGTTTTTGCTTGAAGTTTTAATCAATTCTACCAATAGATTGCTACATTGGATCTTTGCTACTACTTGAGTTGAATATTTTCACTGAATTATAAATTATAATAAATTAATTGTATCAACTAATCAAATTTACTATATTAACAAAGTTGAAGACTCTTTAAAATGGAAAAATCACTAGATGACTTTCCCAAGTGTACTTTTTCGAAAAACAAAATTAAAAAACACATCGATTAATCTTTTAAAAAAATTTAGGATACCAAAAAGTCAAACACAAACACATCCACGTCTACGCGTTATTTTTATTTCTAGACTAGTGGGTCACGTAGGCCATCATTGGCTGAACTAATACCCGACTGGCCGATCCTACGTCACTTCATCAAGACCGAGGTTGGCCAAATTGCCGATTGATGGATCAATCCTATTACGTGATATAGCTTTAATTCGAAATATGTATATATTATGGACGTCTGCATCATCGTCGTTGTTGCACGTCAATTCATATACATATACTTAAATTCATTCATTTAAGGCATTGATAATGATAACTAAGCTATCATACAGCATCCACTTGCCATTAAACATTCAAACTTTTTTACTAGACAATCAATTGTTTTCATGCTTGTCTACGAAATTTCGCACGAGAAAATTTGATTACTGGTCTAACAGCATCTGGACAATTGGGCATGATTATCAACGAGGGAGAATCATTTTTTTATCTATTTATACTGAGTCATCATAATAAAATGATAATTGTCTAAAATATAATGCATTCTTTAACTATTTGTTTTTATTTATATCAACAGATAAGATGAGCTGAAATTAATTGAAATAAACTGTAGATAAGATGAGTTATTAATTTATTATATCTTTTTTATGAAAATTATAGAAGCAAGATTCTTTCCTGAAACCTTTAGTGGATCAATATGCTAAAGAGGGTAAAGATAAGAAAGTTACGTTTGATGCAAACTTCTCCAAACCAAATGCAAAACCAAAGTGGTTCTTCCGTAAAGATGTATGTATTATTTTTACTTACAAATAAATTGTATTTATGTTTATTTGTTTTAGTAAACAAAATTTATTCTACTTTAGTTGTTATCTTTGAAATCTTTCATTTGAAGATTAATTAGAGACTGAATTTGGACAGCACAGAAAATGCAATTTTGTTGACAGATTAATTTACTTAATCCCAACAAATTGTACTAATGCCAAATAATTATTATTGTAAATTTATTTTTGATGTTAAAATATTTTCATTAGTTCTTATTTAATCATTTCCTGTTGATGAGTAATTAGTAACTCTGAAATTAATCATCCGTAGATTTTAGATCAAGAACAAAACACTTGTTGATGAAGTTTAAATATTCATAATTATTTTCGTTTATTTTTATAGGAGCTCTTCCCTTCATCGAAGTACAAATTCAAGAATGAAGAAGATTCTTATCAACTTGTAATTTTGAATCCCAAAGTTGAAGACACTGGCAAATACACTATTGACATTGGCGGAATAACAAGCACAGCTTTTCTCAATGTCGATGGTAAAAATAATTTTTTAAACTTATTATAGCCGTTAATTAAATTTTCTATCGTAAATCTTTTTAGATTTTTTAAATAAAAATAAATACTATTATTGTTATTTATACATTTTCCAGAACCTGATCCATCTTACACGTTTATCAAGCCCTTATCAAAACAGACTGAAGGTTTCACTAGACATGAAGCCTTCATGGAATGTACCCTCAGTTCAAATCTTGCTCAAGTTACTTGGTACAAAGGAAAAACGAAACTCGAGGTGATGTATTACTTTATTTTACAAAACTTTACTCCATCTATTCTACAGTAATATTAAATTAAATTCCTTATCTTTCAGGACGGTGATATATATGGAATCTCTAAGGACATGTCTGGAGTCTGTAGATTAACAATTAAAAATGCTAAGTTAGAAGATAGTGGTGAATATTGTTGTAAAATTAGTAAGCAAACGGAAAAGACAGAAACAACTCTTACTATTGTTGGTTAGTAGCAGAAAGAATTATTTTTATTACATTTACTTTTTACCTTTGTGTGTTTCAAGTATTACTAACTTTTCATTAAATTTCTATCAGAATACCCATACAAGTTCGTTAAAGTACTGAAACATCAACAAGCAGTAGAGAAAGAAACTCTTACATTGCTTTGTGAGCTCGATGATGCTGCTGGTGACGTTAAGTGGTTCAAAGGTGATCAAGAGATCACAGGAGATAAAAGGTATAATTGTTGAGAATATCTTACTAATTATAAAGTAATTAATTGTTATGAGCTTACTGATTGCAAATAGTAATTCAAAAAATTTTATCGGCTCAAGTAATTAATTATTTCAGTAGAAAAGTGATAATTGTCTATGTAATATTGTTAACAGGGTTCAAATTAAAGAAGACGGTCGCAAACGAAAGCTCATTATCAAAGATGCAAAAGTTACAGACGCTGGAATGTATTCTTGTGTCAGCAATGCTGATAAAACTGAAGCTGAAATCACTGTCAATTGTAAGTATCTAATTGAATCTATTAAAGTTTTATTTTTAATTAGTACAGCATTAACTTTTGTACTGATTCAACTTCATACTATTTGTCTAGACTTGAATCGTTTCAACAAGAAACTCAAAGACACTACTGGAATAGAACGAGAGAAGCTTGTTCTCGATGTAGAGCTTCAAGACCAAACAGCTCCAGCTGAGTGGACATTCAATGGCAAACCAATCGAACCCAATGATAGGATTGAAATAAAAAATCTTGGAGGTGGTAAACACCAATTAGTTTTCAATAAATTAGAAATGAGTGATGAGGGTGAAATTACTTGTAAGAGTGGAGAGCTCACAAGCAGTTGCAAACTCTCTGTGAGAAAAGGTGAAAGTAAACCAATACCGGAAATTCCCGATAAAGTGGAAGGTCCTTGTTCAGCGCCTATTGTCTTTATAATTCCATTCAAAATTGAAGGCACTAAACAAACTCCCATTGAAGCTAAGTTAATGAAAGACGGTAAAGCATTGCCTTTGAAAGATGTTGAGATTATCGTGGGTGAGGATAAAATTACTTATAAATACAAGAAACCTCAACGAGCTTTGTCCGGCATTTATCAAGTTGCCATTAGCAATGCTCAAGGAGAAGAAGTTAAAGATGTTAACATTATCATGCAAGATGTTCCAACAGCTCCACGAGATGTTGATGTAACTGATGTCTTTGCAACATCTTGTGTTGTATCATTCAAACCATCAGAAGATGATGGAGGCGCTCCTATCACCAAATATGTTATTGAACGTTTGGACATGAGTTTAAAGAATCAATGGGATAGTGTTGGTGAAGTAATGCCAGGAGAGAAATGCTCATATAAAGTAGAAGATCTTAAAACGAAAAAAGAATACAAATTCCGTATTCGCGCAGTTAATAAAATTGGAACAAGTGAACCTGCGATGTTTGGTAAGCCGATTCTCGCTAAAGATCCATGGGATGAACCTGGTAAACCTGAAAATGTTGAAGTCACTGACTGGGATGTGGATCATGCAGATTTGAAATGGACCAAACCAGAAAGCGATGGAGGTGCTCCAATCACTGGTTATGTTATTGAATATAAAGAAAAGTTTGGAAAAGAATGGGTGAAAGGAAAAGAAATTGATGGTGATGTTACATCTGGTACTATTGATGGCTTAAAAGAAGGAACTCAATATGAATTTAGAATTCGTGCAGTTAATAAAGCAGGACCTGGAGAACCTTCCGATGCAACTAAACCTATTATAGCTAAATGCCGATTCGTCAAGCCTTTTATTATTGGCGATCAACTGACCAATTTAGTTGTGAAAAAAGGTCAAGTTATCAAATATGATATTAAATATGGTGGTGAACCAGAGCCTGAGGTACATTGGTTCCTGGGATCAAAAGAATTAGCTCAAGATGCTGCTGAGCGAATAACGATCGATAAATATGAAAGAAATACTGTGATTACAATACGTAAAACTGTTCGTGCAGATTCTGGGAAATATAAATTGGTTCTCAATAATAGTTCAGGCGAATGTGAAAGCTCTGCTGATGTTGTAGTGCTTGATAAACCAACCGCACCTCTTGGTCCATTAGTTACAGAAGAAGTACGAGCAGATCATATCACTGTTAAATGGAAGAAACCCAAAGACGATGGTGGTTCTGAAATTACTGGATACACTTTGGAGAAAATGGATATGGATACAGGTCGTTGGGTTCCTGCTGGTGAAGTTGGACCTAATCAAGATAGCTTCACATTTTCAGGCCTTACACCTAATAAAAAATACAAGCTTCGTGTAAAAGCTACAAATAAAGAAGGTGAATCTGAGCCTTTGGTAACAGACGAAGCCATATTAGCGAAGAATCCCTATGACGAACCTGATAAACCAGGCAAACCTGAAATCTTCGATTACGATAATATGAGTGTATCCTTACGATGGGCAAAACCAGAAAAAGATGGTGGTAGACCTATTACTCATTATGTCATTGAAATGAAGGACAAATTCGCTCCAGATTGGCTAGAAGTAATGAAAACAACAGATGCAACTCCTGAAGCAAAGGTTGAAGGATTGAAAGAAAAAATGGTGTATCAATTTAGAGTTCGAGCAGTAAACAAAGCTGGACCTTCACAACCTAGTGAACCAACGGACAATCATATATGTAAACACAGAAATTTGAAACCAAGGATAGATCGTACCAACTTGAAATCAGTTGTTATCAAAGCTGGTCGTACTCATAAGTGGTCAGTTGATATTATTGGTGAACCTCCACCAAGAACTAATTGGATCTGGAGAGATAATATTCCTCTCACTACAACAGAGCGTATAAAAATTGATGATGTAGAATATCATACTGATTTTACAATTGTAAATGCAGTACGTAAAGATAGTGGAAAATACACATTGGTAGCAGAAAACGTTAATGGCAGAGATGAAGAAACTGTTGAACTCACAGTTCTTGGTAAACCTGATGCACCTGGTGGACCACTAGTGGTTACTGACGTTACCAATCAAACGGCCAAAGTCAAATGGCAGAAACCCGAAGACGATGGCGGTGTTCCTATTCAGGAATATGAAATTGAAAGGATGGACACCAAAACAGGCAAATGGGTCCGATGTGGAAAAGTACCAGGAAATTCACCTAACATGGAATTTGAAATTACTGGTCTCAATCCTGGCAATGAATACATGTTCCGAGTTACTGCAGTTAATGATGAAGGTGACTCTGAACCATTGATGAGCGAGAAACCGATTATAGCTAAGAATCCATTCGATGAACCTCATGCCCCAGGAACTCCATTAATTACTGATTATGATAATGAGTCTGTTAGTATTAAATGGACAGCTCCAGACTTTGATGGTGGTGCTCCAATTGAGAAATACATCATCGAGAAGAAGGATAGATATAAGCCGGATTGGGAAAAGGCTATGGAAGTTCCAGCCACTGGGGAATTAGCAGCTAAAGTTATGGGTTTGAAAGATAGAGCGGAATATCAGTTTAGAGTTATTGCTGTTAACAAAGCTGGACCTTCTCCACCATCTGATGCTTCTAAGATGCAAATGGTCAAACATAAAGCACGTAAGTATATCTTTTTTGTGATTAATTTTGTCTATAAATTTTGACATTAATTAATTATATCTTTTATTCTAGTGAAACCAAGAATTGATCGAACCAATTTGAAGCCTATCGTTGTAAGAGCGGGCAAGCCTATTAAATATGACATCGATGTTCAAGGCGAACCACCTCCAGAGATAACATGGTATCACAAAGATGAACTAGTGAAGTCTGGTGGAGCCATTGAAATTGTTAATATTGACTACAATACTAAGTTAAGCATAACAGATACCATTCGAAAACATACAGGTGTATGGAAGATAAAAGCTGTCAATGCTTCTGGAGAAGATGAAGCTGAAGTTGAAGTTACAATACTATGTAAGTATGCGCTATCATTTATTGATTTCACTATAATAATACATAGTCTGTCCTACGTAGAGTAGAATAATCGTATAAAATTCTAAAAAACAATTTTTATTCTTACATAAATATATAGTTATAAATATAATAAGCGTTATAAAAAAAATATACACATATATATTTATCTCCGATTTTTTGGAGTTCTCAAAGTTAAAAAATAAGTTCATAACATTAAACTGAACTTTAGAGGACATCTCCTGTGAAAGAGAACTTATTTCATTCTTTTTTTAACTTTTCAACTCTTCAATGTTAAACAGTAAAAAAAAAAGAATAAAAAGACTATAATCTTCAGGTTTTAAAACGTCTCTTTGAATTATTCTTTATTTATTTAATTACATGATCAAAAATTTGCCATTTTTTGTTATTTTTTGATTTCTTTAACGGTATTAATATATCCCTTCAAAATAAAAATAATTTAATCAATAAAAAATAGTTTGATTGGACGATAAATTTATTATTGTAATTGTTTAGCGGCTCCTGGTCAACCGAAAGGTCCTCTAAAGGTATCAGACGTAACAAAGAATGGCTGTAAATTAAAATGGGAAAAACCTGAAGATGATGGTGGTAAACCAATCACTGGTTACCAAGTTGAGAAACTCGATAAAACGACTGGTCGATGGGTACCAGTTGGTCGTACTAATGACACCGAAATGGACGTAAAAGGTCTAACAGAAGGACACGAATATGAGTTCCGTGTAAAAGCTCTAAATGAAGAAGGAGAATCTGAACCACTTAATACATCTGGTGGAATTGTGGCAAAAAATCCTTTCGACGTTGCTGGCAGACCTGGTGTACCAGAATTCGAAGACTGGGATGTTGATAGAGTAGATTTGAAATGGACTCCACCTAAAAGCGATGGAGGTGCTCCTATTACAGGTTATATCATTGAGAAAAAAGAGAAATTCTCAAGTCATTGGGAAGAAGCAATTGAAACTACTTCTTCAGAGCCAAAAGGGCGTGTTACCGGACTGAAAAAAGGATCTACTTATCAATTTCGCGTGCGAGCTGTAAATAAAGCTGGACCATCAGAACCTAGTGATCCTACTAAACCACACATAGCTAAAGCTCGCTACCTTAAACCTCATATCAATCGAGACAAATTACAGATGGTTAAAGTAAGAGCTGGTCAACATGTGAAGCTCGAAGTAGATGTTGAAGGTGAACCTCCTCCAACAATTACATGGTCTCGAGGTAGTACTGTTCTTGAAAATGTTCCAAATTTGAAAATTGAAAATGAAGATTACTTGACCAAATTCAATATGTCTCACACCAGTCGTAAAGACACTGCCAAATACACCATCACAGCTGTTAATGACTCAGGTCGTGATGAAGCTGAAGTTGAAATAATAATTCTAGATAAGCCTGATAAACCAGAAGGGCCTCTAGAGGTTGTAGATGTTCACAAAGAAGGTTGTAAACTTAAATGGAAGAAACCAAAAGATGATGGTGGTTTACCTTTGTCTAGTTACATCATTGAAAAGATGGATCTTACATCTGGTCGATGGGTTCCTGCTGGTATTGTTGATCCAGAAAAAACGGAACATGCCCTTACTGGTTTAGAGCCTGGACATAAATACGAATTTAGAGTAAAGGCTGTCAATGAAGAAGGAGAATCTGAACCATTGGCAACTGATACTGCAATTGTTGCTAAAAATCCTTATGATCCACCTGCAGCTCCTGGTCTTCCAGAAATTATTGACTGGACTGAAAATTCAGTAACGCTCAAATGGGAACCTCCAATAAGAGATGGTGGTGCTCCTATCACTGGATATATCATTGAAATGAAAGAAAGGTTTGGAACGAGTTTTGTAAAAGCTGCTGAAACCAGTGGACCTAAATGTGAAGGCTTTGTACCAAGACTAGTAGAAGGAAATCAATATCAATTCAGAGTACGTGCTGTTAATAAAGCAGGACCTAGTGAACCCAGTGAAGCTACTAATCCACATACTGCGAAACCTCGATGGTTGAAACCACACATTGATAGAACTAATCTTCAACCTATGACGGTTAAAGTGGGTCTTACTATTAGTTTAGATGTTAATATTATTGGTGAACCACCTCCAAATGTCACTTGGTATTATAATGATTCTGAGTTAAAAACTAATGATATCTATCGTATTGATAATATTGATTATAACTCTAAATTCTTCGTTTTGAAAGCAAAACGAGAACATACAGGAAGGTACAAAATTAGAGCTAAGAATGAAGTTGGTGAGGACGAAGCTGAAATTGAAATTACAGTTCTTGGTAAACCAACCAAACCTAAAGGTCCTCTTAGTGTAACTGATGTTACTAAACACGGTTGTAAACTTAAATGGAAGAGACCAGAAGACGATGGTGGCTCACCAATTGAGTATTATGAAATTGAAAAATTAGATCCACTTTCAGGTGCTTGGGTACCATGTGCAAGATCAACTGAACCAGAAGCAAATATCACGGGTCTTTTAGAGGGCAAACCTTACAAATTCCGTGTTAAAGCCGTTAATAAAGAAGGTGAATCAGAAGAGCTTGAAGCTGACAAATCAATCATTGCCAAAAATCCATTTAATGAACCAGGTAAACCTGGACGCCCAGAACTTAAAGACTGGGATAAAGACTTTGTTGATCTTTCATGGAAAGCTCCAGAAGATGATGGTGGTGCAATTATTGAAAAATATATCGTTCAAATGCGTGATAAGGATGGACGACAGTGGGTTGATGCGGCAATGGTTGTCGGAGACCGTACAAATGCCAAAGTTACTGAAGGTATTGAACCGGGACATGAATATGAATTCCGAGTTGTTGCAGTTAATAGAGCAGGACCTAGTGAACCTAGTGATGTATCAAAGAGTGTTGTTGCTAAACCTCGATTCTTGGCTCCTCGCATCGATCGCAAAAATCTTACGAAAAAGACACTTCGTATTGGACAAATGCTTAGGCTCGAAGCTGATATTAAAGGTGAACCTCCTCCAGCAGTAACATGGAAATACAAAGATGCCATAATTAAGAGTATGGATAGATTAAAAATCGATAATGAAGAATATCATACTCTATTTATTTTAAACAAACTGAAGAGATCTGATACGGGAACATATACGGTCATTGCCACAAATGAAAGTGGTACTGATCAAGTAGACATCGAATTAGTTGTCTTGAGCAAACCAACAAAGCCTAAAGGACCTTTAGATGTATCAGACGTTACTGCAGATGGATGTAAACTCAAGTGGAATCCTCCTGCTGATGATGGTGGTGAGCCCATTGATCATTATGTTGTTGAACGTATGGATGTTGACACAGGAAGATGGGTACCATGTGCCACAAGTAAAACACCAGAAGCTGAAATAAGTGGACTGAATGAGGGAAAAGATTACATGTTCCGAGTGAAAGCTGTCAATGCTGAAGGTGATTCAGAGCCTTTAGAAACAGATCTGCCAATTACTGCGAAAAATCCATTCAAAGAACCCGATGCTCCAGGAAAACCAGAACTCAGAGATTGGAGCAAACGACACGTGGACCTTAAATGGACAGCGCCTAAACGGGATGGTGGTGCACCTATTGAAAAATATATTATTGAAAAGAAAGATGCGTATGGAAAATGGCAAAAGGCAGCAGAGGTACCTGGAAATCAAACTCGTGGAACTGTTGAAGATCTTACAGAAGGACAAAAGTATCAATTTAGGATAAAAGCAGTTAATAAAGGTGGTGTGAGTCAACCCAGTGATCCTAGTGATATTCTTACTGCCAAAGACCGATATGCTGCTCCTAGAATTGATAGAACGAATCTTAGAGATCTCACAATTAGAGCCGGCAATCATATTCGACTCGACGTTAAAATTAGTGGTGAACCTCCACCAACTAAGGTTTGGTATCACAATAAAGTTAAACAAGAAGAAGGCGATAATTTAACCATTGAAATTGATGATTACCGCACTAAATTCATGGTACCTTCCGCCACTAGAGCTCATTGCGGCACATTAACCATCAAAGCTGAAAATGATTCAGGAAGAGATGAAGCTTCCATTGAAATAATAGTTCTTGATAAGCCTGCTAAACCTGAAGGACCACTTAAGGTTAGTGATGTCCACAAAGAAGGATGTAACCTTAAATGGAATCCACCACTAGATGATGGAGGTGTTCCTATTGAACATTATGTTGTTGAAAAAATGGATACTGAAACTGGTAGATGGGTACCAGTTGGTCGAACAAAAGAGCCTAACTTTGAAGTTGAAAATCTTGTTCCTGGTCAAGAATATAAATTCCGCGTAGCTGCAGTCAATGCTGAAGGAGAGTCGGAACCATTGGTGACTGATCACTCAATCGTGGCCAAAAATCCATTCGGTAATTTTATTTTGTTAATACAAATAATGATTTAGTCAGTAGTTGATTGATGAAAAAAACATCTATGAAGAGAGACTTAAATCATCAACTATTGATAAGCTTATTCTCCAACATTATCAATATCTTGATAAATAAAAAAATATCCGCTCAATGCTTGTTACTCAATGCTTTATAATAACTATTTATTGCTTATTATTTTAGCGACTGACATAACGCAGATTTCTATCTCTTTTTAAAACTAATTTAATATAACTTAAGAAACTAATCATTACGATAAGTTATTGATTTTTACTACAGCATCAAAAATTAAAAATTTAATAGCTGTCAAAAAATTTCATCTAATTTTTGCTCAAAAATACATGAAAGCTTTTCGTTATTTTTCAAAAAATGAAATTTACTTACTTATTTATTGTATTACAGACGAGCCAGGTGCACCAGGCCGACCAGAAGCAACCGACTGGGACAAGGATCACGTAGATTTAAGATGGACTCCACCGTTAGTTGACGGTGGATCTCCAATCACAGGTTACGTGATTGAAAAACGTGAAAAAGGCTCACAGAAGTGGGTTAAAGCTTGTGAGACCATTGGACCTGAATGTAAAGGACGCGCAGAGAATCTTGATGAAGGTATCGAATATGAATTCCGTGTCAGAGCAGTTAATGCTGCTGGTCCTGGTGAACCATCTGATGCTAGTAAATCAATTGTCGCTAAAAGTCGACGAGGTAAATTTTCCATAATTTTTTCTACAAACACTTCATAAAAACATCTTTAACACTAGGAAATATTCTTACAAAAATTTTTTTTCCAGTACCACCGAAGATTGATCGTAGAAATCTTCGAGATGTTGAAATCCGTGAGGGTGAACGTTTCCACTTCGACGTGAAAGTTATTGGTGAGCCTCCTCCAGACGTTACATGGGTGATCAATGACAAGAGTATTCACATAACAACTCATCGTAGAGTTGTAAACGAACCAAACAACACAAAATTCTTTAATGATAAAGCTGAGCGTAAAGATACTGGAATTTATAAAATTACAGCTGTTAATCAGTATGGAAGTGATACAGCTGAAGTTGAAGTCAATGTTATTTGTAAGTATTAAGTTTTATTTAACATTGATTGAAGCACTTGATAATGAGTATTAAACAGGGTTAAGGATACATATGAAAAATAATTGCGTAAGATATTTATTATATAAATTGGTTAAGATGTTGACATCAATTAGAATATATTTGGTGGCGCTTAAAATTATATTTAGTTTATTCACAAACGTCTTTCATTGTGATAAGTCACTGTCTAATGTACTGTCAGTATAATTTCTTTAGTCTATGGCTCCTACACGCCAAGCTTTTGGTATGTTGTTCTATCAAAGTCCACCATAAATAAGTTTATGTGAAATACTTTAATTATTAATTTTTTATTTTAAAGAAAAACGAAAATTATCGATTCATAGTATATGTAATTTATTTATGCGATTTTTTATTAAATTTCAGCAAAACCAGGAAAACCAGAAGGACCCCTCGATGTATCCGATATCCATAAAGATGGTTGTACACTGAAGTGGAGAAAACCAAAAGACGATGGCGGAGAACCAATCGAAGGTTATCTTGTAGAAAAATATGACCCAGAAACTGGTGTATGGTTGCCAATTGGCAAATGTCCGGGTACTGAGATGAAAGTTGAAGGTCTCACTCCAGGCCATGAATACAAATTCCGAGTTAAGGCAATTAATGCTGAAGGAGAATCTGAACCTTTGGAGACTTATGGATCCATCATAGCTAAAGATCCATTTAGTAAGTACATAATTCTTTTTGGAAGTCTATCATAGATGTAGACTTCATTAAAATTCTTTATTATGAAAATATTAATTTTTTTTTAGCCGTACCATCACCTCCTGGAGCCCCAGAACCAAGTGATTGGTCAGCTAATACAGTTGATCTTACCTGGAGAGAACCATTCTCAAATGGAGGTTCTCCAATCACTGGCTATATTATTGAAAAGAAGGATAAATACAGCACAATGTGGGAGAAAGCTTTAGAATTAACTGTACCTCAGTGTGAAGCTCACATTACTGGATTAATTGAAGGCAACGAATATGTATTCAGGGTAATTGCTGTGAATAAAGCTGGTCAATCAGAACCAGGAGATACCAGCAAGACATTCCTGGCTAAACCACGATTCCGTATGTATTATATTATTATCTATTTATTCAAAAAAAAATATTGATTAATATTCATTTGATAAATCGTTTAATTTTATAATTTTTTTTATAGTTGCTCCAAAGATCGACAGAAGACATCTTCGAGATGTTACATTATCTGCAGGCTCAACACTTAAATTTGATGCCAATATTACTGGTGAACCAGCACCTCATGTTGATTGGCGTTGTGGATCAATGCCCGTAGTTCCAGGAAAGACTGTAATCATTGAGAATCCACCTTACAGTACTAAATTAGTTATTCGTCCAGTTGCTAGAGGCAATAGCGGTGAATATGTCGTTACTGCTACCAATACATCAGGCAAAGATAGTGTTACTATCAACGTAATTGTCACTGACAAACCTACACCGCCTGAAGGTCCTCTAGAAATTTCCGATATTCACAAAGAAGGATGTAAACTTAAATGGAAGAGGCCACTTGATGATGGTGGTACTCCTGTTGAATATTATCAAGTCGAGAAGATGGATTCTGAAACTGGATGTTGGGTGCCATGTGGACGATCTACTGAACCTCGTAAGTTACTTTTTTATTTATTTATTTAATTTTATTTATATACCTTGAAATAACATGAAAGTCAGATATTAACAATTTACTTCGTTTTTTTCAGAAATGGATGTAACTGGTTTAACTCCTGGAAAAGAATATAAATTCCGTGTCGCAGCAGTTAATGCAGAAGGAGAATCTGAACCATTAACAGCTGAAGAAACAATTATTGCTAAAAATCCATTTGATGAGCCAGGAAAACCCGGAAATCTTAAAGCTACCGATTGGGATAAAGATCATGTTGATCTTGAATGGAAACCACCAACTGAAGATGGTGGATCTCCAATTACTGGTTATATTATCGAAAAGAAAGACAAATATGGTGACTGGGAAAAAGCTGTTGAAGTTCCTGCAGATGTTACATTTGCCACTGTTCCAGATTTAATTGAAGGACAACCATACGAATTCCGCGTTCGTGCAGTTAATCAAGCAGGACCTGGTGAACCATCAGATCCAACTCCAACGATCATTGCTAAACCAAGAAATCAACCACCACATATTGATCGTACAAATCTCGAAGATATTAGAATCAAAGCTGGACAAAACTTCAGCTTTGATGTTAAAGTTTCTGGTGAACCTCCTCCAACAACAACATGGCAATTTGCTGGTAGAGATATGAGATCTTCAGATAAGATCAAAATGAAGCATGTTGATTATGCTACCAGTCTCCATGTTAGAATGGCAACTAGAGCAGACTCTGGAAGATATACAATTACAGCACGTAATGAAAGTGGTACAGATTCTGCTTCGGTGAAGGTAACAGTCATAGACAAACCTGGAGCACCAGAAGGACCTCTTCGAGCTACAGATATTCATGCTGAAGGCTGTAAATTGAATTGGAATCCTCCAGAAGACGATGGTGGACAACCAATCGAATGTTACATAGTGGAAAAAATGGATGATGCTACTGGACGATGGGTACCAGCTGGTCAAACAGATGGACCCGAAACTAGTTTAGAAGTTGATGGCTTAACACCTGGACATAAATATAAATTCCGAGTGCGTGCTGTCAATAAACAAGGCAAATCAGAGCCATTGACGATGTCACAAAATATCGAAGCTAAAAATCCATTCGATGAACCCGGCAAACCTGGTACTCCAAGTATTACTGATTTCGACAGAGACTTTGTTGAACTTTCATGGGCTCGTCCAGTCGAAGATGGAGGTTCTCCAATCACTGGGTATATTATTGAAAAAAGAGACAAATATAATCCAAATTGGGAAGAGTGTGCTAAAGTTGAAGGAGATATTACTCGTGGTCGAGTTCCAGATCTCATTGAAGGAACTCCATATGAATTCCGTATTCGTGCAGTCAATAAAGGTGGTGCTGGAGAACCATCTGATGCTACTAGACCACACGTAGCACGACCTAAAAACTTGGCACCTAAAATTGACCGTAAATACATGTTGGATGTTAAAGTCAAGGCTGGAGCATTCTTCGATTTTGATGTTCCTGTTATTGGTGAGCCTCCTCCAAGCAAAGAATGGAACTTGAAGGGTAACATTATTAGCAATGACGACCGTATAAAGATAACAAATACAGATTACAATACTAAAGTGAGATTCTTGGATGCCAAACGCTCAGATTCAGGAACTTACACTTTAACTGTTAAGAACGTCAATGGTACAGACAGTGCTACTTTGAATGTAGTTGTCATGGATATACCATCACCACCTGAAGGACCTTTACAAGTATTTGATGTTACAAGACATGGTTGCACACTCACCTGGAAAGTACCTCGAGATGACGGTGGTTGTGAGATCTTGCACTATGCTATTGAGAAGATGGATTCAGAGAGTATGCGATGGGTTCCTGTCGCAGAATCTGAAATAACAACATGTAAAGTAGATCATCTCATAGAAGGCCATGATTATACTTTCCGTGTACGTGCAGTAAATAAAATTGGAGAATCTTTACCACTTACCGGAGTAGATGAAATTACTGCCAAAGATCCATTTGGAAAACCAGACAAACCTGGTCAACCTATTGCTACTGACTGGGACAAAGATCACGTTGATCTTGAATGGACACCACCTAAAAAAGATGGAGGATCACCTATCACTGGTTATATTATTGAAAAACGACCGAGATTTGGACAATGGGAAAAAGCAGTTGAAATTCCTGGCGGAAAGATTTGCAAAGGAACAGTTCCAGATTTGACTGAAGGTCAAGAATATGAATTCAGAGTTATTGCTGTTAATAAGGGCGGACCTGGTGAACCATCAGAAGCATCAGCACCGGTTATCGCTAAACCACGCTTCCAAGCACCGACATTCGATAAATTATTGATGAAAGATTTAACTGTTCGTGCTGGTCAAAAAATTAGCTGGGATCTTCCTATTGAAGCATCACCAAAACCAACTGCTTATTGGAAGTTGAATGATACACCTATTGAAGCTGATGCTCGTCATGAAATCTTCACAACAACGACAAATACAACATTTGAAATACCATTCTCAGTACGCAGTGATGCTGGAAGATATACTTTAACTCTGGTAAATGATGTTGGAAAAATAACTGCGAGTGCATTCGTCACAGTATTGGATAGACCTTCACCACCAGTAAAACCGTTCGTTGTCAGTAACGTAACTAAAGATAGTTGTCATCTATCATGGCAAACACCACTTGATGACGGTGGTAGTCCAATTCTTCATTATGTTATTGAAAAGATGGATGTATCCAGAGGCACATGGTCTGATGCAGGCATGGCAATGACTCTCAACCATGAAGTTTATCGTTTGACTCATAAGAAAGAATATTACTTCCGTGTTAAGGCTGTAAATAACATTGGAGAGTCTGATCCTCTAGAAACCACAAGAAGTATTGTGGCAAAGAATGAATTCGATGAACCTGATGCACCTGGTAAACCTAAAATCACAGATTGGGATAAAGATCATGTTGACCTCACTTGGCCAGCACCAGAGAATGATGGTGGATCACCGATTAGTGAATACATTATCCAAAAGAAAGAAAAAGGAAGTCCATATTGGATTAATGCAGCTCATGTTCCTTCTGGAAAAACAGCTGCAACTGTTCCTGATTTGAGCGAAGGACAGGAATATGAATTCAGAGTTATTGCTGTAAATGCAGCAGGACAATCAGAACCATCTGAACCAAGTGATGCCGTTATTGCCAAGAGTCGATTCTTAGCACCAAAGATCAAAACTCCACTCGAAGATATTAGAATTAAAGCTGGTCTTGTATTCCATGTTGATGTAAACTTTATTGGAGAACCTGCTCCAGATGTCACATGGACAGTTGGAAATAAACCTTTACAAACAAATGAAAGAACGACTGTTACATCTATTGGATATCATACAATTATTCATACAGTTAATGCTAAAAGATCTGATTCTGGTCGTTATCATTTATCTCTGAAGAATGATAGTGGAGCTGACGAAGGTAGTTTTAATCTTATCGTTCTTGATAGACCAGGTCCACCTGAAGCACCATTAGAATACGAAGAAATTACTAGTCAGTCTGTTACTCTATCATGGAAAGCACCTAAAGACAATGGTGGTAGTGAAATAACTGGATATGTTATTGAAAAACGAGACCTTACCCATGGTGGTGGCTGGGTACCTGCTGTTAATTATGTCAATCCAACACAAACCTATGCCACAGTACCTCGTCTTACTGAAGGAACAAAATACGAATTTAGAGTCTCTGCGGAGAATCTACAAGGACGTTCAGATCCACTACAAACTACGCGTGCTATTGTTGCCAAGAATCAATTCGTCGTTCCAGGCCAACCTGGTAAGCCTGAGTGTCTTGATGCAAGCAAAGATCATATTAAAATTAAATGGACACCGCCAATTAGCAATGGAGGATCACAAATCCTTGGATATGAAATCGAACGACGTGATCGTGCAACCGGTCGCTGGATAAGACTAAATAAAGAATTAGTTAAAGGGCCAGACTATCTTGATGAACATGTAGCTGAAGGTCATCAATATGAATACAGAGTATCAGCAGTGAATGCAGCTGGAGCTGGTAAACCTAGTGATACATCCAATGTCTTTACAGCAAGACCAATGAAAGAGAAACCCAAGCTTCATCTCGATGCTCTTCTTAGTCGTAAGATTAAAGTTAGAGCTGGAGAACCAATTCATGTTGATATACCAATATCTGGTGCACCTATTCCAAGAGTATCTTGGCTTAAAGATGGCAATAAACTTGCAGATAATTACCGCATTTCTACAGAAACGAAGAGCGAGCATACTGTACTTCTTATTCAGAAGTCTATACGTGAAGATGCTGGACATTATACTGTTACAGCAACGAATGAATTCGGAGAAGATATGGCTGATATTCAAGTAATTGTAGTAGACAAACCTGAACCTCCGAAAGGACCTCTCCTCTACTCAGGAACCAACCACGAATCCGTTTCTCTTTCATGGAGTCCACCTGACGACAATGGTGGTGCTGAAATCACCAACTACATTGTTGAAATTTGTGACTTTGGAATGGATAACTGGCGTCAAGTACCTGGGTATTGTCCATTATGTCACTTTACTGCTCGTGGACTTCAAGAAGGAAGACGTTACATATTTAGAGTTCGTGCTGAGAATCTTTATGGAGTTTCTGAGCCACTTGATGGTAAACCAGTTTGTGCTAAGAGTCCATTCGATCCACCTGGTCCACCTAGTCAACCAGAGATTCTTGGATACACACCAAACACCTGTACACTTACATGGAATCCACCAGAGGTTACTGGTGGCAAACCAATTACTGGATATTATGTTGAGAAACGTGAACGTGGTGGTGAATGGCTTAAAGTCAATAATTACGCAACACCAAATACTACATTCTCAGTTCAAGATCTCCATGAAGGCGGTCGATATGAATTTAGAGTTATTGCTGTCAATGAAGCAGGACCTGGTGATCCAAGTAGAGCCACAGAGCCAATAGTCGCTGGACACCAACGATTGAAACCAGATGCACCTGAACCTCCTAAAGCTGATAGAATTACCAAAGACTCAGTTACTCTATCATGGCGTCCACCTAGAAATGACGGTGGTGCTAAAATTCGTGGATACTTCATTCAATCTAAGAAGAAGGACGAAGATGATTGGTCTGATGTTAATGGAGCACCAATCACTGGTACTATTTATACTGTACCTAAGTTGAAGTTAGGTGACGAATACCAATTCCGTGTTATTGCCATGAATGATGTTGGTAAGAGTAATCCAAGTCGTCCAAGCAATCCTATTGTCATTGAAGAACAACCTAACAAACCAATTATGGATCTTGGAGGTGTTCGGGATATTACTGTACGTGCTGGAGAAGATTTCTCCATTCATGTACCATATGTTGGATTCCCCAAACCAATGGCAAGCTGGTTTGCTAATGATGTTATCCTAGATGAGACTGACAGAAGAGTACATCAACAATTAGGCGATGATTACGCTAGTATTGTTGTGAAAAATTCAAAACGCAGCGATGGAGGTCAATACCGCCTTCAACTTCGTAATTCTTCTGGATTCGACACTGCTACAATCAATGTTCGAGTTCTCGATCGTCCAAGTCCACCTCAGAACCTCAGAGCTGATGAATTTGCTGGAGATGCACTCACTCTGTTCTGGAATCCACCTAAAGACAACGGTGGTGCTGATATTACCAATTATGTGATTGAAAAACGAGAAGGAAAAGCACAATCATGGATGAAAATTAGTGGATATGTTACTGCACCTTTCGTACGTGTACGTAATCTAAATGTTGGTCAAGAATATGAATTCCGAGTCATGGCAGAAAATCAATACGGAACATCTGATCCTGCTGAAACTAAAGAACCAATCAAAGCTAGATATCCATTTGATCCACCAACTGCTCCTGGAGCACCAACAAGTGTTGAAACATCTGAAGACAGCATTACAATCACTTGGACTAAACCACGAAGTGATGGAGGATCTCCAATCACTGGATATATTGTCGAGAAACGTATGATAAGCGAAGATAAATGGATTAAAGCAACTCCAGCCCGCATTCCAGATACAACATACAAAGTAGGAGGATTAATTGAAAATCATGATTATGAGTTCCGTGTTGCTGCAATTAATGCTGCTGGCCAAAGTCCATGGAGTTCAAGCTCAGACGCTATTCGCGCAAGTGCACCAACATTCGCACCAAAGATTACAAGTGATTTAAGCATTCGTGATATGACTGTGATTGCTGGAGAGCCATTTACAATCACAGTTCCATACACTGCCAATCCTAAGCCTAAGCCAAGTTGGTCTATCAACGGTGAAGAGGTGTATACAGATGATAGAATTAAATTCGAGACGAATGAAATTGCTTCTAAATTCGTTAACAGAAAAGCAAAGAGAAGTGACACTGGTAATTACACTATTCATCTTGCAAACAGTGTTGGCACAGATTCAGCATCTTGCAAAGTTTTGGTTGTTGACAAACCATCACATCCACAAGGTCCTCTCGATATATCTGATATCACGCCAGAAACATGTACTTTAGCATGGAAACCGCCATTTGACGATGGTGGTTCACCAGTCACCAATTATATCGTAGAAAAATTAGATCCAGGTGATTACTGGGTTAAAGTTTGCAGTTTTGTACGTAATACTCACTATGATGTAATTGGTTTGGAGCCTAACAAAAAATACAATTTCCGAGTACGTGCAGAAAATCAATATGGTGTATCTGAACCGCTTGTGGGTGATGAACCAATTATGGCTAAATTTCCCTTCAATGTACCGGAACCACCAGGCCAACCTCGAGTTATCGATTGGGATGTGGACAGTATTACAATATCTTGGGACAAACCAGTATCCGATGGAGGCTCACGCATTCAAGGATACAAAGTCGAGTTCCGCGATCCCACGGATGATGCTCGATGGCGCGTGGCTAATGATTATTTGGTCAAAGATACACATTATATCTGCTATGGTCTTGCTCGTGGTCACGAGTATGAATTTAAAGTACGTGCTAAAAATGCTGCAGGTTTCAGCAAACCTAGTCCACCATCAATTATCTTCAAACTTCGTAGTAAATTCAATGTTCCATCGCCACCTGGTACTCCTCAGGTTATCAAAGTCGGCAAAAACTACGTTGATCTCAGGTGGGAAGCACCAACTTCAGATGGAGGAAGTCGAATTACTGGCTACATTATTGAAAAACGTGAAATTGGTTCAGCTATTTGGCTCAAATGCAATGATTACAATGTTACAGACTTGGAATATACAGTAATGCATCTTATTGAACGTGGAGATTATGAATTTAGAGTATTTGCAGTTAATGCTGCTGGAAAATCTGAACCAAGCTCATGTACAACACCTGTTAAAGTTTGCGAAGTAGAAGGTGGTGAGAAACCTGAATTTATTCGTTCTCTACCAATTAGTCAAGGTGTACCACTTGGAAAAACTTATGTTCTTGAATGCCAAGCAACTGGTAAACCATTGCCAACACCAAGATGGCTTAGAAATGGAAGAGAAATCACAATGGGCGGTCGATTTAGCTGTGAAACTAGAGATGATGGTCTTTTCAGACTTATTATTTCAGAAGTTTGGGAAGCTGATAGTGGAGACTACAGCTGTCAAGCATCAAATCCTCTTGGCATTGCTACTACAACTATGAGATTGAAGATTGGTACTCCACCAAGAATCGAGCGTATGCCTAGTGAACTTTATCTACCTGAAAAAGATAATACTAAGATTAAGATCTTCTACAGTGGTGATCAGCCAATGGAGATCACTTTGAAGAAAGATGGCCATAAGATTGTGGAATCAACTCACATTAAATACACCGTATTTGATGAACACTTAATTATCTTCATTAAAGATATTAACAAAGAAGATGAAGGAATTTATGAATTGTCTATCAGCAATGACAGTGGCAGTGTAAGTGGATCATTCACAGCATACATTACTGGACCACCTGGACCACCAGTTGGACCTTTGGAAGTGTCTGAGATTGATAAACATACTTGCTCACTATCCTGGCATCCACCAAAGACTGATGGAGGTCTTCGAGTCACTCACTATGTTGTAGAACGTCGTGAATTAATCCAAGGAGTGTGGTTAACTATCTCAAGCTTTGTGAAAGACACCAGCTTCTTCGTTCAAGGATTAACAGAAGGCCATGAATATCTATTCAGAGTAATGGCTGTAAACGATAATGGAATGGGACCACCACTAGAAGGCACGAATCCCATCAAAGCTAAAGCTCCATTCGATCCTCCTGGTCCACCTGGAACTCCTAAAGTTCTTGAAATTGGCGGAGACTTTGTCAATCTTTCCTGGGATAAACCAGAATATGATGGAGGTGCAAGAGTACAAGGTTATTGGATTGATAAACGTGAAGTTGGTTCTCTAGCTTGGCAGCGTGTCAATCCCGCTATATGTCCAGCTACACAAATTAATGTCAGCAATTTAATTGAAGGTAGACAATATGAATTCCGTGTATTTGCACAGAATCAAGCTGGGCTCAGCAAAGAATCTAGTGCATCAACGTCAGTGAAGATTATTGATCCACTCGTGGCTAAACCACCAGAGGTTATCAAACCATTGAAGAATCTCAACTGTACTCAGAATCACAATGCTCACTTTAAATGTGTCATCACTGGATCACCTCCACCAACTATCAGCTGGTTCAAAGGTGCACGTGAGCTTCAAAACAGTAGTCGGTATCAAATTTATTCTGAAGGTGATTGCCATAATTTAGTCATTCAAGATGTCTTCGGAGAAGATGCTGATGAATACATTTGTCGTGCATCCAACAAAGGTGGTCACAAATCTACCAAAGGTGAACTATTTATAATGACACCACCGAAATTGAACGTTCCACCTCGATTCCGAGACACAGCATACTTTGATAAAGGAGTCAATGTTGTCATCAAGATTCCATTCACTGGATTCCCCAAACCAAAGATTACGTGGGTAAGAGAAGGTGAGACAATTGAATCTGGAGGTCATTATCATGTAGACATTAAAGAAAGACACGCTGTATTGACAATCAGAGATGGTAGCCGAATAGATTCTGGCCCATATAGAATTACAGCTGAGAATGAACTTGGTCAAGATCTAGCGATAATTAAAATACAAATCAGTGACCGTCCAGACCCACCACGATTCCCTCAAGTGGATAATATTGGTCATGATTCACTTGCTGTCAGTTGGAAACCTCCAGTATGGGATGGTGGTAGCAATATTACGAATTATGTAGTAGAGAAACGAGAACATCCAATGACCAGTTGGATAAGAGCAGGCACAACTCGATTCTGTTCATTAGCTGTTCAAGATTTAAGTCCTGGACATCAATATGACTTCAGAGTTTCTGCCGAAAATGTATATGGACGATCAGATCCAAGTGAAGTAACGCCTCTCATCACCACCAAAGGATCCAAAAAGAAAGCTCCTCAGAAATATGAAGTTAAATATGACTCTAAAGGAAAGAAGATTCGTGGTACAAGTGATGAAAAGGTTCGTGATTATGATCAATTTGTATTCGACATTTATAGTAAATATGTACCTCAACCAGTCGAAATCAAGACGACTTCTGTTTATGATAAATATGAAATTCTTGAGGAAATTGGAACAGGAGCATTTGGAGTTGTTCATCGTTGCAGAGAAAGGGCAACTGGTCATATCTTTGCAGCTAAATTTATTCCTGTTTCTCATATTATGGAGAAAGAATTAATTAGGAAAGAAATTGATATAATGAATCAATTACATCATCCTAAATTAATAAACTTACACGATGCATTTGAAGATGATGATGAAATGGTTCTTATATTTGAGTTCCTTTCTGGTGGTGAACTTTTCGAAAGAATAACAGCCGAAGGATATTCAATGTCAGAATCTGAAGTTATTAATTACATGAGACAAATCTGTGAAGGAATTAAACACATGCACGAAAAGAATATTATACATCTTGATATTAAACCTGAGAACATCATGTGTCAGACAAGAAATAGTACCAATGTCAAACTAATTGATTTCGGTTTAGCAACTAAATTAGATCCTAATGAAGTAGTTAAGATTAGTACAGGAACAGCTGAGTTTGCTGCTCCAGAAATTGTAGAACGTGAACCAGTAGGATTCTACACTGATATGTGGGCATGTGGTGTATTAGCTTATGTATTATTAAGTGGTCTATCGCCATTTGCTGGAGATAATGATATTGAAACCTTAAAGAATGTGAAAGCATGTGATTGGGACTTTGACGAAGAAGCTTTCCGACATGTTTCTGATGAAGGAAAAGACTTTATTAGACGATTACTTGTAAAGAACAAAGAAAAACGTATGACTGCACATGAATGTCTTCTACATCCATGGCTCACAGGAGACCATAGCGACAGAACTGGCAGAATTTCTAGCAGTCGTCATGTCAGTTTTAGAGATAAATTACGTGCTAAATATGAAGATTGGGAGAAATATCTTTTGCCTATTGGAAGGCTTGCAGAATATTCCTCACTTAGAAAATTACTTATTGAAAAATATAAAATATATGATTCGACGTTTGATCGAAGACAAGCAGCCCCGAGGTTTGTAATAAAACCACAGAGTGCTTTCACATATGAAGGACAGAGTGTTAAATTCACATGTCGTGTTATTGCCATTGCTGCTCCAACTCTTTCATGGTACCATAACAACCAAGAGCTTAGACAGTCTGTTAAGTTCATGAAACGCTACATTGGAGATGATTATACCTTCATTATTAACAGAGCGAAGTTAGAAGATAGAGGTGAATATATTATTCGTGCTGAAAATCATTATGGATACAGAGAAGAAGTTGTCTTCCTCAATGTCCAACCTGTACCAAGAGAAATGCCACCATACAAACCAGAAGTAGCGCCGATCCGTCGACGAGAACCATTACCTCAATACTTCTGGTTGGAGACAACTGAGTCAGCACCAAGCTTCACATTCGCTCTCCGACCTCGTGTTATGCAAGAACGTCAAACTTGCAAGCTTCTCTGTTGCTTAAGCGGCAAACCACCACCATCAGTCAGGTGGTTTAAAGACAGTCGTGAGCTGTCGCGACACGAATATGCCATGAGTCATTCTGATGGAGTTGTCACGATGGAAATTATTGACTGTAGACCATCAGACAGTGGAAAGTATCGCTGTGTCGCTACAAATTGTCATGGAAGTGATGAAACCACTTGTGTAGTTATTGTCGAAGGATCTGGAGAGACTGAAGAACAAGAAAAAATGGCTAATGACATTTTACACTCTGGAGAACGTAGATTTATTGAACAGCCAATCAAACCAGCACCTGCTACAATTGTTATTAAACAAGAATATAGTAGTTATTCGAAAAATACTTTCAAACAAACCTCATCTGGCTTCAGATCGACCAATGAATTATCTTCTTCTTCGAAGAGCTTGAAAAAATACGGCACCAAAACTGATTCAACCGGAAGTCCATCAAGATCGCGAAATACTACCAGGGAGCTCATCCTGCCATCAGATGACTCAATGCGATCACCAGAATTTGTGCGTAAATTAACAGATTTAACAATCAATGATGGTGAACAGTTAGAACTTAGTGTAAAAGTTGATGGTGATCCAGAGCCACAGATAACGTGGATGAAAGGTGGAAAGGTCTTAAGCTCTTCAGAAATTATGGAACTTAGATACAAAAATAGAGTGGCAACTCTTGTAATAAATGAAGTATTCCCTGAAGACGAAGGTGAATATACATGTAAAGCAACTAATAGCGTTGGTACTGCCACTACTTCTTGCAAGTTGAAAGTTAAGCCAATGCCAAATGTCGGTGGTAAAAAGAAGAGTGGTGATGACAAAGCTCCCAAGATTGTTGATCACTTACAGAGTGTGTACGTTAAAGATGGTGAATCAGTTGTTCTTAGCTGTCGAATAATTGGAGCTAAGAAGTTTGATGCTATCTGGCTTCATAATAACAAGGAAATTAAACCAAGCAAGGACTTCCAATATTCAAATGAAGCTAATATTTATAAATTAACTATTGCTGAAATATTCCCTGAAGATTCGGGTATTTACACATGCGAGGCATTCAATGATGCTGGGGAAAGCTTTTCTTCGTGTACTGTCAATGTTCAAGGTAATTTATACTTCAATAATAAATAAAATAATCAAATGTTTTTTATTAAGTATTCAAAAATGTACATAATCAACATAAATATTATAATTGTTTAGTTCCTAATGAAGAACCAAAAGGCCCAGTGTTTGCGACATTCCCAAAATCAGCTACGGTGAACGAAGGAGAATCTGTGAGCTTTACTTGTCAGACTGAAACCGCGCCTCTCAAAGGTAAGATTCCATTGTCAAGTATAATTAATCTATGAATATAAAAAACAATGTTTATTACATATTAAATATTTATTTTTATGTAGTGACATGGCTGAAAGACGGTAAACCAATTGATGAATCAAGTAGCCGATATGTCTTCAGCTCAGACGGTGACAAATCCTTCGAAATACGTGTCAAATCTTGTACAACGGGTGATATTGGGCAGTACTCAGCAAGAGCGATCGGTAAAAAGGGTGAATCAATATCTGCATTCGCGTTGAATGTTATTGGTCCAAATGATCAATGAGCTATCGGCATTATATTATCGGCTCATTAAAATTCACAAATATATAAGAACAAATTTTTTTGATGTAATAAGAAATGTCTTTTACACTCAATTATTTCGTGGAGCGCTAATTATTGTAGTACCACTCGTTTTCTGTTATATTAAATTATTTAAACAAGAAAATTACTAATACGAAAATGGAAACGAATGTGCGCAAGTACGAATGAAAAATGCGCGACAAATGTGCGTTATCATTAGATAAAAACTTCATGTATAAAATATTAAGAGAATCATTTTTATTTATTTATTTATTACTATTATTCTTACTATTAATGATATTATTATTACTATTATTATTATTATTACCAAACATTGTTTTCTTTCTGTGTGCTTGTCATTTTGCATTAATCGGATAGCAGATTCATTTTGCACGCTAATTTCAACTTACGCCAATTTGTGCGCGAATCGTAAGAATGCACGAATATGAAAAACATGATTGATCGTGACATCAATGCGAGTTGAGATTTTTTGTGGTTTCCAGTGACAATAGTATGGACGTCAGCATCCTCAAATTAATAAGAAAAATATTCGTCTGTACTAATTAGATCTGGAATATATTTCAATCTCTCTCCCATTACCACAATTATCTCGAGTTGAATTGGTGTCACGAATCAATTTTTATTCCAATGTATACCCATACAAACTGTTGTGTTAATTTTATTTTAAGACTGCTTCCGTTACAACACGTACAATTAATAAAAATTTATGATTTAACATGACAAAAGTATGAAAATTTTCTTTCTTCTTCTTCTTAATCAATATAAAATCCTTTATTGATTAAACATCAATTGCTTCCTGAAACATATAAGGATTATATTATTCGGTTTAATAAGTTTTCAACATTTCGTAACTTATAGTTAAAAAATTTATAAAAGAAAAATCGATAAAATTGAAAATATTTATTAATAGTGTAAGAAAGATAGATCTAGTCTATTTTTAATTTTCACTGTAACAAGTTGTAAATTTAAAAATCAACTTTACCTCGTCTTCAAAAGAAATCTGCTTGTGTAAAAGAGCAGGATCAATAATGTTGAAACAACCAAGGCGGTTTTCAAAGCCGGAATCATGCATATTTTCAACGGATTGAGCATGAGTTCCTATATGAGTGTAAGTATTGATATTTTTAACTATTCCTCTTTCAACGGTTACTCTACCGTATTTATAAGAAAAACTAATAAGAGTAGATCCATCAAATATTTGTCGATAATATTTGTTAGACCATGAATGAATGGGTTGAATTTGTTTATTTAAATTTCGACCTAAGTGAAATCTTGATAGAGAAGTTTTTGACATTGTATCACTTTCGACAACTGTGTAATAGTAAAACAAAATTTAGTTAATTTCATAATTACATTGCATACATCTATTATTTTTTATTTATTATTAATTTTTGGAATACACATACCTCCAATATAAATATTATCATCACTACAGCATTCACTATCGTTCCTTGCAATCAAGGAATCAACATGATATCTAACAGTAGCACTTGATTGATGATTGCTCATTTCAATAGTATCCCATCTATGGGCCTTAAGGTCGTAAACATAAAAATTTGTTTTATGGTACACTAATTTGTCATTTATCACACATGATGCAGGTACTTCGGTAAACATTTCAGGTATATCTCTTATCCTTGTCCATAATTCTAAAAAACAAGAATTGTTGTTTTTGTATAAGTCTGATTATTAAAAAAACACAATTAATTGAATCACATAAAACAGAGTAAATAATTTTTTATCATACTTGTATGAATATTTAAAACGTCTACAGAGGAAAGTTTTACTCGATGACTACCAACACCTCCAATTAGGAAAAGATTGTTTTTAATAAATGCTACAGCCATGTGTCTTCGAGGTCGAGGTAATCTAAAAAATGTGATATTATTTAGTAACCATAATTCATTATTTAATTAATTGAAAGTTTTATTGATAAATAAATTTACTCTGCAACTGGAAACCATGTGCTAGAAAGTAGGCAATAACGCCAAATTGTTTTAATAAATCGACCACTACCAATTCCTTGTTCTCCACCAATCACATAAATACTGAATCCTAAAAAATGTACATAAGTATTTAATTTATTATTTATTCTCTATTTTAATTTATTTGTATTGAACATGCTATCTCTTGAATAAGGTAAACATACCAATAATTAATTAAATAAAGTTCACAATAAAAGAATAAATTATCAATTAATTGGATTAATTGTTTATCTTTTAATATTATTGATCTGTTTAACCTTTCGACTTATTTTAATTATTTAACAAAATACCTCTGCCTATAATTTGTCTACCAAATACTTCTTTGCCATTGTCTAATATATCTACAATACTTGTCAGATCAACAAGTTCCGTAAACACCTTTTCCCGGAACCAATAAACACAAGGTATTTTTCCTCTGATATTATCATATTTCAGTGCTGCTACACATTGTACATGCTTTGGTTTTGTATTCTTTGACATTGAATGGCATACAACCACTGGATTATCTGCAATCTTAAAAATAACAAAACAATGAGAATATTCATAGTATTCATTTAAAAACAATGGAATAATTAACATGAGATTAACACTACATTAGGACTTGTAATACCAAAAAGGATTGATGATATCACGGGAAGGAATTGCTACCAGGTTGACTTTGACACCCAGTTGTATGGTGATACCTTCATGAGAATTCTAAAAAGATGATTAGATGGATCATAGTCCGATGAATCACGAATTTTCTCAATTGACTCTTGAGCTATGAATTTAAGGCGAGTCTCAGCACTGTTGACATTTACGTTTCCAATAAGTTTAACTAAATTCTCCAATGATAATCCCATTATTCCTTCCAGTGGTAAATCATTAAACCTATCTAGACAAGCTTCGTAAACAACGTCTCTTAATACATCCAATCCTAGATTCTGAGCTAGTATCCATATGTCTAATAATTTCTCTGGTCGAAGCCAATATAATGTAATAATATGTGTTAAATGCTTTGTCAGTTTGTCACTCATAAAAACAATACTTAGATTTAAAAGATCTAATAACCCTGAATCATCATTTACAAATTTTTCTAAACATGGTTGGACTTTAATACAAATATTTGTATCATCCTTAGGATCAGTATTTTCCACCCAGTTAATGTAATCCTGAAAGCAATGTTAAAAATAATCTTTATTTAACATCTAAAAAAAAAAAATAACGATCCACTTGACACAATTGCATACCTGGAGGGTGATGATGGATATGTCGTAATTGATTGGATATTCTGTTAAATAATGATCACTGAAGTTTTCAGAAAACAATGCTGTGAAATATAAACTGTTTTGTCGTAATTTTTCTTTTTTTGCATTTACACGATGATTTCCGAGTATTAGTGTCACTTGTGTACCCATCTTTCTATCATAATGTTCCATCATTATATTGCCTCTATCAACGTTGTTACTACTCAACGCACAATAACTGACAACACTTTGACAACTGACCTGTTGCAACCCAACGCTTTTGCACACATTGAAATCTAACAACCTTGAATTATAAAAACGCTATAGGTAATGAATGTAAGATAAGTTTTATATAGATATATATATCATTCTTATCAGCTTATTGAAATAAAAAATTTGAATATTGAAGAATATCTGCATGGTTGAAAGTTGATAAAGCCAATTTCTACAGTCACTTATCATCGGTGTTGAAAATATTATCGACAGAGTGATTATCTGTTCTAACTTCCGGTCAATGTTTTTACAATTGATCGATCAGTTGCTTTTTTGTGCTTTTTGTCAAGATAGTGAATGAGTTTTCAGTCAGATTAAATGTATAAAAAAGAACATTTGGTTAATTTTTAAAGTGAATAAATGGAATTATTTCAACAGTTTTATCTTGAAAATAGAAAACAAGATTATTTCTAAGACATATTCTAAGTACATATTAATCTTTCAGTTATTTTTCGTTAAACTTGTCTAGTCGACCGGTTGAACGCTCAATTTTTTACACTTTCACTCTTTTCTTTGCTCTTTTCTACTTTTTTTTTCTAATAAACAAAGGCGAAATTAATTGTTACTGTTTTAGATGAAGATGAATAGAGAAATGTTTGATGATAAAGATTATCCAACTCAATGGGCGTTAAATCCGTCCATGTACCAAAATATGAGCAACGATCAAGGTAAAAAATAATTGAAATTAAGATTTATCTCAAAAACAAAAGACGATAACAATAATATAAATTTTGGACTTTTAGTTGATTGGGCTGCTTTAGCGCAGCAATGGATCAAAATGAAGGAGACAGTTGTCCCACCAGCTCCACCACCGCCCTCATTATCAAATGATACAAGAGATGGTGGTGGAGAAGCTCCAATGGACATGGACACCAAGGATGATGATGTTCCACCAGCACCACCAGCTCCTAATATTAGTGGAAATGACAATTGGTCTCAATGGAGTCAGTGGGGACAGTGGAATACATCAGCACCGGGTGGTGGAGTCTGGGAGTGGAGTGGTGTTCCACCTCCTGGAGTTACTATGGGCCCAGATGGTAAGCCAATGGGTGTACCTAGTGTTCCTGCGGTTTCTACGATGCCAGTCGTTCCACCAGCACCAAACATTTCTGCTAGACCTGGATTTAATGTCCCACCGCCTACAGCTCCTTATACTTATAACTCTATTACTTCTAATGCTGCAACTTTTAATCAAGTAAGCATATTGAATTATTATTCCAATCTTTAAGTATATAGTTCTATAATTGTAATATGTTATTGTGTTTAAAGGTCCCTGGATATTGGAGTAGTGACCCAACAGCTGCAATTGCATCTCCAACAACTTCACCATTTATTAAAGGCATGAGACATAGCCCGCGTATGCCACACATGAGGAATGAACCTTTGAGGCCAAGAGATGAAAAAGAAAAAACACCTGAAGATGACACAAACATGGTGATTGATGCTGCTAAAAGACGACAGCTGCCTGCGTGGATCCGAGAAGGTTTAGAAAAGATGGAACGTGAGAAACATAAAGCTGTTGAAAGAGAAAGACAAGAGATGTTGAGAAAGCAAGAACTCGAAGCTAGAAAACTTGCTGAAGATGAAGCACGTGCAGTGCTTGATCCGGCAAAAAGCAAATTTGTAATTCTATATCTGCTATTAATAACTCACATTATTTAAAAATAAAGTGTACAGTATAATTATTTCACTTAAATAGGACTCTGACTCGGAAAAAGATGCAGAAGCTGATTATGAAGACAAAGAGCAAGAAAATGATCGATTGAATCCAGAAAATAGTCCGGAAATTATTGTAAAGCCAAGAAAATCGCGATTCAGAGATGCTGATTCATCTGATTCACGGATACAAAGTAATGAAAGTTCTATCACTTCTGGATCCATTACTGGAACTAGTATTAAAAGGACTCGAGAAGAAGTTCTTCAGGATGTTGTATGTAATTTTAACAAAATAATAAAAATAAAGGTAATGATAATATTTTAATTTTATCTTTTTTTAGATGCTAAAAGTTCGTCGTTCTCTAACAGAGATTCTATTAGAAGTTACTAATGAAGAAATAGCAAGTGTTTGCAGGGAGGTTTGGAATCGCTATCGTGCTAAAGGTACCACCAAAGTCAACCGAATAAAATCCATTATTACGGACAATTTTTTCTTGCATTTTTTCATTTTACTAGTGACACGAAAAAAAAAGGATCAATCGATGGTGGAGCCGTCGATATTGTATTTAGTACGGAGGATTATATTAAACGAGGTTTTTTATAGCCTCAATTCTATCCTTATATCGATGTTTATTCATTAAATTCTTTCAGCTTCTCTCTACGTCTTCAGATTCACGACCGTCCACGCAGGATTTGAAATATTTTTCTGGCTGTTTAATTTCATAATCGTTTTTGAACATATTTTCTCGTAATTTTCTCTCATTACTTTTTTCTTTACTTTGATAAACAAAAATTTATCATTATTTATTATTAGCCAATATATAAGGATAAAAAACAGGCTTTGAAGAAGAAATTCAACAAAGAAATAATTTTTTAAAATAGAAGAATCATTGAACAATATTTACCACTAAATCCGTGTGTATTGTAAAGCCCCTGCAGGAGAGCCCCCCGTCGCATCCTTCACCAACACGGCCCCTCTTGCTCAGATCACTCGGACGTTGGGTAAGTAATTCATTTACTACTTAAATTATGACAAGTCAGCAAAAAAAAATCCACGAGGACCCTTACCTGTAAAATCATCGTAGGAACGGTTGATTGTAGCAAAGATTATAATGCACTTGCTCGTCTACCATCCCTACATAGTTTAGAACGAGAGAGAAAGAAAGAGTGAAAGAGAGAAGGAAAAATAGAAGCTGAAGGACATCGAGTTTAGCATAAAATATTGAATAAAAATTAATTAATTTTTATATTATGCAGGTCTGGGCATCTATGGCGATAGCAACAGTGAATCAGAGGAGGAACAGGAATCACAACAAACGGATGAAAATGATAGTGATCTAGAATTGAAGGTAATATTTTTAATAATATATAAACAATGTTATGTAATATAACTCAGTATTACAAGTTTAATATAAATTCTAGGAGACATTGCGAAGACGCCAAGCTGCATTCAAGAAGACTGAAGAAGAAATAGAAGCTCGTTTAGCTGAGGAAGAAGAGAATGAACTTCGTGAGGATGAATACAATAGTGGAAAGTATGAAACTCATTCGGGTAATGATAATTCTAAAACTCCCGGTACGTTTTCATTGGACTTAAATAATTTGAACTTGAAATATTTATCATAATAACTATTCCACCGTATTGATTAGGTTCTATTATTGATGGAAAAGAAATGAATAATGAAAGAGAAGCATCAGAGGCACCAAGTAGTGGTGGTCATACTCCGAAACATCAAAATCAAACAATAGAAAACCCGCGAACAAATCAAAGTTCACCTTCTAGATCTATCGATACAGAGTCTAGTTCAAATGGGTCCACTACATCAGCTTCTAGTGATTTCGAGTCTTCTGACTCCAGCAGAGCAACTAAGAAACGTAAACGAAAGAAATCCAGAAGCAGAAGTAGATCACGGACCAGAAAATCTAGATCTGATAGCCGATCAAGAGATAAAAGATCGAGACGCAAGAGTTATCGGTCTAGATCTTCGTCTAGAAAGTCTGGGAAAAAGAGAAGCAGAGATAGAAAAAGACATAGTAGGTCTAGCACTCGTTCAAGATCTAGAAGACGTTCTCGTTCACATTCTAGGAGATCTAGGGATCGTAAAAGATCACGATCGCGATCAAGAAATAGAAAACGATCATCACGGTCATACTCAAGGGAACGAAGACGTTCCAGGTCGTATGGGCATTCTTCTTCAAAACGTAGAAGCAGATCCAAGTCCAAGGAACGGTCCAGGAGATCTAGATCAAAATCACGAACTCATCGAGATGGTAAGAAGTCGGCACATCGATACAGGGATTGAATCAACTCTCGGCAAAAGGTGGTATTATTTATTTTCTATTATAAAATGCGGGAAACAAGCATGGGCAGGTTGATTATTAGGATGTACACTCTTTTAGAGATTATTGATTATAATTAGAGAGTACATCCTTCGATTTTTAAAGAATTTTAAGAATGATTATTCTGTTGCAGATACAGGCCAATGGAGGGACAAAAGGCGATGTACTATTAGGTAGAGTTATGTTGTCTTTTTTGTTTTTTTTTTTTTTATAAAAACGATAAAGATTATTCATAGCCAAGTGTGAATGTTTCAAATTTTAAAATTGAATATAAACTTAAGTATGCCGAAAAAAATGAGTGAGAAGTCTGAATGAGGTGTTATTATTATTCATGTACATATAATGAACTCTAATGATAAATATATTTAGTCTTTTCTTTCATTTTAAGAAAGAAATATATTTCATTCAAATATAACAAACTTCATGATTTTTTTGCTTGAAATTAAACTTGATTTAGAGACAAGTTTTATTTGTTATTACAAATCATATGTTTTACAATGCAATATAAGAAAAATGATGGACACCTACTAACTGATATGATTCCAATTCATGTTTTTAATAGAATTGAATATTTACAAAAAAATTTTTATAATCAATTATGAAGAGCAAATATACATTGTTGATAAAGAAAATAATATTTAAAAATAGTCAGTGTCTTTCATTAATCTTTAGGATTTTCTCTCATTTTCCATCCCACAACAATAATTATTATGACTAACAATCAATTGTATTTAAATTATTGGTTTTGAAATAAATTTAAATCCTCATGATTAAATTTTACCATTTTTTAAATTAATCAAAACAAATTTAAAAATAAAATTTAATCAATAAAAACTCGATTATTTTATGAAAATGTCATTTACTCTTCGCGAGATGTAATTATAATTATGCACTATAAATGAAAAATCAATGTTCCACTGTACAAATATTTTAGGTCAGGTTTTAGAAGGATTTCCAGGAGTATTGACATAACGTTTAAGTTTTAAGTTTCATTCATTTTCTTTCGCGATAAACTTAAAGATATTCTGAGAAATCTTTGTAGAGTCAAAAATATATTTCCTTTGATATATATTTCATGGAAGAAAAATCTTGGATTATTTGTTCTGTTTGTTATTTTTGGTATTATAAATTAGCAGTTATTTAATAGATTTATTATTTACAAAAATTCACATATGCACCTTAGCTGAAAAATAATTCAATCCATTTCTCATTGATTAGAAACTTCATGCATATTCTAAACTAAATGAAGAAAGGAAATTTTGAATGAGTTTATCTGCCAAATCGTTGTTGACACCGTGAAAACAATTGTAAGACATTAAGGAAATCCTTAGGTAATACATTGTGATGTGTTGGTATGTGACTACAAAAAATAATATTATCATATCACTCTGAATAAATAATAGAAAAAGATAAAATAGTTACTTACAAAAATTCAGTTAATCTAATATGCCAAGGAAGTAAACCAAAGGTAGAGAACTTGCTGCCAGTTACAATAGCAATATCAGGATCAGGAAAATGATCGATTTTTAATTTTTCATCTATAAAGTCTTGATTAATGTCATCAGTCTTAAGTAATCCTGACTTAACTTGTTGACAAATTTCTTTCGTTAAATTGATTATCTGTGGCTTTCCATCTTCATAAGATAAAAAGTTAACCCTTGTACACTTAAAACCTAGAAATTTAGCACTTTAATCATGAGATATCAATTGTTAATTTTTCTATAACTGATTATAATTAATTACCGTTAGTATCATTAGTAATTTTTTGGTCAGATTTCGTCATCCAAATAATCCGTGATGGAAAATTTAATTTCAGTTTCTCAAATTCTTTCTTCAAAATGCTGGAGTTCTGCTTAATGATACCTGACAGAAAACAGACAACAATCAGTATATCTTTCATAAATTAAAACAAAGAATAATTATAACAATAATATAGTTGTAATAAATTTACCATTTTTATCATAAAAGCTAATACATGGAATGCCAAGTGCGATGCTCCAAACAATGATTCTGGCGAGGTCACTGAAAGAAACATCCTCAATCCCCACAACAATTACTAAATGTCTAGGTAATTTTTTAATTTTATTGATATCACACTCATCAAGAATATTTTCTAAACAATTCAAAGTTCTAGGATGTATAAAATTAGCTAATTCACGTTGCAAATAAGTCCATTGAGTGTTGATAAAGATATAAGCACTATACAAGAAATGTATTAGAGCTAGAATAGCACGTAAGAATAACGACATTTTTCCACGTAGATATTTTTAATCTTTCCAAACATAATAAATTAATTTCATGAATTAATGAACTCGTGAGAGAGTTAATATTTTAACTAATCTGAAAGTCCAACTGTTTCCACCGGTGTGGAATATCACGAGGCCGCTGACACCGCCATCGCAACAGTCTGAAGTAACTTCTTTATTCGTATCAGATGTATTTTGAGGTTATGTACTATTGATTATTTCAATTATCGCAATATTAACGCATGCTACCGCCATTATTGACTTTGTAGATAAATCTAATTGTTAATTTATAAACATTTTTATTATCATAATAACAATATCATAATTTAGTGGCAATGAAAATTTGTGACAAAAAAATATTGTTATATTTGTTTACTCGGCGCATAAATCATGCGCAAGCCACCACACCAATCAGGAATTTCTTTTAAAATTTATTATGTTGAAAATAAGATTTTACAATCATTAATATCGAAGAATTACATATAATAGGTATATTTTGAAATCCAAATAGAACTGCTCTGAAAACTTATATTTTATTTATGGATCTTTTGTAATGGACAACAGTAGTTAAAAGTGAATATTATTTAATACGCAATTAGGATGAATTCCAATGCCAATGAAAAGAAAAAAACAGTAATGGGTATTTTCAATAATAAAAAGTTGATAATACAAAACAATTTAGAATTTGTTAAAATGATAGGTTATCATTATTCGAGAATAAATGACTAAAAATTGAAATTACGAAAAATAACTCGTACCATCGAGAAAATCATTTGATTATCAATGTCAAGAATTTGAACAATAAGTAAAAAAGGTAAATATTGAAAAAATAAATTCATCTGAACCTATTTTATTTATTTAGAACATTTGTAGAACTGTATTATTCCAATTTCTAACTTGATACTATTAGAATAAAGTTATTGAATTTTTATTAAAAATACTTTAAATATATTTATGAATATTCGTCAACTAATGATGCAAAAGTATCATCAGATTCTTAAAGACTTTAAAGTTTATAAAGAAACATCAAAGTATAGACGATGTAATACAATAAAACTATAACTGCTAGTAAGCTTATACAAACAACTTACGAATTCATTTTATTGAAAACATCTTCAAAGAAAGTCAATAGTAATTTACATTGAAGTTTTAAATGATAGAATATCCATTTTAATGAGGTTTACTTCTGTTTTAATTATCTTCTTACTAGGATATTAAAATTTTTTATATAGAATTTTATCAGCTACTTCTGAATTAATAATTGATATAAATATAGATGAATAGGTAAAGGATAATAGAGTTGATAGTAATTAATTACTCGATTGATTTATTAATTAATTTTTAAAACATACAGAATTGACGAATATGAAAATAATTTTGAGTAGAATTCTACATACTTAGTTAATTGATTAAAAATTTAATTTGTACATTTCAATATATAATTATAAATTAACATAAAATCTCTTGTCTGTTATTGAACTAAATAAATACAACTATACTATTTAAAATTTATATTGCTAATATTTTAAATCATGAATCTAATGAGTCATTTCATTTATATATTAGTCGAAATTTACAATTATTATCTAAAACCATGATACTTAACATTATTATTTTGTGTTTAACCATCGTTAGTTGTAAATAATATCCAATAATCGAAGATTTTTATAACAAGTATATGAAAATATATTTAGTAAATGTAAGCTATTGCTTGAGCTGGGATAATCCCATTGGCACATTTCTATTATAATTATAATAAAAAGAAAAAAATAAACAAAAATTGTCATCGTTTCTATACCAATAGAGAAGAAAAACACTATTGTGTCCACATCAGACTCTTTTTATTTGACATTTGAAATTTTTCAGTGTCTTCTTTTCTTTCGTCTTGACATCATTGTCTGGACAAGACGTCTTTTGCTGTCAAAGAAGTACACACTTGTCACGTGATTCATGAGAATGAGACCGAAGAGGCTGGTGAGATGCTGCTGGGGTCGGAGTGGAAGTGCCTTCTACAGCCTGAATACTCTTCATCAGTTCACGAAAGACCTGGTGAGTAAATAATGAAATTAAAACATAAAATGCATACTATTTTTTTAAATAATTATAAAAATACCAATTATTTTTAACTTCCAAATTACTTGGAGCTTTTTAAATATTTTATTAAAGAAATTGAGAGTTATTATGGAATCAAATTAAATGGCTTTTTGAACAAATTTTCAAAGAGTTTTAATGAAAAAGCTTCTCAATGAAATGTACTCCAATTTCCATAATTTGTTCATATTCTACTTGATGTTGGTACATTGCTGTATTTACTCTATTTTGTTTGTTTGATCTGACCAATTAATAGACAGTAGTTAATCAATGAGGATAATTCCTAAAAAATCCTCACCACAATTATTACTAACTGTCGTAACAAAGGGTTGATATGTAAATTTCATTTACTTCAATACGATTTTTGCTCTATTGTATGTATGTACGTATGCTAAATCAATTGAACTTATTTAAATGCTTTCTACTATTTATCCTTAATTGAAGACGTCGATCAAGTTGTCAATTTTTTAGCTTTACTAAAAAGAATATTTCTTATTTATTTATAATATTAACTAAACCTACATGTTGTATTTATATGATATTTCAAATCGATTATATGACAAGATATTGAATAAATAACATGGAGAAAAATACTGGTCTCTGTACTGACTAGTAACTTTTCATTTTTCAGCATATTTTTTTTCAACTATGAAGAATAAATAAAACGTATTTTCTTTTTATCAAGAGAGAATTACTGTTTTGTTTTTAAAAAATTCTTTCCGTAATCAAAAATCTAGTATTTCTATCAAGATATTCTAGTTATCTTTCATCATAACATTCATGTTCAGCCTTCAAAACATATTCAATATTTTTTCTTGGATATTATTTTTAACCAGCATTGTCTTGAGATCTTGTTAAGAGCTTGATTGGCTTTCTATTGTATTTCTGTCCATCACATAGGATTTTCTATTTTTAAAAAAGTAGGAAAAAAAATTTTGATAAATATAACAAATTTTATTTAATTGTGTATATCCTATAGGTCGTGAGTAAATAATTTTCTAGCAAATAATAATTATCTATCTTATGAGAATTAAATTGTTGAAAAAAATCTAATGGTAAATAAACAATTATAAAATTTACCTGAACAACTCGACAGTTAAATCTTGCACTGCATTCAACATAGCTGCATCGCCAGTGTTTTCTTACAAGGTTGACAATATCTCGGTATCTGGTACCTGACGCAACGACGCCTGACAATTTGTCTTGCTTATTTCCAACTACCAACAATGGAACTCCTCTCATGTCTCTTGCTTCGTAAATTTGTTCTCTGAGAGTCCTTATGTACTAAATAAATTTGTATAATTATTTATCAAATGAAGTCATATTTTTCAAGTAGTTATTTATTTATTCTCAATATCAGGAGTTTTCACCGAAATATATAAAAGTTGTCATTTATTTTTAGTAAATTTACATATTTTAGTTATTAATGAAAATGTTTTTGTTTTCATGATAAATAAAAAAAACATTGTGGTAGAAAGTAATAATAATGAAACATTGAATGAATAGACTGAATATAACGAATGCAAAATACTGCCTAAAGTAATATATATATATACAGATTGTTGCATAAATTTTAGCCATAGATTCAAAATGAATACTTTTTTCTCGAAATTCCTACTGATATTTATATTTATATGAATATAAATGAAATATATGAGCTTCTATTTTTGCAATAGATGTTATTAAAATACTATGTATTGTACTCCCTCATGAAATTCGTTCCACACGAACAAATAAATCATGATAGAAAGAATGATGGATTACTGCTTTGGCAGTTTGTAACTATACAATGGTAGAATCTCAAATTTTTTATTATATCCTTTTCGAAAAAAAGAGATGGAAGAATTTTTTAAAAATAAAAATTCTAAAAAATTGAAAACAAACTTCTTTGATTTATAACGAAAGTTCTTTTCATTATGACCAACAATACTATAACTCTGGGTTATTATTTAACTTTCTTTATAAATCATCTGAAAAACTTTTTTTATTGAAGATGATGCTGAGTTAAACGTTACTTCATTCACTTAAATTTAAATGTGTTTATAACATTTCATCGTTTATCCTATCCAGGGACTTTTTAATTCAATTTCCGATATTATTGTGCTCACGATGTAAATTTAACGATAAGGCTTTTATCGCATCATACTTCAGCTGAAGTTATCTATAAACTATCGATTTTATTATTTTTTTTTTTTAAATTGAATACAAGTTCGATAAGGAATTTAAAAATAAATAATAATTCTGAGTTGAGTATTAAAAAAATCCTGTGAAAAATGTAAAATAATACTGGTGCAAATGTTATCCTAGGATATATTTTTTCAGGAAGTTGTAGTGACAAAAAAAGAGGAAGCAATAACGAAATCACTTTACTTTAAAAGGATAATCGTATAACGTAGTTGGTAATGAGACTTGGTTAAAGAGATTTATATGATTTTATGTTAAAATATCTTTTCAGGAAATAAGATTTTTCGAATATTTTATTTTTTTCAAACGGTTTAATATTTTAGTTTATAATAGAGTAAATGAAGTTTAAAAAAAATACTGGTTCACAAAGTCTAGTTTTTTGCAATGTCTGTTGACCTAAAAAAAATTTTTTGTTTCACCTGATGCATTTGAATTAATCAACAAAGAAATTTCCATTGTGTGACTTTTTGAATGAACAACTATTCAGGAAAAAATGTTGTTTAATAGTTCAAATAGATATGCATGAAAATCATGATAGAGGGATGCTCTTTTGTTTTAAAATATACAATAATTTACATAAATACAGTTGATTTAAATCTGCATAAAGTTTACACCATTTTATGAGTTAAACCCATTTAATATCAAGTATCAATCTATTTAGTATTTATTGCATCAACGTTTCCATTTTAACTTGATATTCAACGTGATATTCGCGAAGATACTATCTCGATATATTTTATGATGAGTATTCTTGATTTGAGTGAATTTCGTTGTAAATTAGAGGTGAATACATAGTATGTGAAATTCAAATTATTTTGAAGTAAATAATTGATTTGTTCGATAAAAAAAGTTTTATAAATAATATTGCTCTCTTTAATAAAATAAGTAAATATTCATTGAATTGATTCAATAATATTATTAGATAATAATAAAATTTAATACGTTAATAATTTATCATTAAACTAGAAATATAAAAAGGAGAATTTTATGGAATTATGATGAATGAATTGATATAAACTATGATGGAAAAAGTTAAAAATAATTTTATCAAACCTTCATCTCAACATGATCCATCATAATTTCGTTACATCCGGGATTTATAATAGTAAATTTTTAATTAAATAACTTTTAACATTCTCCAAATGATACGTTGAAACAATTTTCTAACTTTAGATCTAAATTGAGTAAATTAAAATCCTCAGAAAGTTACTGCAAACACTATTGGTTTGATGTGTCAAATCGAAAATTTCTGCTAAAGTTTCGATTGCTTTTTACAACTATAGAAAGTTTTCATCAATAATTTTTTAACTTTTGTTGATAATACTCCTTTTTATTAAATAATTAAGCTCAATAATACATATAAAAAAAAATGTAATACCTGAAATGTATCTTGGTTACTAAGATCGAAGACGAGAACATAAGCGGTAGCACTTCTAAGCCCATAATATCGAAAATCTGTCCACTCCAAGTGTGTGCTAACCGGAAAATATGGGATTGTTGGTAAATCCGTTATTTTAAGTTCATAAAGACGATCCGCGTGAACGACACTAGGATAAAATGTTTCTCTTCTTTCTGTTGGACGATATTCTTCGTAGAACTCACTCCAAACAAATTGCTATAAAACCAAAATGTTCCATAAATGAATTTTTACGTTCAACAAATGCCATTTTTATTATTTCATGCTCAAATTCTTCATGTCAGATTTAGAGAATAAGTTTATTTAAACCTATTAAGACTTGAATTGCACCAAAGTATTTATCTGAGTACTAACTAAATTTTAATAGTTATTGTTCAATAAATATTTTGATGTATTTTTATTTTGCAAACTATGAGAACCTTGATTTTTTACCTTTGAATGTTTATAGCAACTGATATGAATTTTTTATCAGCTATCAACTCAGGCCTATGTTTTATTTCTGCTTAGTCAATCATTTTTATACACTTGAATTTTTTTGATTGTCTGTTCTTTAGTAACAGTTTGTTAGAGTGTAAAAAAAAGCAATAACTAAGTTGACAGTTAAATTACACTGTTTCAGTTCTGCTTTGTCACATAGACTAATAACATTATGATAATCAGTTGAATTATAGTTATTGTGCTCCATTGTTCTCATTATTAATCATTTATTGGAATTATTTAGGATCTAATTAATAATAGAATAATAGCCCAAATAATAATTACAATTATTATAATATATATGTCTAAACTACGTTATTATTGATCACAGTAAGCAGTACTTTATTCAATATATTGATGATACATGTCTTTTTATTCTACGTTACATTGAAAATTTATTTCCCTTCAAGCTATATTAAAGTTAACTGAATGAAGTGTGTTGGAATTCAAGACTTCAATGAAGAAAATATATAGATATTTTTTATCATTTTTTTATACACTTTGTAGTCATAAATATCGCAAGTTAGTTGCATTTTTTGAAACAAATTTATTTCTTTTGTGTTGGTGACACAAATTTTGATAAATGTTAATAAAATTTCACGTAAAAATCAATATAATCATCAATGTGTCATTAAATTTTTTTTAATTATCAGTTTGATGTAAAAAATGTAATATGTTCTTCTTGTATCAACTTCTTTTTTAGATGTATCTGTAAAAATTTCACTATGAAGCATTTAATGTCCGTTAAAGAATCGGAATTTTCCTTAAATTATTTTTCACTATTTTTTATTCACACCTGAAGAATTTTAATATTCATTATTTTTATCCGTTTACTAAACTTTTATTGAAGAAAATTTATTAATATTTTACAAAGTATTACTTCAAATATTATAACATTTTAATACACTTTATAAACATCTTTTTCTGACTAAATTGAATTCAAAAAAGATGGATAAATACTTTTTTAAACATTCATTTGCTTTATATTCATCGAAAGTTAACTTTTTATTACAACATAAAAGGTTTAAACATTAAGAAATCCTTAGAAATTTTTTGTTGACACATTATTAAATATAATTCCTACTGGAATATATTCATCCCTTTCACTCAAGTATTTCATCTTCCTCGCTAAGATCTTTTATACTGGCAGTCTTCTACCATCTTCTTTGAATATATTAAAAGCAAAAACAAAATGTAGCAATATTTCAAAAATTACTAAAAGCACTTGATAGAAGCTTTTACTTCTATTAAAAGATTAAGTACAGCTGGGATCAGTAAATTCGTTATTTCTTATAAAATTATAGTCTTCTAATGTAATTCAGAAAGTTACCATAAACTCGAACGAAAAGCACAATTCATTTCCGGATTGCATACCTTAGAGATTTCAATTCAAAACAGTTCAGAACTGAATACATTTGTAAAAATATTGCATGCTTCTTCTGTCACTTGTATCATTTTTCAAACTTTTTCTTACATTTTTTTCACTAAGCTTCAAGCTTTTTAATAACTACTGATATGATTATTTTATGGAAATAGTCGAGTTATTAAAAAAGCTAGCAGTTACGTAGAAAATTGTATTTATGGTCAGACAATAGATCGATAAATTTTAAAATTGGTGTAAATGTAGAGAGATTCATGAATGAACAAATTTCTATCCAAAAAAATGATGAAACTCGATTAGATTAACTTGGATCCAGATTTATTAGATCCTAAAAACAATCTAATCCTCTTAGACCTCTATTAACAGCTACACTTCGTACTCTCCAACTCAAAAAACTACAAATTGCTCATAAAAACTAAAACTTTTACTATCATAACTTATAATCTAACTTTCCCTATAAATTTTTTTTTCTCTTTATAAATGATTTAATATTTTAAATTTTTTCTTTTATTTACCAAGTTCTCATCATTTATTTTTGTGAAAATATTTTCTTTTGTAACTTTTTATTTTTCTATCATCATAATTTAATAGATAATTGATCAATTTACCTAAAAATTAAATTATATGTAAAAAAAAAGAATTTATAAACTTGATGTAATGAATTAGAAAACTGAAATTAATTAAAGATCTGTATATAAAAGACTATTGAAAAGTAAACCAAGTGGAGATTTCAATTGAAGAAAATATGGTTCGGAAATTAATAGAGGCGTGCATCAGAGCGAAAGGAAATAAGTTTTCTCAAGAGTCCTGTTAGCGCTTACAGCCTCTTTTTCTTTCATTTTTCAGAAATGTCTTACTCTACTTGACTACTGTATAGACATAAAATACAAGAAAAAAAAAATCGAATACACGAGTATAGAAAATGTAGGGTTTTCTATTTACACTTGCATATCATTATTATAACAATAAAAAAAAAAAATTGTAACCATTTAAAAAAATAAACATTAGCTAGAGAAGTATGATAGAAAAATAAATAATTCACTAAAGTTTGTTAAAACAGTGGGGTAGGTATGTACGAAAGAGTAGCTTATTTATAGCTAATGAAGTCTATTAACGGTTCATTAATGGTCCATTTAAATACAGCTGGATAAGTTGATAATTTATAGTTATTAGCTCTAAACATAAACACTTTTATTGGATTTATTTAGAATATTCATGAAAAGCAGAATTTTTTTACTGAAAAATTATGCAAAATTACCTAACATACAATTTCAGAGCAAATTTATTTCATGGAAAATTATTTGAATATTTTTTTTCGATAAAATGGTTGATAAAAATAATAAAATTGATTCTATAAAATTAAACTTCACAAGTAATTATAAAAAATTGGCTTATTTACATCAAAAATAGATGAAATAAATTCAGTAAAACATTTTAAAAATGAATATAAATTTTTGGAGCACAACTTATTACTTTGTTTGGCACATACTCACTCGAATAATGCTAGACTTTCCGACTCCTGGCGCGCCAAGAAAAATCACTTTAACGCGATCGAGACTATCGGCTGGGCTCTCTTCTTCCTTTGAACTATTGTCGACATTTTCAACCCCTATTGGATCACCGGCGCGTCTTTCTAAGTAATCTAAATCGAGATCTACAACATGAAAACGATCATATATTAGATTTCAATTCATTCACAAATTAAAAAAATATTTTTCTATCAACCCCATCACATTATTTATCAAAAAAAAAAAAAAATTAAAATATTTATCAATAAATAAATTTAAAATTAATAATAATAAAGTAATTAAGGACCTAAATAATGTTTGTAATTGTTAACTCCTGTAATCGGTAATAAGAGCCGACTTTCACTCGTGTTGTCCATGTGACAATAAAGAAGTTTTTATTTAAAAAAGTTTTTAAGATTAATGAAACAACGTGATGAAAATTTCATTATTAGCTTTGAAAGTTTGAATTAATTTTATGATAACATCCTACTTCCTTTTGGAATATGCGCGTGCGACATTCACAGGTCAACTGACCCTAGAGAATATGAAATACAGATGTCATTCCTTATCCTCCCCTCCACAATGTATCCTTCGTCCTTTTACGTGATCCTTCGCAGCTTAACGCTTTCCTTTGATATCAGTATCTATATATACGTATACATAGATACATTTCACACTAAACAAATATCAATTTATTTTTCTTTGAGAAAAAATATCTCCCTTATGGTAAATAAAATGAGAATTATTTTTCAAATATTATATTTTCTTGTAAAGAAAATTGAAATTTCCACGTTATTTTTCTTTGCTGCTTTACGACAGCTAAACACTATTAGTTACCAAAGGTAAACTTTTAACTTAACATTTTTTATCAAAAGTAATTTGATTATTTTTTTATTCAGAAACTTTTAATAACTAACAATCATTTTAAATAATTAACTATATTATTTTTTTTTATTTAAGATAGGAAAATTCCTCAACACTTGAAATAATTTGTTATTTAATAATGAATTCATAATTATTTATTTATAATTTCAAAACTTTTAATTAATAATTTTTGACAGCTTAAAAAATATTATAAAACTGTATCACGTAACCATGACCATAATAATATTTCACATGAATTTCTGTCAACTATTGCTAACTCATACATTCCAAAAATGATGATGATAGCAAAAGTCAGACAGCAACAGCATGCTGAACAACTTCAATAATCATAAAAGCGCTTTCCTATGCAGAAACTCTTAGTAATAATATCTCTAAATTAAGCTCATTTCTTGTAAAAAATACACTATGATATATATTTTCAAGTACATTTCCGAAGATAAAAATTTTATCATTTTCCAATATACCAAAGGCCATGTCAATTTTTAACTAAGCTTCAAAAGCATCATACGATGAGTATTTCAAATATTTAAATAATCCCTTAGATATATTCCCCAGTCCATTTTTCATACATTCCCTCAATCCAACCGTCATTTAATAATCCTAATGACACATCAGTTCCATTGTTTAGTTCAAGAATCTCCACAGATGAACATAAAAGAGCTGGAGTAATATCTGGCCTAGATGGGCTTTAGCCACTCGATGTTTTTATGCTTGAAACTTTTTTTACTTGTTAGGGTCTTTCTACTTGTTACGTCTGACTACTAAACCAGGACTGGTTGTTTTACTGGCACATGTTCTAGACACAGCATGCCTGAATGTTATATCTTATATGAGAGCGTTGATAAACCTCTAGCTTAGCTGTGAATAATTATGGATGAATTAAAGAGAGATTAATGGAGTGATGTTAAGTGACGTTTGGATGCTTTTATGAGAATGTGACTATAAGTGAAATTCGATAGTTTATGATGATACGTTCGAGAGTTTTGTCTTTCCTCTCTTGCTCTTTCCCAGTTACGTTCACGTGAGCATCACAACCCCTAGAGTGGCAGTTAGGTGATCATCAATTATATCGACAAAACTATGATTAAACTCAAGTGATAATTAATCATTTATATCAAATGATGTGCAAAATATATATTTTTTTATCACGTCAAGAAGAGATTTAATTAAAAATTTAATTAAGAAAATGAAGGATGAATTGGTAGAGAAGAGTAATTAAATAAAAATTAACTTACGACATTGTCGATGAGGAAGGAGGCTTCGCCTCCTCCAACTGCTTGTTGTTTTTGTATCAATTTTGACAATTTTTTCAGTCAAAAATATCTCAAAATACTCACGAAATACTATTGACTATCATGAATTATTTGTCACTTGTCGAAATACTTTTATTGCTATTCAATTGGTTGATATTTTTTTATCTAATCAATATACAATGAATTATTGATGAAAATTTAAATTTATATTCAATTACTAGTCGTAATACATTAATCACTCAGGTAATAGATAATTTACATTGGCACTCGGTTGCAATTAGTCTTTATTGCTATTTCAGTAAAATTATTGCATTTAAATATGATTTTTATTTATTAATCAATTAATTTACCTTATTTATTTAATTATTGTTGGTTTTGATTGTATAATTTTATTTAATATCAATAACGTTTTGTTAAATTTTTTTTTATAATTTTAATAAACTATAATTTCAATATTGCTTCAATTATTATCATAAAAATTTCTAGAATAAATTCGCGTTAAATTATGAAATCACAATTAATTTATCATCACTCGAAAATTATTTTTTTTATTTACAATAATTATTTAAAAGTCCGTTTTTCAAAATTCCCCCCGCGTTTTTCTCGAACTGGTGAACCTGACGTGCATGCTGGTCGACTCGCAGCCACTATTTGACTCACTATCTATCACGATATCCCTTAAAATATGAAAAAAAATTGATCTCAAACGCGTAACGCATCGTCAAACACGAGGGAGACTCGCGGCTTTACAATTCTCTTATTCTTATGGCTATCTCTTTCACTCTCTTTCTCCCTCTCTCTGACACTTTCTCACTTTCTCGTTGTCTCGTTGGCTTGACAGTAGTGTGTGCAACCCCTCCAAGCTCGATCGAAACTCAACCCAGTCTCGAGGTCACTGTTGAGCTTGTGCGCTTGCGTTACCCTTCTCTTGATTTACACTCAATAAATCTCCAGGCTTTTTTCGGTTCTATTTGGTTAATAATAATCATCATCATTATCTTTATTGTAGTATAATTGATAGTAATGATTTTATAATTGTCCACTATTATATATTTGATATAATAAAAATTCCAAGGGATCATATTTTATATAAAATTGTTTATTAATTCTTTATTACCATAGAGATGAATAACCACAAGAGGGAAAAAATACATTGTGTATTAATGATAAATAAGTATTAATAAATAAAATAGTAATCAGTGGAAATGTTGTAAAGTATCTTAATAAATAATTAATTCGTTATTTACAATTTTTTTAAAAATTATTTATTGTATAAATCCAAAAAGCAAGCTTATTTCTTTGGCTTTTGTTGTCTTTTCTTTTTTTATTAATTGTAAAAAGTTATTATTTATATAATTATTTGAAAGATAAAACTTGCGATTTGTTTTTATATTGTTTAGTAAAACTAGTATATAATTAATATAAAAAAAAAATGAATGTTTTACATTTATGTATAGCGTTATTTTTTCCCCTCAGTTTAAAATGTGCATCCATTATACAATTAAATCTGTGCTTAATGTTCATTTAAATTTAAAATTATCTTTATAACACTGTAGTTTAGAGTAAACAACACACGCCCGTTAAAAATTTCTTCGCTAAATAATGTACGAATAAATTTGTATAAATTTTTTGAAAATATTTTTTCGTCTTGATCGTTCGAAATGATGAATTTTCTTGATGCACAAGCGCTTTATTTCAGTTGAACCAAGACCATGAAATAAGTTACTACGGCACCGAGAACCTAAAATTTAAATTAAAAGTCATTAGTCAAAATTATAATAACAATAATTCATATTTGATTATGTCAGACCATAATCATGTTATTCTACTGCCATAGAAAGTTTTTATGGCAATATTCATCAACATCAAATCTCTAGAAATTAATTAATTGCAGTAAATAACATAATTAATGTTTGTTTAAGAACTAAAAAGTGTTAAATTCAGAATATAACTTTAAAATAAAATAATTATAAATAATAAATTTATTCTACTACTCAGAGAAAAACTCCTTCATCTCCTATTATTTAATATAAATATTCTCTTTAAATGCCAATTGTATAGTAAATAATAGAATAAATTAAATTATCAATTCTTGAAATAATAATGGAATCTATTGAAATTAAATGAAAAAATATTAATCAAAGGAGAATAGAATTTTTCATTCACATCAAAAGGTGAATTGTGAAGAATGGAAATATTGATTTTTTCCAGATTCTATTTATGTTACTAATCAATCATATTTTGACTTACCGAGGCAAATAAATCCAACGACACCGTAAAAAACTTTGCACCTGATATAGACATTGCTTTTTGACACTGTTGACAAACTATTTGAACAAAGGTTTTGGCTTCTTCAGAACCATCATACCAATGACATGAATAAGCAGCTTCCATCACAGATGAACTCTAAAAAATTTAATATTTTAAATAATTTCAATCATTACTTGTCGACTATTCATAATTATTTTCAACAATATAAAAATAATAAGAACAGATAATAAAAAAAAAACCACTAGTGAGAGGTTAATTAATGAGTGGTAAAACGAATAAAACTTTACCTCCTCAATAAGACGATTTCCAAAGATACAGAAAAGGAACACTTGACCCAAAGCATACAACAGATATCCAATAGTTGTAGCAGCATAGACATTGATTCCATTTACCTGTAGGAAAATAAAAGCAATTTAAGCATAATCATTTCACTAAATTACTCAGCTAGTAAATTACCTTAGTGGCCTGGTAAGCTAGCAGAGTGAGAGTAATTGTAGTAATTAACATGTGAAACAACAGAGCAACACCATAAGCGTCACCAATTGCTGTTACAAGCCTAGAAAGAATTTTTTTTTTTCATTAATATTAAGCAAGAAATATCTCAACTTATAAAAAAGAACTGGCATTTTTATTCAGTAAAAAAAACCAGCAAATTTTCTACTCAATCAATAATCATCTCAATAACATTCTCTCAATAATGCTCTTTTTTTTTTATTACAGTTTCATATTTCAACATAAAAACACAGATTATTACTAATAAATCAAAGTTGAAAAGTTTTCTATGAAAAGTTGAATAAAATATATCTCCTATCATTCATTTTCATTAAATGAAATTTTGTTTATTCATCAAATAGTGGAAAAACGTTTCAATTTTTTTGTTAATATAAAAAAATAGCTTATAAAATAAACAAAATATAATAAGCCTTTGATTTTTATTTAAAACTAAATGTAATTTATTGAATTTTTGCCCTTCAATCGAATTTATTATTATTATTATTAAATTTATTAAAAATTCTATTTGCTGTTAACATCATTCATTTCTGTAATATATTTATGCAATGTTATCAGTTTCACCAGTAATTTATTTAACTTTAAAATGGCTTGGTCGTATGTATATTATATTCTAGTGTAAGCAACACATATCAATTCATGCATGTTATGTTTAGTAATCGATAGGTCGCAAGTGTACTCTCTTTTGTGACTGACAACTCGATGACATGTTGTAAATATTGATAACGGTTATCACTTAAATGGAGAATCAAAATTTAGCATCACTTTTCATGTATAAATCTTAATGAACCTCATTATGAATCTATACACATCAATTGATCGATAAGAAAATAAATTGATCAGTAGACCACGATTGTAAAGAATGTTTCAGTGTAATGACATATAGAGAAGTAGAAGGGGGTGAGGTAAAATAAAAAATAGAAGTGCACAATTAAATATTTGAATAAAAAGCTCGAGAGTTGCAGGTGGTTGTAGCCACGCGCTAAAGGAACGTTTAGAAAAAATTCTATAGACACTGTGGAAAACTGATATAAAGTTGTAGTTGTACATGTATAATCTATAGCTTATGATGTACAGCCTAGTGAATCGTTCAGTTCGGAGGGCACGTCCCCCGTTACGGTCAATATCGCGCACTAACTTGATAAATTTTACATTAGTGTGAGAAAAAGTACACTCTAAATAAGAAAACTGAAATGAAAATGTCTGAGTGGAAAACAAATTTTTACATTATTATAAAAACAATCTCTTGAATTCAAATGATTTATTATCAATAAATTATTTCCAGTTTTACTGTAGAGCAGAGAAAATTTTCAAAAAATGTTTCTCTTTTTTCTTTAATAAATATTTAATCATTTTTTAAAAAGCTTTCTGGGATATTTATTCAGATAATAGCCCGGAAATTAGTAAAATATATGAATATTGATATCTTTTATTTTCCATCAATGTTAGCTTAGAAGGTGAATGAATGTAATCAAGTATTTAAGGTCGAATAAAAAATTATCCTGACTGTTCCTTAAGATAATTTGATAATATGTACTCTATAGAGTATTTTAAGGTCATTGGAAATTAGTTTTTATTATTAATTAATCAAGTGTTTGTACAAAACAAGTTCAGCTTTTTCAAGTTTACCTTTTTTCAATTATTAAACATAAACCATTCATTTCCAATAATTTCCTATTCCTATCAATTTAATGCTAAGTTGAACATTGCGTGTAACAATTTTTGTATTTCATGGTATTATTATGTTCTCAGGGTGGAATTCTTTGTCTTCATGAATAAATAATAACATCAAACATAGATAAATGTCAAAATTGTATAATATGGGATCATTTTGATAGGGTAAAATATGCGTATAAGCTGATAATTATTGATAATGCCATTCAAATATTAGAACGATTCTATTATGTTGTAATAAAAACTATTATATATAATCACCAAAGTCACGCAATGGAATCTTAGTGATACAATATGGAATGAAAATTTAATTAAATTACCTTACAACGTGCTTATGTCGTTCTACCCAATATTTGATAGCACTTCTGACCAACATTTCCTGCTTTTTAGTAAGTCCATTGGGTCCAACTCCACCAGTGAATTGGGTACCAGCTGTAGGCCTGAATGTTGCTGCGAAATCCTGACGATTACTATAAATCCCTCGCAAATCTAGATCTAACATGCTTTCCCCATTTGCTGGAGTAGCTGAGGGTACGCTTCCAGTTGTGTCTCTTAAATGGTCAGCACTCCCAGCCTGGTTGAGATTAAATTACAATAGAGTGTTGAGAAATTGAATACTTACTCTTAGAACTGGTATTAAAGATATTGAATAAATAAATCAAATACTTTGAATAATTCACTGCTGTTTGGAACAACTGTGTCAAGAGTTGCACTGAGCTCCATTAAGGGTTTCATGATGGCTTTGAGATGTTGAAGTTGTTCACAAGCGAATAGCAGCCACGAACAGAATAGAACGTCCAATGAGTTTGAATCGACCATTGTTATCAGAAGCCAGTAGAATTGGAATATTAGCATGGCTATGTGTGCTACTCCATGACGAGCATCGAAAGGATAGTAGGATTTTACCATTAGTCTTGGGAGCTGAATGAAATAATGGATATTTTAAATTTAATTTCATAGCTTTGAATGAATTCTCAAGAGTTGTAACAATGCATGCCCAATATTCCCTAATGTATTCATTTTATTTCTTATTCTTTCAGAACTTTATTTCATTATAAAAAACTTTTTTCATCCAGAAATAGGTACTTTCATTAAGAAAAATAATAATAATAATTAAATGATTTTTACCTCAACAACATAGGTTTCATTGGTTTCAGGATCAATCATAGTTCTATGTGGATCTTCAATGAATGTAATTCCAGTCCAACAAACAACGCTCAGAATGGTCGCAAAGCCAACACAAAACAAAAGTCTTCTCATCTTTGTAAGAGCAATAGAATGATATCTAGCATCGCTTTCAGCAAAAAGAGGATGACTGTTGGGATTATTCCAAATAGCCAAAGTACGATAGAACAATTTACTTCGGAATCCAAAGTAAATAATTTTGATGATAGGATGCGCAAAGAAGAGTATGGTAATAGTGTTGGCTGTTAAAATATCTACATCATCAGCTTCAAACATTAAATTAAGTCCACAAAGGGCAAACTGAAGAAGAATTAAGAACAAATGGACACTGCAGTAGATTTTGTGCATAAGTTTTCTCCCTTCACCATAATAATTAAACATAAAATGTCCACTTATTTGCATAAGTCTGATGTTTGGCATTAAATCGGCCACAAGGCCCATATACTTTGATTTCATCATCTAGAGACACGACGATTTTTATTAGAATTCATTTTAAAAAAAAAGAAATGTGCAGAAAAGGGATTATTCTTACCTTGAATGGAGATGTTGTTAACAGCTAATAAACTTCAGATATCAATAAAAACCACCAAGAAACACACGATTAACTTAATAACAGAATCTGACATTGATAGCGAGCACGTTAGCTCGCGCACTTTGCGATGTTTTCAACATCGGCTTCTCACTTAACTGATTAACAATGTTTCCTTTGTCTTCATGTACTTTTTTAGTCCCTTAGAATTTTATTATCAAACGTTTTAAACACCCCACCAATATCTCCCACTCCTAAAATATACTTCACGTGGACGAATAAAATCCAAGCAATCCATACACGCAAGCGTAAAACTGTCGAGGCCCCACGAAGAGGGCCATCCTCACTTCACGTTTACTCGATTTCTCTGCCCTGCGAAGGGGTAAGACTCTATAGTCTTCATTTATTATTTATCACAGAGTATCGATGCCAAGACCATACACTTTCCCCCTAGATCACATTCACATTTGTTTACTCATTTTTTTGTTTTCTTCGATTTTACTAAAAATTTACATTCAAATTTGTGACTATTTTTTGTGTGTTTCTAATTCCTAATATTTTTTTCCGTTTCAAACAAGTAATTATTATTTTAACAATTATTTAGATCTGAAGATAAAAATAATTGTGGTTCTCGTAGCCTCTATGAAAAAATTGGGACAGAATAGTTTCTGGCATAAGATAATCCGTATTGAAAATTGCAACAATTTTTGCATTCTAGAATGTTTTGATGATGATTTATTTATCAAATTATTTATTGATAGACTTAGAAGAGTAGATAGTTGACATGGAAGATTATATTTAATCATTCAAGTGACATTTCAAATTATTGACAAATTTTTTATCTTATTGTTAATTTAATAAATTCATAACACTGATTTATACAAAATTGAAACATTACTGAAAAACAACGTAAGATTTATTGGATATTATTCTGAATAAAATATTTAAAAGGCTTTACACTTTCTTTCGTAGAATCATTCTTTTGTGAGAAAATGTATTCATTCTAAAAAAAAATTTAGCACTTGATAACTATGATTGATATGTAACAATGTATTATAATGTACTGAGGTGGAATGTCATTTATAATAACTAGGTTTAAGATGAGAAGAAACAAATAATATGAATAGTAATAATGAAAAATAGAAATGCATAGAAAGTATATGTATCACAATACTTAGCATAAATATTCAAAAAGTTGGCTTTAACTATTTGTACGAAAACTACGTACAAAATTGATAAAGTTTTGTCAGCTGTCAGTTATAGTAGAAACGACATTAAGATTTGAAAAGTTATAAAAAAATATATATTCTGATTAAAGTTAAATATGCTATGTTAATTATCAATCACCAATTATATCAATTAGTATATTGTAAAAGTCTACCTTCCTTCAAAAAATTATTATTAATTATTTACAGCATAAAATGTTACCAATGTAATTAAAAATACATTCGAGTAATAAGATTGTAATAGGGAGTTGAAAATACTTATTGCTACAAAAATTCTTGAAGAATTTTCAAGCATAAGAGGAAAATAACTTAAAGATGTCTTAGTTTTCTTTTTAATTTTTTTTTTTCAGTTAGTTTCGTCATGTTATACTAGTTCTTGAACTAGACATTTAAAATTGTAAGTCAGTTAAGGAAGTAATATTTGTTTTAAAGTATGTAAATGAGTACAAAAGAATTGATTATAAATATTCAAGCAACGTAACATCACTTAATCGCACCTATATTAATGATAAACGTTGTGAGACAGCATTAAATAAATTTACGTCATATTTTTTTGCAACATTTACCAATTACAATCAATCAGAAATAATTAGGTAAACCTATCCATCATTATTCATTCATCAAGTTTTACCATAAAGTAAAATTGAAGTTCCGATTTGTGTCCAATACAGAAAATTTAATAAAAAAAAATTAGATATAAATAAAAATGAGAAATAGATATATTGTGTTTTCGAATCAATTCGAGCTTCTTTTTTTTGTTTTGGTGTCCAAGAAACGGCTGTTTGTCTACCAATTTTGTTTACTTGAGTATCGAAACCCAATTAAATTCAACCTCAACAAACTTTATTCACGTTATAAACTACTAGACACCGAGCAATATTACTAGAAGCCATCGAACATTATAACCCTGGTAAAGTTGACAACTCGTCAGGTAGATAAAACATATTTGTACATATGTTTTTAATATGTATATAAATGATTGCCCTTGGTGATGTCATTAAGGGTTCTTTAATTGGTTATTGGTCATGTAAAGTTTAAAAGGACAGGGAGGAGTTTCTTCTGAACTATAAGTAGAACACTTAAACCAACGATCGATCCAAAATTAGTTAGATCATACTATTGTGACCACTGCTTTGACGTTTTTAGTATTCATAATTGATAACATAGGGAAACAGTGTAGTTATGGATAAAATGAGTTTGTTTCAATGTCAGACTTATTTATTTAATAACCGTCTATTTCGTTAACTTACAAATTATTGATTATAATATAGAATCAGTGATTTAACTTATGACCTTAATTAGCAAATTTTATTTATATTTCTACTATTTATCAACAAATATTTTTTACAGTGAAACATTGATTTGAAAAGATGAAGGTTTGGATCCTTCTAGGACTTCTTAGTATTTTTAAAGTTTCTTCAGTTTTCACTCTTGAACAAGGTAAGTATTTCCATTGTACAAATAATTTTCTTTTTCGATTTATTTTTATATTTATTAACATTAATTTTATTGTGAAAAATTTATTCTTTCCAGAAAGTACGAAACTCAAGGAAAAACACATCACTATACACAAGGTCATTGAGCATCTACAGAATTATTCTTTTCCAAATAATATTTCTAACAATGACAAATCGATAGCTAAAAATGCTATCCTAATCATAGTTGAAGGTAGTCAAGGTGAAGATGCTTGGAAAAAATTTAAAGAAAATCATTCATTTCCGATTGAGGGCTTCCTGAGTGTATTTAATTTTAGAAAGACTGTATAAAAGACTTTTTATTTATTTTATTGCATTGATAAATTTTTCGATCTCTACAGAGTTGCAAAAATGCATCAAATAATTCACTGTTGTTGAGTGATCATAAAAATTGTCAGTGTGAGGAACTTTTGAAAAAAAATATCAATGAATTAATGACTTGGGCACAACTTATGAAGGAAATGAGCACAGGTAATAATTAAATGATCAATTTATGAAGTGAGTTCATGGTTTATTAACAATTGTTTTTATAATAAAATTTGATGAAAAATTCCAGCAACTATTTCTGGCAATAATTCAACCCTTCCATCATTTTTAAATAATGGAAATCCAGTTCATGGTGATAAAAAATTCCTAGGGAATAAAAAAAATAAAAATGAACCAACGTTTTTTCAACAAAGGCCACGTTCAGAAGATTCTTGGCACTTGAATCATACCAATAACCATCCAACATTATCATCGTCTGTTTTAAATATGAATTCCCCAGTCAACCGAAGCAATGCCTATGATGCACTCTGGAATTTTATATCGACAATTTCACGAATGCATTCATTAATTTTTAGAACAATTTTTAAAGTAATAGGAAAACATTTTATACATAACCGAGTTCCTTCTCAACACAAATCAATGTTTCCTATTGGACCACCCAAATTTATTGATCTTATATCCAATACACTAATGGATTTGAAACTTACTTCCAATAGTAAAGGGTTTCTGTTGATTGTCATTACACCTGGAGATCAATTATCCAGAGTATATCAAACTATTGAAACTCAGGTAATTACTTATAGTTTAATTACTTTTCTAGAAAGTTGTGTAATTCATATTCAACCATTTATCACAATTCCTTAATTTTTCATTTAAGTCTCTACATAATATATTCTTAATAATTTTATGTAATTATAGTTAAAATCATGTTGCAATAAACTCTTGCAACAACATATTTATTCATTTGAATCTCCGTGGGGATTTTTTAGTTGAAAATTCTTTTAGCTCTAGACTGAAACATCTGTTTTTGCTGTAAATTTGCGTATTTTCAAGATCTTTTCTGCATAAAATATCTCACATGCGGTAGTTTGTAAAAAGAATCTTTGATCTCTTAAAAATATTTCACAAAAAACACAGTCGCTTGAGCATGAAAATGTTAAGACTACTGCTTGCATAGGCTCAGGTGTACTTGGTATACACATTTATACTCAATGGAATTACAGATTCCCCTAACAGTTTCTGCTAGAGTAATTAAAGTAGCCATTCATTTATAAATTGACTGGAATAAAATTCATTCTATATATACTAAATGGATTAAAAAAATCTAGTTTATTTTAAACCAGTGTTATTCATCGGTTATCCAACAATTAGTCTGATATGACATAATAGAATTTAATATTATAATTGAAATACTCTTTATACCTGTTTATTTAACAGATTTATACAATCACCACTTTATAAAATATACGTAAATAATTTGATTATTAATGTATAGAAATCATTTCATAATCTTTATATAAAGCTAAAATAATCTTTTGATGAGATTTCACATTGTTCAGATAACATTGCTATTTTATACTCACAAACACTTGTTTTTTTACCACAAATTAATTATTTTTTATTTTGCAATGGCAAAAGTCAATTTTAAAAAAAATTTCAATCATTCTTTGAACATTAAAAATCTTTTATCGACTTTTTGTCACATCAAATTATCAATGACATGCTAATAATTCATCATTACATTTTCTAGGTTCCATTCAATGAAACTTTAATGGTAGTTACTGGCGAATGTTCTAAAGACGATCAAACCATTCCATATTATGTTTCTGGACTAAAACCACATCTTCTTTTGAACATCACTGCTGTATTCGAACTTCCAATAGCACTTAAGTCAACTTTAGATGGTTGTCATGGCATTTGTGACAATAAAACTTTTCCTCTTACCATTTCTATTAAAGATGGTCCTAAAAAAAGGAAGATACGTTCTGGAGATGACGATGAGGTTTGATAAGTTTACTCATCTTTAAAGACTTTATGTTCAATGACAAAAAATTTATTATCCAACAAAATCATGAGGAATTAAAGTCCAATGTCTTTTCATTAATTCAACTAATTATTCTCTCCTTTCTAGACCCAACAAGATGATGAAAAAGCTGAAGAGTCAGATGCTGATTCAAACGAAGTAAGAAATTAATCAATTAAATGAACAAAAAAAATAATCTTTTCTTAATTAGTTGTTCTTTATAGAATGAAGAGTTAGGTGATAATGGAGATTCAGTGAACTCTGATCGCTACTCATCAGACTCGGACTTGGCAAGAGATGATCCATCAACATCTCACCGCACAACTTCATCTTTGGCTCTCAAATTTATTCTTACTCTTGTCATAATGATTATTACGTACTAAGTAGCAAAATATTGAATTATCAATTATTTTTGGTCAAATATTAATTCAAAAAATATAAGTAAATTATAAAACTAGAAGAACGCGTTTCACTTACTTGCTGCTTCGTTAGATTTCTTAAGATTGTATTTTTTCAGGTCTAATTAATGTTGTATTGCGCTTTTAACGACAATCATTTCCATATTGAGTAAATTATCCTTTACGGATGAGCTCAAGTAGAAAATGCTCATTTCAATTCATAAAGGCGGAAGAAAGGTTGGATTGTTGATGCCAACAATACTCAGTTTATTACTTTTCAAGAAAAATTATATAAAAGATATAAAAATTTGTAATAGGAATTATTGAAAAAGTATTGATTGTTGTGCTATATATATTGACAGATTTTTGATGAAATTAAGAGAAAGTGTGTTTTTTTATCTTTTTTGAGTTTTTTTAAATTAGAAAATTAAAGTATTACCTCAGGATAAATTGTTTTAGTGTAACGAATATACATTTAGGGTACGGAGGAGAAAAGTAAGAGGTCAAGAGTGGGGAATAGCGACTAAATATATAAAGAGAACCGGTCCAAGTGGATTTGTTCTCACTAAACCGATCGCTCTTCTCCTCGCTTGTGGACTTTTGTTATTGTGAATGACTTTTTTGTCATTTTTGTTACTTTTTTGATAAATAATTTTTATCACTGTGCAGCTTTACGGATTCTACATCATCCTTTATTATACTTTATTTATTAATATTTTTCACTTTAATTGTTTCTGAAAAAAAATCACCATGACCAAGGTGAGTAAAAAAATTTTCAAGAAATTTTTTTTTTTTAATAATATTGAGTAATTTTTTTATGATAAATAAGTTAATCATAGAATCATCTTTGTTCTTTTTAGAAATCAGGTTATCAATTATTGAAAACTATAATAAAGTTTATTATTCATTGGTAGTCATGGGAATAATTTTATTTTTCATTTAACGAAAATTACATGCAAAAAGATCAACAGAATTTATTGAGTAAAAAGGGAAAGGAGTATGTAGTTTTCTGTCACTCTTACTCTCAGTGTATTTACGAGAAGAAAGAGAAAGTTTGCTTGAGCAATGTGCTCGGTCACCGTGATGAATTTCCATTTAAAAATTCTCGTCTTAAGTAAAAATTTTTTTCATTTCTTGTCGATAGGTCTATGTTATTACAAAATTATTGCGTCTCATACAAACCGATCACGTGTACCATAATTGATACTAAAACATAACTTTAAACCTGAATTCTTTTTTGTGATTAATCATTGCTCAAAATGTGTACACTTGTTGTACTATCATACGTGTATTTACGATCATTTTAATTCCTTATGACTCATATTTTCACAACTGGAATTAGCAAATAATTTGATGTATTAGATATAATAATTTTTTTTCTTCTTCAAATTTATTTTGCTTCATGTGTCTTGAGTTTAAAAAAAATAAAAGTTCAAGGTATAAAGATTATACAAAATGAGTATATATACAACTGTCACGAAGAATACGTAATGATAAAATTAATGCTATTTACTTTATTCATAACCTTGTGTTATTTTTCTAGATGCTTTTAATTCAGCCGACAGAGGAGATGTCTAAACTCATTCGAGTTGAACTAAATGAAAACGTTGAAACTAGAGACAAAGATTTGGAGCATATTAAAGAATGGTTGAAAAAACAGCCTCATCTCCCGGATTCATTTGGTAATGACAACAATTTTTTCAGCAGTCTAGACTAATCACCGAACTTAACAATACAAAAAAAAATTAATTTTGATTTAAAAACAATCGTCGACTGATTACTTAAATTAAAGAACTTCGTATCATTAAATAAATTTATTGGAATATCGGAAATAAAATTATTTATAATGTCAAACACATTTCGTACTACGTGATTATTTTTAATGATTATTGTAATTAAATTTAATGATTATTAATGATCGTTATTTATCACTGCTAAGTTCAATCGCAAATATAAAACTTTGATGAAATAATTTCAATAGAAACAAAAGTTTTTAGTTTGGAAGATCTATAGATAACAATTATAAGCTCAAACAAGACTTTGAAAAGATTTTTTAAATTTGTTACACGGTTCTCTTGAACTCTATGTGCTTCAATGTTGAAGTGAAGTAGTCGCTTTTGACTTTAAACTTTTGTAACTAAAAAAAAAAATAATTACTCAGTAACGAATAGAATGTTCTTTGGAAACTAGAAATGTTTTCTTTATAATACTAGAGATTTCAAAGAGAAATAATTTTATTTTAAAAAAAAAACTACATCAAATGCTAACTAAAAATTAATTCTAAAATAATGAATTGTAATCACTAGATTGTAAATTGAAAAAAAAAATTTTAATATTTAAAATTAATTAAATTGCATTGAAAATCAGTTATTTTTATTTTAATAATTCCTATAATTTAAAATTAATGTATTTCAGATGACTTAAGGCTAATGACCTTCCTTAGAGGTTCCAAATTTTCTCTTGAGAAGTGTAAAAAGAAGCTAGACATGTATTTCACAATGAGAGGAGCCGCGCCTGAGTTCTTCAGCAACCGGGATGTCACAAGGCCTGAGACACGAGATGTTCTTGATTTAATGTAATTACTTAATTATTCAGCTATCATAAATATTTCATATCTATCCCTAGAAGAGACTTCTTTAATGCAAATTACTACTATAATGATCATAATACACTACAACAAAGTAACAAAAGAGAATTTCTATCAAAAGTATCTTACAAAATTACTTCAATTATCTTATTTAATAAGTAACCATGTTGATAATTTCCATGTCATAAGCAAATAGAATAATTAGACCTAGAAATAATGAGTCAATTCTAAATAAAAAGAAATTTTAAAACCTTTTTTTTATTCGAAGAAAAATTACTCTCATTTGAGAACTCTATTTAAATTACAACTTTCTTTTTGACTCCAATAATTTATTTATCTTCTGGGTGGAGTTTTTCTATTGCTCTTGTAATTCTAGACTAACAATTAGAAAATGAAATAAATAGTTTGTTTTTCTACAAAATAAACTGTTTTAGATTCTGTTCATAATTTAATCGAAAATGTTATCTGGTAAAAATAAAAAAGAAACATCTTTTAGCTAACTTATATGTAAAATATTGAAAGTAAACAACTAGCAAAGAGTTATTTATTAACTTTGTACTCTGAATATTTGTAAAAGAAATCTACGTGTACAGAATTATTCATAAGTAAATGATATAACTTAAAATGATTTTCTACTTCTAGATATATTCCTCCATTGCCTGGATTAACCAAAAATGGTCGACGAGTCGTAGTAATGAAAGGAAAAGATAAGGACATCCCAACACCAAATGTTGCCGAAGCAATGAAGTTGGTAATGATGATCGGCGACATTAGACTCAAAGAAGAACTAATAGGTGTAGCTGGAGATGTTTACATTCTTGATGCATCAGTAGCAACGCCAGCTCACTTTGCTAAATTCACTCCAAACTTAGTTAAGAAATTTCTCATTTGCGTTCAAGAAGCCTATCCAGTAAAGCTTAAAGAGATCCACGTAGTTAATGTCAGTCCTTTGGTCGACTCAATCGTCAACTTTGTCAAGCCTTTCCTAAAGGAAAAGATCCGCAATCGTATTTTCATGCACAGCGATATTACAACTCTTTATGACTATATACCGAGAGAAATATTACCAGCTGAATATGGAGGTGATGCTGGACCAATTCAGGACATCAATAACACATGGATCAAAAAGCTAGAAGATTACGGACCATGGTTTAAAGAACAAGAAGCTCTGAAGTCCAACGAAGCTTTAAGACCAGGAAGACCTAAAACTCAAGATGACTTGTTTGGTATTGAAGGATCATTCAGACAATTATCTTTCGATTAGATTTTTTTTCTTTATTTAAATCATTCTTGATTATCACAGATTTTTTCCATCGTCTAATGAAGCGGTTCCGCAATTACAAAATGATCAATTGATTCATTTATCGTTTTACATAACTAAACATTCTTATATTTTGTAATGCAGACATTTAAATAAGCTCAAATCATCCATGTGGATAAATAGACAATTACTTAATTACGTAAGACAATAAAAGTAGAAAATTTAAATTTTAATAATTATTACATTACATCCTTTAAACTTTATCGATCTTTATAAATAATCATCGTTGTGTCTTTCAATCATTTTTTATGACATTCCACAATTAATTATAGAGATACTATTAATTGTGTTTATTATTGTCTAATAAATAATTCATTATTTCTTTTTCTTTCATTTAACTCCTTTTACTATTTGTAAAAAAAAACTAATATCGAATTGATTGTAATATCAAATCTGGCAATATAGAATCTTGTAGCAGTTATTACTATTGGCAGAGTTGATAAATTTAAAATTGTCTCAAATACTTGAAACAAATTAAAAGCAAAACCTCCTTTAATTGGTAAAATTTTATGAGTAGGAAAAATGTAAATATATAATTATAATTGATATCAGAGGATAAGACATAAGGATGTACTGTGATCCAGTGGAACAATCTATCTTCACGATAAAAATTATTATTAGAAATATCTTGATATTATTAGAGATAAATTATTGCCACGAAAGGTATTAGCAACAATTTAGTAAAGTATTGATTATTGTAATTCATAAAAATCGATGACTATTTCAACCAATAAAGAATGTGAACATGTGACAACCAATTTTAAACAAATACGTGAATTTATTACCTATCTGATATCAGACTTAGAATATCACGCTAAAGTTCTGGAAGATTCTTTTACATCTTATTTGGAAGAAATGAAAAATTTAGTTACAGGATATGGAAATGATGAAAATAAAATAGGAATTCAGAAAAGATCTTACAGAAAAATTGATCAAATGTATTATAGATTGATGAAAGTTTTGCAGACAGTTCCTCAACTTATTTCAGAAGATTACGATTATTTACTGTCTCTAGGAAGTGGTTTATGTTACGTTTCTAAAAAGATAGAAAATATTACACAAAGAATTATTACAGCTAGTCACGTTGATACAGTTGATAAATTTCAGATATTAGGACAACTAAAAACACAACTTAGAAATGCTTTATTCAAATACAATAAATTAGCTACAGACTATAATAAAGAGGTAAAGAGAATTGATGTAATGAAGTCATATTTAGCACGAGGTATTATTATGTATACTTCAAATATATCTAAGAAAGAATATTCACTTTTTATTGATATTGAAGTGAATAAGTTTGTACGTTATGTTGAACAGGATAAAGTTTACCAGATGAAGAGCTATATGATCAAAACGTTGCTTAAAAGATTGGCTCAGAGCATGAGAGCTCTTAGTACAAATTCTATTACTCCGATTCCTTTGATGAGTTTAGATGAATTACCAATTCCACGTGAACAGTCTCCAAACACAGGAGCATTGTATTGAAGTCGATGAATTATTTTGCTTTCAAGGATTTTACTAGACTTTTTAATAGAAAAAGAGATTCAAATATTTTTATTTTTTAGATAAATTTTTAAGTTAGAATACATGTATTTAGCTATGAAAAAAAATCAAGAATTGTAGATTATATTGTAAAGAATGCTATATTTTAATTGGAAAAAAATTAATGTGTACAACTATTGTTGATTCTCAACATCCGGAGTCTTCAATTACAGCCATAGATCTCAATTTACAACAATGCATGCATGTCAGTTCGATTAAAGACTTTCTTGGAGTTATTTAAGTGCCATGTATTTGAGAGCAATTATCCATAATGTACTAGTAATTTTTTTTGCTTTTAGCATAATTTACAATAAAAATTCATATGGTGATGATGATAATGAGAAGCGGAATGATTCAGTGGCATGCTCATTTTTTAAGTGTAAAAGAAATGAAAGATGTGTAATTCGAAAATTTTGGTGTAAAAGACCACCATGTCCCCGGATGATTTATTGTGCAAAAACTCAAGAAGGTATTGAATTTTTAATTTTTTTATTTCTGTAATAAATACTTTTTAAGATTCATTAAAATTTACTTTCATTCGCAATTCTATATCTAAAAAGTATCTTTCATTTTAAATTCAAGTTTTATTACTTTATAGACTCATTGAAAGGACCATCATCTTGCGATAACGTTAAATGCAGTAATGGATATGTCTGCATAGTCAAAGTTCGTCATTGCAGTTGGGATAAACGTAAGTAACTTGAAATTACTTTATTCAATTAAAATTATCTAAACTTTTGAAAATATATAAACTGAAGTGGTTCTTCAGCTTGCAAAGAAGAGGTTGCTCGATGCATTACGGAAATGGACTACTATGAAGGTCCAGCATCTTGCGCAGGATTTAAATGCCCACCAGGTTTAAACTGTATTTTACGAGAATCTTTCTGTACTGATCCACCTTGTAAATTATTCAGAACTTGTGCCAACCGAACAGGTATTTGTTAATTCCAGTTTCCAACTCGAATAAACATTTTATTAAACTCTACATAATTCAAAAAGTTTAAAGATCATTCAAGAAATTAAAATAATTAGAGTGCACTTAACAGCTTTATTCTCATGCTTTTAAGATTTGTTATTAAAAAATTTTATCTTCTTTTATAATCTATGTGAATAATTTTTAAGCTTTTTGATATTTCACACAAAATTTTTATCAATTAAAAAATATTACAGAATCCTTAGAGCAATAATTTTCTTCATATTTATTCAATTTTCTTGCCTGTATTCAACTAAATTGTTTTTATTTATTTACTTATATTATCAGTTCCATTAATTAGATTGTTTAATATTGTAAATGATCAATAAATTATATATTATGATTTTTAAACAATAACTAGCATTTAAGGCATTTAATGGCACATACCAATTATAAATTAGAAGATATTATTCAAAACTCGATAATCTACATTCACTCTCTAGAGTTTAATGCATTCATTTATCCATTGATTCGAATAACTAATCATTAATAATGAATTCTGCACCGATTAATAAAATAGATGTTCACACTTGGATGGATGAATGCAAATCTCTCGGCTGCATCTCACCACATGAATGTTTTCTTCGACGGCCGGAAGCAGTTTGTGAATTCTTTCATTGCCGTCACAAACCAGATTGTACAGCAAAGTCAGGTAAAATTAATCAATAAACCACTTATTTCGTTCAATGATTAGTAAAAAAAACTATTCTCCTAGAAACTGAGTTAATTAAAAACGAAAAATGCCGTGGTTGGATTTGTCCAAAAGGTCAGACATGCTTGACACAAAGCAAAAGACCTTGTAAAAATGCTGAATGTAGAATAAATCGATTTTGTCAGGGAGACATAATAAAAAATGCAACAATTGATAATAAAAGACTTCAAGTGGAAGATTCAAATAAACTTTTACATCAATTCAAGATAAATTCTGTCCATGGAATTAAATTTAACGCAAGTAATATGAATTTAAATCCTATTGTGACCACAAATATAAATTCACCAATTGAAAATGCTAAATCTGATAACAGAGTTGATTTAAAAAATATTAGTTCGAGCTTATCTTCACTGGATTCATGGTTGGAATATTTGAAAAATCAAACTGGAATTAATGCTGTTAATATTTGGATCAAAAAATCAGAAGATAAAAAAAATCATCCGGTAATTATATTATTATATTAATAAGATAATTGAAGGATTTAGTTGAAGAGATAAGGAATCAATAGGCTGTGAATTATTGTTGTTCTTTATAAACATTCAAGGAATTCCGCAAGTGGCTAACCTTGGTAAAAGATTTGCTAGGAAATAAAATGTTTGATCTTTGGCTTGAAGAAATTCGCAATATTACAATAAAGAATCCAATTTTCCAAAATTGGTTACCAACCTCTGCAGACGCATTCGATGTAAGTATACAACTTTGATATAACATCAAAAAAAGTAAATAAAATGACTGAGTTTAGTTAAAAAAAAAAATAAGATGTGAAATGTTAAAATAATTTTTGATCATCATTGAGGTTTTTTATCGGATTTGTATCAATAAGATTTATATTAGTAGCATTTTCTGTAATGAACGATTTCCCATTTCCTTATAAAACATTCATCTTTTTGTAGGAAGAAATTTCTGTTTTCACACCTTGGAATGCTACTAAAGAAGATGGAAACCATGGAATTTACGAGACTGAGAGTTTAATGAATCCAGAATATAAACTACAGAGCTTTGGTTATTCTTACAATAATTCTAATTTATTTATGCAAAAAGCACCTCCCATTCAAATTAATGAACGGATTAATGACGATTCTTTAGGATATTCTGAACAATATTATTTGACTGTGTTGAGATTAATACAGAAACTTCTTGAAAGTATCACTCCATTGATTGAATTTAATAAAGAGATACTTCTTAAACAACTGCAGAATGAAACATTATTATTGAATGAGGATAGACGAATTTCTTTATTAAAGATACTGGATAAGTTGAAAGAGGAACGAGAAATCTATGCATATGTTATTAATAAGGTAATTTGATTTATTTAGTTTTAGTTTCTGATTTTTTTATGTTTTTCAATTTTATATTTTACTTTATCTTCACAATGTTCACATAAAAAATAATGTCAGAAACACACTTTGCAGTGATAACACTCTAGTGAAATTTTTTTCCATATAGCAGTACTATCAATGCTACCAGGTGTTTGATATTACCACAGTAAAAGTTATGTCTCCTCCCAATGCTACCAAAATATGATAAAATATTCTACTCTTTTTATGAAAGACGAACTTAAATATGTAATTTTTGGAACTTGTTTGAAACTTCTTACAATCCTTTTAAGTTTTTTATGCAGTTTTTTTTTTGAATAATTTTTCTGAAATTTTTATAAAATCAATTGAAAAAAATATTTCAAGAAAAAAAATAATTTGTTTGTTATTTAAATATTATAAAAATTCAATAATTTTCCTAGAGGGAGAAATATTTACTCTGTGAGAATATGAGATCCTATACTATAATATATGCAAATTATCTAATTTGCATGCACATTTTCTTCCACCATATGAATACGAAAATGACTACTTTTAATCCTAATTAGTTTTCTCGCTGAAAACTCCACAAGAGATTTACAAAATAGTCAGAGATGTAATTTTCATATCTATTTCAAACGAATAATTATAAAATAACTTTTAACATTAAAAAAATAAATTATCAACAAATCAATTTAATGTAACGACTTTTTGTTCAAATATAGACACAAGAATTAATCTCCAATGCTCAACCACTCGTTCCATCATTTTACATTGACGATGTCATCGAGAAATTTCAATCAAATGAAGAGAGAAATTTCTCTGATACAAGAAAGAATGAGAAACCATTGGATCACAATGCCACCAATGTCATGAGCATAATGAGTAGGTCAAAAGATCAATCAAGTGAAGATGATGTGGATTATGTAGTTCTAGATTATGGCGAGCCTATTACTGGATGGAAGGTGAATCAATCAGCTCCAAAGATCATAATTAGGGTTGAGAATAATTTCCAGCCACCACCAAGTAAGTAGATTAGATATTACATAAGTAAGAAATAATGATTACATTGAAATATTACATTGAAAGATAAATAAATGAATTCATAGAAAAAATTGAATGAAAAAATAAGAATTTAATCATTAAAAATAAATAAGTTTGATGAATGTTTATAACTGACCTATATTTCATGGTCAAAGCATGAAATGAGGATCAAAAATATTAATAATAATCAATTTCTTATGTTCTTTTACTATTTTAAAAATAAGTAGAATGAATGAATTGCAGAGATTGGTGAAATAAAGGTAGAGAATGGAGACAACATTTTGAATCGATTCTTACTAGTAAATACAACATCTCCATCCATAGAAAGTACTCAGGATGATTATTACAACGATGACGAGGGCTCAGAATTTTTAAAGGTCACTGAAGATAAAACCAATAGCTCTTCAATGATTGTAGATCGGTCTAAAGATAGAAGAGTGTAAAAGAATATAGACTACATAGTGAAATGAAATGTAATGTTATTAGCAGTAAAAGTCAGATATTTAAGGTTGATCGATAAAAAAAGGATAACGATCGACATGACTAGTTTTTGTAGACAAAGAATTTGGAGCAATTAATGTACACGATGCAGTATTTGACAATAGTCTAGTTAATGTTAATAATCGTTAAGTCTGGACAAAGAAAATAACCATTTTAAATAAATCTTCATCCTTATAGTGGAATAATGTTGGAAACAATAGCTTGCTGGAACCATTTCAGGAACTTCAACGATTAACTTGAATCATTGAAGGTTGTGATAATTTTATTTTACTAAGATGGAAATATTATTTAGTTTACTTCATAATTACATTATAAAAGTTAATAATGAATAATTATATCTTTGTATTTATAAATTTTCTATCAATTATTGATAAAATATTAAAAGTAAGATTCAACAAGTCTTTAACAAAGTGCATAAAGGTCAAAGTATGCTTATTTATGATCAACATTTACGATTGGTAAATGAAAATGAAAGATTAAGATTAAAGAGTAAATTTTTTTGTATTTAATAAAAAATGAATGATAAATAATTGTTTGATAGTGGTCAGATAGATTATTATTAATATAGGCACTAAGACGACTCTATAGTGATAAAATAAAACTCGTTCACTCAGAGATGGTTTATTTTATAAGCTAAAAAACCATGGAGAATGCTAGAGAGAAGAAGTGGTGGAGTTTGTCGAATATCACGAATGCGAAGGAGAATGTCGCGGTTGGGAGAGGATCTAGTCGCTTTCTGGTCGTGCAACTACCAAGAACATCGCAACCATCGTCTTCCTATTATTATCAACAAGTGTACAGGAACTAACAATCACAGTAAAAGAGGTAAATAACGATAATTAAATAAAATTATATTGTTGGTTATGTATAAATATTTTTAATTTAATATTAAATTAAACTGTAATTATCCTTATCGTGTCATTGTCTAATAATTCATTCGGCAGGATGTTTTATTTAATTAAATGATGGTATTATATTTTCGCCGCAACTAGCATGCATTGATGCTCTGGATCACAACACTACCGGCTTTTATACACACATTTACTCTACTATGATATTCCATTCAAAATCTCGGGAATATCCCTAGAAATATTCTCATTGCGTGACTGCATATTATGTGACGAGCACGTTGCGCTTGTGATTAATTGCACAACATCTTCGAAAAAAAATAAGAAATGCTAAGAATTTATTAGTGAAGGTGATATAATTATTAGTCGTGTCAATTTTGTGTTGAAAAAATTGTGTCACTTATTGTCGGAGGGTAATGATATATATTTGATTAAAAAAAAAAAAAAGAGTCAATAAAAAAAATTGTTTGAATAATTATAAAGAGACACTTGAAGGTTCTATTTAATATTAGACTGATTAAAAAAGGGAATTTTGAAATTATATAGCTGAAATTATACTACATGTGTAATCAAGTATAACATTAAGGTAAATAAAAAAATTATGTATGGTTGGAGTCTGGATACAAAGTAGAACTGTCGGTTGAATATTTTATAAATTTTTTTATGCAAAATTATTATTTTCCTTTTGTAAACGATATTAATGCCAACAATTTATCTCTTGATAAGATCATTTAGACTTCATTGTTTTTCCAATGATTGCCAGACCCACCTTTTCAGCTAGACCGTGATTGGATGCACATGATTGCAAAAAAAAATTTTTTATGCACTCTAATTAGTGCATTATTTCAATAATTATTCTTGTAACAAGAAACATTACTTAATTTAAACAAAAATCTAGTTAGTACATTGTTTTCTTCTTTATTTTAAAAATTTTCATTTTTATTCTACATCAGTTTTCGTGGGGTGTTCACTGATTTTAGGATTTAAATAATTTCTTTCAAGCAAGTGATGCTCAAAATACTGAATCAATCTATTTTATCTTTTAAATCTATTTTATTTTTTTTCTATTCATATTATTATTATTATACATGTAATATTGGAAGCGCATTGCGGTTAACATTTAAAAATTTATCATCCATTAAGGAATCATAGTAATTACCACAAAAATACTTTCCGATAAATTCATTAATTTTTAATAGAGATTAAAATTATTTCGAGCTAAATATAAATGTCTATTCCTTTAAAATAATAATGTAAGTTTTGAGTAAGAAAAAAATGTTTTAAAAAATGAAGTATTACTAAATTTCTTCATTGTTATTAATTGATGTATAATGTACTAATTGATGTAACACTTTAATTGATATGACACAGTTAAATAAAAATATATAAACTTTTAGGCAAGAATAGTTATTTCAATTGTGATAGTCGAAATATGAAATATAGTGAGAAAAGTAAGAAATACAACTGATTCCCATGAGTATTGCAGAAAGTCTAGATATAAAACGTGTCGAATACAGGTGAAAAAGTAAAATGGAATAGGAGAGAGAAGTATTTAAAAGGAAAAGAGATAAATAGTGTGCATTTCCTTCATTTAGGTGGTTAAAATTCTTCCGGGTATTCTCTCTTCCAATTACAACATTTAAAACAACTATGAGATTTTATTCTGTGGCTATACAAATTTTTTCTCATTAGTGATATTTTGTCTTACTTTATGTATTTGAAATATTAAACAAACATAATATTATTATTTTATTTTATTTAAATTTATATATCACAAAATAGAAGGTTAAAGTGATTAATTTTTTTTTCTATCAACTTTGTAATAGAGGAAATAACTCAATTATGCTTAGAGAGAAGTGATCTATTTAAAAAATGTACAACGTCTTAATCATGTATGACTATCAAGACTCTCGGTCAGTGAACGTAACGGTGTTACGACTTCGCCTCAAGCAACTGCAATTTTTTTTTATAGATAAACATCCTTAAAATCCGCCTACGTAACACTTTCAAGGTCTCTAAAAATCTTAAACTTTTTTTAGCGTTATTATCATTTTGAATTTTATTGTTATTGTTATCATTAAGTTAGCTTGTAAAATTTTTAGGATTTAAACGTAGTTTAGTTTTGAACACTGTTTTTATGGCTGAGATAAATTTTAAGGTGGAGTGCTAATTGCAGATTTGAACTCGTTTTTTATTACATAAAATCAGATGTAGCCAAATATATTTTTAGAATAGTGTAATTAAGAAAGTATGCAGTTTTTTTTATTACAAAAAATAAAAAAGGTAATATTTTTTCAAGTTTAATTATCTCAGTCAAGAATGAATTTGATACAATTTTTTTTCTATTTTTAATTTTAATGTTCATTAAATCAATTATTATTATTAAGTGAAAAAAACGAATTTTTAAAAATTTGGTAAATTTTTCATGATTATTTAAAATTGTTTAAAAAATTTGTCAAATTGCATAAGAATTTAATAAGTTTTTTAAAATTCATATTATAAAAAATTCAATGGTAATTGGTTTTATTTATTTATTTATATTTGTGAACATCAATTTATTAACAAAAAATTGTAAATATGAATTATAATAATTTTTCAATTCTCCAAGTCATTTCTCCTTGAAAATTCATGCTTTTTTTTAATATCATAAATGAGATAATTTTCTGTTCCACTGATTTAGCTATGAAACATTATAATTTTTTACAACTCCAATGGAAATAATTATAATCTATCTAAACAAAATAAGACTGTCGTGTTATTACTAGGAAGAATCATCACGAAGAAGACCGGAAGTGCTACATAAAAATTTACTGCGTTTATGCGAAAGTGTTAAAGTAGAAAGCAGACACATATGATGATTCTTTATTTTATTTTATTATTGTTCTTTCACTTATTGTGAATTTGTTGTGTTCAAGAACAAGTCAATTAAAGATTATCATTGTTTACCGTTAAATGCAAAATACATCTTACAGATGGGTTGTGAGTGTCCGTTAAATCCAGGAACAGGACCATCATTAGCTTCGACATGTGGAGGACCATCGTTTATGCTCTTTATGGGCTTGTTGGAGGTTTTCTTACGCAGTCAGTGTGACCTCGAGGATCCATGTAATCGACCTCGGTCAAAGGAAGACATATATCCAAGGTATTTCATTGAGAATATTCAAATATATGCCATTAGATTTTTAGAGTCTCTGAGTTGAAATGTCAAGTATTATTGATTATTCACGATTTACTGATTCCTAAATCTCTGCTTAACATAATCAGCAAAATTGCAAGACAATTGATTTAAAAAATTGAATTTACATATTCTTTAAGAAATAATGAATAAATGAAATATTAATAAATTTATATACATAAAAAAGCATTAAATAATAATCGACCCAAACATTAATTCCAACAATCAAAATTTTATCATTTCTCATTCATTATCTTTTTATTCCAACGTAATGTAATTTTAATTCATTGCTCAGATACTTCTGTATTGATTATTAGCTGGAGGCTATTTTCATAATTATCAAGACTGAGATTTGATTATGATTTCCGAGCAAAATTCATTGACTTTCACTTCGTGACCCTCGAAATCTCGCATCGAGATTTTACAAAGTCATTCTGACATTTTCTTTTGTCTTTAAATAGTTATTCTCTGTGAAAAGTATTCCATTAATTCTTTTTACTTCTAGTTATGATTTTATTGTAATTGGTGGAGGCAGTGGTGGAGCAACAGTAGCTGGACGACTAGCAGAAGAAAACAGATTTTCTGTTTTACTAATTGAAGCTGGACTAGATGAGCCAACTGGTACACAAGTTCCATCATTTTTCTTTAACTTCCTTGGAAGTTCTATAGATTGGCAGTATACAACTGAAGCTGAAACAGATGCTTGTCTAAATAGAGGAGGGAAATGTTTCTGGCCAAGAGGAAAAGTATGTTAATCGATTGTTTCACCGTTAAAAATTTTTTTTTCATTTTGTAATAAACCATTTCTTATTGTTTTCAATATGAAAACTAACCATCAAGAAAGGCTTTAATCAGAGTATTTCAATAAAAAACAGTTCGATATCTACTGTTATCATACGGATTAATAATATTATTCAGGTTCTTGGAGGCACGAGCGTACTGAATGGAATGACTTATATGAGAGGATCAAGAAAAGACTACAATGACTGGGCACGTTTGGGAAATCCTGGCTGGTCTTACGAAGAAGTCTTACCATTTTTCCTTCATAGCGAAGATAATCAGCAAATCGATAGGATGGATTTCGGTTATCATAGGACTGGTGGGCCACTCACAGTTACTCAGTTTCCTTACCATCCTCCTCTGAGTCGAGCTCTCATTGAAGCTGGAAAAGAATTAGGTACTTATCTTAATCGATCAAAATAAAACTCTTTCAATCAAGAGCGATACTTCAGCTGATTGAACATTTAATTTATTTTGAGAAGTTATGAAGAATCCATAAGAATACGCAAAAAATCTAACAAAAAAATAACGTATAGTAATTAAATTATATTGGAGATAATTTTTCATGAAAAAAGATCATGAAATAGTCAGGTAGACGATGTCTTTACGAGGCTAATAGTCAAGGTATTTTGATGGACACATTTAGGAGGTAAATTAAACAACTTGATTAAAATATTAAAAGATGAATTTTGCTTATTACTAAGTGGAGCATGAAAATGGACCGTTAATACCTATTTGCACATGAATACAAGTGTTAAAAGAGATTTTAACAAAAAGCTACTCATTAGGATGAGAATATATAGAAGTAATTTTACACTGCAGCTTGAAGTAATAGAGATAAGGAAAAAAACTAGTCAGGCGATCAGAATATAAGTCTTCCCTAGGTAAAAGTAGTTCTTGACCACTTATTTATTTAATCTAAGAAAAGTAAAAAAAATTTAGTGGTACTATGACTTTTTCATCTACCTTGTTTGTTCACTGTAAACTCAGCCCTGTAAGTTAGATTTGAACTATCAGAGTTAGCTTTATATTCAACTCGCTGATGAACTATCCCTTCAGGCAATTGTTAAAATAAACTTTGATAATGTTAGCATTCTCAAATTTAGTTTCTCAATAAAAATTTTTTTTGACTAGGTTATATGATTATCCAGTATTCTAGTTGAATTTATTTTATTTATTATAATATCTTCTGCAGAAACCGACTATTAATTATATATCTTATCATCATAACAAAAAAAAAATTAAAAAAAAATTCCAATAAATATAAAAAATACTGAAAAATGAGCCTAAGTTTTGGAGGCTGAGCAGTTAATTTATTCTGAAAGAAAAAACTATTTTATTTCATTTTTAGCAATACTTATTCAAAATTGACTTATTTAGGTTACGATAATGTGGATTTGAATGGAAGGACTCATACCGGTTTCGCAATAGCGCAAACAACAACAAGAAATGGTTCAAGATTATCGACAGCTCGTGCATTTATTCGACCCATGAAAGATCGGCCAAATTTCCATATAATGTTGAATTCAACTGTTACGAGAATTTTATTCGATCATGACAAACAAGCGTCAGCAGTAGAATTCGTCCACAATGGTCAAGTGCAACGTGTTGGAGTCAATAAAGAAGTTGTTGTGAGTGGAGGTTTGTACTATATAAAAATAACTCATGAATAAATCAACATGTCATTGAATAAAATATTCATGATCCTAAAATATATTTCAGGTGCTATCAACTCTCCACAAATTCTCTTGAATTCAGGAATTGGCCCTCGAGATGAATTATCAGCTGTTGGGGTTCCAATAATCCATCATTCTCCAGGCGTAGGGAAAAATCTTCATAACCACGTGGCTTATGCTCTAGTATTCCAAATCAATGATACTGATACAGCACCGTTAAACTGGGCTACTGCTATGGAATATCTATTATTCAGAGATGGCCTAATGTCTGGAACTGGTAAGAAAAACAATATTAATATGAAATCATGCATAAAATAGTATATTTTTAAATTTTTTCTCAATTTTCTTCTAAATCTTCTCCGCTCCTTTACCGTGAGAGAAGTAGAGAAAGCTTCTTGCGCAATACGATCTCGTTCGTGACTGACGCGAATATGATGCAACCATCTGTTTAGTCTGATTTACTTCAACAAGATTACCATTTCCATTTCCTTTTGAAATGGCTTTATTAACTCAGAATTCACTATTTTTAGGAATCTCCGAGACTACTGCCATGATTAACACCAAGTATGCAAATCCTAGAGATGATCATCCAGATATTCAACTGATTTTTGGTGGATATTTAGCAGATTGTGCGGAAACTGGAATGGTTGGTGAAAAACGAGGAAATAAACGCAGTATATTAATGATTCCAACCTTACTACATCCTAAATCTCGTGGATATTTACGACTACGTGACAATAATCCTTTGTCAAAGCCCATGATGTATCCAAAGTACTTGACTCATCCTGAAGATGTTGCAAGATTGGTTGAAGGAATAAAGTTCTGCATTCGTTTAGCAAAAACTCGATCATTAGCTCGATACGGATTTGAGTTGGATCGCACGCCAGCGAAAGGATGTGAACATTTGAGATTTGGGTGCGACGCGTACTGGGAATGTGCTATTAAGCGTGAGACTGCACCAGAAAACCATCAAGCTGGTTCGTGCAAAATGGGACCAGCAAATGATCCTCTAGCTGTCGTTGATAATCAATTAAGAGTAAAAGGTGTTAGAGGTGTTAGAGTTGCTGATACTAGTATCATGCCCAAAGTTACTTCGGGAAATACTAATGCTCCTGCGATAATGATTGGAGAGAGAGCTGCGGACTTTATCAAGAAAACTTGGACGAGATGAGAAATAAGATATAGATAACGCAACATGGAAAGAAAATAGCTATCGATTTTAATCGAAAACTTAACTTTATTAATTAATTTAAAAGATATTTTTGGAGAATCAATAAGTAGCTTTTACACGAAATAAAATATCAAAAATGTAGAAATAAAATATTTTAATAGATAGTAGGATTATTTAAAAAATAATAATTATAATAAAAGAGTATTTTTATATAAAGTTAAAATTAAAACATAAAAATTATCGTATATTATTTGTAGATAAAAGATTTATTTTTAATGGTGCTTATTATTAATTAGGATAAGATTTTGACTATTTTACTCTTGAGAGCTTTTATTTAAAAAATCATAAAAAAATTTCAATCAATTGTTTGGATTGTTAATTAAATAAAGACTTTTTCATTTCTCTAAAGCTTGCACTGAATAAAACTGTAATAATTGTTCTAAAGCTAAAAAAGATTTAACAATCACAAAAAAATTTTAATCGAATTTCTGCTAAATCAAATATGCTAATGGTGCTCCAAGTTCTTTTTTTAGAATTAATGTTTACATACTGTGAATGAGTTTTTTTTTCTTTTTTTCTACCAACTCCTACGAAATAAAGTTAGTAGATTCACATTCGAATTCAGTGAAATTAATTTAAACAGCTAATATGCTCGCCAGTACTGCAACACGTAATAAAATGAAGAGTAAATTTCTCTCCATGTTGTTGTTATAGATTTGAATATGAAAGATTTTAAATGTGTTCTTAATTGATAAATATTATTCTCAGTAAAAGAAATAATAGAACTAATTAATAACACAGAATTATAAAAAGAACTTTTTATCATTAGATTTAAGTGATTTAGTTTGTACGATTTCATTGAATACAATAAATTATCTTCGGAATAATTCTAAGAAATCCCCACGAAGAGTCATTGTGTTATCACAATCTACTCATTGACACGGGCTATTTAATAACTGCAATGCAATGATGAAGCCAGTCGTACTTGATACATTCAAGAATAAACAACTCGATACATTTGTTGTATTATCAACGGATTCTCACAATGAAAAACGTGTTGGTTACTGTGTTTATCATTGGTTTATTTACTACTGCATTTTCTGGTGTAAGTGATTCGTTTATTGAATTCGTTGATTAATAAAATTTTAATAATTATAATTATTTCAAAATTTTCTCTAACTAATTGTACCAAAATGTATGCTGTTTTTTAGTCGATTAAAGAAGATCTTACTATCGTGCGTACTTGTAATATGACTGACCCTGTGGATATAAACATATTGAATGATTACTTGATTTATCACAATCCAAATCATTTGAATCCTAAACAGCGTCAAGAACTTTCTGTAAGCATCCTTTCATCATCATCATGATAATCATCTAGACAATGAAAAAACCTAAATGAAATGGATTGAAATAAATAAACGTATTTATTTGATTCTAGTGTTTTCTATTGTGTGTCTACAGCGAATTCAATTGGGTAAATACTTTTTACTTTATGTATAATCTTTCAGATTAACAGCAAGCGAATAAATAGTTAGCTGTTTTTTTAAATTTTTCACATAGTTTATCTGAGCTTCCATGAAAGTTAACTCGATTTCTCATGCAAAAATTGTAAAGAACATAAATATTTCTTCGTATTTGATTTATGAATATAAACTCAGTTAACTTATTAGTGATATAAAATGACCTTATTTTTGAAAGTACATTTTTCCAAGATTATTAGAAGAAATGCTTTAAAGTTTGCTGTTATCTGAATTTTCATAACAAGTTATTTCCCTACAGTAATGGTATATTCTTTGAAGAATATCGTATTCAATTTTATTTAAGACAGTATACTAACGATAATCATCTTTTATCCTATTTTTTTGATAAAAAAATACTTTCCTTATTGTAAAGCATAAAATAGTTAGAAAACAAATCTTATTTTAACACAAAGAATATCATCAACAAAGTATATACATATATAAGGATTTTATAAATTCATTTTTATGCTAAATCTTGAGCAAAAAAATTATTATGACAAATAATTTAAAAAATATGCAAATTTTTTCAATTCAAATGATAAATTATTCAACATTTTCTGAGTGATATAAATTCAATTTTATACAGATGGATCGTCATGGTGGATTCAAAGTTAATAATATCAAGTCTTGGATGCGGAAAACAGAACTATCAGAACATGATATCGATAATTTAATAAGAAAATGCATCACCCCAGGTATCCTTTTATCTACAAATTAAATTCTTTCTCCTTTGTTCAATAAAATTCTTTTTTTATTTCCAACAGAATTTACAGATCCTTGCACACGAGCACAATATTTCACAGAATGTTTCTGGGCAAATTATCAAGTAAGCCAATATCAAAATTTATTTTTAAATCATATCTTATATCTAACTTTGGTATGCTATATCATATAACTAACATTAAACTTAATCAAATATTTTAGGGATCGTTGAAGAGTAGACATCATCATTCTCTCCACTCAATTATCCACAAAAATAACTTTAAGTAACGATTCATAATTATCAGTTAATTAACAAGTAGTTATTGAAAATAATTCTTCACCAGAACCATGGGAAATTCTTCGATATGTTGAATCTTAAATTCTCTCTTGTTTGACGATAACTTCTAGACGAATCACAACGATACATCTTGCGGATTTTTCGGATGTCCAACTTACTGAAACCTTCTCTTTGTCCAAGTGTAGGTTTTGATCGACCTTGGAGCATATCAAAAAAATCCAGGAATCCCTTATTTTCCTGCAAAAATAAATTTAATTATTTTACATTTTGATAAAGGAATTTGTTTTTTCAAGTTCGAAAACAGTACATATTAAAGCATACTTTAGGAATAATTGTAGGACGTCCGTTAGCAGAAAAAGCATTGCTAGAATAATGCATAACACTTCCATAGTCATATTTAACTCCAAAAGGGTCTGTTGTGCCCGCTGCAGCTTTTTTAAAGTTAATATCACTACCTACAGATGAAAAGAATGTGAAGAAAATTATAAACATAATTTTAAAGTAAATAAAGTTACTTGAAATAATTAAATACCTGGTTTGATGTTTTGCCACTGTATAGCAACGTAATCATCTCGGTCATATCTGCTCTGTTCATGAATAAACCCAACAGCATGCATCAACTCATGTATTACAGTTCCTTTCTTTATTACGCATCCAGGAGTTTGGAGATTAACATCCTGTCGACCTCCTATCCTGCCCACGCTGCTCCAACAACCCGTATTGCCAGCAGTAATCCTAATGTAATCGTTAGTATCTCCAGTGTACGGTACAAAACGAATACATGTGTTTCTATGAAAATCTTCCATGGCTTCCATTATTAATTGATATTGAGTAGTATCTGAAAAATTAATTTTCAATATTCACTAATAACTTTTTAATTAAAAAGAAATTAAATTGAAAAAAAGAAAAAAATAATGATCAAATTGAATAAAAAGTTTTTTTTATTCATCTATAAAATTATTAACTTCAGAATAAAGTGAAAAAAGTTGATACAAAAATTCACTCAAAGAATTTCATGCTTCAGAAATATTTTTGATTAAATATAGAAAAAATGTCATTTTTATCTTGTTATATATTCATTATTTGAACTCTTAAAAAATTTAATATACATACTTAGCAAAAACATTTCAAAAATGTCATGAGTTCACTGGAAATAATTCTAAGGCAAAAATAGGATAATTTTTAAATTTTAATAAAAGTGAAAAGTCAAGATATGAAATAAATAGTATAAATACCACAAGAAATATTCCATGTTTCCTATAATTATTTGTTGAAAACTGCTACTTATTTATGTTCCAAATTAGTCCATAATTGTTGTCATAACCAGAATATTTTAAATAACTTACCAAACCATGGACTAATCATGTACGGAATAATTCCCCCAGGCCACCGAGCAGTAGTCGACGACAATCCACTCCTCATCATAATCATTGGAAACAGAATATCACCCTCTGCATACTCTCCCAACTCTTCAGGATTCATACCAGCAGTTTCATCCCATTCAGCCACTTTTGAGCCAGTGTTATTACTTGGCATACCGTACATCATGTGCTCTAGATGCTCAAGATCGATGTGAATATCTTCTGCAGTATCAAGAGTATTATCAAAAGCATCACGAAGCCAATTAACAGGCCCAGCAATTGCCCAACTAATAATACCACTCATCATCAGTAGTAAGAGAATCATAATTGGAACTTGAAACGTTCTTCAGAAGTTTTAGGAACAAATAGAAAGACTGATAGCTAACAAATAGTCAGGGACTTTTTATAGTATGGAACAGTAGTTCCCCCAGCATAGCCAAAAATCAAAAGATTAGTTTGATGACTTTAGACAACTTGTAAGGGGAAGTAAAGAATAATATTGGGGCCATGGTTGATAACTTTTGGCAGGAAGTTGGAGAATTTATTAAGCAAAAGTGCGAAATGAATGGTGAAAATACATTCAAGGTATCATTAGTCACACATACATATTCTTGACGTTGATTGAAGCATTAGCTATTATTTGAATGCTAGTTTGTGTAGGCTGTTGTACGCCTTCAACATGAATTCTTTGACATTAAAAAATTAAAACCTTGAAAAAATTGAAGAAATCTTTTTCGCCAGCTCATTACAATTGTTGATAGTAAATTCTACTTATTCTGATAGTTCCACCTGAGTTATACTTTTATTTTTATTACTGAATTTAATTTAAAAAATCTAGTGTAAAAGATAGTTTCAGTGATTTTATCATCAAACTTGAAGAATAAATTTCCCATTATTTCAATCATTTTTTATTTATTCTTCCATTTTCTTTATTTAAAAGTAAGTAAAAACTTACATGCAAATAAATGTAAAAAAGCCTATCATACTCATGTAAGGAATAAGAAAACATACTCACATATGCACGACCTCATTTGGCTTCTTTCATTCTCCATCGATTTTCTTTTCAACCCGTTAGTAAGTTTGAAAACTTGAATTCCAACATCCATTTATTCATCTCGAATTATAATGAAAAATCATTTCTACATTATGACAATTATTTATTGTTTTTTATTCATAAAGGATCATCTGGAAAATAAAAAAATAATATATCATAAAATAAAGTAAAATTGAAAAATATTTGAATACTTACTTTTCGCGCTGTATAGCGCCCTCTTGACATCTAAATCAAAAGCTGAGTTTAAAAAACTGTCAGTTGAACGCCGGACTTCATGTAAGGAGGTTTTTGTTGCTCTCCAAATTGTTTACTTATACTCAGTTTGTTTATTAACTGTATTTACGTACGAAACCATTATTTAAAAGTTCTTTAGCAATAATGGAGGCTGCAGTCATGGATCTAGAGAAAAGCGTAAGTTTATTTAATGTTTCAATTCTAACCTTGTTTGTTTATTTTTTTTTATTAAATGAAAGTTACATATTTATTTTATTACACAATTTATTAACTATCTGTTTAGGTGAATCGAACAAGTGGAAAACTTGCATCGATAGCTTGGAAAATGGAGACTTTTGAAAAAGAATTCCCAGATCCTGATAATGAGGTAAAAAACTTTATTTCATCAAAACAATTTGAAAAGTTTATAATTTATTTTTAAATGAAAAATTAAAAATAATATTATTTTATATATCAGCTGTCAGTTCTGAGATTGATAAAGTCAGTAGCTCAAGTAAAGGAAGAATATCAAACACTTAGACAAGAAATTCATGAAGTTCAACAGCTTCAAAAACAACTGACTGATTCATTGAAGGCCCAAGTCACACAGGTTCAGGGACATTTTCATTTACTCAGAGATAAAATTCTAGGTTACGACAAAACTCCTCAACTCAAGTGAGAATCAAGAGTTTAAATTAATTTTTAATCAATTATCATTTAATAACTTTTATTTTTATTCGATTTTAAAACAATGAAATGATACAATAGATCAAATATTAATCGAAAGTTTACATCAGTTGAACTCAATTATATATAGCTGAAGTTATGTCTATTGCACAAATGAATAACAGGAAATCAAAAAGAAAAGTCAAATAAATAATAATTAAGAAAAATATCAAAAATATCCATCGATTGTATCATTCATTGATAGATAATAATATCTTAAAACCAATCATGTTCTTGCTCTGATAAAAATGAATTTCTATAATTTTTAAATTCGATTTTAAATTACTGTTTTTAATTTGATTTATCATGAAATCTAATGAACCGCGAAATGAAGTTAACATTGTAACTTTGATTCAGTAAGAGAGAAAACTGATAAAATGACTAGAATATGCATGTTATTATAAAATTAAAATTACTCTTTAGCACTTAGCCTAGTAAGAGAGAAAAATGGTCTGGAACTCATTCTCATATAATTAATTATAATATTATGGTTTTAATTTTGGCCCACAAACTTCGGTCATCACATTCTTAATATTATATAGATTTTGTCATGTTCAATTAGTATATGACAAAGTTAATTTTATATAAATTTACGTTTACTTTCAAGTATTTTTTACGAGTAAATTGTTCCAAATATTATGAGATTTACTATTTTTTATACTTTTTAAATATTTTGTATATATTAAGTTAAATATCATAAAACCATAAATTTCGCGTTTACATCGATTCGAGAATTAATTAAAATGTGATTAAATTCTAATATCCCTTTTCTTCCATGAACTCTAACATTTATAGTACATTTACTAATTGTTGACCAACATACACAAGTAATGTATGAAACCTTACAAAGTATACTGAATAAACAAAGTATATTTATCTGCACAAAATACAGTCATATGAAAATTTTAATAACATAGAAGAACTGAATACTATTGTAATCTACTAGAGAATTTTATTCAGAATAATTAAAAATGATATTAAACATAGAATTTTCTATTTCTATCTTTGTGTAGTACTATAAATAATTGCTCAATATTTTCCAAACAATGTTTTCTAATAGTATCTTCACTCATTGTATCTTTTGAAATATTTACCATGTTATATTAAACAAAATAAATGATTATCAATGTAGCAAAAGTGTGTTGAAAGTACTTTTTTTTTAGGATAAGATTTTTTACAAACTTCAAACCATGAAATACTTTTATAAAGTATATTTTTATCCAATTCCATATTTTTGTTCGTCAAAGTTTTATCCTGACCCATTTTTCCATCATTCATATAAATCAATTCTTAATTATCTTGTTAATCCATTCGTCTATTTACCTCATCAAAATCAGTATATTCATTAAAATCTTATACGTGAATAAACATTTGAAAAAATATAAATGGGTCGAGTTAAAATCTCTATGTTTGGAGATGAGTTAGGGAGTGGCAAAGAAATTCGTCTATTTATTTTATGTCGAAGTAAAATGAAGTTGAATAATAAATAGTCATTTACATATGATTGAATTATTCACAATAATCTATTCAATCGCGTTCAATTTGTGTCCTTCATTTTGCTCAACTGTAGAGTTTGCTGATTAGAATAGTTCTACAATACATTTTATTGATACATATTAATTTCCTTTTGGCCTTCAAAAATAATGAATTCATCAGTGATGTAAACTTTGATAAATGAGATGATAAATACAACCATTTTTTTTAAAAAGAATAAATCATACATTAATTTTTTTCTCCATATTAATATTAATTTTGAAGTTTCTGGCTATGATCTTAGCTTCAGAAGTTTAGTTCAATTCATCATTGAACACATGCACTTTGATATTTTAATTACTAAACAGTTAATTTTTTTTTATGAAAGCAATGTCAATAAATAACTTGCTTCAATTTAGATCAATTCAATCTCATAAATTGAAAAATGTCATATGTTTTTATTTATTTTTCATTTGATATTGGATCTATTAAATACTCAATTTATTATACAGTTTATTTCAAACTGTACTCAGTAATAGAATCACCTGCAAGCTATTAAACTCGCCACTAATTAAAAGGTTCAAATAAACTTAACTATCTAAAATAGTTAAACTTTGTTATCACCGATACAAAAATAACATTGAACTATTGACTCAAAATTGATGTAACGTATGTTACTCAAGTTATTTTCAACATTTTGTTGAAAAAAAATCATATAAATATGAGTCTTTTATTTTCATTATAAATATAAATAAAAAATTTATTTATAACTTTTTTTACGATTATTCTACAAACATCCAACTAAACTCAATATACATTTATATGCAAAATTAAAATTTATATGAAATGATTTAATTATTATTGAGGTGATGAAAAGGAAAATTTAAATTTCAAAGTAAATTTAGTTGCGGAGAATTTTGCAGAACAAATCATTAAATTATTTTCTAGTTGAGTTAAGAGGAAAAGTAGCATGACGAAGCACCTGATTAGTCAGCTAACAATTAATTCATGCATCAATAAAAACTAAAAAAAATTATACATTTTTGAAGGCTGTAAGAAAATATATATAATAAATATAATTACTCATATCCTTTAATCATCCCACTTTTAATTTTTCATGTCTTTATCAAATAACTTAGGAGGTCAGTAATTATAATTTTTCATAATATAACATAAATGACATGATTTTAAAGAGAAAAAAGCCTTTCTAACTTTTCAAGACACATATATTAGAACAGAATATGAGAAAATAATGAAAAAAATAGTGTAGTGATAAACAATATATCAGCAAGTCGTTGGAAGTTCGTGAGAGTTGAGAGAAAGACTCAGAGAATGATGAAAAATTGCAAAGACCGGTTATGCTTCGTCTGGATGCCATACACGCAAGTCAAGGCTACCACATTTTAAAGTGTACGTGAAGCAGAGTGAGGTTGTAGACCTCCATGCCTATGATCTCACCTTCTTGTTCTATATACCACTGTCTGAGCGGAAATGGTATAAATGAATACCCATAATGTACACTTGATACTTCCTATTACTCCCTTTCGGTTTAATATTTATTCTAAAAAATTCATCGTTCTATTTTCAATTCTTCTGTATAATCTTTCAGTTTTATTCAGTTTTATCGTTACTCTCCTTTATATTTGAAAACGTCATTTGTAAAGTCTGAAATCGATAGTCCTCGAATTAATGAGCAGAATAATTTTATGTAGTGTGCCAACTACGTTCTTAACTTTCTAATTAATTTATTAATGTTTAATAAAGTACTTCATATTGTATTTAAACAACTAATAAGGTATAACTAAATATAATCATCCTTAATTAGAAGAAATTTTATAATTTAATATTAAGTTAACTTTTTTTTTCAATTATTTTTTAGCCTTTCAAAGTAATTAAAACAAGGAGATCTTGAAGATTCAGTTTTTCTTCACTATCAACCTTTAGCTTGACTCTTCTCTTTTCATTCACTGAATACCTGGAGGGATTTGCGAGGTCACTTCAGTCCAACGGAATGGAAATTTGCGGCTTAGTATCCACGAAAGCGAATCCCTTGTGTCGACAAATTGTTCGGGAATTTGTTATAGAGAAACTAGTGAAATTTTTAACACAAAGCGACAATTTCTTTTTTCCTTGTGAAAGTTTCCATTATTTCACGTAAATAAATAAATGTTATCGAGACATTTTTTTTTCTTCACCTTGTTTAATCTTCAGGAAGTTGAAGTAGATCAGGATAATTATGTTAGTTTCCAAATGTTTCCTAAACAACAAAAAAAACCATTAGGTGGAATCACTGATTGTACGAATATATTAAGGTATTAAATAAAATGCGGGCAAGTGGTCTGGTCTGATGACCTACTCCCACATGGAAAGAGCTCATACAGTGCTTTCTGTTCAGTTCCTTTCTCAAGCGAGTCAACAAGAAGTCAAAGTCGAGTTCAGTCATTAACGACCGGTTGACCGGGCGTTTTCTTTCTGTACTCAGTGCATTCGTGTGCTCTCCAAACGACCGTATTTTAAATTTATATCACATATAAATGTGGCATAAGTGCACATTATTATGCTTTAGTGACTTTTAAATCAACTTTTAAACATTGCCTAGAGTATTGGCTTTGTGTGATTGCAATAGAAAGACTTGTGATCAGAATAATATGATTTTCTATTGTCTAAAATTGAATATTAAATTATTATTTTAATTACTGCATTTATATTGTGCTACTGAAGAATTCTTTGGAGCATTCAAGAGCTGGTGAACCTACTGACCACTAGTTATATACATATTTGTTGTTCTAAAGTTTGTAAATAGTTATATACAACTATGCAGTTATTTCTGGGTCTTTTAATAACTATAAGTTGTCTTGTAATTCATGTCCATTCACATGGAAGATTAATTGAACCACCTTCAAGAGCATCAATGTGGCGGTATGGCTTTGATACACCACACGATTACAACGACCATGAGTGTTATTGTGGTGGATTCACTCGACAATGGCAAAGGAATAAAGGAAATTGCGGAATCTGTGGTGATGCATGGGACCTAAAACAGGTAAAAATTATTTCAGAAAAGTTAAAAAATTTTCAATTTCCATTTTCATTCTTAAAATAAACATTAATAACTTCACAAAATAAATAACGAAACTTTAAATTAATTTTTCATTTGACTTCTATATAAGTTTGTTCATTTAGGACATGCAAATTTGTTATTTGTTATGGAAATACTAGACTCAATGGTAAAAATGAATAAGGAAATTTTAGATCTTTACGTTTTAGATGACTCATTCTGAAAAATTACTCTTAATAACTGTTAAAATTATTAATAATTTGACAATAAATTTTTAATATGCTTGAAATATTTTAAACTTTACCCATCATTAAAATTGTAATCTCCATTTAATCATATTGAAAGTTAAAGTTTTTAAAATATTTTTTTGTATAAAAAATTAGCACATAAAATTTTATTATTCTAATTAAGTACAAAGAATTACTGTAATTAATTACCTTAATCACAATTCAAAGTTGAAATAAAAATGAATTTAACAAATGATCGTAATTTTATTTTTATCTGATTGAAATTGAATTATACTTTGAAAAACATGTAATTAAAACAATCATTTTACTTTTAATCTCATTAGCCAAGAGCACATGAGACTGGTGGAAAATATGGCAATAGTGTCATAGTACGGAAATATAAGACAGGTCAAGTGATTCCAATACATATCCAGCTAACAGCAAACCATCGTGGATACTTCGAATTTAAAATTTGTCCGATGACTGTCAAGGGCAAAGAAGTGACTCAAGACTGTTTGGATAAAACTGTTTTAGCTATGAGTAATGGAACAGCAAGATACTACCCAGGACCGGGGAATAAAATATTTGAAACTCTTTACAAACTTCCTGATGACTTAACGTGTGCTCAATGTGTTTTGCAGTGGAGATACGTTGCTGGAAATAATTGGGGAGATTGTGGAAATGGCACTGGTATTTATTAACTTAGTTATTATTCAATGTCTAAAACAATTAGAAAGTTTGACCTTTTTTATATGTTGATATAATTGTTAACTTATGTAATAATTCTATAAAATTCATCAATTATTCAATAGAATACATACTACTGATAATTTTTTTATACTATGATAGATTAAATAATACGAAACGTGCTCATTATCTGCTGATAATACTGACATTTCATCAAATTACACACCTTCTTTTCTATATCAGTTATTGTCGATTTGTTTTTTAAAAAGTCTTCATCAAAATACTCATTTTCTATTTACTTTAAAACTCTATCAGTCATAAAAAAGACTGACGTAAAAGCTTTTTTGTGCACGATATTTCTTACTTGAAATTTATTTTAAATATGAAAAAATCGATAAAAATAAAAAAACAAGACAAGTGGCAGTTTTATATTGAACTTTCTGTATTACCAAACTAATTCTATAAATAGCTCAGTCCAATCAATGGATTTCTGTAGCTATGAAATTAATTACTTCAAAGGTGCCTAAAGCCTTTTCCTTTTTATAAAGAATATTGAGTAAAATCAATACTTTTATTAGAAATAATTAATCATATAATTGAATTTTAATCATAACATAAAATAAGAAATATTAGTTCTTTCATAATTCATTTTAAAAAATTTTATCGGTACATACTTTTATAAATCCTTCAGTAAATCAATATTTTTTATAGGTGCAGTTGGTTGTGGACCACAAGAAGAATTTCGTGGCTGTGCAGATGTCACAATCGGTGATAAATATCCTCCTCTGGCTCTTCCAAAGGCACCAACATCAGACTCTTCATCTACTGCCAGCCCAGGCGAAGTTCCAACAGAAGAATGGCCAGCATTAGTACCAGGATTAAACTCTTATTGGTACCTCAGCTTTATCATTGCTGGGATATGCTTCTTGGTTGTTGTAGCCGCACTCTCATTGATTTATGTTTATTATTACCACGCTGGACGAGCTAAAAAATGGTTAATGGCCAGAAGATGTGCACCCGAGGCTCAACCTCAACCTCCAGTTGCACCACCAAGACATAAAAGACTATCTTCCACCAGTCTACATTTTTGAAATACTAAAAAATCATTCTGTATATAATTATCACTTTATTTATTTTTTTTATTATTATTTTTTTTAATATTTGCGTGTTTAATAAACTGCTATGATGAATTTTATGTGTGATGAAAATATGGAACATTATTTAAAATAAAGTTTCTGATTTTTTTTAAATTTATTTTTTATTCAAAAGCATGTTTCTAAAATCTTCATTTTTCATAGGTTTAACACTTTCACTACTATCATTAGTAGTTCCATTTTTTATATTAGTTTTTACACTCCGTGGTACCATTGATAACATCGTTTTGGGACCACCTAAATGGGTTCTACTAACACTGGTTCCACCGAGTGATTTTATTTGAGTCTCTTCAGGAAGTTTTTTACGTTCAGGAGGTTTACTAATAGCTACGCTAATTACTTTATCTCCAATAGTCATACCATCAGTTGCTAGAAGTGCTTTTGAAGCATTTGCTTCATCTTCAAACTCTACATAAGCAAGTCCTTTTGAATGACCATTACGATAAGTTACCAGACGAACATCTTTTAAATTTCCATGAACTTTGAAGATATTTTCAAGATCTTCTTTTGTTGTAGTAACCGGAAGCCCTAAAAAGAATATTCATTAATTTTCTTTTTAATCTTTCATGATAGAAGCTTATCGTTTCAAAATGGATCTCACCTTTAACAAAAAGTTTATTCTTTTCTAAATCACAAGCATATTTAAAAGCTGATGATCGAGTAGTTTTATTAGGATCACAACGAGAAATAAACATTGGTCGCCCATTAATTGGTGTTCTGTCTAATTTCAATGCTAATTCAACAGCGTTCTAAAAAAAAATTTATGTAAATTATTCAGAAATTTAGTTCATAATTAATAAAAATTTCCATTGTTTGAAACTTACTGCACTACTTAGTTGAATATAACAAAAACCTTTGCTCCTTCCTTTATAATCTTTAACCATTTTAAATTTTGTAATGGGGCCTACTGATTGAATAGCTGTTCTTATTTCTTCTTCAGTCGCCGTGTAATCTAAATTACTCACAAAAATGGTTATTTTCTCATCAACTTCATCATCTGTAACAGTTTTCTCATCACTAGGTTTGTATCCAGGTGGTGGTGTTATTTTTTTCTCTTTTTCTTTATCATTTACAGCATTTGAACTGCTTTCTTTTGAAGTCGATTTTTCAATTCTACTTATTTTACTCATAGTGACATCAAGATTTTTCCATCTTCCTTCTTTCTCAAGTTTTCTCTTTTCTGGCCTCTTTTGATAAACTTGTTGGGTATCAGGTTCTTGTATTTTTGCTTGTGTTTTTTGTCGTTCTTCCATAACCTTTTGTAACTTTTCTTTAGTTTTAATTTCACAAAATTCCATTTGTTCTAAAGTTCCTTCATCTCTTTCGAAATCAATCCAAGCGTTTGCAACACTTTCTGGCCAATCTTTAACAGCTGTCAAAGCTTTTTGAAATAGTTTTCGAAGATGTTTAGTATCTCCATAGCATCTCTCCAGAGAAACATACTCCAACCAACTAGAAGCTGATGCTGAATGCCCCTGAGAAAGAATATCTGCCCACAAACTTCTCGCCTTTTCCATACTATTTCCATGAATGGCTTCTGTTCTTGCCCAGAACTGAAGAATTACACATTGTGGATCACCATCAAGTCCAAATAGCTTAGCTAAATGTTCACAAGCACGATTAAAGGAATGTCTTATTGTCTCCAAATGCATTTCTTCAGTTTCTTTAGTTGCCAAGACAACTCGTCTTCTTAAATATTCTAGAAAAACTAACCAAATATTTCGATAATCATCAGCAGTAGTGAATCCTGCTTCTAGAGCATTTTCTAGAATACTTTGGATCTCTAACAAGGACTTTTCCCATTTCTCCATAGATCTCATCCACTTTTTCCATATTTCGGCACACCAAGGAACATTTCTGGTTGCTCTTTCATATACTAAAGTTAAAACAGACTCCATTTTAATTGTTGAATCCAGATAATTCAAATAATCTTCCCAAAGTTTATTATGAAGACTTAAATCAGCAACTGCACGTTCGAAAAGAATACTAACTCTGGCTGGATCGCCATGTTGTTTTTCATAATTTAGATAGGCTTTATAATAATCAAAGAGTTCTGATTCTGACTGATAAGAAATAATTTTTTCTTCATAAGGAAGACGAGAGTTTAAATCAGTATGAGCACGATTATATCCCAAAGAAACTATATTATCATCAATATTAGAATCTTTTCCTAAATCTGATTTCCAAATTTTATATTCCTCATATGTTTTTTCCATATCTAAAAGAGGACAAGCTAATTGGCGACGAAATAAGTTACCAACTCGATTAATTTGCTCTACTTTTTCTGCCTCATCAGCTGTCATTCCAATTAGAACATTTTCGAACTCTCGATATGCTTCCCAAATAATCGCACCTTTTGTCACATGAAGCCCAGCTGAAGTTAATGCCCGTTCAAATAAATCTCTCACAGAATTCATTGAAGTTCCACTGCTTGCTACAGAACCAATATTAAATTGGAGATACTCTAGCCACACTTCTACTGATAAATAATCTTTTATGGCTCTTTCAAAAAGATTTACCAGTGCAGATTTTTCTTCAGAAGTCACAGCAAGTTTCATTTCATCTCTAAGCCATGATAACCAAAGTTCAGAAGTCAATGGGTATTTTGAGCTCATGTTTTCTCGAGCTTTACGTAGCCTTTCAAGTTCACCCATACTTTGAAGCTTTGAAATCAATAGTACGTGAGTATTATAATCGAAAGGATTTTGAGCTAAAATAGCCTCTAGCTTTTTAACCTCAAGTTCGTCTGCCTTATCATCGTCGTCATCATCATTATCAGAATCTTCAGCTTCATCGTTATCAGGATTATCACTGAGTTCGTTGGATTGATCTGACTTCTCAGCTTCTTCTTCCATCAACTCTTTCTCACTGATTTCTAAGGATTTTTTATCATCCTCCTCCATTTGATCCATTTCTTTTATTTTCCCGGCAAAAGTATATACTCACTTCAATGTTTTGATTACTAGTGAAACTTTCTTAGTACGAATTGAACTATAATAACAACCTAAAATTAATGCCCCCGTCTCACACGTATTTAAGTGTAAACAAAAGTACGAAATCTACAGCTTCTGTAATGTAAATATATTGGATATTATTGGATGATGTGATACGTAAATCTAAACTAAACGTTGACATGTTTACTAACCTCTCTTATTTGAAATACGTTCATTTCTTGCCGATTGATATCATGTTAAATTAATTGACTTATTTTATCCTAGTTTCTCTTAATTACTGTCACCGTTGTGAAAATTAATTGAATTGTTGAGCTAAAAACAATGAACTTCACTCACAAATAAATGAATATCTATCCGGCTTTACAAGACTAATCAGATTCAAGGCGCCCGTCCCGTGTACGGCCATATAATATTGCCGCACGGGTAATTTTCTATGATATCCACGCAGTATCAGGAGGCAAGAGGTATTCTACTCCTTCGTGAATTCTCGGAAATCTTCGATCTTTTTTGAATGTTTACTTAAAAATGTGTATGGCCGACAATTACATTTAATAATCATTATATTATGTTTAAGTTCTAGTACTTGTTACAAATAATATAAGAATAATTATTGTATATTCATTTGAAAGCATTTTGTACTCATTTCTATTATATACAAAATAGTTGAAGCTTGGTTAAATTATAAATTCTGTAATAATGTCTTATTGATGGTTTTTTTTATTATTAATGTAACTAATTTATTAACAAAATTGAAACACTTGAGGTTAAAGTATCAGAGTTTTTTTTTATAATCATAAAAAAATTATTTTGTACATGGTCAAGGTTTAACTCATTTATACCTGAACATAAATGACCTTCACTTTTTTATAATCAGATTAGAAAAGTTTTCAGTCCGAAATTTAAGTGCTGTTATTTTAGAAATTTAGAACCTTTATCTACTTTTTTTTGTTACCCTGCTGTGAAGCGTCTAAAACAGCTATGACTTTACAGTTTGGAGTAACGTTTTGGAGTATTTCTATTCTATTATGAAGCATTTATGAATAAATCGATTTAAACTTTATAAAAATCAATTAATGAATAAATTATAACATATTTTATCGCCAGTACTCTTCTAAATGACATGGAAATTTTATTTTATATTTTTAGTAAATCAATCAAAGCCAATCACTTATATTGTTCATAATATAAACAATATACGATAAAGAATTTATTGATAAAAAAAAATAAAAGAAATAAACAAGCATAGTAAATTTAGCTGCAATAAATAAAAAATAATTTTTCAAAGTTGTTAGGTTAGGGTCAACGGTAATAATTGCTTGATGTGTGTAGTACTAATCCGGACAGTGTGATGGCGTCGTAAAGAAATTGTCGCGTTCATATACAATATACACATACAAAACCCATGCGTTACGGTCTATGCACTTATGCAGCATTTGCTGTTTCACTCCTTTCTTTTATTGTATAGTTGCGTTGAATAAGTTTTTGATAAAATATACATTAAAAGTGGCTATGTTGCGTTTAAAGATCTCCTTGTAACAGTAAGAATTTTTTAAATTAAAACTGATGATTCAATATATTGGAATAACTCAACTGTTAGTCACAATGATGGTTCGAGAGGAAAGAAAACAGATCGTGAAAGCGCAGTCTAAATGTGAGTAAAAAAATATCATGGGAATATTTCTCTCGGATTTACTTGATAATCCTCATTTCTTTACACTCTTTTACGGGTTTTTCTAACTGTTATGAGAAAATTTCTCATGACTATTAAATGGAACAAGGGGCTTCTATATTATTTATACCATTCTTAGTACCATTGACAGTGAATGATTTTTTTTTCAAATTTTTTATTCTAATTTTCTTTTATAATATGTTATATCTTTTACCTACAAACATTTTTTCGTACTTAATAGAAAGTCATACTTGTGAAGATCCAATGGGGGATTGTACAGATTAAATGAGTATAAAGTTTCATATGTTGTGCATACACTACTAGTTATTCTCTCCAAAGTTTATTCAAGTTTTAGTACTAATAGTTCAACACACCTGTTCGCTTGTGAACGTGGTTCCTTTTATCGACCGTCTAGATCAGACGCTAAAATTTCATTTTTTTCAACTTTGTAGTGTCTAGTGTAACATCTGCATGGAAACCTGTCAAAATATCTCTATTCAATTAGTTTTCATGAAGTTTAAACATGAAATATTTTGAACATTCGAAGCTTTTGTAAGCACATGAGTGTTTAACTAAAGACTAATGTATGAATATTTTGTAGTGATTATGTGTTTTTCTTTGACAAATTATTTTTTGTCATTTAGTGTACTGATATGATAAAATATGTTCTAAAATAGTGATGTATTCTTTAGGAATTGAAAATATTCTTGGAAACATGGATAATAAGACTGAAGATACAGTTTCTATTGACAATGCTCCTGATGGTATGAAAATTTATTAAAAATAATTATTAATATTTAAGTGATGACGAAGATTGATGTTTTTAAATTTTATTACATTGTAGGAAGCAGTGTTGATAAAGAAATATTAAATATTAGTAATTCTAATAACACAAATCACCGTGTGCCTCCATCTTATATGTACAATGAAGATTCAGAACAAGATAGAGAAAATTTAGATGATGATAATGAACATAATCATTGTCGTAATCCAGTGTCCGATGATCAATTAGGACCTTTACCACCTAACTGGGAAAAAGCATACACAGAAACTGGTGAAGTTTATTTTATAGAGTGAGTATTTGAGACATATTGACAAAAATATAATGGCGTATCAATCAGTTGGATTAAAATAACTATGTTTATATATAACTGTTTCAGTCACAATACTGGAACATCTCATTGGTTAGATCCACGATTATCAAAATTTCAAAAACGTTCCTTAGAAGAGTGCCTTGATGACGAGTTGCCTTATGGATGGGAGAAAATCGATGATCAACTTTATGGAACTTATTTTATAGATCATGTTAATCGTCGAACGCAGTATGAAAATCCAGTGTTACAAGCTAAACGTGCTCAGCAAAGTTTGGCAGAAAGAAAAAGCCCAAACTTCACTAGGAATCCAAATAAATTAAAAGGGCAAAGAATTCAAACAACTTTAATAAAAAGTTCAAGAGGTCTCGGTTTTACAATAGTTGGTGGTGATGATACCGTTGAAGAGTTTTTACAGATTAAAAGTGTTGCGCCCAACGGTCCTGCTTGGCTTGATGGGAAATTACAAACTGGTATGAATAGCATCAAAACAATTATACATTGTTTTTATAAAATATAATTTTCTTTTTAATGGCTTTATATTTCATTTATTTTACATTACTTCTATATAAAATGATAAAAATTATTGAACAAATAGAAATGTTGTGAAAGTTTTTACTTAGAAGCATTCATTCATCACAAACACTTTTTTATCAACTTGTTATTTCCATTTCCAGGTGATGTGCTAGTTTATGTAAACGATACATGTGTGCTTGGTTTTACACACAACGAAATGGTCAACGTTTTTAAATCAATCGCCAGTGGAGAAACGGTAACTTTAGAAGTCTGTCGTGGGTATCCATTGCCATTCGATCCGAATGACCCCAACACCGAAGTAGTAACAACAATTGCTGTAAATGCGCCAGACATGATGCCAGAAGATCCAAGTCTCTATATGGATTTAGATCCTAGTCTCCAAAATGGAAATAGATTTGGATTTTTAGATTCTTCATTCTTACCAATGCATTCTCTTCAAAATGGCGAAAATCTTACAACTACATCCGTGAATTCGATGCCAGATTTGTGCATATCCGATAAAATCAATACAATTAAAAGACCAAATAGCACAGACATTCTGTTATCTGATACTGGTGACTTTAGTGAACGAAAAGAATCCCCTACTCCAATCAAATCAGAATTCTTTAGTATCCCTATAGTGAAAGGGGCGATGGGATTTGGATTTACAATCGCTGATTCTTCTCATGGGCAAAAAGTCAAAAAAATATTAGATAGACATCGTTGCAAAAATTTGCTAGAAGGGGATATATTGGTTAGTATAAATGATATTAATGTAAGAAATATGTGTCATACTGAGGTTGTACAAGTATTAAAAGATTGTGCACGTAATCAAGAAGCTTTGATCCAAGTGCAACGAACGACAGCAAAAGTGAATGATAAGAAAGAAAAGACTTCGCAAGATTTTTTCAGAAGTAAAACGCCAACTGCTGATATTTATAGCACACAAGCGAAGACAGTAGTACCGAGTCGACCTAAAACTCCACTAATAGACACTAGAAATCGCACTAAATCTCCAATGGAAGTAAATAGACCTGAGTGGCGAACAGGGCTGCCCACAAATGACTTGAATGCTTTAGATAATCGATGCAAATATCCGGATTATAATCAAGATTTGTATTATCCTGACACATATAAAAGAAATATTAGTGTTTTGGCTGATAATTTTGAACGTATGGCTAACATAGATGATGATCCAATGAGACATGCAGTGAAACGTGATTGGCGTATTAATGAAAAAATGAATTTAGGTAATGATATTTACCCAATGGAACCATCACGTCATGATATTTTAATGAAACAAAACGGCAACTTACATGCAGATTATTATAAAGATATTTATGGTACACGTATGCATCCGCAATATGGCATACAAGACTACACCAGTTATAATATTGGTCAAGAACAGAATGTGGACACTGGTGAAATTTGGGATAAACGAAAGGAAACAACAAGCTTTGAACACGAGCAACCACACTCTAGCTCAGTCAACCGATATCCTCAGTATCCTAACGAAATGGTCTGTCCCACTACACCGGGTGTTGAATGGATTGAAACGTTGGTAACTTTAGTAAGACAGGACACTGGATTTGGATTTAGAATAGTTGGAGGGACTGAAGAAAATTCTCAAGTTTCTGTAGGACACATTGTACCAGGTGGAGTAGCTGATTTAGATAATCGGCTTAACACCGGAGATTTAATTATGTCTGTAGATGGAGAAAGTGTTATGAATTCTTCTCATCATCATGTAGTGCAGCTTATGATTGCTGCTGCACAGAATGGAAGAGTTACTCTTGGTATTCGAAGAAGAATTAATATTCAAGACCATCTTCAACCACCCTATGGAAAACCTATGAATCTTCAGTATCCTTATGATGTGACCGTAACGAGAATGGAAAGTGAAGGATTTGGATTTGTAATCATTTCGTCTGTGAATAAAGCAGGTTCAACAATTGGTAGGATTATTGAAGGTTCACCTGCTGAAAGATGTGGACGTTTGGAAGTTGGAGATCATATTCTAGCTGTGAATCATGTTGATATTACTAATCTTTGTCATAAAGACATTGTCAATTTAATTAAAGACTCGGGCTATTCAGTTACTTTGACAATAGGTTATCCTATTGATGATTGCTGTAGTACTACATCAATGTCACAAAAGGTACTGGTTTTTGAATTTTTATAATAATTTTAATAAAACTTACCAGCTGCTTTATTTATAATTTCTTTAAACAATGATATTTTTTAGGATGAGCCTACTAGTGACGGAGATGGTGGACAATATCATGCCGTGGAATTGACTCGAGGAACTCGTGGATTTGGATTTAGTATTCGTGGAGGTCGTGAATTCCAAAATATGCCATTATTTGTATTACAAATAGCTGATAATGGTCCTGCAGCCATTGATAATCGATTAAGAGTAAGTAACCGTTTAATTACTAAAAAAATTTGACTGTTAATAAATCTAAATTAATATTTTAATCAAATATTTAGTAAACAGTACAATTTAATAATTATTTGATTCTATTGCTTAGGTTGGAGACCAAATAATTGAAATAAATGGAATTAATACAAAAAATATGACTCATGCAGAGGCCATTGAAATAATTCGCAATGGTGGACCATCTGTAAGACTCCTAGTACGTCGTGGTTGTCAAATGCCAAGTGCGGTAGGTGCACCACCTCATCTATACGATATGAATATTTAAAAACAACACATATAACATTTAACAAATGGTCTTAAAATAAATTAACATCACTTAAGTGATTGTGTCAAACTAACGTTGGAAATTATGCAAAATAACTTAATGATGAGTTATTTATGAGCTTTAGTGTCTAACAGTAAACATTGATTCATTGAATCAAAAGCGATACCGGATTCAAAGGTCATATCCAATCGCATTGAATTATGATTTAAATACTTTACTGATTATTGAAAAAGTAATTCTGTGTAACCATGATATGTAGGTGATATTATTTTTTTATGTTAACTGGTAACATTATTCAAATTAGATTTTTGAAATTTAGATGATAAAATAATTCAAGTATTTTTGTGTGAAAGTAATAACTAAAAAATTTAGACATATATTTTTGATTAACCATAAATAGATCCATTATGAAGATTTATAGATCAAACAATGTGACAAATTATTTGATCGATTAAATCTTTGCTAAAATACTTTATTGGTGCTAACGTTTATTCAAGAATAATGTAATAACTAAAAGTTTTTAACCCTTTTATGTGTGTTTATTAAACAATGTTTTGTTTAGCACGTGATGTATTAAAATATTGATCTTATATGTACTCTGATTTTGTCGAATGATATAGAAAATTTATTTATTAAAATTCATTATAGACTAATATTACATTCGACGAAATAAACGTTCGGGAAAATGATGACGACACCGAACAATCGCATTTACAAAATTTAGAGACAAATAATGTGAAATGTGTAAAAAAGCGAAAATTCTTCATTCCACTATGCTGTTGTTCCTCGAAGAAACAGTAAATAATCATTAAGTATTATATCATCAATTTTTTTATTACATAGATAGAGGTAACTTTTTTAAAAATGACCAGAGTGCCTTTTGTATTGAACTTATTAAATTGCGCTTATAAATTATAAATGTTTATTAACATAAATTGAAATCAGTTAACAAATATGAAATCAATATAAATAGTAATATTGATGTATCTATAACAGTGAAGTCATGTACTATACAGAGGACAGAAAAAGTTTTAAAACATGGAAAATGACATTCTTAAGTGAACAGGGTAAATAGAAAAAAATCAATATGTAAAAATAAATTTATAAATATAATTATGAATCTCTAGAAAATTGTATAATTGATCGAAGACTCAATAATTGGCAATTATTTTTTCTTTATTAATCATTTGCTATGTATAGTATCCTTGAATAATTGTCAAGCTCATATGTAACCAAAGAAAAGATTGACGTTTTCTGTTTTAATAATCTCAAAAACTTATATTTGTTGTTCTCGATCAACGCTATAAAAAATCAATTTCAATATAATAAATAAGAACACGTACATAATAAATAATCACGCATCCTTATACAGTGTGAATATGCTTAGATATCTATTTTTTTATTTTTAGATTACGTATACTCTTCTTCGTATCAATGAAAAGAGTTATTTTATTAATATTAAGAAATTAACTTAGTGAATTTACATATTTGATCTTAATATTATCAAGGAATTGAATTAATTAAAATTGATGTTCTCTTAAGCGTTTTTAAATATTTTGTACACTAAATATTGTATTGCAAAAACTAGCATTTATTTTTGCAAATTATAGAGGAAAAACGATCTTCATTATTTTTATATGCTTATATATTTATAAATATATTAATAGAATGCATTTTGGCCAAAACTGTGCCTTCTTGTATAATAAATTGAAATAATGAGATAAAAAGCATTGAGAATCATAACATTGAATTATTACGTAATGGATGCTCATGTTTTGTAACTTTGTTTTATAATAGATTAGATAAAAAATGCTGAATTTTAATTATACCTATTAGCATCAGCTGGAAGCAATATTCTAATTAAAATATGGAAAGTAAGAGTAAATGCAACTGTATTTTTGTGCACTTTGCCACGTCTTCCATTCATATCTGATTTTATGACTGAATAATAAATAACAATAACATATTTTTACTTTTAATTTTATTCGTATCTATTAATGCTTATGGACGACTTTAAATATTTTTGCCACTCATTACCAGTGATGATAAATTTAAATCTTCTAATTGCTTCATTAATATTTATTGTAATTGTAAACAATGTGAATTCTATTTGTAACTGACGATGGGCAAGTGTTTATTTTAATCTGTATTTCTATATTAATAATTATACAGAAAAATTTATATGACAATATTACTTATGTATTTCAATTATGTTGTTGTTAAAATATATTAAATCAGTAATCCTATATTACCATATTCAGAATTGAAAATATTTTTTTTTTTTTTCGAACATTTTATCACTCAACTATAACTTAAACTATGTAGATAACTTGAAACGAAAAAATATAAATTTATATTCGATGTGTTACAGTATATTAATATTAATGAATTTATTAGATGTGTAGAAATAATAATCAATATTATTATATTATCTAATAACTTCTTAGTAATTGATAATATAAAATTTTATCGATATTTGAAATTACCACAATTATGTAGGTGGCGTGGTAGGTCAACTCTCGGCCATATTCCATTGTTTCCAAGAAAGTAGTCTCAAACGTCGAATTGTGACGTCAGCTACAGTGTAACTTTTAGAAAATAAATTACTGAAAAACGTGATTGTTGATTAATAGTTAAAGTATAAATATGTAATAATCGTTGTATCAATCAAGATAGATATTCAAAGAACATAAAATCAAGCAGTAAATGATGAAAGAAGTCTCAAATCCATAACTATTTACATAGAAGACATAACCATAGAGTTGGCAATCCTGATGATTGATTGAGATTATTTTTTACCTAGTAAGATATATCATATATTTATAGCTGGGTTGCTCTCGAACGAATGTAAACAGTATTTTTCATAAATATGAAGTGACACGGGTAATTTACGTGGCTGTAACTTGTGCAAAAGGATCGATACTGATTATTGAAGTATTGAAGCACACATTATTCAAGTGAAAAACAATGATTCGCTGTTAGTTGTGCAGTCAAAAACGGGTTTATACGCGAGTGCTTGTACGAGGATTTACTGCAGTGGAGTGTGAACGACGGCTTAGAATTCATGGAAGTGCAATGCGAGATGAGTTGCATTGAGTTTTACTCTGTTCGTGTACGGTAAGTTAATGAAACTTATTTCATAATATACGTCAACAAGTGTACGTTATATATATTTATTCCAAATTTTTGTTCTCTCTAGTTCTTGGAAAAAATTTACACCCATTAGGGAACAACAGATTTTTCTGAGTATCTCTATCGGGTAGGCAGCATGTATTTTTCATTCGCCATGAGGCACTTGAGTGTGTCCGTGTGAGTCTTTAATCTGTACCTGCGTCTTCTATACATACATACCATCTTCTCTACGCCACTACGTAAATTCCCGCGTATACACATTCATACAGAACACACGCATTACGACGCAAGACCAGAGAGATGTTTATCTCATCGTCTTATGTGCTAGTCGTCTAGTGTATACACTTAACACTAAGAGAAAAGCATAAACGGACATTACGTCGCGTCCAATACTTATAAGTTCGTTCAACAAACTAATCAATCTAACTTCCGACTATCTAGTAGCCTGCATGTTTTTGTCAACTTAATAAAAACATAAATAACAACATCCGCTGCTCTTAATCTAATTGATGTCAGAAATTCTTAGCCTTATCTAATATAGCATCAATTAGTGTCGCTAATTGCCTTTGGCTTTTTATTTTTTCTCCAATATTGTTTCCTTTTAACTTAATGTTTAAAATATTTGATTATCTCGATTATTTCCAAGTATTTTATGCTTTTAAAATTTGTTGTTACACCTTAAAAATTGATTTATTTTTGTATTTTCTTAATTATATTTATTAAATGTTGGTTCTGAGGTGTTATGTGTGAAACATTCTTTTTGATGGAAATTTTATTAATGTATAAATACACTTGACTTTCATTCTTGAATCTAAATTTATTTTTCATTGCCAGTTTTATAATTGGACTGTTTAAAAAAAATCTTGTAAAAAAGAAAAAAAGTGATTGAAATATTTTTATTTATTTCCTCAACCGATAAAAAAAATTAGTATTTATTCTACGAAATTAATTATCGTTTAACTTTATGATTCATAAAAGCAATATTCATTATCATTATTACTCTGCTAAAATAAACTATTGCAAAAATTAATTAAATATTTACTGCAACAAATATATCATTACTGTAATATTTTTTCAAACATGAAATGTATACATCAAGTGTTTTTGAATACTTCAGAAAAACAATGGCTTTTAAAGTTAAACATTATTGTAGTATTCTTGAGAAATATATTATATTTTATATGAACGTCCATTTCTCAAAGTTTCAAGTAATGAATAAATAAATCAATTCTTGTACTTAACGTTCTTTTGTCCATTATATCCAAAAGTTCAATGAATTAAAAAAGATTTAGAAAGTCATTTTCTTTAAAGCTTAACTATTCTATTCTTTGAAAAAGTATAATTAAAAGAACCCGATAGTATCAAAAGTATTTCATGATAAGTTGACCAATGATTCTGCATTTACTTTAATTTCTATGCCCCCCTCTCTCAATTATTTGATATAAACATGTCTATGTTCTCTATATTTTCATCATTTCAACTTTGTTTGTCAGTCATTATAAGTTTTTTAACGCAAAAACTTGGATTTTTTAAAATACTCTCTATATACTTCCTTTTAAATATTTCTTAAAAAAGAATTGTTTTTTAAGAAAATTGTTAAGAGAACAATCTTTTGCTTTTAACAAAGACTATCATTATCTAAAAATATTTAAAAGTAAGAATTTTACCGGAAATGTTTCTATAGATTTATAGATTTAATTTTCTCGGTTGTTTTTAAAAACTGAAATATCACTTAAAATTCTTAGCAATAGGTAGAAAAAAGATAAGATAAAAGTTTGAAACATTTTACCTTCTTTTTCTAGTGATGGGAGATCAACATGTTGACCGTAACGTGTCTGCCATGGTCTACCCAAAAGATGCAGCTACCTAAGGATGCAAATTCTTCTGACCTGTTGAAGCGTGGTCACAATCGTACGGATAAACAGCCAAGCATGGTTTACTCGGACATTGAAATGTGCAACGAAAAATTGGGACTGAATTCTAGTTGTAAAAATTCTAGATTAAATTATAAATCGAAAAATTTCGGTCCTATAAAAAGACATGAAACAAACAATACAGTTTGTTATGATAATAAATTAAGTAATCTTCGTAAAAATACACAACAGCCACGATTTTGTATACGTGATACAAGCTGTAACAGAAAACATTTAATACCATCAAGTGAATGTGTGCTAAATAATAATTGTGTCGTTAGTACAAACAAATGTTCGAAATTCAGTGAATTAATAATGAAAAAGTCTGATTTTACAACGAGTGAATATTTTTTTAATAAATGTTTCAAAAATTGTCAAAGGAGATTCTCTTCTCCATACATCTGGCAAACACTCATCGTCATTTTCATCAGTTTAATATGTACAACTTCTGCTAATCAGTGTGCTGCAGGCCTTAAAACACCAGGACGTGAGTTTAACATAAATATATACATATTTTTCTTTCAATCTATTTATTTTCACAACGTTGTTATGAGAATAAAAAAAAAAAGTAATTTTAAATAAATCAAGGAGTATGTAGATTACCCCTTATTTATTGTTACAAAAGTTATTTCAAAAGTTTTATTTTTAATTATTCTGTGAGATTCTATTAAAAATATACAATGATTATTTAATAAATTATTCATTAAATATATTATTCATTAAGTTAAACAAAAAAAATATTAATTGTTATTTCCAGAAAAAAAATTAATTAATTAAAACAAAATTCAACAGAAATTTCGAACATTTTAATTCAACTGATTGAATAAGAATATAACTCGATTTACCTGTTCTAAAATATTACCATTATTCAGAGAACTAATTAAAATATCAAAGCCCTAAAATAGTTAGCACACTGGTTAAAGCTAAAGACAAAAAGTCTTTGCTTTATCTTTCATTTTGGAATTCTAGCAACGAGCTAAATACATACATCTATATTTAAGAACAACTATAAAGCTAGAAATGGCTTATAGTATTTTTTTTTATTTCATTTAATGATAATGTTACTTCCAGTCTGTCTATTATTCATAAATCTAAATTGAAATTTTAACTAATAATCCTTCTTATATTTCTCCTTAATGCAAAGTATACGATTACGAATGAAAAAACGATGAAAGTGGACTTTAGTGCGATTTGACATTATAATATGTATTACGAAACTGATGAAATAATTGAAAAACGATATGCCCTCGTATAATATTCAATTGTAACCAACGATTGCACATGACTTACAAAATATTTTTATATCTTAGGAACTTGGCCGGCCGGCGATATTGTTTTGGAATATGGCCAGCCTTTAAGAATTCTATGTATGCTGAATAAGACCTATGTGGATGCAGAATTTCCTAGTAAAAATTCATCGAATTTGATGTTCTTCCGGAATGACAAGAAAATGGAACCGGAGTACATTACGGTTCTTAATGAAACGACGATTGAAATGTACATTGAAAAACCACCTCCTGCTAAGGACATGTATTATTGCAAACTGAAGCTAGATGGACATGTTAGAAAAGATGAGGCTGTTTGCTTAAATAGTGTCGTCATTGGATGTAAGTATCATTACATATCTAGTGAACAGATTAATATATGTGCGATGAGGTATAATATAAGATTGTGTTTTTAATCAGAAACAATTATTTATTAAGTTTAAAAAGGTGCTTGAATAATTAAGAGAGGTAAATAGTATGAGGAAAAAACTCAGTTGATGAATGAGAACTCGATAAAAAATCATTTTTTACAGTAATAATGAGAAGTCAATAAATAAAAAAGCGTTAGAAGTATTCTTTTTATAAAGTAAAATATTGTTTTCATGATAACTATGTTTTAATTTGATTAATGGAAAGAAAATTTTCAATATTACAACAGAGCTTTATTTAATTAACCTTAATAGTATTATTAATTGTTATAATGTATATATTTATATACTTAATTATTTTCTTCAAGAATATTTATTATAAATCCAAAAGTATTATTTTGACCTTTAAATTTAGATCTGATCAATGTAGAGCAGTAGATTCAATTGTTGGCACTGCGTTACTTATTGGCAATCTTAAAAAAATATATAAAAATAGGATAAAATAAGTGTCAATAGTTAAAATTCAATCGTAGTAATGGAGAACTTCACTTCACTTACTATTGTTTAGTTTACTATTTATTTTATGAGTAAATTTTTTATAAATTAAAAATTCTATTGAATAATTATTATTCAAGAAAAAAAAGAAAGTATTTGAAAAACTGCTGACCAATGTAACTCGTTACTCTTAAGTTATCTGAGTTGAGTTGTATTACAGACAATAATTTATTAAAGTAGATGTGCTAGTAGTTGAATAGAAAATTCACTGAATTTACTTATGCAACATCAATGAATTGTTGTAATTACTACTAGAATTAATTATCATAATTGTAGTTTGTATATCTACCGAGTGTTTTTCATCTATTGATCTGTTAACCTTATTTAGATTGATTAAAAAAGATTTACTAAGATTAAATGAAAGGCAACTGTTTTTCTGAATTTTAAATCCAGGTTTATAAATAATAAATAATGTTCTCTTTTTTCTTGCTAACAATAGTTTTTTCGTTGTCTATAGAAGTGGTTTGATTGATTATTTAAGAAGCATGGATTTAAATTCCAATTTATATTCTTTTTTTATTCGACTTTAATACCATCCATTTCTATTGGCTATAAATTACTCAAGTTTACGGTATAAAGAATGTATCTGGATATAAGAAGAGATCATTTTAAGCGATGACTTACTGAATATATATCTCAATTTATAATAAAAAAATTATTATCTTTTTTTATTGAAAAATTACTAAAATGAATTACTTAAACACATTAGCTTTCAAAATTTTTATTTTTAAGTATTTACGAAATGTAGTTAAAACTCAATTTTCGATACCTTAAAGGCATCAACACCGATTAATAGCTCAATCAAAAAAAATGTCTTTTTGTCAATATAAATCAATAAAGTTTTCTACGCATTGGGGCCTTATCTTTTGTTTATCAGTAGGGGTCAATAAGCATGTGTTTGTAGAAGAAAAATTGTGACACATGAATTGCCTTTCGTGCCTGATCATAATATTCTTGCATCTGCAATGCAATCACTCTTCTCAATCTCCTGTTTTCAATTGCCGTTATCTTGAATTTTTATTTACAAAGATCAAAAGCCATCCTACGGAAAAAGACTGAATCATTCAACTGTATAAATAAAACTATATTGAATTCTTTTCCTTTTTATTATATTGTTATTGTACTTGATATATATAAAAGGGGGTAATTCTCCAGTAAATGAGTCACTTTCGTGCGTTGTTTTCATATCTATTAACATATACATAGATAGAAAAACGACAGGAAAATGACGCAAAAATTTCTCATTCAGGAATAATGATTTCATAGTTGTAATGCTTATTTTCTTTTTTCAGTTAAACCACAAGCACCTAAAAATTTCAGCTGTGTATCATACAATTGGGAAAATCTTAAATGCACATGGAATCCAGTTGAAAATTATGTCAAAACGACATTTACACTTGCCTTCAAATTGTCTGGCCGTAAATTTTTCCCTTGCCCACGAGAAAAAGATTACTCCAAACCACTTCCACCAAATACTTGTATTTGGGATCTTGCTACTAATCCCATATATCGACAGTCATATGAAAATTATACTTTCATGCTAAACATTGAAAATGTCTTGGGTGTAACATCAGTAGTTTACAAATTTCATCATTATGCACATGGTTGGTATTTATTACTAAATTGTTGGTTCAAAAGAATGGAATCAGATTGAATGCTAATAATAAATTATTTTAGTAATTCCAGCGAAACCTGAAGATTTATCTGTGATTAATAAAACATCGGAAAGTGCATTATTATATTGGAGTGTACCATTCCCAATGCAAAATTTTCCACCTGGTTTACATCACAGAATTGCTTATCAACATCAGTGGGATCGACAAAAAACTTGGCAGGTAATTTAATTTATTTATTTTTCTTGTATTCATTATTGGATGCCACTCATCAATCAATATTTAAATGAAATAAGGTCAAGTTGTTGATTAATATACATTTCCATGAATTTTTTTCACATATCGTAAAAATATCCTATTTATAGAATGATATTTTTTAAATTATTGATAGTAATTTTATTCCTGTGAAATGAATATCAAACTTCCTGCAAATATTTCATGATAGTTTTATGATGATATAATAAAAATTGCTCCATTATCTGTCATTTTGTGGGCGTTATGGGGAAAATTTTTAATATTTATTTCCTTGTAAGGTAATCAACATCGACGATGATGTACATGAGGACAAGAGATATTACAATCTTACGGGACTGGAATTTGCGAATACTGTTTATGATGTAAGAGTATTTTTGAAAAGTGCCTTAGCTAAAGAAGAAGATAGATGGAGTCAATTTAGTGATTTAACGTTCAGGACATCTCCAAAATGTAAGTACTCCTGAGTATTTAACTAGAGTTAAGGAAAGATTTTTTAGTTCTAAAAAATTATTTTTAAATTATTCGAAATTACAATCATTGATAGATAAATTTTGGACAATAGTTCTTATTAGTATAATTAATTAATCACCTTGATAATAAAATATGTATATTTTTATTATTTCAGTACCTGGATCACCTCCACGTACAGATATTGGAAGTTTCGAAATAATGGAGAATAATGCAAGCAGAGACGTTTATTTATATTGGCAAACAATTCCATCTTATTTAGAAAATGGTGATAACTTCAAGTATCAAGTTGTTCTTGTTGAAGAAAATAATCGGAAGTTACATATTACGTCAAATGAAACCACACGCTCTTACGCTATATTCAAGGGTATTGGTTTTAATAACTATCGCTTTGAGATATTTACATCAAATGTCGTTGGTTTGAATCCTAAGAACGCCTCAATCTTTGTCCCTAGTCGATTTGAAAGTAAGTATTTATTAATAATTACAAGTAAATATGAGTCATTGGCATTTGGAAATGATTTATTTATTTATACTTTGTAAATTCTAGTGCCACACGAACCATTGGCGGTTACTAAAATTGCATTTGAGGAAGGTTTATATGAATTGTCTTGGAAGCCGCCAATTATGAGCGCAGAAATAACTAATTACACTATTTTCTGGTGTGACAATGAACGTGATCGTCCTTATCAATGTACTGTAAGTATCAATATTTTTTTTTTACACTATCTACTTATTATCTGGTCATTGGAAATGTTATTGTCATAAACAATTTTATTAAAGGGATATCTCGATTGGGTACACGTGTCAAAAAATACAACAATTCATAATATAACAGTACCAGATCCTCGAAAAGTATACCAATTTGCAGTATCTGCTAATACAGAAAAAGGAAGTAGTGGAATGGTCTGGGCATCATGCACAGTAATTCATAACAAAGTTGTTGGCAAAATGAAGTCAGTATGGATAAATAGAATTGGATCTGATGATATTGATGTTGGATGGAAACTCGATTGTTCTGATCGTATTGGCATTGTTGAAGGATTTAAAATTTATTATTGTCCAATCGTTTCTCCGAAAAATGCGACATGTAAAGAACCTAAAAAGAATACAACTATACGTGCTGAACCTCATACCATTCACGGATTAGTAACTGGATTAAAGCCTTATACAACTTACATGATTACCATAGCATTTTGGACGAAGAGTGGCGAAGGATTAGAGAGTGATCCTTTATATAACACGACACTTGAAGCTGCACCAGCCGGTCCACCACAAAATGTAAGAGTTGGTAACGTTACTAATTCAACAATGTTTGTCTCTTGGGATCCACCAACAGCAATGAATGGTGTACTCCGGGAATATGAAGTTTTTTACAGTGGTAATTCTATCAAAGTTTTTGATTCTATAAATCATGTTCTACTACGAGATCTTTTAGCACACAAGAATTATAGTATACGTGTTAGAGCGTGTACTGTTGAATGTAGTGTTACATCTCGACCAATTTATGCACTCACACACATTGGTGTACCTGGAAAGATCCATAACATCCCAACAGTGAGATTCTTTAATTCAAGTCAAGTTACTGTCAATTGGACTAAACCTTCTAATCCTGGAGGAAATTTGAATTACTATCAAATCTCATCGGACGGCAATAATATACAAAATAGTACTAAACTTGAAACTCAAATAACAATCCCAGATTGTAAAGCCGAAGGACGTGAGAGGATGTATCAATTCAAAGTGCGTGCAGTGAATATTGATTCTGATGGTACACATTTGTTTGGACCATGGTCTGAAACTGGTGAAGGTAGTTGTTATAGTGATGGACCGCCACCTAAAATTTGGGTTATTATCTGGATTATTAGTGGTCTCAGTGGAATTGCATTTATATTTTGTGTGGCGTATACTTCAAAGAAAATGTGGCTTAAATGTAAAGTTATGCAAGATGTTGAAGTTAAACTTCCACCTGGTCTTGCTGGTGAAAAATTACTACAAAAAGTTGGAGAGCAACATTTACGGCAATCTTCAGCAGATTCCAGTGGATGTTCTAGTGGACAAGAGTCTGTAACATCTTCACTGACAGCTGACTCACATGTCTCTAATGATAGTGGAACTGAAACCGATCCAGTTTCAGTATTACCTAATAAATTATTAGAAACTCCCGCTACTTGGGAAACTTCAAGTTTACGTCAACGTAATGTCAGTTCAGCTAAGCCTAATACATTAGCAGACTCTAATCGATGGGATTCTTACGTCAAAGTTTCCAAGTCGGGTGAGACGAATCTTGATGATACGCTTTCTCTCGCACGATCAACACCAAATTTGACTGATAATTCAGAATCTTTGATGCCTCCTCAAACATGGTCATCAACAGGTTATATAAGTATGCCATCATCTGAAGAAATATCAACTAATTCGAGTCCTGTACCACAGGAAACGTCGAATATTGGTAGTTATAGTGTCGTAGGAATTATGCCGAAAGTGTCACGCTCGAAGGTAGAAGAACCATCAGAATCATTAAAGAATGCTTTATTGAATTGTAAAGCAGATGCTAAACCTAATATTCCTTACGTGAGCCTGGCATCTGTAGACAAAAAATCAAAAGAACAACCGATGGATTCACTACGTGACTTGGATAAATTAGCATTTATTGGATCTACTCCGATTGCTAAAGTAGAAACTTTGAAGCCAATATCTACTTTAGATTCAACCAACAAACCATATGTTCAAACAGGATTGATTGATAATTTAAAGAAACCTTTTTCTCCGAGTTCAACTATTGAACCAAACAAAGATTCATTAAATACCACATTCACGACAGCTATAGAGCCACGAAATAAACAATTTGCATCAAAATTTTCGTCTCCAAATGTTACAACATATTCAGTAACTGAGTCAGCAACAAAACCTTATGTTACGGTTGCTTCAATCGCAGAAATAAAATCACCAAAGCCAACAGTAACTTCTTTGGACGATAAAACATTATTAAAATCTCGTTCTTCTGATACTTCACATAAGCCTTATGTTCAAGCATCGACAGTTTTTAAAATGTTAAAGCAACAACCTAGGGCTAGTGAAGAAATGCTGTGCTCAACGAAGGACAGTGAAATAGATAAGTCTTTATCAGCGACCTATCCACATTACTGGGAATCGGATGATCTAGATTCTACAGCAGTTTTACAATCGGAAAAGTCGCTGTTACAAGACGATGAGCATAGTTCTTCAAAAGAAACAATGAAATCCGATGAACAATTGGATAGATATCGAGCTAATGTTCGGCAAACGCCATCATCTGGAGAAACCGTTACTACCGTCCAGCATATTTTAGACTGATGAGCAGTGCATTAAACTTGAGTCTTGGATCATTTGAAATGCAGGGAAAAAAATAAACGATGCAGCTAAGCGAGCTTATAAATGGTTTGTAAATTGTAAGTACAACGTTCTCTAAAATTTTAAATGTAAATGAAATAGTACTCACGTTTTACAATGACATGTGGTAAGTTTACATTACGTATTATTAAAATTTTAAATGCAAATTTATTATATGTGAATTGTTCTATGAAAAGAACAAAATACTATTTCTCATTCAGATTTCACCATATTTATGAGATATAGATATTTAAATGAATTCATTTGTAGTAATGTAAACAAACAAATATGTTGGAATCGAATACGTGTTAGATGCTCAGCACAATTATTTGCAAAAAAAAAAAATATATGTACAAAACAACTAATTTTTGTATTATATTATATATAAATGAGAACAGTGCAACTTTATGAACAATGTATGAAGAAATTATAGCCGTAAACATTAGTTTAGTTGAAATAAGCTCAACACACGGTTACGTCGCCGGTAAACGTGCCGTTTAGTTTATTAATTTAACACTATATAGTACACTTCATTTAATTATCATTTATGTTAGATTGTTGTTTTATCTATTCGTTTATCATTCATCTTCGATTAATACGTGATTAAGATGATCGAAAACCTTTTACGATTGATACGGGTGAGTGATCGTAATAACTGTAAATATATTATAAATTTTGTGCATGAAATATTTTTTATCGTCACTAAAATGAAAATAAAAATCACGAGATTAAGATAAAATAATTAATGCCATGTTGACATTAAGTTTAATAGACATCTCTCAAATCATTCTGACGGATCATATTGAGCAAGTAATGAATTTCGTTGAAAATAAAGTAAAAGAAATTTAATTGCCATCAACGCGTTCATACTGATGAGAAAGTTTAAGTATAGTGTGCATAATATCCTAAGCTAGTCATTGAGAGGATACATCAGTCTACGCGACAACAAGCTTCTTAGATCGATCAGTAAATAATAATAATATACTAATACTTATAATAATAATGATTGAAATACAAGCAAATCATGTTGCTGTAGCTTATTATATATATATATTTATATTTATATATATATATAATTATACTTTTAATCGTATTTTGCAGTTGCTAATAGTGCATATAGACATTTCACACTTTTATTTATATAATTAAATTGTTAATTGTAATAATAACAAGAAATTGAATAATCATAATAATGATTAAAAATAATGATCATCGTAATATTAAATAAAAAATGCCGATAAACTTACCATGCTCTAATTATTTAAATGAATCGTCTGAGACTGATGTAATTGTCTAGATTCTATCGAATGTGGTAATGACTTTTAATTGGTTTGTGGCACTAAAACAATGAATGTGTTGGAGAGGTTTAATATTAATTAAAATAGTGAAGCAAAAAATAAATTAACAATGGAATGTGGCGAGATTTTTTTATATTAAATTAGAGAATTACAGTAAAATGTAAAGATCTTATTATTTGCATTAAAAAAAAACAATAATATTTGAATTTGTGAAATAGAAATTTTAAACGTTAATATCAAATGGAAATTATTTTAATTTTTTATAAAAACCGAGCTTAAATTTACATGTATTAAATGGTAAATATTATTATTATTATTATTATTATTATTATTATTAATTATCAATTACAAAAACATATAGATTAGTAGATTATTGATAAATTGTAACAGAGTGCCTAGTTTTTATGAAATCATAGAATATATTGAAAAGATGTAATTTAAAAACGACAGCATGACAGACATCATTGTCTTTTTATGTATGTTCTGTATAATTATAAAAGATGTTATTTAAGTATTTGAAATTTATATTATAATTCACTATGCAAGTAATGAAATGATAATTGCTAAATCATTGAGCTTTTAAAACGTCTAAATTTAGATATTTTGATGTGTGTTTTGCATATCTAACAAAGACAGTGAGGTAATTAAGGAACTACATTAAAAATTTTTTCATTGTGCCTGCGATGTAGTGATTAAATAATTGTCTATTTCGAAACACGTTTATTATTATTGATAAAATTCATTCAGACAAAACATTGAACGTATTTTCTAAGTTTTATAGATTCACACTTGTATATAGGCGAATTATCCTATATTTTTGTTATATATTTATAAATAAAGAAAAGTTATTCTATATAGCAAGATTAAGATAATTGACCATGATTTTGTCAAATTCTGTATTAGTTAAATACAGATAAACTGACTATCTTGGAAAAGAAATTGACGAAATTGTTGTTTCTTATCTTGATTTGAAATAACTGATTAGTAATTAGTTGATTATTTGATAAAATTATTACTTAGGTGTGGTATTAAGTTTACCTCACTTCCATTTCAACACCATTCTCCTGACAAATTGAATTGTCTTTGACCTAATGTAAAAAACGTCCACACAAAGATTTATTTACCTGTTTTTTATTTGTTACAATAATACAATGAACTTACTGTAACTTAAGATAAATTAAGTAATTTTACAACTTATTTGTTATTTACACGTAGTAATATTTTTACTGTACAGACGGTGCGATGTTTTAATATTTTACTATTAATAATTGAATCAATAGTAAATTAAAGTTTGATGATATCAAATATGAGTGGATCCGAACTGATTTGCTCTAAGGAATGATGAACCTTTAGTGCAATTATGTCAAAATCACATGTGAATATGACAAGACTGTTTCGTACGACTCTAAAACTGAACATTTTCTAGCAAGTAATTTAATTTTTTACTATTGATTTTTGACAAATAACTTGATCGTAAACACATCGCATATCCATATTAAAAAAATATCATACAGCTACAGCAATTTACTCTCATAAAACCATTGTACAGAGTATGTAAAATATATTTGTCTTCGATTTTCGATTAATTATTTATTTTGACTAAAGTATGTCAAATTTAGATTTAGAGATTTCAATTTATTTTTCTAAATTGTCTTTACATAATTGTAAGTATATAAAACACCAATTTCGCGTGTTAGTTTACACATACACACACACACACACACATGCTACTATCATACAAAATGAAGCCTGTCTTTTTACTATTATCAATCATACCATTAGGGTAGGCCATCAGAACTTGCCATCAATAATTATTTGAATTTTTATATTAAATTATTATAATTATCTTCTAATTTGCAATATTCATTAATCTATCATCATAAGTACGATTAAATAAATAAAATATGAAAACAGATTAATGTAACACTGTTTAACTCTACAGTTAATAGATTGAAAAATATAGAATTTATATTGCCTATGTGTTTTACTTTTTATTTACAAAGAATAGCTGAATAAAATAATTTAAAATAAAATGATTGAAAAAATTAGTTTATGATTGATATTATTTATGGAGATGATAAAAATGTCTGAAACATGTTATTGTGGGAATCTGCTTTATTATTGAAGAAGAAATGAAATCATGTACATTATATATTTATAATGTTTACATATATACAATATTAATAAAAAATGGTAATTTTATTAAGTAATAATTAATCATTTCTATTATCATTATGCTTTTCATAAACCCTGCATCAGTAGTTGTTTTCAATGGAATGTGCTTCTGTGAATTAAAAAATAAAAATTATTTTTCACAGGAACAAAAAGTCTTCAATACTATAAATTTTTTAACTTTTTGTAAGTATTAACTTTTTTGAAAGTTAATTTATGTTTTTTATAATAATGAAAAGTTTTAAAGAAAATTAAGTATGATGAATTATAATACTTATTTTCAAATAAATATTATTTAGCTAATAATACATTTGTTCTATAAATTTTTCAATATAAGAATTTAAATTCAAAAAAGTTTTATCACTGTTTCTAGTAAATTGTATCATTACAAAAATATTTTCAATATCTGATAAAACATTTTTATCTTATTTCAAAGTATACAATTCAAGAAATTTATCAATATAATTACAGCAGCACTATATAATTTCAATCGAAATGATACAATTCTTGCTGTACTTTAATTGTGAGTGTATTTTACAGTTTTTTTTTTACTTACAATTTGTGAATAATTTTTTTTATTCATTTAAATATCTTCAATTTTTCATGTAGTATCATAAAAGTTTTATACACATTAAGTACAGTAATATATTTTTTCAAAATACTTTACAACGGCATAATTAAATGTTAGTGGCTCCAAAAATAAAACTGTCTCCCACAATCGTCTTAAATTCCTCATTTCTTACGTCAATACAATTTGTCATTATTGAACAAAATTTGATGCGTCTATCAATTAACTTTTATATCGAGTTCGATGTTTTTCGTGTTAGTAATTCGCATTTAGGCCAATAATGATTAAAAAAATTGCATCAATTAGCTTTTACGCGATAATAATAATACACTTTACAGATAATTAATCTGTGCATCAAAATAAAAATTACGTGATCAGCATTGTATCCATTTATTCTTTATTATATTAATCTATTCAATAGAATAATTCATTCATAATAATGAATTATAATTTTCAAGACATTATTCAGTCACGACTAAGGCTTATTTGTTTTATTTTTACATTTAATAAACACCATTTCAGAATTATCATCATAAATAATGATTTAAGTGAAAGTTTAATCTACAATGACCATGGATAAATCAATAATATAATGTGATAATAACATGAAAACTATTTGTTTCCGTTAAAAAATCTATTGCTGATAATAATCCTTTAATAAGTTAATACTTTTGATTGGAGTTTATCTGCGCTTCATTTTGTAAATAATATTTACTTTTTCATTTATAATTGAAAGCATGAAGTAATTTTTTCAACATGATTATGTTTTCGATATTGATCTAATATTCAATTAATTGAGGAAATAAAAATGATTTTAAGAAGTTTGTTATAAAAACAATTTACTCGAAATTGATAATTAATTACTTGTAGATATAATTCATTATTGGTTCAACGCAATATGATGGCACTTTTAATAATAATTATGAGTTGAACAATGCGTTAAATTAGTACATAAATTCCTTTTGATAAATCTTATTCATTAACATGATTATTTTTATAAACTATAATTTCATCAGTATAATTGATCTTCGTCACACAAATCGCACTTAATATTTAAACGGTAAGTTAAAATTTTTAATATCTGTGAAAGCAAAAAAAAATTATTGGCTATTAGTATATTTATAAGCAATAAAAAACATTTTTTCAATGATAAATATTAAAACTTACCGATAATAATTAGGTTTAAATGGTCCAGCCTTATTAAGACCCATATATTTAGCTTGTTCATCAGTAAGTTCAGTTAAATGCGCATCGAATGTAGGTAGATGTAATGATGCTACATATTCATCTGCACAATATCAAAGAGCATAAAGATTAATTAATTGAGTCATATAGATGGATGTCATGTTAAGGGTGGTGAGTAATCCAATTCTAATTATTCATTGATTGAATGAATGCATTTAATAAATATGAATGTATGATTATAGAATCCAGTCTTATCAATAAGTATAATCAAAATCTGTTACTTTTAATAACTTCTAATAAATAGTAAATGATTCTGGAAAGCTCTATCAAATAATCTTTAAGAGAGTTCTAAAATTTCATTCAGGTCAGGGACTATATGATAAATATTCATGACTTGTAGTTATAAATTTTACATGTAGATAAAAAATACTTTTTATTCGATAAACTTACCCATTTTCTTAGGCAGTAAATATACGTCACTCTTATAACGACCAGCGGGTGCATTATAGAGCTCAATGAGAGCTAAAGCTTGAGTAGCAGCAGTGATAGATACAACAAATGATGGAATACTTGAACAAGACAAGTTTACCAATCTTCCTTCTGCTAAAAGTACGATTCGTTTTCCGTCAGGCCATATTACATGATCCACTTGAGATCGTACTTTCTCCCAGGTTAAATCAGGTGTTCGTAAACTATTCTATAAATTAGTTTAAAAGATTTATTTTAAATAGATAATGGCATAAACAACCAATAAATAATAAATTAGATTCGCAATAACAAATGCATAAAACTTACAACATCTATTTCGGTGTTACTATGACCCATATTACACACAACGCATCCGTTTTTCATTTTGTCCATATGTTCGCGTGTCACAACATTTTTATTCCCTGTTGCAGTTATGACAATATCGATATTTCTAATTATTTCATTTAATTTAATGACCCGAAAACCATCCATGCTAGAAGGCAATTATCGTAGTCGTAAAATAAAATTTGACTTTCTAAATTTTTGTAATAACAATAATAAAATTATTTTTACCTAGCTTGTAAAGCACAAATTGGATCAATTTCAGTTATGTACACAATACATCCTAAACCTTTAAGAGCTTGACAGCACCCTTTACCTACTTCACCATAGCCACAGATTACTACTTGCTTTCCTCCGAACATGACATCAGTTGATCGTCTTAAACTGTCGGATAAATATTAAAAATGAATTGATGAACAAATTGTTACTTTCAAAATCAGATATATCTGTGACTGATATTGTTCTGAGATAAATTAAAACAGACTTAAAATGTCTCATGAATTTTATGATAAATGAAATTAGAATGAAAATTACAAAATTGAATAATCTAATAATAGAAGTTGATTATAAAAAATATTAACATATAAATAAAAAAAAAACCATTAATAGAAAGTCCATCATAAAAATATCATAATTATTCTGTTGAAATAAAAAAAATGGTTTATTTGAAAATAATAATCTTATAATAAAAATTAAATATTATTTTCTTTAATGGTGTTGAGCTATTTAAAATTATTTGCAATAATTTGCTTTAACTTTATGATGGAATAAATTTTTATAGATCTTTTAATTTTCTTAGTTTTTTTTTTTTTAAATATTCAATATTCCAATAAACCTGCGGGGTTGTGTTATTAATAAAAATATTTGCTGTAAAAATATCTACTGGGTATGATTAGTTCTGAGAGCAAAACTGCCAACTATTGATTTGTTAACAGTGTATTATTTTTCAAGTCATAAATTTCACACTAAAAGCTTGATCTAAGAATAGAACAATATTGGCCACGGATACAATAACATCATTGTTTGATTCCAATGTTACCTATCAATAATACTTTCGCGGCAGCTATAGAGATTGTCAAACTTGGTTTTTGTTACACTATCATTTACATTCATTGCTGGCACTGAAAGTTTTCCAGCTTTTGATAACTGATATAGTCTATGAACACCTGTAACACTTTCTTCGACAATACCTGTAAAATTTATACTATATTGACATTCTTTAAATAACTCACATGCACTAGCTATAGGTGATTTAAAGCTGGTGTGTTTTAAACTGATTATAAGCTGAGTTTGACTTATTTTATTTCAAATGAAAAGTTTTGTTTTTCAAACCTACCTTGAATTGATTTGAACATTGAATTATATTTCTTGAGCATAAGATGGGTAGCATCACCACCATCATCTAGAATCATATTAGGTTGCCAGTTTTCGGCACATACGCATTTATCAATACACCACCAAAAATCTTCCTCAGTTTCTCCACGCCAAGCGAATACTGGATAACCAGCATGAGCTAAAGCCGCAGCTACTTCATTTTGAGTTGAATAAATATTACACGCAGCCCATCGTACTTGTGCTCCTAGTTCAACTAGAGTTTCAATCAGGACTGCAGTTTGTGCGTTTATATGAGTACATCCAACTATTTTTGCATTTTTTAATGGCTGTAAAAAATGATATACATGTGAATAATTATTCAAATTATCACTTTTATATGAAAATAAAAACAGTTGAATGTCTTTTGTGAGACAATGAAGCCTTTTAAATTCAATGCCATCGTACTTACGTTTATTGTAAATATATAAATATATTAAGTACATGTATAAATAATTAAATACCTTGTCATCCGCAGCACGTTTTCGCAATGCCATAATGCCAGGCATTTCTTGCTCTGCAATCTCGATTTCTCTTCTCCCAAAAGCATGTTGGTTAATATTCCTTACACAAAAATCTGTAAAGCCTTTTTCCGTTTTTTGGATTTTCTCCCGTGGTGATACATCATCTTCATCAGATGAGCTTCCTGTATAAGACGCTAATATTCAAACGAATGCCAAAAAATGATTGATTAGTGACATTGCATGATCTAGTGACGAGTGCATTAATGAATATAATTAATTATTCACATGGTATTCAATTTATGAAATAATAAAAGACTCAATTTCATCAATTCCATCTAATTCTCATCAACAACGGTCAATAAATATTTTTCATTATAAATTAGAAAGAAGTTTTATGAATTAGATTTCACAATATTGTCAAAGTACTAATAAACTGAGCAGATATTTGATTTCATAATAATAGCTGAGTAATAATTCAAATCAATTGTTATGGTTGTTTTTCAAAATGTCTATCACAATAAAATTTAGTAAAAATATCTTTTACTCTTTCATAAATCTACAAAAAAAAAATAAATTTAAAAAATGACTACACTTCATTCAATGATATGATAAATGTAGTGTAAGCAACTAATTGCATTCAAAGTGTTCATCAATTTATAACACTCAAATAAATTGATAATCAAAAGAATTTTTCACACCATAAATAACAAATTTTTACCAGAAGAATAACTGTCATTGCTGCTTGCTGATAAAGAACGGCTACGGTAACGGCTGGATTTTTTCAAAGCTCCTGATTTTGATTCCTATAAACATAAAACCAAGTAAGTAATGATAAAAAACTGTTTCATTAATATTTTATTATCATTAATAATTGCAAGTAATGGTAAAATGACTACAAAAATAATAAGTCTGAGTATGAAACTATATTATGTTGAAATGAATATCTACGTGCTTATTTATTTGAATGATTTATAGGACCAAGTGAAAAAGGGATAATTGAAGCTTTTCCTTGCGGTTTTGTGGGTGTGTCGGCTGTAGTTAATAATAATTAATTGCTGATAAGTAAAGTATATCAGTAAGTATGTGTATCAGAACTTAAAAATATTATTAACATTGAATTTGAAGTTATGAGCTCTTTCATTTAGCAAATTGATAAAAATTGTGAATATTGATCATGCAATGAAGCATAAAAAATATTATAATTATTAATACAAGTTTAATGACAATGTTATGTAAGTTAGTCAAAGTGAGTATTAAAATTGAAATATTAGTAATTTATTTAATTATACGTAAAAATAATAAGCAGATAAAAATATAAGTCAATTCATTAACAATTGTTAGTATATACCAATAAATAATAGGTATATTGAGAAATAATTATTATTAACGAATAACGATTATAAACAGTTTTAAGACAATACAAAAATTTTTAATCATAATGATTTTATTAAGAGTAATATAATAATAACAGTTAAATTGATAAAAACATTATATGGACAATCATAAGGATTCAAGCGATCCTCAAAGAGCGAGCATTTCTATTGCAAAGGGTAAAAAAATTTACTTTCTGATTCATACACATATATTCTTACTTACTAATTTTGTTCTCGGGCCGTGAAAGGCATTTTTTGATGCCTCTAGGCTCTGAAATCACAATAACCACCATTTCATAATTTAAACGTTTTACAAATTTATGGTGTTGGCCTTGGATGGTTACAAGATTTTCGACATCCTTTTTATGTGTCTTATTTTTTTTTTTTAATGTTTTGATTTGTTATGGAGTTAAGCAGGGTTAAGTGGGCCAATATATCAGCTACACCTATTCAACTATTTTATTTGTAAGAATACTTTTTCAATTACTGTAAGTTGTTTCTAATCAATGTCATTTATAAAATGTTTTCGAGGCTTATTTGTATAGGGATTGATTAAAAAAATTACTTTTAAGATTTTATAGGACATCAAAAATCTTCAAAGATAAGAAAAAAACATTTTAATATCAAAATACTTGAATTACTTTGATTAATACCAATTCATTTGTATTATTTATTTTGTTTTTTTTTCTTGTCATTGCTTTATTTAAAATGAGATTTGGAGCCAAATATCTGTTTATGTATTTTTATCGGATGTCATATGTCCAAATTATTTTATGAATCAAACTCATATAAATATGTGAACCCTCTTCAGTATTTTAATACCAACTAAAAACTTAAATGTGTTTCAACATATATGAATGAATTTAAATTTTTAAAGGTTGACTAGATACTGCATAATAAAGTGCATATTTATAAAAAAAAATATTCGGTCGTGTTTCTGTGGTGCACTTAGTGATTTGTCTACATTCTATCACTAATTGTGATCTTGATTGAGACTAATATCTAACAAGTCATAATTGACATGAATAAAATAATGCTCTATATGTATTAAAAAAGTAAAGCACACATTAGAAATATTTTTTCATATTTAAACTGAAATAATAATACATGCATTTTTATATAAATTTATTGATTAATCAAACCAAAACAAACATTTTCTAAAAATAGTTAAATCGAATTCATTTTCATATCTTCAGTGGCTGGAAATTTATATAAACACTCATATTATTACTGCAACAAAAGTTTATGTATAGAATCATTTATTTTAATTAATATTCTATTGTAACAGCTGAAAAAATGAGATCACCTAAATTGTATTCGTTAATTGAAATTATTTAATAGTATTTGTTGGTCAGAGAACAATTAAAACAAAACAAAAAACATCTGTCAACTATTTTAAATTCATTGTATACATTAATATTATATAACATTTGCATGTGACAGCACACAAGTAACACAAGGTCTTTTTTCAGTTGTAAATTAATAAATATTTGAATGCCAAAATTTATAAATAAAATCAATTTGCTTTCAGAGATATTGCTTGGAAAATTTTTAAATATTTAATAACACATATTTATTGTAAACAATAATAGAAATTATTTAAATGCAATACAAATAACCAAGAGTAGAAATTTGTAATACAGTAGAGAAAAGCCGCTTCTCCACGAACAAATTATTTATGAATTTCATAAAATAATAACCTAAATGTTTTTATTTAAAATATAATTATTTATTTCTTCAATTATTTTACCTTATTTACAGATGCTGGATCAGTAACTGGAGTATCAGTTACGTTAATTCTCACGTCTTTCCTAGAAGACACAGTGTTCGAGCCATCTGCACTATCCGCCATTTTAACAAATACTCATCAGATACCCAACATACGTGTAATATATACAAGCATAGAATCAGCTGGTTGAATGTCGTTGGATGGCGTTGAGAAAACATCACGGGGTTTAACAGGGACGTATCTTCATTGAGGTTCAAAAAAATATCTTCTCATCAATAAAATAAATTACACGATTAAATTTTTTAGTCAATCAATTATTATTGATTTTAAAAAAATAATAAAAATAAATAAAATTTTACTAAATATATATTTACAGGATATTATTTTATAAGGATTAAATGATATTAATATATTATATTTTTGGTAATTTATTTTCTATCGATTGTAAGATGATACACAATAGAAAAAAATTATTGACCAGCAGCTGTGGCTGGAGCAGCAGCAGCTTGTGCTTGTTCCTCACGGACACGATCTTTTTTAAGTAATCCCATAAACGAAGCCTTATCGGCTGCAGTTTGGAAGCGACCATGTCCAAATTTGGAGCTTGTATCGATGAATTTCAAGTTGATCTTCTCCAATGCTGAGCGTTTAGTATGTACAAGCAGAGACTATTGAAAAAAAAATTTAACCAATTAAAATAAATTATAATATTCTGTTATTTTAAAAAATTTTTTTAAAAATATCAGTCCTATCATTCAATATCATATATGTATCATAATAAAAATATAAGGCTCTATTAGAGTTCATCATACGTAAAAATTCTGATTATGAATAAAAAATATTAGTATCTTGTCTTACCTTACGAAGGGTAATAACTCGCTTTTTAGGTCCCATACAACAACCTTTAATCATGATAAAGTCATTGTTGACTTCACCGTAATGAGGGAATCCTCCCATTGGTGTAATAGATTTTTCGGTCAAATCGTATTCAGTTGATGCATTGTTTTTCACAATCTGTTGATAAATTTATTCAATTAGTTTTTTGAATAAAGAAATAAATTTGTTACTTATTTTGGAGGCCCAAGATGCTCAAGTTAAGTAAAATGGGTACTATGAACAATAAGTATTAATTTTGCCTTAAGGGGGGGTTTAAACGAATCTTCAATTAAAATAAAGATTCATTTAACAAGAAGGCTACAGTAATCTATAAAAATATTTTAAATATACCTGTCCATCTGCAGCGTAAATTCCTTGTCCAATCCTGTAGATTTTTTTATTCATTTCTGTACGATGATGGTAACCCTTTTGACCAGCACGGGCTACAGTGAATGATACTCTACTGGGATGCCAAGCTCCGATACAGGCAACTTTTCTCAGACCTTTATGAGTTTTACGTGGCAATTTCTTTGTGTGCCAACGTGAAGTAACACCTTTAAAATTAATATTTCTTTACGTTAATAATTTAATTTTAAATAATTCAACTAGAAAAATATAATATCATTGAAATGAAGTTGAAAAAAAATATGAAAAAGGAATTTTTTTAATAAAAATTGCTACTATAAAATAGATATCAGTAGGAAGGCAACATTGTACTCTCATCAATGATTTCAGTACATGTATTCATCATTTAGTCTATTTATAGTATGATATAATTTATAAAAATATTTGAAAAATTGAATTAAATGGCTAGCATCATTTATTATTTAACACCTTCGATTAGAAGGGGATTAACCATACCTTTGTATCCTTTTCCTTTAGTAACACCAATTACATCAATCATTTCATCAGGAGCAAAAACATTGGTAATCGCAATCGGTTTTTCTAGATGTTCTGAAGCCCATTTAACTTTTTCTTCAATAGTTCCACCATTCAATTGAATTTCCATGATGTTGGATTTTTTCTGTCTTTGTCTCAAGAGTTTCATCTAAAAATGAAATATTTTATTAATTATTTTATCCATAAAATATTGTTTATCAATTGATTTTATCATAGCTAAAATCAATTACCTGAGTATGAGCAATAATGCGAACGACTTTGCAGTATTTGATGATTTTAGCAAAATCCTTCTCAATTGATTTTTTTCCCAAAGGATCCTGCCATTTCTTGCTTGCTTTTGTGAAAGCCTTCTTCTTACTCTTGTACCTAACAAAATAAATGGCACATTCCATCTTCAGGTAAATCTGTAACGTGTTGGCCTCATCGTAATGAGCGGAGGCCAAACACAATTTTGGATCAACCGCAAGCCGAGGTAAAAATCTCGTGGTTGATTCCAAAGAAATTCTCTCTTCGTTCGAGCGGAGAGCTGATTGAATGTTATTTAATAACATGTTCAAATAATTTTTATAATGGAAAAATTTTTTATAAAAAACAAAAAAATTGAAAAAAGAGTTTATGTATCAAGAACAACTAATTAATAATTTATACAAACCAGTTCTTGTAGAATCGTCTGCGACAATCTTCAGACAGATGTTCAGCCCAAACAGTGGTGAGTGCTCGAAGACCATGTGGAGTTTCGATATAACCAACAACTCCAACAACAATCATTGGTGGAGTTTCAATTATTGTTACAGCTTCTACGATTTCCTTCTTATTGACCTCTGTTCATAAAAAAATAATGTTAATAAAACGAGCTTTGATAAAATGATAACTTGGTGAATATTAAACTTAAATTGTGCAAAACATGGTTTGTCCCAGTTGTCATTGTTCAATGAACTACAATGAGATTATGGAATATGCCTTACTCCCGCACACAACTAATCAAAGATTAGAGGGTAGGATTGATTTTCGACACTGTGGCTTAGAATATACTGCACAAGATCAAGCAGCTCGTGAACCACGACTCCCAATAGACAAACATACAAGATATCTATCCAAAGGAAGTGCAAGCGTCGAGGAGAAAATAATTGTCTATACTTGAAGTAATAAACTCACTTGATCCAGGACGATCAGCTTCACGAACCACGTGAGTCATACCAGCTTTGTAACCAATAAAAGCTGTTAAATGAACGGGTTTGCTTGGATCATCCTTTGGGAAAGCCTTGACTTTTCCACGATGACGTTGGGATCTTTTTTTGGGATAGAATCCCATAGATCCATGGCGAGGAGCACTGAATTTTCGATGGGACTGAAATAAATTTACAATTTTAAAAGATTGAAACTAATAGTAACTATAATCATTTAATTATTTTATAATTATTTCAGACCGCCCTAGAAAATTTTCTTCATGGTTATTCAGTTTAAACCATAAACTTTGAATCTAAATCATCATCAAGTTTCAGTGATTCTAATTGAACATGTGGCACTTATAGATTCTAGTGTGTGATTTTTATTAAGTACTGTACTAGTTGAAAAAATAACTAAATTCAATAAATATTATAATCAACGAAAAGTTTATTATTCAATTTATAATTAAATATTATTGCTATTAATTAATTGAAGGGGATGCTTCCAAAAAAACTCGATTATTATATTACACGCTACTCACCATTCTGAGTCCAAGATGCAAATGGAAGAGGCCAACGTTGGGTATTTCAATGAAGGCAACTTTGTAGTTTCAAAATGGCCGATCCATTGTTACCAATCGTAAAATTATATCACAAGAAACTTAAATTATAGATGGCGCGTAAGTTAGATTTTTAAGGCGCGATCTTTTGAAAAGAACAAAAAAAGAAATACCATTAAAAATTATTTAAAAATTAATCTATTATTTATTCATCTTAAGAATATAAACATTCAACTTTGTCTGAATAAAAAATTCTTAAATACGCAGTACAAAAAATAACTATACATTGTTTCAACAAATTTAAAAAAATATTACTTTCAAGTAATCAATGTAACTTTCTTCTCGTCCGTAATGAGCGCGTTGATAGTGCTGGGGAAGCTAATGGCTGGAATAGAGAGAATAAAAATGAACGGATTATTTTCAATACAACTTTTTAAGAATAATAAAATTAATAATAATATTTACCTCACACGGAATATCTACTTCAACACATGAGTCATCAGTATGAGTATACAATTTTTTCCAACGACCTTTTCGTTCCGACGATGGAAGTGGCATAGACGATTTAACAGCATTCCGTGTTGTACGTCTGAAAAAATTGAATTTTTTGAATAGTGAATACATTTTTTAAATATTAGAAATATACTTTTTCCTGCCTTAAAATACATACTTTGATTCAGAACCAGATGTTTCACTAAGATTGATTTCCGGAATATTCGGTGAAAACAGAGGGTCTGCAACCTTCCTATTTCTTCTGCCTCGTCGTTCTGGCATTGCTTCTTCATCTGATGTATTATCTTCTTTTTCTTTTTGATTTTTAGTTTCTCGTAGTGGTTTAGAACGAGTTTTCGATGGTGCACGAAATTCTTTACTTTCCTTTTTATCTTTCTGTAAGTTCACCATTTCATTTTTAACTGTATTCAATTCTATTTGCATGTTTTGTAAAGCGTCTTCATAACTTTTTACAACTTCATCCCGATTTTTTTGGAATTGATCAAATTCGTGTTCTTTTTTATCAATAGTATTAACTAAATTCGAATTTAATTGCTCTAATTCGTCTAATTTTTTCTTTAATTTTTCTGTATCTACAACTGTTGATTCTAAACTTAATATCTTAGTTTGCAAACTTTTATTTAACTCGTCAGTTTTTTTTAAATCATCTTTAGTGTCATGGAGTTCTTTCAGCACTTTTTTTAATTGTTCTTCAGTTCGTTTGACATCTTCTTCATGCATATTTGTTTTAAGACTACTTTTTATATCATTCTGAAGACGCACAATTTCTTCATCTTTATCAACCAATTTTCTCATTGATTCTTCTAATTTTTTTTCAAGTGATTTTATTTTAGTTTCATTGTCTACTAATTTGGATTCATGAACTTGTTTTTCAAGTTGACACTGTTCTATTTGAGCATTTAATTCATTGGTTTTTTCTTTTAAAAGTTCTAAATCTTTCATTTTGTCTTTTAACGGACTAATTTCATCAATAATTTTTTTCTGATCGGCTATTTTATCTTCAAGTTCAGTAATCTGAGATTGATAATGACTTTTGTATTTGTTATAATCCGCATCTCTTTCTTCTTTCATTTTAATAAGTTCAGCTGAAGAAGTTTTTTCAGAATCTTTTAGAGTTTCATTTTCTTTTTCTAATTCATTAATTCGGTTGTTCAAAACATCAAGTTGTATTTGCATTTTTTCCAAAATCTCTTCTTTTTTTTGAAGATGTTCATCTAAAACGTTTTTCTCATTCAAAACTACTTCAAAGTTATGTATTTTTTCGTTTAAGATTTCGACTTGATTTTTTTCTTCTTTATATTTCTCCTCCAATTCATTATAATCATTTTTTATTTTTTCTAATGACTCAATATTAATAGTCTTGTACATAGTATCATCAAATGAAGTTTGAAGCATTTTATTTTCGTTCAAAGTAGTGAAGCTTGTCTGATTACTTTGGTTTAGTAATTCAATTGGTGATGTTTGACAACTACTATTAGATGATTCTATTTCTTCTTTCTTAACATTTTCTGTTTGTTCTATATTTGATGAAATAGATTTTGATTCTAGTTTCTTTTCTATGATTATAATATAGTCTGTTTGTTTTGTTAAAAGTTCTTGTAGACTGTCCAATTCATTTTGTAAATCTTCTATTTTCTCGTTCTTAATTGCTAATTTATCGTAAAGTTTCTCAACTATTTTGTCTTGTCGTTCACATTCATTCTCCATCTCAATAAATTCCTGAGTGGCCTCATTGAGTCTAGCTTTGAGTGTAAGATTTTTCTTCTCTTGCTCTTCTAACTGTGTCTTCAATTCCTTAACATAACTGGAAAGATCACTGTTTTCGGAAATATTATCTTCCAATGTTTTCCTTAAATTGTTCGATGATTTTAGCTGCTCTTTAATCAGCCCTAATTCATACATAATTGTATTTTTTTCCTGCACAGCTGAATTTTTTTCTTTAACTACTTCTTTTAATTTGCCTTTCAAATACAATACTTTCGTTGATAATTTATCCATTTCTTGTTGCATTTCTTTTACCTGTTCACTTTCACACGTTTCCTCATCATCATCATCTTCTTCTTCATCATCAGTACAGAAGCGCTTGCGTTTTTTACTTGCTAACTGAGAAATTTTGCTTCTGTAATAGTTTTCAACTTTTTCTAATTCCCATTCACGCAAATTTTGTTGTTCCTCTTGGACATTTTCAATTCGATTTCTATAATTGTTTTCCAGTTGTTTAATTATTTTCTCATACATTTGTCCCATCTCTTGACGAGTTTCCATTTCTCTTTTAAGAATTGACGCCTTTAAACTATCTACTTCCTGCTTTAATTTTACATTTTCAGTTAGTAAATCATCATAATCCTCAGTTTGAATGCTATTTTTATCATCATCATCAGATAATGTTTCTTCGACAATATTTTCCAATTCTGTAGGATATTCTGTTGGATTTTCCCAATCGATGATTTCTTTTTTGCTTTTCATCAATACCTGAGAAAATCTTGTTTTCGATATTTTCCGTTTTGATGGCTTCTTTTGTAAAACAATTTTTTTCGCTATAGCAGCAAAATTTAAAACATTCTGAGTTTCTACATATAAATTAGGCATAGGATTAATATTGACGATTAGAACAATTGGCTCTTTTCCAGATAATGGTTGTTGAAATAAGCGCGTTAATTTTGATTCCCTGAATGGTCCAACATGTTCGTTACGTTGCTTTATAGTTTGTCCTTCATAAATAGATTTTAAACATCGACCAAGAACTAATAGGCTAGTGTTAATATTTTGTGCTTCTTTTAATCGTTCTCCAACGTTAAGTGTCTTTTTCAAACGCTCCGAGCCAGCCAGATCACAGAAGGAAAAAGTACTTACTTCTACTGAATCAGGATCGTTATCTTTGAAAAATTTCAGCAATTTTATTGTAAATATACAATGAGATCTTGAACTCCGAGCATTTAATGCTGTTGCAGCTACTTTTAGATTATATTGACCTGCCATCAACACTTGAAAAGCTTCAGACCCGGAAGTTACAAAAATTGATTTCAAACCTTTTATATAAGCAACTCCATTGCTGTTAGTAAGAAGTTTTAAGCTCGGACGATTCTTCTGAAGACTATCATTGTTGAGTAAATCATATATCGACTCATTATATATTTCAGCGAAAGATACCCAAACAGCATATCGAGCATTGGTTTGTTCACTTAGTCTCTCTGGAAATTCTTCTGCTTCTAATAGCTTCTGCATTTCTTTGTAAGTATTAATATATTGATTTCTATCAGTGGTACTGAAGGCTAATAATTTATTTTTTATATCTAATTCTTGAGCTCTTTCAATTGGAGATAACATTACAACATTGTTATTATTTACAGGTTTATAGTTGGGTAATGATTTGGCATCTATTTGAGAAAAAACGTACTCGAGGCCGCGTGGAATAATTCCTGGAGATGATGTGGTACCTTGTAGAGTAAATGTCTTACCAGAATTTGTTGTACCTGTAAAAACGCAATATAGACATTTGAACATTTATGAATAATTAAATTTTTAGTTCCACATAAAATAAAAAATAATTTACCATAAGTCATTATAGTGGCATTGGAGCCTGAGAGAAATTCTTGCATTTGAGACTTAACAACTCGATTAAAAAACTGACTTTGAGTTGTCTCAGGACCAAAAGTTTCTGTGAAGGTGTATCTTTTGCATATTAATTCTGGCTCTATTGAAGAATGAGATCTAATAGTTGAATTACTTAGACAGTCTTGACTAGGTATTTTTGTTAATAAAGTAGTTGAGTCAAAAATGGAGAAAGCCTCCTGTTGTTGTTGATTAAGTTTTATCTTTTTTGGGAAAGGCTTAAGTCTTAAGTACACTTTAATTGTTTGGGTTGGTAATAAGTCAAGGCTTGGGCTAGCTTCTAATACAGATTCTTCAGTTTCATAAAGTGATAATAAATTTTTTTTCTGAGCCGCTGATGGCCCAGGACGTTGCCCATAAGCTAATATACTTGGATCTCGACCATATAAGTAAGAGACTTCAGTAGTCGTCAATGAATTAGATGGTCTAATAGGATCTAGTGTATCATCCACCTGAGGACCACGATAAATACAATTAAAATCATAACAATGAATTTCCAAGATACAAGTTTATTCATATCAAATACCTTCAAAAATTGTATATTATCCTCACTCATGATGAAATTATTTACTTTTATCAGAATTTATATGATACACAATTGTAATTAAACTTCAATGCACCTCATTGCAATCTTCTACCGCCAAACTACTTTTTACTCTCGAATGTAGAAAAACGACTGATTGACGGTTATACATTTAAAGCGACTCCTGCGCACAAACAAAAGATTTCATTGGTTCATTTTAGTTTGTATTTTATCCGTATCTGGCAGTATAATACAATTCTTTAAAGAATATTGTTCTGACACCTGGTGTACGAAAAAAAAATACTTTTGTATAATCCATTTTATCAACAAAAAAGTTAATTTACACATGCTCAGAAATAAAAGTGTAAATGAGAAATGTACAATTATTTTTTATATGCAAAGTTTTCAGAGGAATATTTTTTAATTAACTGAAGGATTGGTTATAAATTAAATCCATTAGAATTTGTATTCAATAAATCAATCAATAAAGCGTTATAACAAATATGTCAACAATAACACGTGTGTAATGGTAAACGATAAAGTTTTCTTCTGAAAATTCTTTAATTTTTACAATAAAAATTTGGAACAATTCTTTAGTAAAGCATTATCATTACATTCAATAAGATCAACAATTGTATGTATGTTTTTATTTTTCTATAATACTATAAAATAGCGATCATATTTTTTATATACGTACGATAAACATGTTTAATAAAAGTATTATTTTTTATCAGTTATTAAAAAAATACGTATCCTATTTTCTTGTAGAGAACTTTTAATCAAAGATGCTTGGACTTCGGAATTTTTTGACATTATTAAAGGTTTCATCTAGACAAACACTACCTCCTTTTGTCTTGCAATCACCAAGAAATTTATTGCATCATTTATTTCAAAACAAAAATTGGTTTCATCATTCAAGTATAAAATATGATAAACCTGAAATTAATCAGGTTGAACCAAAACCAGAAGAAAAAGAATTAACGAAACATCGTGTTGGAGCTTTAGAAGGTAGATTGATGATAAAATTTAAATGTAAAAAATGTAGCACAAAGAATACTCATACGATGTCGAAATTGGCTTACACGAAGGGCATAGTAATTATTTGCTGTGATGGTTGTAAGAATAATCATCTTATCGCTGATAATTTAGGATGGTTTGGAGTCATTGATTCACATACAAATATTGAAAAAATTATGCTAGCGAAAGGTGAGAAGGTTCGGAGAATAAATTCATATGGAGAAGTATTTGAAGCAGTTGAAACAACAGATGCACCGAAAGATTAAGATAACATGTAATTTCATAAATTACATTGTTTATTGTTGTAAATAAAAATAATATAATTTACGTCCTGTACATAAGTATTTATATTAAATACATTTTTATCATGAAATATAAGCTAAATATAATCTAATATTATTATGATATTCAGAAATTTTTTCACCATAAAGTAATAAAACTGCTATCTAAATGTATACACAATCTAGAAATCATTTTTATCTACTGTTTACAGAATAAATTGCTATCCTTCAATATTTCTGATAAACACAATAATCATATCAGCTATTGTTTATATTAAACAAAACCTCTCACCATTATTTTCACATACTTTTTTTCGATCAACACCGTTCAACAATTGTTACCAGTTTGAATCAAGTAACATTCAATGAATTTCAAATAAAGGATTGAAATTTAAAAATGAAAATTATGTAATTTACATACACATATTAGATAGTTTTTAATCAATTGATGAAATTAGAATAAAATATAATGCTTATAATGATCGATTTAAAAAAATTGGTGATTTTTTAATGAGTTCATCAAGTTTACTTTTAAACACTTCACTTTGTATAGGTTCATTGAGTTGGCAAAAAGGATTTTTTACAACATACTCAACATAAACCTGACTATATAATTGTTGTAAAAGTTGTCGTACATTTTGTGAAATATTGTCCGTATTTATCACAAACTTTAATCCTGAGGGTGTTTCTAAATAATGTAATGTATATTTGCTTGTTTTATAATACAAAAATCCTTCCTTAGGGTCTAACGGTGATATTTTATTTACGAATGATTTAATTGAAAATAACATTCCATACATAAGCTTAGCTTCCTGAAATAAATTATTTTTTATCATTAATTGAATTTTCGTTAATTATTTTATTAAAATAAATTTATTTCCAATAAATATATATACTTCTTCTTTCGTGATGCCAGATTTATTCAATCTGTTCCATTCAGCATAATACAACAGTACTCCATTTCGCGAAAAGATATACAAATTGTGGACTGTCATTTTTTTGTTTGAAAATTAGACAAGAAAAAAAACTAACAATACATACACAAGAAAATTTTAATTATTATTAATAGAGAAAGGTCAATTTGTTAAAGAATTACATAGTTGACATATTTTTTGACTATTTGGTTAGGATATTTTGTTTTGGAGCTAAGAATTTTGTCGTTTCATGAAAACGAAGCTGACTGATTCCTCCTATCTTAAAACAACAACATAACCTAACGATTCAAACGAAATTCAGTCGTTCATCAACACAAAAGTTTAGTGTACAATTTTTTTTTTCTATCTTATCTTTTTCTGTAATTATTATTAAAAAACATTCACCATGTCTTATATGTTATCACATTTACATAATGGATGGCAGGTTGATCAAGCCATTTTATCTGAAGAAGATCGAGTAGTTGTAAGTATTCCAATAAGTATTATAAGATTACTTGTAAATAATTGCTTTATAACTTGAAAGAAAATGTCTTCCACTATTGATCTATTGAATTTATATATATTTATTTCTTAGTTACAGTATAAACAATAACTGAAATGTTCTTGATTTCTAGGTAATACGTTTTGGTCATGACTGGGATCCAATGTGTATGAAAATGGATGAGGTATTGTACAATATTGCAGAGAAAGTGAAAAATTTTGCAGTAATATATTTAGTAGATATTTCGGAAGTTCCTGACTTCAATAAAATGTATGAATTGTACGATCCGTGTACTGTTATGTTTTTCTTCCGGAATAAGCATATTATGATCGATCTTGGAACAGGAAATAACAATAAAATAAACTGGACTCTAGAAGATAAACAAGAAATGATTGATATTATTGAGACAGTTTATCGAGGTGCCCGTAAAGGAAGAGGTTTAGTAGTTTCTCCAAAAGATTATTCAACAAAATACCGTTATTAATTTATTTTATGTAATTTATTAATAGCAAATTAATTATTAATTCAATTTTATATTCATTATCAAAAATTAATTTCATTTTACACTTATAATAAATAATATTATTCTAATAGGTATTTAAATAAACAACTTTTTTTATAAAAATCATTCTTTATATTTATAAAATCATGATACTAAACAATATTTATTAATACTATACTTTTATTGTTTAATTAAAACGACGTATCCAATAATTCTGAAATAAAATATATAGATTATAAAGAAATAAGTATACAAAAATAAAAATATATATATATATATATATATAAATAAAACTTACTTTGAGAAACGATTGGTTCATTAACTTCCGCAGTTGGTTTAAAAAAATGATGAAGTATGGAAAAATTATTAGTTCTACTATCGCTATTCAAGTTTTTTGATAATGTTGTCGATAATAACGTTTGTTTTTCTTCTAAATATAAATTACTTTTATTTATTGGATAACTTATTGTGTTGTACCTGACTGAAATAGAAAACAGAATTTTGAAAATAAAAAATACAAAATAATTATAAAATACAAAAAAAGACCAATCACACATAAGGTGCCAGAAATAAATGAAATAATGAACGAATAATAATAAAAAGTGAAATTAAAAATAGTTGTCATTTACCAATTGGAGTTTCATTAGAATTAATACAAATAGCAGATGTTGATTTTGAAAACGGGTGTCCTCTAGTTAAAAATGAATGATTTTTTGATTGAGTGTTTTCCGTTGCTGTTATTGTTGATGATGATTTTAAAATAGGAGATGATAATGATGGTGAAGATGATGATAAAGTCATTGATGTAGATGATTTCAATATCTCTTCTGCTGACTGAATAGATGATGATATGCTATTTTTTTTAACTAGAACAAAACATAATGTACAATGATATATTTAAATTAGAACAAAGACAAAATCAAATTACTAGCAAAAGAAACTCAGATGTTCAAAATATCAAAAAAGCCGTAAGAAAAAGAATATTAAATAACGTAAAGACAAATACAAATGAAAAAACAACAATGGCAAACATCACAAAATGATACAATTACACTTCACAAAAACACAATAACTTATAAATTATTTTATCACAATGATTACTTAATCATTTTCAATCTTGTAATCATACCTTGTAAGTTTATTTTTATTTCATTATTTATGTCGTTTCGTGACTCTCATTCTGCAGTAGACAAAGAATTTTTAACGTGTTAAGTTATCTATAGAGTATGGTATTTATTTAGTTATATTTACGAAATAATAATTATGATTTTGAATATAACATTAGAAAAGTAATGGAAAGCTAATATTTTTAATTGATTATAATCAATAGAAAATTACTTCTAATAAATATAACAATTAATATAAATTATAAGAAAAGAATAAATTTGATAATCAAATTTTACTTACGAGTTTCAAGGCTGCTTACAAGATTTGTCATCGAGTTGTCATTTTTCTTATTATTAAAATTATTATCTGTTATAGGATCCACTGATGGTGGTTTATCTAGAATAAAAAGTAATTTAAGAAATATTATTGCTCAATAATTTATCCAAATAATCACAAAAAACGAAAAAACTTACAACTTTTTGAAAAATAAGGATTTTTCAATACTTGTCTTATGCAATTATAAATATAAGCGTATTGGGTCTGGAAAAAATTTGATTTCAACATTAATTTTTTTCAACTAATTCTAATAATGAATACCTCGAATACTTACTTCTCTTTGTACCATATTTATTCTATGATGTCTTAATCTATAAACTGTGCCGAAGACATCTAATTTTCTATTTTCTTTGATGTGTTGCAATAAAATATCTATCGCAATAAGGGTTCCTGTTCTACCAATCCCTGCACTAAAATGTTAAAATTTTTGTTTAGTATCAAGTAGTTAACAATTTACAATTAACAATTATTTGAATAAATTTAAATCTCTATTAACCTGCAGTGAATGACAATAAGACCACGATTAATAGCAGCATTACGTCTTACAGTTTGACAGAAATTTATCATCGGATCATAATCCTCAGGAACATCATGATCCGGCCAATCTTTGAAATGTAGATGAATAATATTTCTTTTTTCGTCGTTCTATAAGTAATGATAAACAATAATTAATTAATCAATCATTGATAATTTTATGAAATAAAAGAAAATGATAAAATACAATTTACTTTTTGTAAAATCAATGTTCTTTGAGTAAAAGTTCGATAATCAAGTTCGGAAGAACATCGAATTGAAAAATTTTCATATGTAAAAGTTTCACGTATTGTAGGAAAATACTGATGACATTTTTCTTTATTTTTCTCGACCAATTGAGTCAACATAACGATTATTTTGACATCATATTGATCAATCATTCTCCAAAAATCATAAGTTGTTTCCTCTTTTGGTCCTTGACATGCTATGTATTCTTCCATACCACTAAAACCCTGTGAAATCAAAGCATTGAAGATATTCACAGAAAATCTTATTTTAAAGATGTGATTAGATATACGAACCTTAATGAATGACGCGTTTATGTAATCAGTATTTGGATCGTTATCAATGATATTTAACTTAACTCTTGAAAAATCATCTGGAAATAAAAATAATTAATATTTTGTTTTCAAAGTTTTCAGATCAAGATAGTATGTAATGAATTTTTTTCACTGAAAAATGAAAACAAGATAAAAGAATGATTACATGGTAAAACATCCGTATAACGATTCTTTTTTCGATTTGCCTGTAAACACGCAGTGTTGGCTGGCATTTGTAAATCAACACTCAATGTTTGTAATAACTGAAACTCATTGCTCAATTTTCCTGGATTATCAGCTAATTGTTGACAGTGGGCTATAAATTTTCGTCTATTAAATGGAGTTGGAACTGGTGATCCAGGCATGTCTGAGTGTAAAAATCGTCTTAATACTCTAAAAAATATTTAAAAAACCACAAGATAATTATATCATTATTAACCAACTGTGCTTTAAAATAACTGAAATTTACAATAATCATTTTATTTACTTACATCTGTAATGAACATTTTCGTATCAAAAGCATCATAGTAATCAAAATTCCCAATGAAAGTACACCTAAAATTGATCCAATGACGGTTGATACTTGTATTTCTGCATCTAAAATATTAAAAAATTTTAATTTTTATAATAATTCATGTTAATTTAAAACGTTAGAATTTTTTTATTCAAAAATTAACATCTTTGTAATATGAATGTTTATAATCTTACTTGTCTTAACAACAAATATTTTAGAATCTCGATATCCACCAGTAGTAAAAGCTCTCATTCTCACATCATACCACTCATCAGGATTTAATGGCCCATTACAGTAAGATCTTTCATATTTTTTCATTGATAATTCTTCACATGTCTCCATATCATCGCCAATCACAAATTTAAGTGCTTTCAATCTTCCATAATCCACAACGTACGCTAAAATTTTATTAATAGTGTTATAATTTAATTGCATTCAAATAGTTTGTCAAAAAAACTTACAAATATGTGTATTAGCACAGAATTTGATGGCTTGATATGGTATCGTAAAATCTTTTTGTTTGGATTCAAACCAGGATGCAGTGTTGTCTAAATACGTTTCAGGATCAGTATTAATCCTTGAAAAACTTTCATTATTATATCCAGCTTTGGCAACAATAATAGCATAACATTTAATATCTCCATTGGTATTAGGAAATAGTGGAAGTAGAATAGTTGCAGTAGATGTTGTTCTACGTGCTTTGAATGGATCAATGGTAATTTGATTAGTGTAATTATCTGGTGGTAATGGTGGAACTAAAAATAATGTTATAATTTAATGAAGTGGTTGCTTTAGTTTAGAGTCAATTTATTTAAATACTTACTGCCTGCTGGAAATGAGCCTTGTATTTCTACAATTTCACCCAATTCCTTGTAATCTTTAACTTTTCCAGATACGTTAAATAGATATGAATATTCGTCTTTCAATGATAATTTTTTTCTACAAGTATCATTGAAACAAGGTGTACTAAAAGTTTCATTGATGTAATGGTTTTCAAAATTTTTTCTCTGACCAACTCCTGTTATATTGAACAACTCAATTTCAGGTCCATTAATATAACAAGGAAGTCCCCAAATTAAGTAAGCATCAAGAATGTTAGGATCAAAAGAATTCATGGATAGATTGAAAGTTAAATCGGATACTGGTCCGGAAGCTGTAATTGAAGCCAGTAGATATTTATATACAATTCTCCAATTAAATACACTGTAAGGTAAAAACACCAAAAGTTTGACACCTATTTTTTTCACTTACCTCCTGGTGCCGTTTCAAAAATTACTTTATTGTCACTATAATTTCCCCATCCAGCCTCTGTCTTGGCTCTAATATTAGCCTCGTAAACAGAATAAGGACTTGCATAATTATAAACCAATGATGATGAATCTCCTGATATACCAGTAATATTTTTTCTGAAATGAGTAATGTTTCCACACCAAACTGGAATATGAAATTTATAGTACCAAGTCAAATTGACTTCAAACATTTTTATATGTCCTGGTAAATATTCTGGTTGCTCCCAAGAAAGAACAAATTGATTGTCAGTAAAATTGTGACATGATAATTTTGGTGAAGATGGTGCTAAAATATATTAAACAATATTACTAAATATAATCTCAGAATGTTATTAATGAAATAAAGTATTGATGTTCTAAGTTACCGTCTTCTAAAGTTTGTACAGGAATAGGTTGACTTTGGCTACTATTTCCTTGCGAATTAGAAGCAATACTATAACAATTATATTCTGTATAAGGTGAAAGACTCTCAACTGTAATCGTTGTAATTTCATTGAAAATAATTGTTGAAGAATTTGCGTTCAATCCAGAATAGCCGTGACCTAAAGTTTTTGTAGAAACACATTCAGTTGTTATTTGAATATCCTCGCAATTATTGAATTCATTTAATGGTAACTTCCATGTAATGTTTATAGAACGATTAGTGGGTATCGCTAACTTGAAATAAGGACTATCAGGAACTGCAAAAGATATCATTTATTAAAAACGAATGTATGAGTTTAATAATTAAACAGTAATTCATCAACGTTGATTTAATAAAATAATAAGAAAAATTTTGGAATACTACTTACCAGGTGCCAACGTTCTATTGGAAGTGATTTTTGCAGGTTCATTGTTATTACCATTTTTGTCTACAGGAATAATAGTAACTTCATATGTACTGCAAGTCTTTAATCCAAAAAAAGTGATTGAAGTTTCTGTGGTATTTTGTATTAAAAAATCTTTTGGCGAGGTTTGTCGATAGATTAATATTCGATATTCAAACACACAAGTTGCACCAACTGGAGCTGTCCACATAACTGTTAATGAATCCTTTCCAGTTTCTGTTGATACAGAAGAAGGTGCTCCAGGTTCTAAACAAATTTAATAAATAAATTGAACAAAAACATTTTTTAATGATTATAATATATCTAAAATAAGACTGTAATATTTACTCATAAATTCTGTTGATCCGTTGACATAAGCATTTCCAAATTCACCATTCTTACGAATTATAGTAAGAGTAAAATTATAATTTGTGCATGGGATTGCATTAGTTACATTATATGCCGTTGTAGTAGTTTGAACAGTTTGGCAACCATTAAAATTACAGTAAGTTAAATTATTTTTGCTAATACAATCATTGTTTGGTAAAGCCCAGGAAACTTTTATCCAATCAGGACCACTTGTTAACTTCAAAGAATCCTTATCAACTAAATAAAATAATAAATATTTAGTAAACTATTTATACCAATGATTATTTCATGGTCAATTATTCAATATTTTTTGATCAAATTACCTATTAAAGCTGTACTATCTATTACAAGTTTATGATGTCCACGAGTGGTATTAGTAGCTGGAAACACTCGAACTTCATATGTTGTGCAAGCAAATAAATGAGTTATTGTATAGTTAAATGTTTCATTATCGGTGCGGCAAGCTGCCACAAGCTTGTTTTCTTTGGCGTTGTACCATTCAATAATATACCACTGAACTTCATATCCTTCTTTAGGTTCCCAAGCCACTACTAGCGATGATTCATTAGAAGATTTTATCACAACATCACCGACCGTGAAATTTGTATCTGAAAATTATCACCCTTTAATGAATAATTCAATATTTTGATAAGTAACAGAATTAAAAGAAATAATCTATAAATCATACCAGGGCTTGTATTCATTGATGTCAAGGTAGACTTTACACCCAGTTTGTTTTCATAACTAGATATCTCTTCTTTTATGTCTTCATACTGCATTTCTTCACATAATGTATAATTAGTCACTACCGATTCTTCTACAGGTTTATCAGTTGAAGTAGGAGTTGACGAATCATCAGTAGTATAAGGATTATCTGTAGTTTCAGTACTATCTTGTTTCGTTGTTGTATCAATAATATCTGTTGTTTTTGACAGAATTTCTTTTGGTTTAGTTTTAACTATCATCAGGTCTGCACCATTTTTATATGAATTTTCATTAAAAAATTCATCCGGAACTATATCATCATCCAATTCATTGAAAGATTTTGTGTTCGCCGTAATTTGATAAATAATACTATTTATAATAAAATAATTTAAGATGATGTATTTCTTAGTAATCAACATTTTTGTCATTTACTGGTAAATTCTATAAAACAAATATTTAGTTATTAGTATCATTTTTTATTAATAGGTCTACTTTTTTATTTATTTCTTGTAGAGTAAATTAATATTTGTTTATAAAATATGTATATTATAATCTGAATATTGATTATTAATAATAATCATCAGTAATCAATGACCTTATAGCGTTCATTTTCCGGAAATGTAATATTTAATAACTATGTAAATAGATTGCAGTTTAATATTTTTTTTATTTATAACGGTACAAATAATTGTGAATTTCAATGTAGGATTATATTTCACAATTATATGAGATTTTTTGAATTATAAAAAAAGAGAATAATTTACTTACATTCATAAAACAATTAAATATATACTGTTGAAGAGATCCATGTTTTCACAAATTTTTACAACACTTAATACACAACTTCTAGAGACTAGAAAATTCTTTGAAAAAACTTAATTAATTAATAATTTTTAAATTTACAATTTTATAGAAAATAAATATTTGTACAAATTGCTGTTAAGTTTTTCTTAGAAGAGAATTGAAAACAATGCGATGTAATGGAAAGTCTGAGAAGCCAGACGACTGACAATTCCAACTTGTTCAACACTTGATCTAGACTGTCACTCTTCTTCTAACTGCGATATCACTGATAAGGTAAAAATGTATTCACCACTTTATCATTTAGCTCAAATTTGTTTGCTATCTTTCATACACTTTTAACACTTTAAACGGCCCTCTTACCAATAATACAATAATAATAAAATACATTTTTTAGCAACTTTTATGTATTTAATTATATAAAATAGTAAATTCATAAAAATATTAATTTTAAACTGAATATAAAATTCTAATGAAATCAATTAGTTATAAAGCAATTGAAAATAATTTTTATGCAATTGGTAGAAACGGAGTGCAAAATATTTTACTAGAATATTTGACAAGCAAAAGTTTTGAAGGAAATTAAAACTCGAAGACTAAAGTAGATTTGAAAGGCCTAGTATAGGTAGTCTAAAAAGAAGCTGCAGATGTAGAAAGAAAATAAGATGAGAGAGGGAAAATAAGTGCAGGCCTACCCCCACAGAGATAATTTATTTTCAAAGCCTTATATTCTTCCCTCGACTCATTTTACATCTTCAGGTACTTCTGACGCTGGTGATCCTTCAAACCTGTTTGTACCTAAGATCCTTCACACACACACAAATGTGTATATGTATACGTAAACTGCATACAATGCATTAAGAAAACCCAAAGAGACCTAAAGGACTTTACTTCCAAGATGTTTTTTACCATCATCACGGTAGATGAATAAGCACTTCAGTTAACTATATTGAAAAATTTCCGACGGCTGTGATAAATGCTCGAAATTTTGAATAATCTATTAGCATGAAAAATAACAATCGACTGCTAATGAACAATCGAATATAAATAAGTGCAAAAATCATTTTCTATGCTTACGTATTCTTCAAAATTTTTTTCATCTTTCTCACAATTAACATCCCATTTACTCGACATCTGGTGTCAACATGGGTTTAAAATTGGCGTCAAAATTGTAATTTTTTATTTTTATTATTTCAGTACTTCTATTTTTGTTTTGTAATATTTTTCTTACGTTAAATGATAAAATTAAATTCTCTAATAATATATTAAACGTATTAAAATATTGATACTTTCAATAATTAAAAAAAGATTATAGAAAGAATGAGTAAATTAAATTGTAAAGAAATAGAACATTTTTATATATTTTTCTTTGCTTTATTTTTTTTTCCATGTGACAATGGCATTAATCATATGGTAGACAACATTTAAAACTAATAAAGCCTTTGTGGAGGTCCCATTGATGACTTGATGTGCAATGACCGCACATTTTGCCAGTGTTTTTTCAACAATGATACAAGGAAATTTATTGAAAGATGAACATTTTGTACAAGTTCATCAGGTGACATTTCAACATGACCAACTGCTACAGACAAGCAGAGTACCTGTAAAAATAATTAATTATAAATAAACAGGTATTTTTTGCATGTATTTGTTTGAAATTTAAAAAAATCATTCATTACTTTTTTCATTTGAAATTTAATAGTTGCTTTAACTTCATCAATCTTTGCCATCATCGATTCCTGGTGTGATAATAGACCAGGGAATTTACCCGCTTTATTCAATCCTGGACCAAGTAAACGGGGAATTTGTTTGATTAACGATTCACTGGCCAAGAATGCATCATATTTTTTTGCTACAAAAAATACAAGTCATATTTATTATGAATGCTTTAAAATTATTTCAAGTAAATAATTAAGTAATCAATTAATTGAATGTCTCGACGCTGATTGAGGTACAATGTTATTTAATACACAAAGTCCACACCCAGTGAAGAATTAATCTTCTTCCGTTGACGACCTTAATTATTGGAAATGACATAATTCAGGTGCTTTTTGGAAGATATCATAGAGTACAATTCTTTTCAAAATTTTAACTTACCAAGTTTTTTAACAAGCTTTTTATTTTTGTTAAGTTTTTTCAAAGCTTCAGCATCCATGTATGGAATATTATTTGCCTTAGCTTCATCGCAATGCTGTTGATCCCCTAATACACATACTTGCATCTTGGGTCGTGGAATGTTCTTCAATCTTTAATTAAAATTTTGTCAACTTTTTAACTTCTTTTTATCAATACTTTAAAACGTAGTTATTGAACTTGAGTGATAATCAGTTAATTCAATAACATCAATGTATTCAGATAATACATGCAAATTTTTTTACATCATTGATCATTTTTATTAAACATAATTCATTGACTGTTATTGAATATTCCTGTGGTATTAACTTACCACTACAACCATACTTGTGAAATTGTTAATATTGAGTTATTATAAAGGACGGTGATATTATTAAAATTAATAATAAAACCTCCCCAATTGTTTTAAGACCTTGGGTGAGGGTCCGCTGAGATGAATCTCAGCTTCCTGACAATGAATTGAGAAGATTTTTTCGTTCAAATGAATTTGAAAAAAAAAAATATTAATTTGAAAACGGTTTTTTCTAATGACTGATACAGTCATTGTTCATTGTTCACGAAAAATAATTTTAGAAATTATAATTTTAAAGCCGAAAAAAAACTCTCAAAGTCAGGTAAAAACATACTTGACGGTGCCAGAGAAACGTTTGTCTTTTTGTGGATCATAATTCTTCAATCCGATTTGTAATTCAACGGTCTCCAAGAATTTACGTTTCTTCTCCTGTGAGTGTTGGAGCACACCATTTACGCACTCATAAAGCGTATCACGTGATACTTTTGACCTGAAATAATAATTTTGAGCATTAAATATTTATTACCTTCAAACTTTAAATCCATAAAATAATTTTAATTTACTTGTATACAAATAATTAATTATAAAAGCAATAAAAAAGGCGAATCACATAAACATGTGTCTAATTGAAATCGTGATTTTTACGTTTCTTCATAAATTACGAAGAACTCAAAAAAAATGAAAAATAATATTTTGTTCACATAATTAAATATCTCAATAATCTAATAAATGCATGATTAATAAAATTAATTCGACGATTAATTTTATAAAAACGGATACTCACGTCATTGTGACACGATATCAAGAGCTATCGGACACGATACAACCAACTTGATAGCTCACAGTGGAAAGAACTCACGCATTCACTATTGTCCATGTGCTCTATACTATACGAAAAAGAATTATATTATAGCGACATCTTTCCCATACATTCAAATTAATAATGTCGGCATAAAATCATTCGTTGTTTTATTTGATAATTATGATAAAAAATATTTAATGAATTGCTTGCAAAATGATAATAATAATGTCATTATTGACTATGGTTATTTCTGCTTAACCTAATTGACGTAAATTCAAAATAATTCAATAAACAGTCATGATAAGTATATATAAATCTGGTGATGAAAGTGATGATGACTTAATTCATCATTTACATTTTAAAGCTTTTTTAATTAGTGACATAAAAGAGTTTTGAAAAATACTACTTCCATCATTACGAGAGGTGATATATGGTAGGGGAAGTTTTCGAGCGAAAGTTCGGAACAGTAGGCTCGTAGATAGTTGAATTATAGGCAGATCCGACTATATGATCCAAGAAAATTAAATTATTTTGCAGAAATATCAGTTTAACAGTTCAAAATATCAATTAATAATGAGATTAAATTAACCAATCTCTGGTAAATTAACATTGGTGTATCACTGAATTTATAATAAATGTTTCTTTTTCACGTGAAAAAAAAACTTATTTGTTGTTATTTTTCATCGTTTCAATAAACATCTTTATAGTTATTAAACTTGGGTGTTTACCATGACGTCAGATCCGGGGAAAATAAAAAATAATTGTAAGAACGGGAATAATTTATCAATTGAAGATGATTCTATTGTATCACAATCTGTCACCACACGAACAGCCGTTCCAAGAATATATAAAATAGTGGTATTGGGAGATGGAGGTGTTGGCAAATCAGGTAAATTAGATGTTCAATATAACATCAAATTCGGCTTTTCAATTTAAGTAAAAATCTCTGTTCAATAATGAATTTAAATAATTCTTTCAGCTGTCACTCTTCAATTTGTTAGTCACAGCTTTCTGGATTATCATGATCCAACAATCGGTGAGATAACAGTTCATTTAATTATTAATTAAATATATTTATTCATTGAACACATCAATTGGACGAAATACTGATAATAAAAATATTACACATTTGACTTTTATAAAATTACAGAAGATTCATATCGTCAACAAGCTGTTATCGATGGTGAAGCAGCACTTTTGGATATATTGGACACAGCAGGCCAGGTTCGTTAATTAATTTATATAATCCTTGAAATAATAATAACAGTAGATATAAAAAATTATGCTACAGATTGAATTTACGGCAATGCGCGATCAATATATGAGATGTGGTGAAGGTTTTATGATATGCTATTCGGTAACTGATAGGCACAGCTTCCAAGAAGTACTCGAATATCGTAAATTAATATCTCGAGTACGTGTTAATGAGGATATTCCTCTTGTATTAGTAGGAAATAAATTTGATTTGCAATCACAACGAAAGGTATGTTTAATCATTTTTAACTTTTACCAGTATATGAATATTTATGTATCATTTTTTATTTTATTTTCACTAGAGTTTATTCCTTTTTCGGTTGTTGATTTTTTAATATGTAAAGATGATAATAATAATTGATAACAGAGTTCCATAATATTAACTATGCTATAAAGTAGGCGCACAAATATGAAACTTTCTTTTTATTGTTTCAGGTAACGACAGAAGAAGGAAAAGCATTAGCTAATCAACTAGGATGTCCTTTTTATGAAACATCTGCTGCTCTTCGGCAATTTATTGATGATGCATTTTACTCACTTGTTCGACAAATTCGTTCCAAAGAGCGATCAAATCGAAATGGCAGTCGGCGTCGCGGAAATACTCCACGAAAACATAGTCGTTGGCGTAGAATACGGTCAATATTTGCTTTTATTTTCCGTAGAAAGCATAATAGAAACGCAAAATCCAATTATTCTCCATAAATCATAATTTTACAGCTATTGTATGACGCCGTGGCTAAAATAATTATTAAGTGCCATTTATATCGTAGATTTTAAACCGTACTTAGCAGCAAAAATTACAGAGAATTTCAACAAGGTAAGATGGTGCAATTCTAGTCATTGTTTAAATTATTCTATTGAGTATTTTATCAAAGCTCCATAAACTTACTAATAGTTATTTTTACCTTTTGAATATTATTTTTTTATATGTAACATATTTCCTTGTGATACCATATCATCTTACAGTTAGGTATTCTATTCAAAAAAGTATGAATATGATGAATTTTTATCATAAAGATGAGAATTATTATTATATACGAAAAAGTTGATACATGTAAAATAAGCTTGTTTTTTTATCACAGGTATCAATATACCAAAATTTTAACCGCAGTATTATAGTGTAACTTTACTAAACAAAAAAAAATATTTATATAAATAAATGAATTTTTATTAGTCATAAATATGTTTTAATATATAATTTTAGAAAAAAAGATATTAGAAATAGCTTATGACATATTGAGACAATATACAATGAAAACATAACATTATGTTGGATACTATTTATGGTGAAGGATAATAATTTTATAGATATTTGTTTTATACTGTTTACAAAATAAATATCGAATGTATCGTATTATAAAATCTTTATTAAATATTTAATTAATACTAAAAGTTATTTTTTAATTTTATTCAAATGTAGAAAATATAAAATTTCAAAAATTCATAACATAGCTGGTCTCACCACAGGTACGTAGATTAATTATATCGTGAATCTCACACATCTTGATTAGTCACATTCTGTATTGATTGGATGGAATCTTTATTGAGCTGAACATGCATGAATGCAAGCTCATCTTCTAATTTCTTGATTCGTTCTTCGAAGCTTGAACGCAATTGATTACATTTATCTCGTTCATCAATACTAATAAAAATTTATTTTACAACAATTATTAAAGAAATACTTTATTGTTGATAGATATTTGTCATTTGGTGTTAAATTAGACTTACCCAATATTTAATTGTTCTTGAAGTCTATTAATTTGTCCAAGTAGTTCAACATTTTGTGTTGATAAATTCCACCAGTTACAAATCAACATTAAAAAACACACAACAAATAGAATAATTATCAATAAAGATGTGTAATATCTTCCTGTGGATCCTTTTACTGCAGTATTCGGCAGTCTCATTATTAAAATATTGATGTTATTTCTTGTTATCTGAATATACAAGCTTAACTTTTCTCATTAGTTAGGGAAGATTTTTTATTTTATTATTTCAATGTCACGAAAAATTGATTTTTTTAATTTGAATTTTTTTTTTGTTTTAGGTTAAGTTGAATTTCTGTTTACAAGTCGTTAATGAAAAATTCTTTAAAATATGTACAAATACTGTTTGATATTATTATAAATTTTGTTTCTACAATATGTTTTTATATAAAAAGATCAAATTACTTCAAAATGAAATAAATAATTGTTTTATTTCTTTACATTTTCAAAAATGTAAATAATGAGTTGTTATTTGTAATTTTTGACTTTTTAAAAGAGGTCGTGAAATAAGTGTTCTTCCATTTGCGATTTTACCATCTGAAGGTACTAAAAAAGCATTTTTATCCTTTGGTAAGACAGTTTTGTGTGTGTCACACATCATATGGAAATAACAATAATTTCAATACATGATTGAATGAGAAAAAGGTGCCCCTCCATGTATCGTTGATCACACGCTAAACTATTTGTATAGAAACTTGTTGCACGTCGAAACCTTGGATCTTGAGAGTTATTGAGTATTTTTTATGAATAAAACCAAAATAAAACTATTATCAAGTGATAATGTTTGCCACATCGAACAATTATATTATTCCAAAATCAGATTTATATGATGAAAACGTCTTCGACGAACTTTCATCTCACGTGTAAGTTATCACAGCATCCCATTTTTGAAGCGTCTTGTATTGTTTCCTACCAAAATGTTGCATCACTATTATTTTAGAAAAATTACCAATTATTTTTATTATCTTAGCTTTGTTTGCTTTTTTTATTTTGTTTACAACTTTACTGTCGATGTTAAATATTTTCTTTAATTTTTATCCATATTATTTAATGTAATAATTCGTGATTTGTATATTTACAATGTTTCGTTTCTTTTAAATTAATTTATTTTACTGTTATTTTTTTTTAGTGATATAAACGATCTGCCTATTTTACAAGATGAAATTTTGTCTGATAAAAAATATCTAATTTCAAACATTCCTCAAGAATCCAATCATATTCAGATGAACCATGGAAATTATGAGCACGTGTCTTCAACTAACATTTCAATGACTGAAGAATTTCCTGGAGTATACAACTTGGAGATTCTTTTCGCCCAAGGAAAAGGAAAAAGTTTTGTGGTAATTATTATTCTATTTTCTAGAGGTAATAATTTTACCTTTATTAAATTGTTTATTAGCTCACTCCATATTTGTTATGTGAATTCTATTCAATGACTCAAAATTATTGTAGTACTCACAAGCTCTTCGAAAAGTCTTCATCGACATGGAACATCGCCTTCCATTGCGAGTTAAATGGAATCCCCCAGAAAATAATTTATGGTTGCGTGCGACACTAGTATACACTGAAGATCAGTATAGAAGGGACCCAGTTCAGCGATGTCATAATCACATGGCAACTACTAGCCCTTCTAATCTGAATGTTTCAATGGACATTGTGCAACAAGTTGTTCGTTGTCTACATCCATCTAGTATTTATGAAAAAATAAATGGCCATATGACTGTAGTAGTGCCTTTAGGTACTCCACCACCTGGATGTACTTATGTTCCTCTCGATTTTCAATTTTATTGTAAGAATTCATGTTCATCTGGCATGAATCGGCGAGCAACACAAATAATTTTTACATTAGAAACTCATGAAAAAGAGACTATTGGACGTCGAATTCTACAATTGCGAGTTTGCAGTTGCCCTAAAAGAGACAAAGAGAAAGAAGAATCAGAAATGAATTTATTTGCTCCAGTAGGGAAGAAACGAAAATTACCATCATTTGCAACAATTTCATCAAAAAATCCACGACTTCCGCCAGGAAAAAAATTGCTCAATTCCAATCGAAATTCTGGGGGAGGAATTGTTCTTTCATTTGAAGTTCCTAATAAAGAAATAGGAAAAGAAGCCTTATGGGATGTCTACAAAATATTGTCTGCTAAAGCGACAATGACGGGAGACTTTGCGTTGTATTCATCTTATTTAGATGATATAAAAAAAAAATTCAACGAGTTATAATTTCTTGCTCAATTCGTTTTTATTTTTTACAATACTGTATTAATTAATATTAAATAATTTTTATCATAATGATATTTTGCTCAATATGCAAAAACAATTTTTATAAAAATAAGCCTTTTTGAAGAAATAATGTAAACCTCAGTTTTTTCAAAAATATTCATAATTAAAAAATGATGTTAAATCATTGATGTTAAAAACTTAATTTTGTTACCAGTGCATTTATTTTTTTTAAAATGATACTTAGTATGTAATTTTTTATATCTTTACTATTTTTCATTGTATTTTAAATAAATAATTTGTTACACTTTTGAAATAATCATGATTAAAAAATATTAATTTGGTCTTTAGCATTAAAGTTTAAAGCTCTCAGTTTGTGAGTAAATAATTTGAATTGTTAGAAAAACAATATTTAATTCAGAAGAAAGTGATACTGAACAATTTGATTCTGGTTTAGAATCATCAATCTTTGATATCGATTTTTGAAATTTGATTTCTGTACCATTTGAACACCAGGCGTGCAGAATCCAATTTCCATTGTTTCCAGTTCCAACAATCCAAGCTAATTTGTCCTTGATCTTAGGAACAATATTTTTTATTAAGTAACGTTTTTTAATAAATATAATTAAAAAATTGAATTTAAAACTCACTTGGAAAAAAAACAGATCACTAAGATGGTGAAAAATATAAATACAATCATTTCCAAATGGCATAGGCATTGGAATTGTGGCTAATAGTTCATAAAAATGAGCTTGAATTACAGAATGATTTTTTCCTAAGTGTTCCATGTAATTATCGTGATTAAGAGGTACTGTACAGTGGCTAGAGCTTGCTAGAGGACATGTAAAATAATTATTAGCCATTGATTCTGTAGAGCCGCCCCATACTGGTGTTGGTGGAACACTTAAATATCCTGATGAATGTGTATAAACTTTTCCACTATTTGAATTGCCAAACAATGATGATGAAATGTCTTTATTTTTTTTATCGTGAGATAGTTCTCCCGTGCTTGCAGATTTTGTTCTGTCACCAAGAAAGAGTTCACCTAATCTTCGATATGAAGCTGATGGTTCTTGGCTTGAGAAATCATTCATTTCTGGTGAAGGAGTTGTTAAATTGTCTACAGATGCTGCTTTATCAAATCCACCTCAAGAAAAAAATTATAATACATTTTATAAAATGATTGACATGTTAATTACTATATTAATATAATTACCAAAAAATAACCGAGCAAAAGAAGATTTAGATTTTGTATTTATATTGGTTTGATGTAAATTCTGTTGATTATTTTCCAATTTTTTTCTAGGCTTTCCAAATAATTTCTCTCTTAATGAAGCATTCTGTGAATGCTCCATATTGTTGAGAGAATCTTCAAAAGCATCACGAATATTTCTTTGAATTTCATCAGCAAGTAAGCATCTTCCTTGTCCTAATCTGACTCTACAGACAGGACATTTTGGAGTTTTTATCCGACAACCCACACACAAAATATGACCATGAACACACTGAGCTACCGGAGATGATGCTGTTTCTAAACAAACCGGACATTCAAGAGCTCGAATTGTCCCTGATAATGCTGTAGCTAATTTGCCAGCCAAAGTTGGAAGAGGCCCTGATACGGCTGCACCGTTTTCATTTTCTGATTCAGTTGTAGAAGCTATTTTATTTCGCCATACCTGTAGATTTACAGTTCCTCTGCTTTTTTTTATTAATGAACTAATTTCTTTTACACGTAAGCCTACAATGTCGAAGCCATCAATTTCTAAAAGACAATCTCCAGCTCTAAAAAATATTTTTTTTCGTTTAAAATTTTTCCAGTAAATAATTCAATGGGTTGATTGAATCAATTAGTTACCGAAGTCCTGAAATATCAGCAATACTTCCTGTTTCAACGAAACTAATCCAAGGATAAGGGTCCCATTTAGATCTTGTTAGATGAAATCCACAAGACTTATTTTCAATGTTTTCATCGTTCCAAATTTTAATAAAAACAGTAATTTTATTAGATAAAAATAAAGGCTCATTCTCCCTTTGATTATCTATTTTATCACAATTTTCCATTTTAAATTTTGTTGATCAATTAAATATTTTAGTATTTATGCCTCTCTTTGGCATATGTGCTCACGTTGCTTAACTGCTCTGTACGAAAATATATGAATTACTGAAGGAGAAATCAGTTAAGAGTCGTGATGAGAGTGAGAGTTAAAGATTAATAAAATCCTGTAAGCTGTTTACCTTCACCTGAATCCTTCATAGAGCCTTAACATTGATTCTCTATCTTTTGTTAACCTTCACTGTTCATTTCATCACTCAAGGAAGTCTTTACTTTTAATAAATAACAAGTAAACAATAAATTATTTTGAAACTATTTAACGAAATTACTTTATTATACTATAATTTATTTTTACACTAGATACTCGTTAATAAAATTTGTTGAAATTTAAAAAAATCTAATAATTTTCTAAATGTTATTAGGAATGTCATTAAAATTGAAAACAATTACTAAATACAAAAGAATTCATCATAAAATAGATGGATCAATTAATCCATTAATTACTGATAGAGGATATTTAAACACTGATTCAGTGTATGATATGTTTCTTGAGCAGTAGCTTTAAGTATCAAAAGATCTGGGTCCAGATAAAGAGGAGAATTTTCAATTGTTTGGCAAAGTGTTTGATTCTGTTTTTCAACTCTATTCAATTGTTCTCGACAATTAGCAAATGCATCAAGAACTTCTAATTTAGCAACAGGACTTCTAGTGGCATTTGCTGAATGCTCTCGTGGTGGTAGAGGTGGATGACTACTTGCAATTGCTCGTGTATACATTTCAGTGACTGCTCGCAATTTGTCCACCCACTCTTGACGAGCTCGAGCATCAGTTGCTCTTAATTTTATCATATCACCTAGAAAGAAATGAATTTTTATTGTGATTTTATCATTATTCAATATAATCAACCATTTGTAACTCACCTGTAGCTGAATTGACAGTAAATGTATTTGAATCTTCATCACTTGGAGCTATGACAGCTCCAGCCAGATAAATTGAACATCTAGGACGTTGATTCTTCTCTGATTCACTCAAAAAATAATGGAGTTCACCTGTTTCAGGACTTAATATAAACCATCTGTATTGCCATCCTTTCATTGCATTTGTATATTTATGAAGAAGTCCTTCAAATCGATGTCGAATTTGTGAATTCATAATGTTATTATTTTTTTAATGACAATTTGTACTAAACTTAATGCGAACGTTTTTAAAACTTATCATTTTCTAACTAAAACAACACATGATGTGAAATATTTATAAATTTTACTGTACGTGCGTCCATCAATCACATATATCTACTTTATCGACATGCATAGATTAGTAATGTTGGAGAGGGAAATCTTAGCAGCCATTAAAGCCGGGTAATTGTGATTTATTCAAATATTAGCGCTTCTTCCTTGATAAAGTCGTAATTTCAAATTAAATTTATTGAATTTAAAAAAAAAACTCAAAATAAATACAAAAATGAATGTTGTCAAAAATAAATCTTCGAAGCTATTATTATAATTTCATAGTTCATTTTTATAGAAAATTTTGAATGTCAACTTATAGAAATATTAATACTCAAACTTACTCGTTTGAAAATAAAATAATAATTAGAAAATATGTAGTTAAAAAAATATAAAATAATTTTTCAAAATTATTCTGTTCTTAGGAATCAAGTAAGCCATCCTTGATTAACTTTTCTTTTATTTCTGGAAACTCTACGGTCCATTCAGTATCTTCATATTTCAAAATATGCAATGAATAAATTTCATTGGGAATTAAAAGAGAATCTAACTTTTCTAATAATTCTTTAGAATTCTTGGTTTTAACGAAATCTGAAATCAAATTAATTTAACATTTACGAACTTTTATTATTAAAGATATATTTATTAGAAAAAAAGTCGAAATCTTACCTAAAGTGTTGCAGATCAATCCTAAAGCACTTGGTTTCAAGAAATCATCTTTCATCATTCGTAAATCTTGATGTTTAACTTCTGCAATGTTTCCATAATCAAGGAAATAAATTTCTGCACTATCTGGAGTTAAACTTGGTTTGATACAACATCCTCTGTACCATTCGTTTTCATATTTTGCAATACACAGTTCGTTGTTTCTCGGAATATAAAATTCCGATTTATTGCAATATTCCGTTAATAATTCAGGAAGAACTTGTGAAATATGGGCAATAAGTTCAGTATCGATAGAAGCAAAAACGTATTTAAAACCTGGTTCAATAGGTGCTAAGAAATAAGCCTTAACAACTTCACCTACTTTACCGAGTTTTCCAACTTCCATATTTTCAAGTTTCAAATAATCTTCGTCGTTAGTTTCTTCTTTCTTTTGCCAGTTTGGTTCTAAAAATTCATTAATGGTATCATTTACAACTGTACCTTGTAAATTCTTCAATGTAACACCATTATCAATAGAATCAGAGAAATGTAAAATATAGGGAGTTTCTTGATCAGCAATACTCTCTAGATAAAAAATAGCTTTTTCACTGGGTGGAACATTCTTTATTCCCTTTAATGTTACTTTTTTCGCACAGTAAGGTTCTTTTTTCAGTTTAGCAGGTAACACTTTAAGTTTCTTAAGAGTCGTTACTTCATTATTGCCAAAATCAACATAGTTAACCTTAATCTTTGGATTTTCTGGTTTCTTTTCAATTTCAAGGACAATAGCTCGATAATAATTTTCATCTAAAAATTGAGCCATAACCATATCACCAACTTCTGGTATAGTAGTCAAATCCAGAGCGATTTGGCAAGCTTTTGCAGTATCTTGAATAACTCGATGATACCGTTCTACTTCGTTGTCTTCGAGAGATCTAATGCATAATATTGATGGACTGCGATATGACTGAATGCTTACTTTAGATCCATTTTTTATTGCAACAATTGGACTTGCTAATAGATTCCAACTTCTTATTTCAAATGTAATGGTTGGATTTTCGATTAATTCTCCACGTAAGAATGAGTCAGAACTCGATGTACAAGATTTATCTTCGAATACTTTGAAAATAACTGTATTCATGTTCGATAAGTCAACTTTAGATGTTAATATGATTGTGAAAGGATGAATTTTTGAATATTTTGGAGGAACGGGAATTACTGCATCAACGTCACATTTTAAACCTTCATCTATTGATGCTATTGTTATAGTTGGACTAGTCGAAAGAACACGACCACGTCTCCAGAAGCCATCATCTGATTTAAAACCGCAAACAAGATCGTTCACTTGAGGTCTGTAAACAAAATTTGATAATTGTACATTTAATTATTTAATTTACTAATTATTATTTATTATTTTATTTTTTTTTGAAACTGATTTTACTTACTTGAAATTAGTATATTGTGATTTTAGATTGTCACAATCATTTTTTAAAGGTTCCATCAATTGAGTATATTCATCTTGAACTTCGTCGTATAATATAGCTGCTATTACTGATTCTTTATTGATTCTTTCTGTAATTTCTCCTACAACTTGGTTCACTCCTTTTTTCAAAGTAGCTAAAATATTTGGAAAATCAGTTATGTTTTCGTTTTGTTTCATTGGAGATTTGAAACTTTCTTTAACTGGAGATTTAACACTTTGTTCAACCGGAGGTTTGACTGGAGATACTATTTTCTTTTGTAAACTTTCTATTGTTTTATTATTTTCTAGATCTATTTGTTCGACAGATTTAGAGAGGATTTCTGCTTGTGATAATTTCAAAGGTTTTGGCTTGGCTTCAATGTGAATCAATTTTTTAGGACGTTCTAATGGTGTAGGTATTGTTTCATGATTTTGTATTTTGTCAAGAATATCTACATTTATGATACCATCATTATCTACATCAATCATTCTCACTTCAATAGTATCTGTCTCTTTCAAATTTTTATATTTTTCTTGATATTGAGGACGAATTCGGATTATTCGAGAAAATCTTGGTATATTTGCAAGTTCTCCAATATCACGTAATTCTATAGGTCCTGTTACTTCTTCGATGGTTCCATAGTCAATATAATCAATTTGTAATGTTGAACTAAAATCTAAAAGAATTATACGATGCCAAATTCCATCATAGATAGCAGCATAAATTTTTCCAACTACTGGATTTTTTACTTTCTCAAACTTCTCACTCATTGTTGTTAATTTAGCCATCAAATCCATTAGTTTTTCTATATCAGAAGTTTTTTGAACACTCAATAATCCATACTTGTGGACAACTACGATTTGAACTGAAATAAAATCTACCGAAGACAAAAAACTATTTTCATTTCTTCTAAATTCAAAGTCTCTGTCATGAACTTGAGATACACTTTTCCTGGAAATTTCTAGTCTACTTGCTAAATCAATTTTTTTCTTTTTTTCAGATGTATCTGATTTTATACTTGAATCAGAACTACCGATAAGTTTTTGCTTGTCACTCAGTTTTGATGATGTATCATCGAAATCTTGAGAACTAACAGTAGAAATTTTTGTATTCACAACGTTTTTGTTTGACGTATTTGGATTTGAAGTTTGAATTAAAGATGGAATCATACATTGAGTTCTATGCTTTGGCCAATCTGCTGCCTGACATTCGGGACTACAATAACTTCCTCCACATGATTTACAACTATAAATTGCATTTTTCAAACAAGCTAAACATTGTCCAATTTGATCACTCAATTCATCATTACCATGAACATACGAATTAGGCATTCTTTTTTCGTAAACTCGGTTTAATTGCCTTTCTACTTCAGGGAACGGATCAGGAATATGGTAATGAACGTATCCACGTCCTAAAGCTACATGACGCTGTCCAGCAGGGTCAACTATTACTTTTCCTCGACTCCAGAGTGCATTTGTCTCTGGATACGGGATATTATCATAAAATTCAGACATTGAAGGATGTACGAAGCGTCCTTTTGGATAATTATAATAATAAGGACTCATTTCGGGTGGTGGAAGTTTAAAATTCTCAGGACGAGCTTCCAATGGTCTCAAAAATCTAGAATAATTGTAACGATGATCTTGTGATTCAATAATCTTTACAGGTTCGAAATCCTTTTCAGTTGTTGGTACTGATCTATTTTCATGTATTTTATTCTTACGAAACTCAACATAGAGATCAAGCGGTGGTTTGTGATCTAAATTGGCAATCGCAGCTTCTGCTTCGGCATAAGTATCATAAGATACGAATGCAAATTTCAAATCATTTGCTACTAATATTCCTGTGACTGTTCCAAATTTATTAAAGACATTTTTTATTCCATTCTATAAAATTAAAAAATTCCAATATTATTAGTTTGACGATTAAAAAATTTTATATGAGTATGAATATGAATGAACAAAATGATATTCACCTCATCTAATTCAGCTGGCAAATTTGTTACATATAAAGAATAAAATTCTTTTTCTCTGAAAGAAATTAATTTATTGTTTACATATTCAACTGAAATAAAGATTATTTATAGGAAAAAGCATCAAATTAATTTTGACTGAACAATAGTTTGTTGGAATATTATAATACCTCCCATTCCTATGAGATTCACCCATTTTGTTGTTTGAAACAAATCCACTCAGAGTTCTCAGAAAAATTCAACACCGGAATTATCTACGTAGTGTTTATTTCACGTTTGATATGAACGTATATACGTATTTAGTACGTACGTATAGAACTTGAAACTGTAATAAAAAAACTTCATCAGCTTATTCTCTTATTGGACTGCATCAGAAAAATATCGTAACATACTAAGAGAAGCAATATAAAGAAATATAAACAAACACATTTATAACTAACACATACATATTTTAAGGATTCTTTCATCACACTTGAGGTGAAAGATTGAATCACTACTATAATTACTGATAAAAATATTTATTGTAGATAAATTAAAAAAGTATGCGGTTTTTTTTACAAGAATAATAGTCATTTGCGAATTTTTGTTAAAACTATTAAGTAAAGAAGAATGATTTTAATTGAATTCATTTAATAAAGAAAAAACTTACCAATTCGAAAAAAATGCCAGTTAGCATTACGAACAAAGAACAATTCTATTCTTATTGCGTCTTATTTAATAAGAATTGCCTTACACTAGATAGAATGATTTTCCTACTTATTTATCCACAAAATAGAGTAAAAAAATCGTTGATTTGTTAATTTGCTCGTTAGAAATTCTTTATTTCACGTGGTGATAAAATATCTAAAGAATTCAGCAGCGCTTTTGAAGACAAATAAAATTCGTATATCGAGATCTGGAGGGAACGCTTCAAAAGAGAAACAAAGGCAGACGCCATCTTTGAACAAAAATGCAAGTGATCAATTCAATCAACTATCGACAAATAGTAAACACCATTGTCTTCAATCTAATTTTGTAAATAATTTATGTTTATGACGGAAAATTTAATAATATAAAATATGATACAAAAAAAAAAGGATCTAATTTTCAATTTTCATAGTGAAATATTTTTTATTTTTCTTCAATCTAAGAATAATAAGATAAATTTAAAAAATGTGTTAAATTATCATTGCCGACACTTGATTCAACATTTCCGGTAATAAACTTCAGCACATGCGCAGTAATGAATTCCAACCGTACGTCATTTTCCGTTTCCATTTTATTATTTCTTCGTTTGGCTGACCTCAAGTGCCCGCAGTCCTCCTAAAACACCTTCGCATTGTCTCTCGTTGTTATCACCTACAAAGGAGTTGTTGTTGTTGTTAGTACGTGGAAAAGAGTAAGTTCGAAATGAGTACAAATAAATCGATATTATTTAGTATTGAGTATAAATTTAAATGGATAAAAATATTGCAAATATTATTAAATAGGTTTTGAGGTTTCCTCCGCGGCCATCGTGGCCTTTCTTAACCTTAGACCTCAATTTGTCGATTCTTTTTAGTCATCTTGTATCAATAATCTACTTTAGTGTTATTTTAAATAATTTCTAACATTTGAAGCATCTTTTGATCAAGAAAAATTGGGTCTAAGATGATCAATAAGTTGTTTTATGGGGTCAAGTGTCAGTGCATTGTGCTTCCGCGTGCTTTCGCGCGTTTTAAAGCAAATAATCTCTTTTTTTTGTGTTTCAAGTAAAGTTTAATCATGGCTATATTTTATTATTTTAGAAGGTTGTTGTATGAGTCAAAAAATAGAAAAGCCAGTACTATCAGGTCAACGCATCAAGACCCGAAAAAGAGGTAAGACGTCGATTTTTCATTCTAATAATATTCAGTATCTTTTTTTTATTCAGCTATAAATAAATACTTAATTATTGTACATTCTCTTTAGATGAAAAAGAGAAGTACGATCCGACTGGATTTAGGGATGCAATACTCCTCGGTTTGGAAAAGGCTGGTAACGACTTAGAAGCTGTCTCTAAATATCTTGACACGGCAGGTTCGAAACTCGATTATCGTCGGTATGGAGAGGCTCTTTTTGACATCCTCATCGCGGGGGGACTACTTGTTCCGGGCGGTTCAATCGCTCAGGACGGTGACAAACTTTGTAAAACTAAAGCCTGTGTGTTCGAGCAACCAGAGGATATAGAATCATTGAAAAATTTTGAGCAGGTAAATTTTGAACCGTCATTATATCTTTCACAGTAATTTTCCATACTTATTTGATTTCAAAATTTTTTTAGGTCTTCATAAAGCTTATGCGCCGATACAAATACTTAGAAAAAATGTTTGAAGAAGAAATGAAAAAGGTTCTCGTGTTTATTAAAGGATTTACACCTAAAGAAAGGACTAAATTAGCTAGAATGACTGCTCTCTGGATTTCGAATGGATCAGTCCCTCCCACTGTTCTTTCTGTATTAATAAATGAACATCTTGTTAAAGATAATTTAGCTCTCGACTTTCTTCTTGAAGTATTTGTTACTTGGAAGAATGAGAAAGGCCTTCCTAGTCTTATGACGGCCCTTAAACGTGGAGGAATTGAAGGAAAACTAATGGAATTCGTCCCACCTAATAAAAGAACCGAAGAATACTTCCGTTCGGTTTTTGAATCCGTCGAATTGGCTGATATTGTTAAGCTTCATAAGGCTCAAGCAAGTCAAGAAGCCAAGCGTGATCTCCAACAGTTATTAATTGATAATCTTGCTGAAAACCGATCTATCAAAGATATTGTTCTTGATCTCAAGGAAATGGCCGTGAAATATAGCATTCCTGAGCATGAAGTTATTGGCTTGGTAATAATTTATACATTAAAAAAAATTCAATATCATAATTGTAGATATATTATAAACAATTCTTTGTTACAGATTTGGGTTGTTATAATGAATCAAGCTGAATGGAATAAAAAAGAAGAACTTGTGGCCGAACAAGCACTAAAACATTTAAAAGTGTATACACCATTGTTTGGCGCTTTTACAACCACTGCCAAATCTGAACTAGCGCTCATTCTCAAGGTCCAAGAGTTTTGTTATGAAAACATGAATTTCATGAAAGTCTTCCAGAAGATCGTACTGCTCTTCTATAAAAGTAAGTTATCTTCTTCAATTCAAATTCATGAGTGTGTATCACTTTTTTATTATCATGATTATTTATTTTTTTTTTCTTTTAAATAGAGGACGTAATTTCCGAAGAAGTAATTCTCAAATGGTACAAGGAAGGTCACTCGCTCAAGGGTAAAATGCTCTTTTTGGACCAAATGAAAAAATTTATTGAATGGTTGCAAAATGCTGAAGAAGAATCTGAATCAGGTGAAGAAGATGATTGAATATAATTTCATTTAATTAATCATAAAAAGGCTGTTTTACAACAACAGAAAATTAAAATAATAGTAAATAACGAACAAGAAAATAAAAAGAAATCAAGACGATAAACGAAATGGAAAATCATATTTAAGACATGTGGTTTCCTTTATTCCTCAAAATTTTTTTTTCATATACATTTAACGCGACATTACGACAAAAAACACATGAAAATCCGGTAAAAATGTATGGGTGATGGGTGATTAAGTATCTCGAAAATACGCCAATTATGAAATTAAATTATGCTGTGTACACTAAACAAATTGTAAATTTGCAATGATTATCAATTGTGTATTACTTTAAGAAAAACATATTTTGTTCTACATTTTTATAAACTCTGCTATTAAATACATATTGATCAAGCTAATACGAAGAAAAAAATGAGAAAAAAGGATAAATTTTAAAAAAATGAAAAAATGAGAAAAAAATAGATATATTTAATAACCTTTTTTCTCTTGTGTACGAATAACTTTCGGATGCCCCATCTTATTTTGTACGATAAAACATTGTATTCATTTATAGAAAAATATATCATATATACTGTGAAATTTTTTTGATGATTTTTTAACACTTATATAATTGAGAAAGAAAAAATAAAATTTCCATCCATTAATTTATTGCTTCTTTTTTTGTTTATAAATTCTCATATCTCCAACATTTTGCTTTTCTATTATACTCTTACCATTCATGAATGGTACAAGTTTATCTGGAACCATAATATTTCCATCAGCAGTTTGAAATGTCTCACAAATAGCAATTAACATCCTAGGAATAGCACAAGCAGTACCATTTAATGTATGTACATATTTTAGTTCTCCATCTTTATTTTTGTATCTAATTTTTAATCTGCGAGACTGATAATCAGTACAATTACTACAACTAGAAAGTTCACCGAAATCTTTTTTTCCAGGTAACCATCCTTCAATGTCTATTTTTCTGTAAAATAAATTAGTAAAATATGAATAATTGAACATTATTTATTGTACAATAATTATTTACCGATAAGCTGGTGCTCCTAATTCATGAGAAGGCATATCAATAGTTTGAAATTGGAGTCCTAAATTAGTAAAAAGATCTTCTTGTATATCTTTAAGTTCTTCTAAAAACTCTGACGAACTATTTTCATCAGTACAAGCAAACATCTCAACTTTCGTGAATTGATGAACTCTGAAATCATCAAAAAATATAATGTAACATTGATGCGAGAAGCTACTATGAGAATATTATTTAATTACCTATAAATTCCATGCTCATCAGCAGAGTTAGATATTTCAGCTCTAAAACATCGACTTACTGCTGCGAGTTTTAACGGTAGATCATGAACATTGATTTCACAGTTCATTAATTTCATAGCGAGAGCCATTTCTGCTGTTCCGGAAAGACTTAACTTGTCATAATGTTGACCTAAATTATAGACAAGGTGTCTTTCATTATCCATTACTAATCCACATCTTTCAATAATTTTTGTTGGCAAAATATCAGGAACTGAAACCAGCTTGAAGCCTTTTTTCATTAATCTTCTTACAGTATATTGAATTAGAGCTTCTTCCATTTGAGCTAAATCTCCTAATAAAATGTAACTTTTTGGTCCAGCGATAGGTCCTAACTGATCCATTTGTAATAGTTTTAATGACTTAGAAAGCTCAGAAAAAGTTTTTGGAGTAAATTCAAATTTTTTTAAATTTTCACATGCTCTTAAAATTTTCCCTGATTTATTATATTCTAAAACTCTTGGGTCTGTAAGGTTAGGAAGTTTTTCCAGCTCTTTCAATAACATTTGTCTTGATTTTGGACTATTTACCAATTCCAGAATTTTATCAATGTCTCTGGCAAATTTTCTATGATTTATATCATTCTTAATTATGTCTTTATTTGCTGGATTACAATAAAACTCTTCGTTGAATTCAGGTTCTGGGATTTCTCCCGAATTCGTTGATGTTTGTAAGTTCTTTTTCTGATTCTAAAATTAATAATGAATAATTATTATCTTTTAGTCAACAATGGAATTATTAGAGCAATGAAGTAATTCATGTACTTACAATTGCGAGAAAATTTAATTTTTGATAAGTAATTGAACGTTGTAAAATTTTTTTAAACATTTTTATTCAATTTCTTGTCGTTTTTATAAGATATAATTTATCATTTAACACAAAAAATTCATAAAAATAAAAACCACTAAGTTATTTTGTTGATTATTCAATTGAATGTGTACCACTGAAACACTCCACGTGCTGTTGAAGGTACTATATCTGTATTATACATATAGACATGTATAAATATATGATGGAATGTTGTGAGAAATATAAGATGTCACCAAAAAATTGTATTCAAATTCTACGAAGTACTTTAATTAAGGTTTTTGTAATAACATGTCAATGTATGCATTGGCAAGTAGATCATCCTTATTAATACCCAATTTAGACATTAAATCATTAGCTATTTCCTCTCCAACTTTAGTATCCTGATGATCCTCTAAAACTACCTGAATATGAATTGATTAAAAAAAATGTTTATGAATGTAATTATCGAAATAACTTACTTCTATTTCCATATAGTTGCCTAAATTTAAGACATTATCAATATGTATTCGAGATTGTCCAACTAAATATAACAATCGAGTTTTTTCAACAACTCCAACTCTTCCGTTAGCATCAGTTAAAATTTTATCAATTGCTTCAAGAGCAGATTTATCAGTGAATGAAATTTTTGTGTAATTACTTAATTTTGGGCCTTCATCTTTAGGGCGCTGATAATGAATAAGTTCGCCATAATTATCCTTAAAAATGATGGTATTCATGTCATTTCATGTTTGATTAACATATTAAAATTATTACTTACTGAAAGGACTCTCAATTTTAAATAACCATTGGGAACAAAATAAAAAGTATCTACTTGCTTGAGCACGGTCGGTTCACAGCCAGATAATTTTTTCGCATTAATTTTAACAGAATCAGCGTCACGTAAAATTGCTTTAATCTCAATGTTCCTCATTTTTCTCGAATAAATGAAATTTTTTAGTTCAAATTAAAGGAGTAATAATAAAAATGACGCTTCTCTATACTTGAAAACAGATTTTTGGGTGCATCCACATAAATTATTGTGTATTTTCAATTATAAAATCGCTTGATGGACGTGAATAAAAGGTAAAAGAATGTAAATTTTTATTTCATTACAATAGTAAATAATAATGTTATTATAAATATTTTTTACATATACATTATAATATATCTATAATGGTATCTCATCACTAATTAGATAATAATTATAAATGAATACGAACAAAGATTTTATGTAATTAGAAAATTTTCTAATAACGCTGCTGTATACTTGTCATTTATATATTACTACTATTGTTATTATGACTATCAAATATATATATATATATAAATATTTTTCGAAATATAATTATAAAAGTATTAATGCAAGACTCATAAAGTTTGGTATGTTTCTTTAGTTGTAGAAAAATTTTCAAAATACAATACGTATAAATTTAGCTAAAATATTGATAAAAAATTGAAAAAATTTAATATTATATAAGAAAAACTTACGTATTTCATCGCATAGATCGTTACAAAAAAATTGATTGTAGTGTCAATGATGTGATACCGTGTCAATAATCGTATATGTATAAACTCACAAAAAAACAATCTATTTACATAAAATCCTTGATAAAGGCATTATTAAAACTACGTTTCATTTTTTATCGTAATTGTGATATTTTCATGATTTTTACGTGTTTTCTAACACTTATTTTATCATTCTTCTTCTGTAGTAATTTTGATTTCATTGAGTACGAGCGCCACTATTTATTGAACAAATTGCGCTCTGACAAATGCATCAAAAGATGAAATAAAGTTTATTATTAAATGTATCAACCAACACTGTCACCCATCATTTCTATAGCAGTTGTATTTTTTGTTTTATTGGCTTCTACTTCAATACTGACTTCACCGCAATCAATAAATTCCTAAATAAATAAAAGATCATTATTAAATAAATTTTGATAAATTAATAATTAGTTTTTTAATATATAAAATAATTTTATAACATAATTGCAACAAACTAACATAAGTCTACAATAAAAACTCATTGAAAAAAAGCATTGATGTACGTAATCAGTGTCTTAAAAACTCTCAAAGTTATAGCTTAAACTAGTAGGCATGTGTAATTTACTAATCATAGAATGTTAATTTCAGTGTTGATATTATTATTAAAGAGTGTACTATTATAACTGAACGATAAAGATATAAAAATAGAAACCCTTACTTCTTTATTGAAATCTTCGGCGCCGTCTAGAGTAATTTGATCTCCAGGATTTGTTGGTATCTGGTGAGTAGTACTTGTAGGAAATTGATACTGCTCTCGACGTTGAGCATCAGCGTCAATTGCATGGAGCCTTTCTCTACTTCTTCGTAACTCTTTACGTAATCGTTCCCGCTCCTCTTCTCTTTCTTTCACGATTTTCTAAAATAATCAATTATAAATATAAATATTACAATGGCATTTTTACTATTTTTGAATGATATCTTGAATAATCATAACAAAGAAATATATCTATATTGTGATAAATTATATGTTTACCAAAAGTTGCGAAAGTTGTGTCGATAGGGAGTGGCAAATTGGTTGTAATGTTACGACAGGTATAACTGGTTGATGTGGATGAGGGTGTGGTCGTGGAGCTGGACACCCTGTAGCTTCACAACTTGAAGATGTGGTAGATGTAGCTGTGCCCTGAGAAGCTAAAACGGCCTCGGTTTCAGTGACAGTAAGTGCAGAATTGAGTATTCCAACCAATTGATTAGCCTGACTAATAGCCGCGAGTATCAATTCAGCTGGTTCTTTTTCTAATCCTGTCAGTTCTGATGCCATATCGGCAACATGTTCAAAATCTTCTTTTGGAATATTTAATATTTCTGCTACTAAGGATTGTTTTTCAGCTAAAGCTTGTTTTATTATTTCATCTTTCCTCCTTAAACATTCAATAGGTGTTAAAACTGGCTCTGCTACATGGACCGGCCGAACTTCAGTATGAACTTCCACAGGATCAATAAGAGAGCACTGTGTACATGTAACTAATCTCATTGACTCTCCTATTCCTGTAGTTGGTGGGTTTGGTTCCGATGGTGACTGTACCTCATTTTCAGGTTTTGGTTTTGAATTTTCCTCAGGCAATGGAGCATCCGGAGTATTATTATCTTCTCGCTGTGTTTCTACACTAGATGAGTTTTGATCTGTCGATTCTTTTACAGTTTCTAGTGTTTTATCAGACTTATCTTTATCGGATCCATTTGAATCCATATTGGAAGTACCTTCTGATGGTGGGCTTGACTCTTCATTCATGACTGTTGGCGGTGATGGTCTTCTTCCTTCTCTGTTTCTTGCTTTATATGCTTCTGCTGCTTCTGAGATATGTTTGCACCATAATTTACGTTCGGCAGGTGAAGACGCAACTAAATCATATATTTGGGCTCCTTTTTGAGAGGTATTCACCAAGTAAAGAGAATTTTTATCAACGGCATTGTTTCTCACAAGTACGGTTGATACTTTAACAATTGGACTGAGTACAGAATTCACTTGATTTGTATTCATAAATTTTAATAAATATTTTTCTTCTTGACGATGTAAAAGAAGTATCGTATCATCAAGTAACACAACATGAAGATCAACTGGTTTGGGTCGATTAACGATTCTCCATTGTAATGGCCCTTCGTAGATTAAAGTTCGTTTGGTAATATCAAGATTTTTAAACTCTTGAACCGTAGGATGATCAAATTTATCGAAAGCTGATCTGTCTATCATACGAAGTATTTCTGTTAAACGCTGGCAGTCCTCAGCTTCTCGTACGGCTTGATTAACTAAACTAAGAATTTCTTTACTACGTTCTACTGCGCGCAATACTGCTGCTTTCTCTTTCTCATTACTCTCCGGTGTGTACTTAGCTAAGTTCTCAAAAAGGAGTGGATATTTTGTTAACCTTAACATTCCCGTAAGTATATGATCTTTTAGCTGTAGCCTTCGACATAAAGGATTTGCCTCAATTTCATTTAAAAATGAATTCAATTTTGGATCTTTACGTCGTCTATCTCTCAAAGCATCAAGAGCTACTTGTTGTTTTGCACAATAAGTCGATGCTGCACGTTCAAATGTTTCACCATTTTCACCATCAAACATCTCCAAAATTAAGTCTCCAACATCACCCACGCATGGATTTTCTTTTTTCTTCCTCTTCATCGCTTGATTAAAACGTGAATGAATTGTCACCATTTCATCCAAGTTTGAGAATAGTAACTGAATTTGGTCAAGAGGAAGAACTTGCGATTCCAGTAGTGGCTTATGGAAGACGTATGATAAAACTTTAAGCGCTCGTACATGCGATCGTTCCGTGTGAAATAATTCTTTAAACAAAAAAAATTAATTCATCAGTTAATTTATATATATTATATAATCGATTTTGATTAAGCTAATACTAACCATTGATAACTTCTTGTCTTTTTTTCTCTACATTACTGAGACTTAAGAGAACATCTTCCGCAACTCCATGACTCCAATCTGGAGGATCCGGTTCAACATCTACATCACTATCCCATGATGTAGAAGTATTGTGCCCTGCGTTGGCAGGATGTACTTGTTCTAAGCTAGTACTTGGGCTGTCTAAACTTCGAGTTGATAAACTACTATTTGATGAACTTCCTGCTGAATTACCGGGAAATGCTCCAGATCCTTCACAATCACTGAAATTAATTATTTTAAATGAATAATTTGTTGTTTAAATCCTCACAAATGGATGAATAAATTATGTATTGAATGTATAAAAATCCAATGAAGGGGAAAAAATGGAAACATATTTTTAAACATTATAGCAGTTTATAAATCGTGACTCATGAATGTGATGTTTATGTACCTTTCTGAATCAACACTGAAACTATTTGAAGTAAGGCGGTTCAAAACCATTTCAAAAAGTTCATTTGGCCTCTCAATATTTGGGGTAAAATCATTACGTGTAGTAATGTCAGGAATAGTCTCGTCAGTACGTGAATTGGGTCGAGGACGTCCTTGTCGTGAACTATTTTGTCTCATGTTTTATTTGTTTTTTCTCGCTTCGGATTTTCACAGTCGTTATAAAAAGGTCTCGCTCACTATGACAAATGTTTATTGCCAGAAAAAATTTTTTTTCCCCTTTGCTTTCTGATTCTTCTTTCAAACAATTTTTGATAAAAACAAATCGTCACAGTTAATTTAAAGATTGTTGACTTTGACGAATATTGAAATAAACTAACACGTGCATTGACATTCTACACATTTGCTTGTATACATTTCAGCATTACGTTTTTTATTTATAATTCGTTCAAGGTAAAAAGAATTTATTAAACGAGCTTTTACTTGATCTATTAAAAAATATTCATCCTTTGATATTTATAAAAATCAATTTCATGTATATAAAAATGATTAATAAAGTAACTAGTGCATATCATAACAATTGTTTTGACTAGAATAAAACTTTTACCAATAAAACTCTAACTAGATAATAAATTTTTATCGAGAGTTTATAATAATAAATGAATTAGATAACGCATTTATTAACAGTCTTATCGATGCCACTCCTCTATCACTTTAATCAAGCTCTAGATGCAATAACCCACCCTAAGAGTGTAATCCATTTGTGTGCATACGAGTGCACGTTAGCTTATGACTCGCCCCTATATCCACTTGTTATCCCTTAAGTATCACATTTATAGACATCCAGACTTAACTCTGTAGTCTTCACTGAACTATGTCACGAAACGTGCGCTTGCGTATCTAAAGTTGGAGGCTGAGTTTATAGAAGTATTGATTTTAAGCTATCGATCGCTTCGGAAATAAAACTAAAGAAGATTGTGTCTATCTTGATAATTATACCAGTTACGTATGTCATTAAAATTCAATATTGTTTCAACTTTTCCTTCTCCCTTCCATATATTGATTTTATAACAGAAACATTAAATTTTAAAGCTTTTCAAATTTTTCCATTAACTTGATCGTTCCATTCTATTTCATATTCACTATTATTGTTTAATGACTTACTATTGGATTTCCGATAATTTTTCTAGAATATGACATACTAAATATAAGATCTAGATAATTGACTGTGATAAAAGTAAAGTGAATTATAATAATGATACAGATATTAAGTATAATTTGATATGCTGCATTTATGAATTATTATTATAAATATAATAAAACATTTAAATCCTCTTTAAGTCCCGACTAACCGAATATTATGTTTTTGTAACAAGTATTTATTTTAGTCGCGCAAGGCCATTGGATACTGACTTGTTCATCGAATATAATTCTTTACTAAGTCTCCACAATATTGTATCAGAATCGAGTATATGATCTCATTAAAAAATTAGAATCCATATTCTGTTTACAACAAAGTTTTAACTGGTTTTAATTTAATAGATTTAGTTTTATTTTTTCTTGATGATATTTAAGTAAATAAATACTTCAGCACGTTTTTTTATCATTACTAAAAAATTTTACTGGTGATATTTACGTCTGTAAAATCACGCGTTTAACGTCATACTGAACTTCTACGTAGCTTTAGGACGCTTTAAGAAAGACTGAACTTGAGGAAATATGGGAGTCTGCGCACGTGAGTTTATAATAGTGGGTGAGAGTACCATCAACAGGATGAATTCTGCCAAAAAATGTCTACGATCATAGATTCAGTAGCCACTATTTTAACTCGAAGGATTTACAGATATTCATCAGTTATGATTTATTTACTTTATTTATATTCAAGAGTCTAGACCTTATATCAATCAATACTTACTTGGTTTTCGAAAGATTAGGATCACTTGTTTTACGCTTTTCACGTAATTGTCTCTGAAAAAAATTGTCATTATTAAATATTTTGCTTAAAACAGTCATTTATCAATTATCTATTAATTTTTATTTTTATTAAATTAATAATTAAACATATTTATTTACCTTATGATGTATCCGCTCCTTGTAACTTTCCGATCTGTTTATATTTGATGTCTTTGGCTTATTAGAAATATTTTGCTGCACCCTATAAAATAGAATGAAACGATGAATTCAAATAATCAATCAAAAGATTATAAATAATTCCATCTCAGTTGTATAAATATTAGTAAAAAATGTGTCAAATAATTTTATGAAAATAATATAAATTTAGTGAATTGTTTACATTTCGGAAATATCCTCTCGTGAGGAAGGATCGTCCATACTATCAGGATGATCACCGTGGGCGATAATACGTCCTCTTTCAACGCTGCTACGAGTGTTTCCGCTTGCGCCGCCCCCGCGATGTTCTCCTGCAAACACAAATCATTCACTGATTATTCGATAAAAACTACATGATAGAAAAATTGGTTTTAACTCATTACACTTTTTCATCTTATTTATTCAATCATGATATTTTGGCATTAAGCCAGCTATCAAATAACACCTCGTCAAAGTAATTCTAAATCTTACAAAATCTCAACACCAACTAACTTTAGCTCTATTTCATATGTAATATGGAAACATATTTCTTGAAAATCCGAGACAGATGAAGGCCAATAAGGGGAAGATTTTTACTTTCCCTCTAATTTAATTTAGGGTTCAGACGGGAAAAACTTATGGATTTCCGGCCAAGCTCAGTTGGTTACTTATATGAGTGTCTACAAGAAGATGCTTATAGGTAGACACGTTCTAACTAAAAATAACCGATGCCTTGATTTTTCACGTTAGACATATCGTCAACGAATGGCACGTGCCCTTGTGCCTTTCCTCTTCCTTTATTATTTGACATTTTTGGTTTGCTCATGAGTTTACGTTTCAATTTTATCTTTTTTCTATTTAGCTCTGAATTATTTTTGTCTCAAATATATGAAAAAAATTAATGACAATTTATTTTTAAATTTGTTTAAATTGAACGCATTAGCTTTTTTTTATCATCTCCAAGCACATTAGGGATACATGGATCCATAGATTTTGCCTGGTAAGTAACAGCAAAGATATTAAATCTTGCTGAGTGTGGTTTATATTAAACTGTACTGCGCTGCATTCACGTGCAACAGATATTTGTGGCCTACGATAGTAAAATACTATAAGTATCTTTCGGAAATATTCCACTGATTTACTTTAAACACTGGATATTTCCGATTGATTCACTTCAATTTTATTCATGATCTATCTTTAACCAAAAATATTTACCCAGCGAGTTATTTCAATCAAATAATTTTATCGTATTAGTTTTTCAGAATATAATAAACGTTATTATTTTTTGTTTGTTTTTTAGTGATCAAATTAAATGAACAAACCTTTGTAATTATTATTGACGATTAAATTCTCTTCTCGACGAAAATATTCAGGATTATCAAGCAAATTAAAACTTTCCTTGCATTCATCATTAATTACAAGATAATGAAGATTTGAAATTTGTTCCACATTAACAATTAATTCAGTAGTAGAAGTTATTTCAGCACAATTATTACGGTTTTTTTTCACAACACCTAAAGATTCCAAGACTTTACCAGCAATAGATCTCTTAGAAGTCGCAACGTTCCTTAAATTTTTTGGTTTTGTTATCTTCTTGGTAATTCCTGAATAAATTTATTTAATTCTATAATATTAAATTAACTTTATGAAGTGAATTTAAATGAATGAATTTAACTTTTTACACACATTCAGCACTAAATCATTCACTAGATTATTTAATGAAGAGAGAATTTTTTTTAAAATAAAGAAGAAATAAAAATAAAATGGTTGATAAAAAATAATCTTAATTGTAAATTTAATGACCGGAAAAAAAGAAATTCAAGTGCTGAGTTTTGTGAAAGATAAAACGTTTCTCGTGTTATATCTCGCTTTACCGTCAGTCTTGAACTTGCGGTGAAATCTGTTCTTGTATCTCTCCGAGGACATTTTTAGGTTGCCAAAGCTGTTGATCAGGGGTGAAAAATTCGAACCACGATGGTGGGGGTGTTGTTCTCTCAATTGATCCTTCACAAGCTCTTCCATCTCCAACATCACTCAAGAAAATTCAAACTTATTGAAATATTTTAATAATAATCTTCTCACTTTAACATCCGCACATTATCCATATACTGTTGAGCAAATTTATTTCTACAGAATTAATTCTCGCCACTTCCTTCCTACTATTAGTTTATTTCCGGTCCCCACCAAAACTCACGATTCGCATATATCCTTCCTTTACTCTTCAGAGTCTCTCTGTCGGTCCAACACACTGAGAAAGTATCATGATGATGCTTACGCTGTTACACACGTGTAGAAATTCAATGATGCGCATACTCACACTACTCTCTATTGTTTCTTCATCGTCTTTTGTAGAATTATATTTTTTGATTATTTACTTCTCCTTCATTTTAACGATAATATTATCTTTGTCTATTTTTCTTTCATTGATGACCAGTGTACCATTTTTTTTACTTCATTATGAAGTTTTAACATACATTACTCCAAGATATTAATATTTTTAATGTTATTAATATGAAATAATAGTCTAATTAAATAATTATACTTGTATTAATTTAAAAATGTGTTGAATATTTCGTGAGATACTTTAGTATTGTTTCAATGATACTGACTCGTGCTGACTACGCCCACAAGTTGGGTGATAATAACATGAAGATCTGTATGCTAATTATTTAATTGAAAAACTCGTTTGCCTGGTATAATACCACTGTGTGATACATTTTGTAATATTCAACTGACATATTGACATTTTTAGTTCATTAAAAGTCAAATGTGATAAAAAAAACATTGAAAAAATTTATCAATATGATAACAGTGGATAATAAGAAAATGTCTACTCGAATTGGTTTTTAATATTACTATTATAATACTATTTGTAAAGCTAACATGAGTTGAAAACCGCTTGATTAATTTATTTCAATTTTAATTGCATTACGCATATGTGTAAATATTCTAGATGTCGTAATGATTTGATGGTTTTTAAATAAAAATTTCAACTATGTAATTTATTTAATTATATGTTTCGTATTTTAACTCAATTATTTAGTAGATGATGAACAAAAAATATTTCAAGAACTCACCATTTTCACCATCCGTTAATACACCTTCTTCTTCAACTCTTTTAGCACGTTCAACTGCAAATAGCATTTTATAATTAACATTTTGTAAAAAAATATGTATTAATAATTTATCAATCATTAAATAAATCTATATGATTCATAAGTAGAGAATAAAAATTTTCTATTTTTGTAAAATAAAAATAAAAAATGAAGTTTTTCTAAAATTTTTTGTTAGTCTACTCATTTTTTTTTTCTTTTTGATGATAAAATTATACATGAATTGTTTCTATTATCTTTAAAAAAAACTTACTGAGATGCATCTGGTTCGAAGAATGATGGTGATGATGATGATGATGAGATGAAGGCGGTTTTCTTTCTGGTCTGATACGTTCCATAAGTTTACTTATCCGATCATTGCCACGTTCTTTACGTGGCAATGGTCCGGGACAATTTTCTTCTATCACTCGAACACATTGACGATGAACACTTAGTGAACAGTCTGAAAAAAAATTCATTATTAGCATTCTTAGCTTTCTGATTTGTTTCTGTAAAAAATTGACGAGTTTTTTATTGAATGAAATTCTTACCATTACATTGATAGCCTTGAGGGCCAATTCCTCCAATAATAAGCTGACAATGATTACAATACGTAACAGTAAAATATTGATGTGCACTAAAATGATGTCCTCGAACTGTCATTTTTCGAGTTTTCCCTGTAAGTATACGTGCCTTGATATTAGATTTATCTTTAGCTACAAATGTCGGCACTCGATCCAATGATACTGATCGCATTTGGAATATCTTCGTTAATATTGTCGCAAGTCCAGCTGCAGTTGTAAATTGACGAAGATCTAGTTGGTCTTTTTCAATATCTTCTCTGTAAAAAAATTTTAATTTATAAATTAACTTTTTGAAATATAATAAATAAATCACATGATTAAAAATAACGAATATTTATACGTACAAATATGGATCCATTTTAGGTACAAGATAAGTCTCAATAATTTTTGATTCTTTAGATTTATCTGATTCACTTTCATCAAGTTGCGCGTCACTAGGACCAAATAGCATTCCAAGTCCTGCAGTACGTTTTTGTTGAAAATCTGCAAGCTGTTCGTTTAATTCTTCTTTTGCCTTTGTTCTTGCTTTCCAAAATATTTTTCGTAATATTTCTTCTTTGTCTGACTCACGTAAAAGCACATCATCTATCTCACGTGCTACATTCTCATCTACGTTATTTAATCGTAGAGGCTATTTATAAAAGATAAAATAATTGAATCACTTATTAAACATTCTATTTTCTCTCATTAATTTCTAATTATAAATTAACGTATAATTGAACACTTACAGCACCAGGTACTAAAAAACTAGAATGAATTTCGTACGCCCATTTCCGCATCTCTTTTGCATTTCCCTCTTTATATAGATCAGTTACTAAATAAAATAACTATGAAAACAAACAAAATTTATATTAATAAAATGAATTATTATTTATTTAAATATTTATTAAATAAATATTTACCAGACTTGAAGGATCACTATTAGATAGAACGTAATTAATAAAAACTGAAAGATGTGCGTGATGTTCCCACAGCCTTGATAATGATTTAAATGGTCCGTGATCTTCCAGTTGCCCCTGGAAAAATAAATAATAGTGATTAAAACTGTAATACATATAAATCACGGAAAAATAGTTGAGTAAATTTATAAAAATATATTTTACCACTTCTTGATCACTCATATCATCATCCTCCATTGACATAATTGGTTGTTGAATTTGTAGTACACCAGGACTACTGTCGTTTAACATTTGACGAGGTGTGGATGATGTGAAACTCTCTATCAAGCTCTGTATAAAAGACAATGATTAATTAATTATTGGCAATATTGATAATTAATATCGCGGAAGTTTTTGTCTATAAATAAGTTTGATATTGAAGCTACTGACATCGTTCAAGGTTGATGAAGTGACATCAATTGTGGAATTCGGCTGCGGATAAGGTGGTGGTGGTGTTCCGGGTGGAGTGACATGAATAGGATCATCCAAATCTATACCGCTTAAACGACCGTGTCTTGGCGGTGATAAATCATTCATTGACTCGGATGCTAAAAGCAATCTACTGGCCTCCGATGATGAGATCGTTGTCGTTCCCAATTGCTCGGGTGACGATTTTGTGCGTTGATGTTTATTAAGAGAATTTGGTGAACCCAAATTCGTGCCCTGTGAAAACTGCAACAAAATTTCCAGAAACATTCCAATGTGTATTATTTTTGCAATGAATGTAGGCATAAATTTGAGTTTATGTACAATATACATTTTCCTGGAGTTAGTAATCACTTAATTATAGGTATGGGATCTTAAGTCTAAACTTTATTTATTTATAGATTATTATTAACTGGGTTACTTATGAGAATAATATACATTAGAATAAATAGTCATTATTCTACATTGTCTCAAAAATGAATAAACGAAAAAAAATGAAAATTGGCAGCGGTACAAGTGTGACGAGTTGATGGTACTACTTACAGAGTTAGGTATACCATGACTGGTGGTTGGGGGCGTTAAATGAGTCAGCAGTTGTCTCTCCAGCTCCGACTGAATTACGTTGTGCGTATTTGAGGCGGGTGGAGGTCGTGGAGGCAACGGAGGTGGGGAGAGACTCTGCATGGACAAGGATTTACGTGATGGCAGGGGTGGCGGTACATCTCCACCACCGCTGCTATTACCAGAACTGGAATAATGGCCAGAGGGAGACGAGGCATTGGTTACCAATGAGCAAAGCTGTAAGACAACAACTGCAGGTTAGCCAATACAAAAAAAAAGGGTTAGCTAAAGCATTCAAAAACTATTCGTTGGATTTTTTGGACGAATGTGTAAAGCTTTGTACAAATTAAAATTAAATGGATAGATCAAACTAAATTAACTTGAAAAAATATTTGATACTTGGTGAATGATACTTTTAATTACACATTTAATAAAGTTATTTACAACATAATTACCTGATCATTTGTTGTAATTGCTGCAAGCTGTTCTTGTAACGTACGAACTCTCCTTTCAGCACCAGCTAATTCTGCTTGTAATGATGTTGTACTTGATGTATTTCCCGACCCTATTCCTAGCTTCGCTAATTCACTTCTTAATTTATCAACATAACTCTGCTCTTTCTCCAACATTAACTGAAATGTATGGACTCGTTGTGTCTCCAATTGACGTTTTTTCTCATGCTGCAATGAATTTAAAATACATCAATTACATCTTGATGTAATCATTCACGATTGACTGACAGTTACAGCGAAAAATGAATGTTAAATATGAGTAAATATTGCCATACAGAAATAAATTATTAATTGTTGAAAGATTAAAAATAAGTATTACAGGAAGTTATAAATAGAGTTTTAGAATAAAATTAATTTGAAATTAAAATGAATAGAAGTATTATTTTGTGTTAACAAAAGAAAATAAAAGAATTAACAAGCTTACTTTTCGAATAAATGCAGTAGAGATGAAATCAGTAAATGACGGTGTTCTGACCATTAAGAACGGAAAAGAATTCGTAGGGATAACAGATAAAGCAGAGTGATCGAGAACATAAGTAACAGTAGAAGCTAGGGTATAAAGCGATTCATGTAACTCTCGGCCCAAACTGGGACTTACGTCAACAGGTTGGGGTCCAGTTATTCGAGCAGTACATGGAGCACCACCGGCAGGAGCAGTTGACGCTCTGTGTAGTGAAGTAGCGGGATGGGATGGCGATACCATAGTGGAAGCAGCAGATAAACTTGTTGGTCGTTGATGCTGGGTCGTACCGACTTGTAATCCAACCATTGATGAACCTACAGGTTTTTGCTGAACTGTCAAAACCACCTGAGTCGACGCTGCGGGCACAAGTTCAAGGCTTAGTTGATTAGTCATCAGATATTTTTGCTCACACCGCATTTGTGAGTAAGGCACACGGTTTAGCTTAATTTAGTTAGTAACTCTTATGTTTTACGTTATGAGAATACGACTAAATTGTCTAAATAAAAACATTTTTTTACTTTGTACACTCTATCCATCAACATTTTAGCTTGTTATTATTATCAATAACTTTATAATTAATAGTTACCAATTTAACTTATTTTTAATTACTTTTTAATGGTGACATTGAAATAATCTTTAACCGAATTATTATTTCAATGGATCATTGATATCTCAATTATGCCATAATTTGTGTGACCTTGGGTTCTTCATAAATGATTTATGGCGATTAATTGAATATATTATAACAATAGATGTTGCAGATACTTTTTCTGTTAACTGTCATGTTTTATCAAGAAAAAAAAATTGATATAATTTTAAGTATTTGTTGATAATTGTTAATGAAGGTAATTTACGACAGTCTAAATTAGTTATTCGTCAGAATTGAGTGATATTTTTCAATATAATTTTGTTTTCTTGGCAGAATTTTAAACGATTTAAACTTAAAACAAATTGTTTGCTTGTACATTTTACTCATTTTAAAATAAATAGTTTAAAAAAATATAAAAATGTCTCTCAAAGTCAAAGGCATGCATGAAACTGCGTCAGAGTTTGTGAGGCGTTAAAAATGAAATGAGGAAATCTCTCTGAATCAAGTGCACCAACTTTCAGGTATATATAAATATAAATGACGATATCAGTGTTTATAAGTATTCAAATAAATCCGCAGAACAAAAAAAATCATCACACTTTTATTCACCAATATATCATTTATATTCATCATAACTCGAAATTTATTTTTTTCTTTTTTACTGTTTACTTATCTTCTCAGTAAATTAACAGTTTGTATAAAATCGAATTATGTCGAGGTACGAAGTAACTATCTAGAAATCATCACAATAATTTGTATAAAAATATCACTACAAATCATAAGATTAATATTTCCAATATTTCATACTGAATTTAATAGATAACTTCACTTTTAAAATTATTCATGATTTAGAGAAAATTATGTAATAATTATGGCTTTCATATTTTCAGTGATGACACCTACTCCAGTTTGTAAAATGACAGAACTCACCAGATGTGTCACACAATATATAATTATAGCAACAATAATTGTTCTTGTATAATTGTCAGGAATTAAAGGTCGATAAAGACTGATTGACGAAGCTAATGGTGAAACGAAGTTGAGACTCGCGTCGGATATTTGCGGTAATAACGTAATATACGGACGGAAATATGCGACAGGCGTCACTAAACCTGGCGTATGCGATTCATGTTTATAAACTTTACTCAATATTACCATTGCAATTGATAATAAAAGTGCTAACGTCAAGATGCCTTCGTATATACGAGTTGAATAAAAAAAGAAATTTTTTCATTGTTTATATGAACTTTTTCAGTTAAAACAACTAATATAGATACGTGAAACATTTTGAAAAATAGACTTGTCATAATCACAAGATATATTAACAAGTAAATTTCTTACTTAATTAATTTAATACATCATATAATTATATTATTGTATACTACTTACAATAATTTCAAGTAAAATAATGAATTATTAATTAGCAACAGTAAAAACATATAATTTATAGTTTTTTGTTGTAAAATTGAATAATGGTAGAGTGATTACAAATGTCTAGTAATTTAAGAGAAAAATATATGTTTTGATTTCCATTTTTAAATGAATAAAGTTAATTGTGATATTGTCACTGCTATAAACACACGTGCTTACATCACTGAAGCCGCGAGTTATTGTGTTTACTATTACGCATATATAATTGAAAAATTTGCGACTATCGATAGTAAAATGAAAGCAGCGACCTTGGATTCATAGGCAGATAAGTATCACATCCTTTACTACATGTGCATTCATTTTATCGTCAAGTAATTACTTTTCAACGATCGCATTATTGACATTCGTACTTACATTTTATTAACTGTACCACCTCTGTGTGTGTTGACTGCATAACATTAACTCCATTGACCTAAAAATAACGCCAAATATATATTTTTATATGTACAAATAAACAAACAATTAAGTATTTATGGAGAGACGTTATTTTAAGAATTAAATGAAATATTTTAAATGTTCTTACCTTAATTATTTTGTCACCCGCATGTAATCCAGCTCTTGCTGCAGCACCACCTTCCAAAAGTAATAAATAATTAGAAATAATTTCCTTTCTTTTAAAATTATATGGGTGAGATGATAGATAGATGATGGTTCAAAGAGATATGAGTTGAAAAATTAACTAATCTCCTGAGAAAAATTATTGATAACCTATAACCCTTAGTTTTAACTTGTAACTCTTTTATGATGTAAATGAGGTGATTGGATGAATTAAAAAGATAATTACCTTCTTTGACGGATTGTACGTAGACAGGATTATCTCCAGAGACTTTCATTCCATAACCTGCATCATCCTTGTGAACGATGAGAGTCGCGACGGGTGGTGGTTCCTGCCCTCCTCCCCCACCAGCCCCGACGACGCGGCGCAACGCCGTCGTTCCATTCATCCCTTCGATATCCGCCACACCTTGACGCCAGGTTTCACCTCCTCTTTTGCATCCAATTCAACGATCTTCCTGCAGTACAAAAGAACCGCATAAATAATTAAATTATTATCTAATCTAATGATTGAATTATAAGCTTATTAAATAATTAAATCAGCATATAAATTTATCATTAATATCAAAGAGATATATAATCAAGTTATTCAATGGAATGATCCCTAAACCTAGTTACGGGTTATTTTGATGTATAACATCAATTATAATATGAAATGTAGGTATGAGAAATTGGTTTGTATGTAAATTTGGTATTATTACCAGAGGAAAAGGATAGAAGACGTCATTAACTTTCTGAAATTTATCTAATCGCTCGCTATCTGATTTAGTCACACCTAAGGCCTTTAATAGGATTTTAAAACTACTTGATTAAATAAAATGTATTGAAAAGCTTCAATGAACATGCTCTGCTCTACTATCGGCAGGTGGCTTTTATCCGGAAGTTCAAATTTAACCTTGATCTTCTTTAAACATCCTAAACTTATCTTAGTTTATCATCATTCTGAATACTGAATACCATTATATATTTTTTTATTTTTAAATGCACTCTATCTATTCAATAAATTTTCCAATAGTTTTTTTCAGTGTTTACATGAGAATCCTACCAAGCATCAACATCAAAACAGAACTCATATGGAAAAAGTTTTGGTTTTTTATGAATTTATTTATCCTTGTATAATTATTAATTCTAATACAATTTCATTTATCAAAATAAAATATTTTTAACTTTTATTTGTAATTGTTATTATTTTTATGAATATGAGTATACGTACTGATTAATTATTATTCATATTTTTATTTATTAATAATCAGTGACATCATGAAATAATTATTTAAACAAATTGAGATAAAATACAATTAGTTGATGGAAGTTTGGTAAGAACTCTTAATAGAATATTACTTCATGTAGAGTAATAAAATTGTGTAAAATACTTTGGAATGTTGATGAGAATATCAAATGAAATTACAAGCAAAGATGTTTGACAAGAGCTAAAAAGAGTGCTCACCTTGGTGACAGCTCATGACTTGAAAGAGTTCCGTTATCATTGTTAATTGATATTGCGAGATCATTCGATACATTGACGTGTGATGTCCGCAGTAAAACAATGAGATAAGTCAAGGGTTAAAGATCTAATGTGTAATAATTGTGTTATACAATAGTTATATGGATGTTGTTGAGATGTGAATATGTGATAAATAAATATAGTACAGAATGTAGCTTGGTCAAATGCTTACCTTTCATTTAAAAGACTGTTGAAGAAAGCTTTCAGGTAAATAAAATGATTCCACTCAGAGAATAAGAAATAAGGTACACTCGATTGTTTTATTATAGGTTAATATTCAATGTAAAAATTGGAAGACAATAGTTGTAACAATTGAACACACATGTACATTAATGAGAAACGGGTAATTATTGTTTCTCTTACACTTTCACGGCACATTGCGATGACGCGCTATGATAATCCATGCTATCAAAAACGTTTGGTCCTGTTGATTATTAAGGAAAGTACGTTCTAGATTTAGACAATGAAATATCTAGCCTCGGCTTACTTTTGCCGAGACTTTACCGAGGCACTAATGTATTTTCTTTATAAAAAGCTCATCCAGGCTAACAGAAAAACACTACTAACAAGTGACAGCCATCTTGTTTCGGACCAAGAAACGCAAGCAGCCAGTGGGTGGACACTCAAATACAAATGAAAACTCCTAGAAACTTTCAAGTCCGAGACTGGCGGATCTTCTTCAGCTATATGATTGGTGCCGACATTTTTTTTTGGCGCTGAAATTCAAATGTGTTTCATAAAGTCAGGTACATAACATCTTGTTCTTTTTTCCAGTATGTATTTTATAAGATAATAGTAATAGAATAATAATAATTATTATTAGATTATTAATTATTATCTTATTTAATTATTAGAAAATAATTAAATAAAATAATAGCAATAAAATTTATATATCCACATTAAGCAAAATCAAATCTATAAATTTATAAAACTTACCTCAAGAAATTTAATTCTTCTCTTGATAATTGTCATCACTAATTACGTTGATAATTTTATTAACTAATTAAATTTTCTAAATTTAGCTATTGTTTTTATTATTAATACAAAATAATTGATTATATTGAATTGTCAATAATAAATCAATCTTATTATTCATAAAAATTTTATCTTTATAATTACAAATTTCAATAGGTAAGAAATAACTAGACTAAACGAATAAATGGTTATTATAATTCTATCTTTTAATCGATATTTATAAAAATAGCAATGTGATAAAAATTGTAGCAAAAAGATACAAATTCAGTTCTATGCGTATACTAAAACCACTCATGAATGGATAAAAAAAATCATAAGGCAGACTAACATCTAGATTAGGTCCACCAGCATAATAAGTATTTGGTGAAGACACATCATGGAATTTAACATAAGTGACTAGCTCAAGTTCTAAGGTTTTTGTACAATTAGGAGTAGAGCACTCAGACCATGTAATGTTTTTTTCATCTGAGAGTGTCATTCCTACACCAATAATTTTATAATGTTCGATATCATCTGGTTTTGGTAATAGATAATAAATAATATCTATATATAATGTAGTTATTAAACCAGAACAGCGAATTTCATTCTTTATTTTTTGTCCGAGGACATTTTTAGGAATTTTTTTCAAAAGAATTTGATTCCAACTTGATTTATTATTATTCGAAATATTACTAGCTTTTGATACGTACCACTTATATTGTTCTTTAGCTGTAATATTTATCATAGATTCATCAAAAAATATTTTAAGGACTTTTTTATGAAGTTCAGAGCATGAATTTGTTGAAAAATTCGAAGCTTGTAATGAAACTAAACATTTTGTCTTCAAATGTTCGCCAAAACCTACAGTATATCGATCATTTTCATTACATTGATAATTTGGTGATGCTAAAGGCACTGTTAGAAAATAATTCGATTTGTTGATGCTAATAAATTCATTTACAACCTTATTACTAACAAATTTTGTTAATGAACCAATAATAATTGGTTTGTTAATAAGATAACCAGGATTACCACTTCGATGAATAATATTATTATCATTAAAACCTGCCCACTCGTGTTTAACTTGAAAATGTTGATGAAAATTGGTTGAAACATTTTCTAATTGAAAGTTAATACGAATTTTTTGGATACCCATTGTTCCATTATGAGTGATAATGTATAGTACTCGTTTTACGATATTTTTACAGGTACCATTTATACAAGTTGAATTTAATGGAGTTAAAATATTACACATATCCCAGGATTGTAAGCAATATTGACTTTCGATTGGAATACAAACATTTTTTGGACAGCTCTGTAAATCAAGATACATTCATTTCAGGTCTTGTTCAATGTGTTTACAAATTTCATTTGTGCAATGAGTATAGCTGACCAATGATATATAGACTAATCGAATAAAAATATAAAAAATTTACCTCATTTGTCCAAAGTGCTTTTTTTGTCAAATTTAAAAATAATGGAGATGACACAACTGTGAAATTATTGTAGGCATCAATAAATAACTCTGGATTATCGTTTTCTAATTTAGTTTGCAAGCATGTGTTTTTTATGTCCTTCAAATATTGTACAGTGTTTTTCAAAGAACAATGATTTGTGAATCCACTGATTGGAAGTTCTATAATAAATTAATAAAAAATATTAAGTATGAAACTTTGTTAATAAATCCAAATTTTGTTAATAAGTAAATTTCGTCGATTTCATTACCGAAAGGTTTAATAATTCCTGAATTGACTTTCCATATGACATCTCCGTTTTGATATGGATGATTAGTGTTTAGAGTTTCAGGAATAATTAAATCCATTTGATCCCAAGTATATTTCGTTTCTAACTCTTTGGTTAATATTTCGTCAAATTTTTTTCTATTTGTTATTTTCTATAAATAATAAAAATATTAAAATAATCTTAACAAAAGCAAATAAAGAGCTAAATATTAGAAATACTTCTTACAATTGTACTGCTTTTAGTATAAACAGGTGGAAGGTTATCGTACGAAATACAAAAAAGATTATTGGCCACTCGTTCCAGAATAAATTTTGTATTATTTTTTTGAATAAAGTTTGTATTGTAACAATAACGCTTGTCATATAATCCATCTCGAACGTTAGAACATTCAGAAAATACTGAAAGATGAAATTCTGTACAATCGTTGTCACAACAACAGTTAATATCACACCGAGAGAACTAAAAACAGAAAAATTTTTTAAAAATCAGTTTAGAAATTAAGAATAACTTTGCAATTTGTTTCTAATTGTAGACGAAAATACCTGTAAATCACATGGACATATTTCGGATTGGCTCTTCTTGATGACCTTCTTTTGTCTAATAATATTGGCAGTAATTGATTTATTAACAAGTTGAATCATTGTATTTGGCATTGGTGTTGTTGTAACTGGTGGTGGTTTAGTAACAGTAATATTTTTTCCTGGCGTACTGGTCGTAATTAACTCCCATTCACCATCGTTCAATGGATCATTTGTAGTTTCAATATTTGAAATATCAGTGAAATTACTGAATTCGTAATCAAAATCTTCACATGAAGTTTCATTTGCACATGTAATCGTAACATATTTATCTAAATTCGTACACGACTTTGGTTCGAATAATTGTATAAACATAAAAATAATAAAGAAATACATTGTTGATTTCTTTAATTCATCAAACTCCATTAGTTCATACTTTCATTTACTACATCAAACATCCAAATTTATCGAAATTTTTACACATGATATGTAGTTGAATATTTACTATGCCTTCTGTTTCCGTGAGTAGTTCAAAGCGATCAGTGCTATTGGCTAATAAGCTTGGTGATTTTAATTGTAAAGTAATTCCTAAAAATTTATCTCTCAGTCTATCTTGCCAATTACCTATTGGTTTCCACGTATGGCATTTGATTTCATGATATCCAGGTATTAATGGTACACAACTTGTACCGTATGCAATAAATAATATTCTCCCGTAATTATCTCTAGAATATACTTGAATTAAAATTTTTGGAGAACCTTGGATTGTTTGGGTTGAATAATGCAAGTCTACTGGATGATTCCAAGTTAATTTTTTTTTGTATAAGTCACGACATTCTTGAGTTTGACCTTCATTATTGCCATTGATAAGCTTCCAACCGTTCCCTAAAAAAGTGTTTTTTTTATCAATTAAAAAATATACAAATAAATATAATAATTTTTTTACTAATGTTACAATAAAATAATCATATATAAAACAATTATTATATGACTCTAATATTTTCTTTGTAGATTTACCTGAATGAAAACTCCATTTACAAAATAATGATGATTGTTTAAAGCTTTCAGCCGATTCTATTTGGCCAAAAACATGAAGTTCCGCCATAGTAATAGATCATGATTTATAATAATTATTTTTTTACAACCTTATTAAATAAATTTTAAAGTTTTTCACTTAATGACAATGTTACTACTGTTTTCGTTGTTTTTCTTTTTATTTGTTGTGTTTGTTTGGATCATCGTTGTCAACACAACACAATGGTTACTTTGCTGACTGGTGAAGTTTGCAATACATCTTTAGAGGGCGCTTGTGGACTCGCTTGTTCGCGCTTCATTTCTTTTCCACCAATCGCGGCGCAGCTTTCAGAAAGCACAGTTCTGCTCGAGAGTTCAACTAATTCACATCGTCGAGTGACGCTCTCAATATTTTACGAAAAATTTTGAATTATTAACGATTATTAAATGCTAATGTAATTAAAATATGTTAATTTATGATAGTAAAATAGTACTCAAAGTGATAAAGAGTAAATTCAGTGATTTATTTCTATTAATATGATGTTTTTTATACTAATGTGTTCGCTCCTAACTGTTGCGTGAGCTCTTTTTTTCGAAAACTTTTAAATAAATTCAATCTTCATATTTGAGGTAAATTTATGGTTCCTATTTTTAAATAAACTAATTTAACTTTATTGAAGTGATTTTCATAAAAGTAAAAAGTTTTAAATTGAAACAAATGTGATTTGTGAGTGGCAGCGGCTAGAAGAGGGGAGGGGGAGATTTAAGTGAGTGAATGTCGGTAATGTAGAATTTTCAGGCAGTCTGTTACTAATGGTAAGTAAATTTTTATTTTATCTACTGATGTTGTATTTATCGATAAATAGCACACTGTTTATACCGATCACTGTGATTTTTAATTTGAATTTAAAATGTTTTTAGTTTTATTTTAATTTTTTTTGATTTTCTATTAAGTAGTAATTATTTTCAAGTAATTAAAACTCATTTCATAATTAATTGAAGAAAAAAAGTCTTATTTGTGCGATTTGTCATAATAATAAATGTAACTATAAATGATTTTAGTAAAAATGATTATCATTAAAAATAAAATTGTTATAATTACAATAACAATAATCTAAAAAGGACAATTATATGAAAAAATTAGTTGTTGAATACATGGTCTCGTGGCTACCAGAGATAGGTTTACATCCAGCTACGGAGTTATAAACTGTCCTGTCGTCATATATCTCCATAATCCCGCAGCTGTAGTTATTGCTTACCATATTAACTGTTTTACTGCGATAATGTGAACAATCCGAGACTATACGTTTCTCCATGTAGTTTATAACAATAACAATATTTTTATTTAAAATAGAAGCAATTAACGATATATACTAATTTTTTATATAATAGAAAATAATCCTTCTTCAATTTTCATCAATTGAGAATAAAAATATTTCTTTAGTAAAATACATAAATTACTACTGGATTATTTAATAAATAAATATTCTTATGTCAATATAATAAACGATTGAAAGCATTTAAGTGAAGTAAAAACCGTAGAAAGAGCTAAAGTTGTAGAAGCGTTGAAAAAAAGACGACAACGTTATCGTGAGTTGGCACGCTCTACCATTTCTTTTCTTTGCTATCATTTTTGTACCTTTATTAAACTTTCCACTGTCGCGATGCTTAGTATTTCTGGCCAAAAGTACTACACCAGACTTGAGTAAGCTTTAAGTGAGATTCTGAGCTTTAAAAGAAGTGTGAGAGCAAAAAGAATCAGTTAAAAATGCTCTGGGAGTTGATACATGTGTAGATCTCAAGGTTAAGGGTGAAAAAGTAAATGTATTTCAATTTTCTGTAGAAAAAAGATAGAAAATATTGAAGGGGAAACGAATTTCACATAGCTAAAGTGGAAAGAACTCAAAAGATAGATGAAAGGGATGGAAAGAAGTTTGTTGACTATAAAACTTTTATAGGTTTTGTATTTTTCATATATCAATAATGAATCGATTTTTATTTTTCTTCATTCAGTTTAAGTTTTTATTTAATTTATTATCTTCTTCCGGGAAACAAGATAATTATTTTCAACAATTTTTATTTAATTATTTTTTTTATATAAATATATTGTGATGCTTTCAAATTTTAAATGAACTAGTATTGCTAGGTTTCAATTCTCTGTTGTATTTATATTTTAATTGACAATTCATTCACTGGTTTTTTCATTAAATGACCCTGTCAATAACAGTCTTGGCTATTGGATTTTTTTAGTAGATGAGTAAATAAATGTGAAACAATTTTTATAAAGATCTATACATATATGTATATATTTTTATAAAACGTACTTTGTATTATAAACTAAGGGAATACAATGACTTTGAAAAAAAAATAAAAGAATTTCAAATAATAGCAAAAAATCGTTTAGTGTAAAAAACATTTTTTTTAATTTTTTTCTTCTAAAAATATCTAGTGGGTAGTTGAAAAAATTTTTTTATCGTTAAGATAAATTTTATTTTCTACAAAAAAAATTTTATTCAAGTATTCCAGAATATTTGATGTATCTTGAGAAAGTTCTACTCAATGTTAGTAATAATTTATAAGGTGCCAAACTATCAGACAGTGATCAAAGTACTTTAGTTGATTTATTCATTGATTACTCATGTCATTAAGTTCAACGAGATTGCTATCAATGAAATTATAATTTGACAATCTATTTAAATTAGTTCTCTTAAATAATACTAAATATTCAAAACCACAAAAATAATTTGATCATTGACTATTATTAAAATAAATTCTGTTAAAATTACTATTTCAGCTTTAATATTGCTAATAAAAATTAAAAGACACAATTAAGATTATCGATATGAGAATTAAATTATTAAAAAAACAACAAATTCAATCCAATTACCGAGACTCTTCAGTAGTTTATTCATTAACAAAAATATTGACATGAAAATACTAACAAAAAAAAAAATTTCGTTGCCAAGTGTGATAAAAACAAAAAAAAAAATATTTGTTACAAAAGATATCATTTCAATAGCGGAAGTAAAACAATAATTGAATTGTTTGAATAGCTGTCAGAATTCCTATTTGGTTTTTAACTTACTACACTGTTTATTACCGCTTCTATATGCCATATGCAAAGCATATCGTGTTAAGGATGGATGCAATTCTATCTTGTACCAATTAGTACATGCATTTTCATCATACACTATATGAACACATGAGATACGTTGATGGGTTGTGGAGCATACTCTCTTTCACATGCTCTACCATACTGCAGTATACTACCACTGCTAGCCTCATCCTCTTAATTCTAAAGTGAAATGACTGAATCAGAAATAAACCGATGTCGTTAGCAAGTTCTATTTGTTAAAGATTGAAATAATATACTGTTTGAAATTGTAAATCGTTTCAAAAGTATGAAATAGTTTAAATATTAATATTTATTTAGGATAGTTTTGTAGATTTTATTCTTTTCTAATTGTAATTTACTATGAGAAATATTGAATATTCTATAAATATATATATATATATCGTTTCTTATATATATACATATATATAGAATGACAAAATATACGATCGAATGAATGTCAAACAAAATTAGTTTCATACAAGCCCGAGAGACGTTTGCAAATAAAAATGAGATGTACGTGCACTAGTAAAACTAAATCCAAGTCACGTTTCCTTTCTCTACGTTCTGTCTATCTGGTTAATCGAATATAATCAACAATGAGTACTCACGACTGTCTCATACATTTCTTTCTTATTCCCTCTTTATTCTTTGCATTTTCATTCATTATTTGTATATGAGAAATAAGCTATGATTTCATTCAAATGCTTTGCTTCATTATTTTTTTGTTTACGATGAATAAATTAGTTGTTTTACGTAAATTTAGTTAAATAGATTATTCATTAGTATATTTTTAAATTTATTTCTATTTTAATAATACATAAATAAGAGGATTGGAGATATTTTTTTATATTAGATTTGTATCTCAGAGGTATTTCTCTTCATTTTAATCAATAAAAATTGAAGTAAAAAAATTGTCTTTAGAGATATACAATTGTTTTCGTCATTTTTCTGATATTGTAATCTTGGAAACTCTAAAAAAATAATCATAACTGACTTCATGCGGAATGAATATTAATTCTAAAATTCTTTCTCTTGTCTCTGAGAATTAATTACTTCATTTTTTCGTATGATGTCTACATAATAGTAATTTCAATATTTTCTTCATTTCTGTAGCATAATGTTAAAAATGTTTTTAATAAGAATGACACACGGAACAAAATTTTCTGTAACAACAACAGATTTTTGGTTTATGATTATTACATATTTTTTTTCTGTAATCTTAACAGAAAAATTTGTAGGTGTTAAATTTAACAACATTCATAACGATTCCGATCACAAATTTTTTACAATATGTTCATAATAATTAGATGGATTTTTGAGTCATGTCCATTGTACTCATTTTCATATCAACTGGAAGATGAGAATTACTAGTATAAACGAGATTTGAAATTTCTTTTATGAAGTTACATGATTTTACGAAAAAATTATAAAAATCAGCTGACAGAATGTGTCATTTTTACAATCCCTTTGTTTTGTTTGAAAATGAAAAGCCTTCATTAAAAATCACAAACATGAGACATTATTCTTTTTAAAACTGGTGTCGATACTGTACAAAAAGAGTTATGAATGTCAATTTCATCTAGTTGACTTGATATAAAACATTAAAAATTATCGGGTGTATAAAACATTAAATATTTAAATGTTTATTGTTATAAACTTTCATTCGATTTGCAAACCAAAAATCTGTTGCCGTAACAGATAATTTTTTTCTGTGTAATAACAAGAGTGAAATGTTAAATTTATGAAAGAAATTATTTATTTACCTTCATATTATAAAATTTAATATTAAAAATTTTGAAAGAAAATAGAGGAAAACTATTTATCCAAGTATTTTCATTTCAAAGTCCAGACCATTTATTGTAACGATTTGGTGAAATTTTAAGTAATGATTCGGATCATCGAAATTTCGGGTTGAAATGAAGACAAGCATGACCTGAGACGATTTGAAACTCAGTGTGATTCTCCGGGCTCTCATGAAAACGGTAATAGCCGCAGAAACTACACTTAACCGTAACTTCCGGTACTCTAGAAGCATATCCGTAACATTCCTCATGTATTCTAGACAGCCAGCATTCGTGTTCTCTTTTATTCTTATACATCTAGAGACTCATGAATCCTCGCCTACTCGA